GGGCATGGCACTGATCGCTGCACTTATTCCGCATCGGATCATGCTTGCTTATGTGTGTTGCGGCGTTGGTCACAGGCCCGTCCACACCTACCGCGTAAATTGCCGGGCTTGCTCTTATGCGGTGTGGTGATACTACATTTCACCTCTGGGGGCAGCGGCCACACAACAAGGAGCCGCTAAGCTCATGCAGCCGCTTTGGTACCCGACCCCGCAGCCTCCCGCCGCCCCCACCCCGGCTACCGCTCACAGCCCTACCTTCCGCCGTCCCGGCGGCTGCTGCTGTCCCATGCAGCGCACCTATCCTCATGCCGGCCGCGAAGGGGTCCTCGGACAGGCGCTCCGAGCGCATCCAGGTGCGGTGACTGGCCAGCAGCACCTGCAGGGGGAAGAGGGGAGGGAGGGGAAGGGTATGGAAGAAGAAAAAGCCCATTTTCCCAGAACCGAAAACAGGAACCAAACAGGGGCCACCACACGAGGACCAACAGCATAAGATATCGAACATATGTGCTCCCTGCACAAACCCTGCAGCTTCATACGGTGCTTCTACCATAGACATGTCATGTCCAGGGTGAATATTGAGTTGCCCAGTGAACTACATACCCGCCTACCGCTGCAAAAGACTACCTCAGACTAATGATGAACGAAACCAAAGCACATATTCGCAAACAAATACGAAGCGACAGCTGAAGACGCTAGCACGCAAGGCCTAGGGACAAGTTGTCACGCAGTGCGGCTATCAGTTACAAACAATAAGGGCGTGGAATGAGGGCAGCAGTAATGCAATGAATGGCATGAAATGAGGACAGCCGGCGAGCAAGATGGGAAATAGAATAACAACATGGGGTTGCGAAGAAGTTGTAGCTCGACCTGTCCACGACCGTCTCCAGCCACTCCATACACCCTGGGACGCCCCCCACCCATCCACCCCATATACCCCTCCCTCCACTCCCCACCTCCATGAGCGCCACCAGTCGTGGCCCCCGCAGCCCCAGCCGCGGCTGCAGCGCCGCCACCACCTGCCCCGCCACCGCTACCAGCGAGCAGGCAGCACCGCCACCATCACCGGCAACAGCAGCAGCTGCCACCCCCGACCCCACCACCGCTCCAGTGGCAGCGCCCTCCTCCGCACCCTCCGCCCCTGGTAGCAGTGCAGCCATGGCGTCCTTGAGCCGCGGCAGCAGGGTCGGGTGCGCGCTGGCCAGCGGGGCGAGCTCGCTGTGGGAGGGGTGCGAGGGAGGGGTGTGGGGGAGGGGCGAGTGGAGGGGTGTGAGGAAGGGGCGTAAGGAGGGAGGGGTATGATGGAGGGGCGCAAGGAGGATGGGAGGTGGGGCGGGGCAAGTGGGAGGTGGACAGTTGCAACCGAGCTGCCGGGAGGGCCGTCGAGGTGCGATGGCCGCACAACACCGTATGCGAGCCGACGGACCGGCACGGGGACCAGCGGACAGGCCCCATGCTCCCCGAGCTACGTGCAGTCCCCCATCCTCCACCCCCTCACCTCCTGGCCAGCCCCAGCGCCTCCCCCAGCCGTCCCCCCGCCAGCAGCCGCCCGTACTGCCACCGCCGCACGCCGAACAGCAGCGCGGGGTGGTCGGACCAGAAGCCCGGGTCGGCGGCACTCACCAGCGAGCACACCGCCTCCGCGTCGCCCGCCTGGGCCAGCTGCACCAGCCGGCTCAACAGCTCCCGACCCTGCAAAGGAGGCTGCGAGGAGCCGTCACCGCCGCCGCTGCCGTTACCATCAACCCCGAAACCGTTGCCGGCGGCTCCTCTCCCGGCGTCCATGGCTACACCTCCGCCACTCAGTTCCCCGCTGCTGCCTGCCCCCCCGCCCGGGTGCTGCTTTCCCTCCTGAGGCCGAAGGTGAATGTGATGCAGCCGTCGCTGCTGCTGCTGCAGCAGCAGCTGCTGCTGGTCGTCAGGGGCGGAGGTTGAGGTTGAGGGCCCCTGCTGCTGCGGCGGCGGATGCACAGCTGCCTCTCTCCCCTCCGCCGCCGCTGCCGCTGTCCCAGCTCCCGCGCCCTCCTCATCCGCGGGAGGCGACCAGCGGGGTATCTTCGCGGGTGGACTACTGCCTGCCTCCGCGCGCCCCGGCCGCCCCGCCCAGGCCTGCCTCACCTCCCTCCCTCCCCCTGCTGCTGCTCCCCCAGCAGCCGCCGCTCCTCCCCCCTCCGCCGCCTTCACCTGCAGCGCCCCCTCCTGCCGGCCCCCCAGCAGCCCCCGCACGCCGCCGTACTCCAGCACCAGCTCCGCCAGCAGCGGCTCGTGCAGCACCAGCCGACCCACCTCTAGCCGGAAGGCGGACAGGGGGTTGCCGCCTGAGGGCGGGAGGGTAAGGGAAAGGCAGAAGAGGTTGGGTCCACGTAATGTCCCGCCCTGCCACACCTCCACGCCCAATCTCCCAAGCCCCTTCCCCCTGCACGCGCATGGCTCCCTCCCTCCCTTCCCTTCACCCCGCCAATTATCGTGTGGCGGGCAACCCTCTCTACCCTGCCCCTGCCCTGTGTTCGACTATCATCCACACACCCGCGTGCCTCAGCGCTTCAAGTGCTGCCGCCCGGGTTGTGGCCGCCCCCTGGATCACCGCCTGCACGGCAGCTTCGGGGAAGGAAGCGGGCTGCGGAACGACACCGCCACTGCCGCCTGCAGCAGCCGTGGCGGAGGAGGCCGCGGGCGGCAGCGGTGGGGGGTCCCGCAGGAGGGCGCTGGTGCTGAGGGGGACGCGAACGCCGCAACCGGCAAACCCGAGTGATTGTTCGGGTGGCTGCAGGCAGAGCAGCCGCGGTACGAGCTCCCCCGCCACCGCCGCTGCTGAGGAGGCGGTGCCGCTGCCGCTGCTGCTGGCGGCTGTGGTGGTGTTGGGAGGCGGGGGCGGCGCTGCGAGGTGCAGTCGGAGCAGGTAGCGCAGCAGCAGACCCAGCTGCGGGTGCTGCAGACCTGGGCAGGTGAAGCGGGGAGGAGGGGGGAGACAGTGTTGAGCTGCATGGGGGCAGGCGGGGCAGGTGGAGCTAGGAAGCTGCATGGTGGCAGGCGACCTGCAGCAGGCACGACGACAAGCACAAGAGGAGGTGCCGGTAGGGCGCGACCAGATGGCAAGCCCCTGATGGATCCGCCCGCCCTTCCCGCCCAACACTCCAGCCGCTCCCCCTCTCTGAGACCCCTCACCCAGCATGTGCCGCACGGTGAAGTAGGCCAGGTCCACGAAGTCTCCGCTGGACTGCTGCATCTGCTCACCATGCTGGGCGGGAGACATGGGCGGGGCCTCCACACCGCTGCCGATATCACCGTCCGCAGCAGGTGCGGCAGCAGCGGAGTGGGATGCAGCGCCGCTCTGTCGCCCCGCGTCACCGGGTGGCTGCAGTAGCATCAGCAGCAGGCGCTTGAACTCTCCGTAGGCCTCCGGGTAGGCGTCGAGTGCCAAGGGGGCCAGCTCGCTGCGGGCGCAGGCTGCAAGAAAGGAGGAAGAGGGGGAGGGAAGGAGGGAAGATAGGCGGTGGTGGTCCATGTACGACGGAGTAGGGTTCAAGGCAGCAGACATAGCTTCCCAAAAGAAGACGCTAGGAGGAGTGTTTCTAGCGCATAACATGCTATAGTAGGAGGACAAGCCAGGCCTTATGCCGCGGGGGCTCAAAGCACCACTTACCTAGGGCTGCCTCAGGGCCTCCGCCTGAACGCAGTAGCTCGATAAACTTTTGTTTCTTGGCACGGAACATAAGCCGCACGTCCTGCGTTATAAATGTCCATAGTGAGGAGTGTTCGTCGTGGAACAACGCGCTTGCGTTTAGTGCGCAACATGCCTTCCAACGGCCGGATTGCTCACCTCTAACGCAGTCGGGCAAATTTCGCGCATAACAGCAAGACCAGCATCCACATCTCCATCCAGAAAGAGCTGGCGCATGGCATTGCATCTTTCCCAAGCGCCCGTGGTCTGCAGGGCCCGAAGTATGGTTGGAAGCACGTCAGAGAAATCGAAAAATGCCCTAGTCAGTGAGCTTCTAAGCAACCAACCTGACCCAGGATGCCCTCTGCATAGTCCTTGACGAGCTCATCAAGGACTGGCAGGGAAAGCTCTTGCTCCTTCGCCATTGCCTCCCTGACTTCAGATTAGCAGCACCAGTCTGTGTATTCCTATAAATGACAAACAAGCAATTGTTTACGAAGTGAGCGACATGTTTTCTGCCTTAGTATGTACCTCAACACCCAAACTAGGGTTAAGAATTAAGCAAAGCTGTTATATGTTAATAAGAGGCAGGATAAACGCAAGGCGTACAGGATATTTTCTTATTGCACAAATGACCAGAACTTCCATTGTAACTGACCACTGTCGTACGGCCCAATCGCGCCCAAAGGCCCAATAAGTAGTACAGAACGCGGCGGCCGTGTAGGAATGTGACAATGTTTGCCTTTGTTCACAGTCGACTGATATTGACGAAAGGGATTGGGGCCTCACGGCACAACCCTGCTGCGGGGAAGGTGTGCATGCATGTCGCCGTATGCGGACGAGGACGACATGTACAGAGCCAAGAGCACACACTGATACCGACGGATCTCCAGGAACGTGCCCTGCGGGACAGGTACTTTAATCAGTTCCTGCTGCACATCACAAGATCGCCGAGGTTTCACTTCACCGCAGCTGGCGTTGTGGCAGAGCTCCCTCGGGTTTACCCGTTACCCTTGCCGCGTATGCTGCCACCCGAGCAACAGTGCCAACTCAGCACGCAAAACAGCTCCCTACCTAGCATGCACCCACGTGCTAGCCAGCGTACATAGCAAATACACATGGGTTGCTGTAGTTCGCTGACTAATGCAGTGGCAGCTACTACAAAAGTAAAGCTAACGGCTGATAAAAGAATTGTCTTATACAGGTCCCCAAAATCATATTGCTTGTCGGGGCCCTGCTGATCAGATTGCCGTCAACTCATGTAGCGAGCGAGCTAGATAGCCGCCGTACAGTGTGAGTTTCCCTTACCAAAGCTTGCAGTGATTAGAAATAAACTCACTTACCTACTCCATTAGCAATGTTAATGGTAACATCATGCAAACGTTGAGCTGTCGCTGTGCCGGCCACTTGAGCCATTGAGGGCTAGCAACAGATGGGTTGCTCAGACAGCAAATATCAAAAACAGGCCGAGGAAGCTGTGAGTTTTTTGCAGGTCACTGGTTAGGTCTGACCTCACTGGTTTAGGCGGCCATTAGGTATTCACATGCAGGGTTTCGCCCGCAGTTTTTCGAAGAGCAGAGAAAAGCAAGGCTAGCTGCCACTGCGGCAGCGTCTTTCGAAGCAACCTCATCCGGGGCTCGCGGCCCAAAAGTCGTGGTGAGTCGGCACCATGGACCGTTGGCATGCGCACCGTTAGCAAGCTACAATTTTCCTTCGCGCAGGCAAGCAAGTCAACCAATAGAAGAGCCAAATATAATTCACCTTCCTCATTTTTAATTGATGACGCCAATGAGCTGGCGAGCATTTGTAAGGAACTCCCAAGATTGCCCGGCTCGGTGTCCAGCATAGTTAGTGCCAAGAGCATGACTCAAAATAGGGTAAGTACTTGTATAAAATGCCTTTGTGTTCACCATGGATAGCGTCTACCCTGCCGAGTACTTGGTTTCAAATACAATTACCGGTAGCCCGGTCCATGGGTACCATCCCACATCAGTGCCCCGATATTTCGGGATCGGAACGGGCATCCACAAACCATGTTTTCTATTATTTTTCTTCCACAGAGCCTAAGCGTGAGTGCCGTATTCCGAGCGGCTCTCGAGGACCAGTGCGAGGTCGCCCTGACCGCGGAAACATTGCCGCGCGTCGTGAACCTCATTCTCAAGGTAACCGCTTCTCAGAGCTCCACATGTAGGTAGATGCCGTCATGTTTGCCTTTGCGCAAGCAACCAATGCCGTCGACCCAGTTTGATTAGGCTGCCGCGGACTGGGCGTAGACTACCGTAACCGTTGACGGCCCACTACATGCCCGCCTCCAAACCTAGGATCCCCATATTTATCCCCTTGCCTCCGCCCTGTACCGTTTCGCCTTACCCATCCTCTTCTCCTCACGCCCCGTCTCCATTAGGCCCTGGACAAGGACGCCAACGGCACTATCCAGCTCACCGACCTGCGCCGATTCATGCAGGGCATGTGCCGGGACGCGGGACTGCAGGTACCTGAAGGATGTAAAAGGGAGGGCGGAACGCGGGAGCTATTGTAGGGGAGGGCGTAGCTAGGAAGGGAGCTGACAGAATTGGGTGCGGTGCCTCACACCACGGCCATGCCGCCTAACCGCGTTTCCTCAATACGCCCTTTCCTCTTCCCACCCCCTCTCACACTGCTTCACCTACTCCTCCGCGGCTCCTCTCCTGCAGCCCCCCCCCGCCGAGCAGGTTGCGGAGGTGTTCCAGCAGCTTGACCTGGACCGGGACGGGTCCATCAGCCGTGGCGAGCTGGCGGCAGTGTTGTTCAGGTGGGGGCAGGTGGGGGGTGGGGCACGAGGGACCCCTTTGTGAATGGGTGTTTACCAACCGAGGTGCAGGGCTCTGTTTTGCACTTGCTGCACATGGTGTCTGCGTTCGCGTGCTCCGCTGCCTGGGCCCTGCTGCTGTATTTAGCTGTCAAGGGGTTCGCGGCGTGGTGCATGTCCTCCTGCCCCGGCCCCCCTCACAGGTGGTTCGTGGTGGGCGTGTGCTAGTCACCTGGCTGGTGCGGGACATGGCGGCTCAGAACGGTGACAGCTGCAGAACGGTGATAGCTGCAGGAGGTGAGATGGGAGTGCAACGCCAGCAGACCGATTAAGACTCGCAGCTGGAGTAGGCCGGAGGAAGGGAGGACGATGTCAGGACATGTTGCGGGGGTGGAGCCGCGTGCGGTGACAGGTTGACGCTCGCTGTGAGTTGCGGCGCTGAGCAGCTGAGTATGACCTTGCATTGAGATAACCAAGAGACTAGCGCGCGATGTGTATCGAATGCAGCTCATGCTTGAAATTGTAAGGGGCTAAAACCAGGGGGTGTTCTATCTCTGAAACAAAGCATGAGTACGCGTTGACAGACATCACTGCGACCACGTGTAGAGGATTTCGAGGGACCAATAATGGCATGCGCCCAGGAATTCGGCAATTTTAAGCTGTAGGAGTGATTCAATGACCGTAAATGGGTTCCCCCAAAGGGAAGGCGGGTGTTGAACCCAACCGTACACAGTAGTGTTGTTCCCCGTTTGCCATTGTGAGAGTGTAAGGGCGCAGAGATGGCGCCATGGGGCCGTTGCGGGGCCCTGCGCAGTGATGACTTCATGTTGCTCTAGGGGAAATCTCAAAGACTGACGCCGCATGCTTGCTCGACGAGACTCACCAACACTGACTCTTTGCAGTACCTGGCTCCTACATGCAGTACCTGGCCTGGCGTTCACAAGGCCTGGGGCTAAGCTAGGATGACCGACACTTGTGAAGCATGGGATTGCTGACACTAAGCTTGCTTCTGAGGAATGGCGGCAGTCGTCACTGTGTATTGCTGTTGCTGCCGTGGGTGAGCTCCATGTGTAGGCATGCGCCGTTTTAATGTGGCACGGCGTACCCTTGCGCGGACCACCGGGACTCTACGCCAGGGACTACGTGTGGCATAATCTGCTGATAGTTGTTGCTAATTTTGTGGTGGGGAGTCTTGCCCATGTTGGTGCCGTTGTGAGTAATACACCAAGACATAAACAACCCGTTGGGACATACGAACCTACACACACCATGCGCACTTTGAAGTTTCTTTATGGCGTAGTGAAGAATGTGAGACGTGACACGCGGGACGCTCTAGCGTATGTACGAACCCCGGCTCCACAGATGATGAGATGATTGTACGTTTGCATGAGAGGGACGTATGGCTGGCAGCGCCTGTACGCGCCCCAGCGTGTCGCTCCGGAGTGCACATGCGCCCGTCACGTGTATCTGGTATTCTACCCTTCTCTCATGCCGGTATACGAATATGTATGCCATATCTACATCCACGTCCGTCCTGCCAGCTGCCTCATCTTCCAAGCACAACCCGATCCCCCAATCTCCCCATCCCTAAGAGCCACCCCGCACGGGCCAGCCTGGGAAGGCTCCTATTGGACCCACCTCCCGCTAGCTGCTGCCCTGCTGCCGCAACCCCTGCTGGTATGCCCACAACTGAAGCGGCGGCAACTGCAGCGGCTGCAGCCACCAATGCCATGGCTGTGGTTCTAAGAAGGCAGCCATAGCTCCCATACCTTCCATGTATGCTGTATCTGCCACATTGCCTAAACCTGCTGTTGCAGTCCGAAGTCGCCCCTCTTGAGCGCATCGTAGTCGTTTACCTCGCGCGCGGGCCCGCCGCCGCCCAGCTCCATTACCTCGCCCCCCAGTGACAGGCCGCCCATCATGTCTCGCACGCTCACCACCTGGAGGGCAGGGCGGGCAGGGAGTGCGCGGTGGGGAGGGATGTGGGGGAGTCAGGGTTGGGGAAGCGTATAAGGACGCAGAGGTATTGTACGACATCAAGCTGGCCGCATGAGGGGTGGTAATCAGGCTGCACCACCTCATCTCACCGGACCCGTAAGGTTGTGTGACGGCAACTCCGCCTGGGTAAAGGTTGAGGCTCTCGTCAGAACTGCGTCCTCCCTCCGTCCCTCCCACCAGTCCCCCATGATGCCCCCTGCAATACGGCTTCGGCCCCCGCCTCCGTATACCTGCCCCGCCTGACCTGCTTAGTCACCACCCGCTGCGAGTGCTGCCCCCAGGGGTGGTCGCAGTTGCACACCCAGGGGCTGTCGAAGGCGCCGCAGCGGCACCCCGCCTTGGCGCAGGCGCGGCTGGCGGCGTCGTGCTCCACGTGCTTGTGCTTGCACCTGGGGACACCAGGGGGGCGGGTGGGGTGGGGCGAGCGTAGGAGGAGTGGAGGAGTAGGTGGGAGAGGCCCTGCTGCTGGAGCCGTTAGCCGACAACCTCTCCGGCAACGCCCCCCTGACCCGCTGCCACCACCACCCCGCCGCCGGGATTGGGACTGTGTTGTTGCACTTATTTATAATCCCCCCCCCGGCCGCCCGGGCTTCTTGTCATAACCCCTGCCCGGGTCCCCCACTGCCCCCACCTGCACCTCAGCACCCAGGACCCCTCCGCCACGATGTAGAAGAAGCCGCGACACCCGCACTTCGCGGACTTGCACCTTAGGGAGGGGGGAGGGGGACAGAGGATATGGGGATGGGGCTTGATAGTAGAAGTGAAGAGGCGTGAAGGAAGGGTAAGGGAGGGGTGAGGGGATGGGAGGTGACCCTGCACCCGCTGCCCCACGCACCGCCCAGCACTGATGGCGACCACCGTGAGCGACATAGCGCCACTGTTCGCGGCCTTGCACACAGGCTGCATGCCGTACGCACCTGGAGGGTGCCGCGGAGCTGGCGGGCTCGTGCTCGCGCAGGCGGTGGCCGCACAGGCAGCGCGACTCGCTGCGCACCGGCACGCACTCGCGCTGGCATACATCGCAGAGCCAGGCGAACGATTCCACAGCGCGGGTGGGCAGCGGGGCCTCGGGAAGTGGCTGGGGCTGAGGCTGGGACACTTGGGCTGAAGCAGTTGCGGGGTCTGGGGGTAGTTGCGTGTGAGATGCGATTCAGAAGCTAAGTGTCGACTGCTGAGGGAGGTTGGAGGGAACGGACTGATGGGGAGCTCCCCACAAATCATGCCAACAATCGCCTTAAACCAGGGGATGATGGTGATGCTTACTTGGGAGTGCAGCCTCTGTGGCTGCGGTCTTTGTCGAGCTTGCAGGGGAGAAGCCCGGAGCAGGTTCAGGGCTTTCGCTACCGGCTCCAGCTGCAGTAGCTTGTTGTCTCCGAGCCTTAAGATTTGCCAAAGCACTTGCTTTTGATACGTTATTCATGTTGGCGGTTCTGACAGATGTTGTCTTGCTTGTTGGGCTGCTCTAGTCGCTCCTGCGGATGATGCGGTGAAGGAGCATGGAAACTGAAGCGGACATGAGACAGGATTTCTCAGAAGAGCAGCTGGAGAATCCAACATACATGCGAAAGACACACAGAAAGCTGCAAACGCGCTTTTCCTCTAGGATCTCCACGCCAGGCCTCTTGGCCGTTTCCCTTTCCCCTACTACTCCAAACCCCCAACCTGTGTGCACTTGCTCATGCCGCGCAGGTGCAGTCGCTGCCACTTCTCGTAGTCCTCCGCCGACATGCCGTCCATGGAGCCGCTGCAGCTGGTGCGCTCGCGCTGCTTCAGCTCCCAAGCCTTCTTGGTGATGGCGGGCGCAAAGGTGACGCCCTCCAGCTCCTGATCCTCGCGCTGCTTGCGCTCCAGCTGGGCCTGGGCAGGAATGGGAGAGGTGCCGGTCGAGGTTATCGGTAGGGGCGCCATGCAGCATGCATGCATGCTGGCGAGGATGGTGCTCAACGGGGGATGTGGCGGCGAGATCAGCGGACCAAAAGCAATCTTGCATTAGCCCCCAATGTCGGACCCCTCTTTCTCACCCTCTTGAGCCGGTTCATGAGCGACTCGACCCCCTCCGCGTACAGCATCTCGCCATAGTTGTCAAATGCGCCGCCCGCTCCACGGCCCCGCATCATCTCCGCGCTGATCCACGACATGGACGACCTGCTGGCTGCGATGGCCGCCACCTGCTCCGCGTTCGCCATGCGCCGCCGCTCCTCCTGCCGCGCCGCGCGCTCCTGCGCGGTGGCGTACAGCCGCATGTGCACGCTGTCCCTGTTCCTGGCGCCACGGCGGCAGAAGGCACGGGCGACACGATGAGAAAGCAGAGGGCACATACCGGTAGGGAGCAGGCATATGCTGGCTATCCGATACACAATGACAGCCCCATGTAAGGAAGATGTCTGACCATACTATTATAGCTATTCTTTGTTTAACTCGCCCACGTCTGTCCATCAAAAGTGGTTACCTGGCGTCGCCGTACCTTGGGCTGGGCGCCGCCGAGGTAGTAAGCCGGCCGTATCCCCCTTGCTGCCCGCCAAAGTTGCTGACGCCCCCCGAGCTGCGCTTGCTGTTCATGCCGCTGCCCGCCCCGCCATTGCTGCCGCCGCCGCCACCCGGACCTGCTGCACCGCTGAGCACCTCCGAGGCGCTCACCCAGTTACCGCGGCGAGCCGAGGGCGCCTGCGACTCGTCCAGCAGCTTGGACGATAGCTGCTCGTACAGCCGGTCGTCCATGCCCGTGCCGAAGCTGTACTGCGGTTGTTTGGGAGGCGCGGCGCCGCCGGAACAGGGAGGAGCTGTTGCGACTTGACCGGGTCGTTGGGGCGATTTGGAATGTTGGGGTGGTGCGAGCATTCCTGAGGCGGCAGGGTCGGTGGCGTCCGGACCTGACTGCGGTGTGCGTGCATCCTGAGGCTGTGCGGTTGCCTGCTGCTGATGGGCGAAGGGGCAGATGAAGCAAGGGGAGAAACCGTAGGGTAAGGGGAGAACGAACAAAAGAAAAGTGGAGGATCCTGTTCAATGCTTTGGCAGCGCAAGCTAGCTTGAGCTCAGCAAGGCGCCATTGCTTTGTCTTTGGGCACGAAAGATGTGCTTAATGAAGACCGACCTCCAACGCATGGCTCTTTCCCAGCATCAGCTCTCCCGACCTTAGCTGGTCAGGGCTCCTCCCGCATGCTTCTCTACCCCTCTTACCATGCGGCTGAGTGCCGCCTTGCGCAGGTTCTCGTCCAAGTGCGCCGCCAGCGGGGCGATGATGGCGTCCGGCAGGTGGTGCTGCTGGCAGAAGGCGCGAGCAACGTCCTCGGGGTTCTCGCCCGCGCGCACCTCTATGCGCTCGCTGGCCCCGCCGCCGACGTCCACTGTCGTGACAAGTAGCACGCGGGCCGGTTCATCCTTGACGCCGGTGCTCTTCTTGCCAGGGCCGTCTGCGGAATGGGATACAAAGGGGTGCGGAGTGTTGTTAGGCTTGGTGTGTAGCCTAAATCATTGTATGTGCAAAGATGTATAATACGGCATACGTATAGGGCTGCCTTACCTTGCATCCCAGTGGCCGCAGCGAGTTGCTGCAAGATGTCAGCTGACATGCCACTCCAGCCTGCGACAGCTCCCGAGCAACCGCTTGCGTGGTAAGTAGGTTCCAAAGTTAAATAATGTGTGCTCCAACGTAGGTTGGCTGCGCGGAGTCGAGTAAGAACAACAGGGCCATGGTAAGCAACTTGACGACTGAACAGTGCCCTGGTTGATGCACAAGCTGCAAGCGAACTCTGGAAACGTTCTACAATCCCCTGAAAAGGAGTCTTCAGTGCTTATCCAGAGGCTACCAAGTAGCTTTGACCATGCTGCTCCCGACGGTAACAGCTATGGCAACAAGCCGCCAATACCGTGCTAGAATCTAAACTGAGCCCATGTCATTCCTGACCGCTAGCTGGCAGACAAACTTACGAGCTGCTGCAGCCCAGTCTTGCTCAAACGGTTGCAAGTAGCGGTAGCTTTTACCCTATCCAACTCGAGCCTTCGCGTATAGCAGTCAGAGGAATTCAATAATAGCACCAGGCCACGGCATGCCCCTACATAGAAGTTTGTGAGAGCTAAAGGTCCTAATCGCCAGTTGAATAAAAGCTACTGACCCTATGTAGTTATAAAGTATTATAATCAATATTGCAAGTGCTCCTAAACGTGGGCAGATGTCGCCCTTGCAAAACTTAAGAAAGTCAACCAGCGTTATGGTATATTGTGTCACTATGAATTGTAGCAAAACTATTGCTATACGCCATTACTGTACTTGAACAACGCAACAAGTACCTAGAAGGGAAATTAGGTGACTTGCACCACAAGTACGGAGGTCTACGGTTGGCATGTTGCCTTTGACTGACGATTGCGGCGTGGTAAAGGAAGCGTTAAATGCTGCTCTGAACATACTTATTTGCTGGCGCGTGCAGCGACGACGATTAGGTGTTGCATAGCTTTGCACCATCGTGCCTGAGTTCCTCCGCGACCGTGCGGCGCCTGGAACTGTGATGCCTCCGCAAGAAAGTACCAACTGCAACGCGATTTACTACCTTCCGCCTAAGCTTTTATTGCCGAAGCTTTCCGAGAGCTCCCTCCAAGCCAAACAGCCAGAAAGACACAGCTACCACCAGTACAAACCAGTAATTCGTCGCCGACATGCGGCACAAGGTGTACGCTACGCTGCCCGTCAGCGACCCTCCCGACATCAAAGCAACAGTTGCCAGCAACACCACAATGGGCGAAGCCCCAAGCCAAGCGCATGTCCCCAGCACACGTGCCATGACCCACCCCAACCTACCCAGCAAGCCAGCCATGCGCCTTCCCAAGCTGCCACCACCGCGCTCCCCCACCGACTGCCCCGCCGGAAACCTACCCAGCCGCGCCGCCGCCCAGCCCTGCGCCAGCGCCAGCGGGGCCAGGTAGGCTCCCGCCGCCAGCGCCGCCGCCCAGTTGAGGCACACCAGCGCCGTGAGGGCCGCCGTGGTGGCCGTCAGCACCAGGGTGCGCTCCGCATGCCACTCCGCACGGCCCAGCACACCCCGACCCGGGGACGGGTGCTGCCGGGACGGCCGTGGCAGCTGCTCTTCCCTTGCTTGGTGCTTCTCGTCCTCATTCTCCTGCTTGCTTGTTCGTGTATCCCGCTCCTTGACTTCACCCTCCGGCGCGCCAGCCCCGTCCCCACCACCCACCGCCACGCTGCCAGCGCCCTCGCCGCAGCTCCCTAAGGCTCCGGCAGCTAGGCGCCCCGCCAGCCTAGCTGCCACCGCGGCCACACCCCCAACCGCTACCAGCAGCCCCGCCACCACCACCGCCCCCTCCGCCGTGTCCAGTCGGGAGTCCAACACCCGCCGTACGGCAGCCAACACCACCTCAGCGGCGGCCCCTGTAGGGCTAGGATTGGCTCCGGAGCCGGGCTGCCCGCCGGAGACGCGGGTTGAGGGCAGGGGCCCGCAGGCTGCGAGGCAGCGCAGGGCTGCCGCGGCGGCCGCCAGCAGCGCCAGTCGCGCCGCCGCTCGGGAGGCCGCACGCGCCCACACGCGAGGGGCCGCAGTGGGGCTGCCTCTCAGCAGCTGCTGCGCTCGAGCCATGGACCAGGCAGCCTGCGGGTCGCCGAACCAGGTTGGTCGGCAGCAAGGGAGTCAGGACAGCCCTGCCAACGTCCCTACCTGCGCGTACCCCCTCGCACCGCCCACCGCAAGCCAACCTGCCTCGTGGCTTCGTTCCCTCATAGCCCTCACGCCTCACGGCAGTCTCCACCCCTCCACCCACCCACCCACCTGCAGCTGCACCCCCGCCGCCAGCGCCACGGCGGGCCCCACGTATCGCTCCACACTCACGAAGCGCTCCCGCCCCGTCAGCAGGTACAGGAAGGGCGAGTGGTGCACCCGCTCCACCAGGTTGTTCAGGCTGCGCAGCACCAGCTCCAGGCTGGCGGCCAGCGACAGCGCGGAGGACTCCAGGGAGGCGGAGGCGGGGGAGGAGGGCGCGCCGTGGGCCTGAAGGGAGAGGGGGTGAAGGGAGGCGTCAGGAGGAGCAGGCGGCCCCTTGGGGTCCATAAGCCTTATCACACGGTCAGTTCGCTGTTTTGTCTTCACCCCTCTCCCTCGCTCACCCGCTGCAGCAGCCGCACCCCCGCCGCATCCACCATGACGTCCTTGAACGCCGCGTGCGCCCCCGCCGGCTGCCCGCCCGCCTGCAGCCCCGCGAAGTGCAGCGCGGTGAGCAGGCGGGCCGCGTAGCTGCGGGCAGTCTGGGGGGAGGTTCGGGGAGGAGGTCAGGGTGCGTGTCAAGAAGGCGGCAATGCAGCGGAGCGGTGGTGTCGCATGGGTGCATGGCCCTTCACCCCTTACATTCCGGTCTCGCCACAGCGCACACTGCAACGCGCACGCGACTGGTGCTGCAGCTGCGGTTAGTACGGCTGGTACAGGCCGCATACCCTCGGCATGCTCCTGTTCGGCATATGGCTATGGCATGCAGCAGCAGGCCTGCTGTCCCACCTGTTGCGGCGCCAGCAGCTCCGCAGCGCGGGTGATGGCGCGGAGCAGTGCGGTCGCCCCGGGGGAGTGCAGCTGCTGCTCACGCCACAGCGCCAGGGGCTGCGGCAGCGGGTGGGGGAGGGCGGGGGGAGGGGGTGCACGGGGCGGGGCGGTCAGAGGGAGCCAGGGGGGTCAGCCACCTAACGGGAGCGCCACACCAATCCGCACCAGGACTTTCGTCAGCCAGCGTGCCGTACGAAGGGTACAGCTTCACAGCAGCTGCTTGCGCATGCGGCATGCCCCCTCCTTCCACCTCCAACCGCCCCCCTCCCCTCCCCTCCCTGGCTACCCCCACCTGGCCGTGCAGCAGGTACCTCAGCAGCCAGTACATATCCAGCTTGGGTAGCAACCCGTCGTGACCCACCACCAGCAGCTCGGCAGTGTCGTACCGCCCGCTGCCTCCCCCGGCCGGGCCCCCCGCCAGCGCCTCCAGCACCACCGCCTGCTGGATCACCCCCGCACGCAGCAGCGCAGGGGGCGGCTTCTCCCGCCCCCGCGGTTGCCCCTCCTCCCCCCTGCCGTCCCCTGCCGCCCCCTGCCGCCCCTGCTGCTGCCCCTGGTGGTACTGCGCCACCCAGGCCGCCAGACACCGCTCCACCCCACACGCCAGGTCGGGCACCACCCACACCACGTCACGTGCCAGCCACCTCCCTCCCCCTACTCCCGCCCCTCCCTCCCCCGCCCCCCCGCCCGCCAGGTGCAGTGCTAGTGCCGCCCCCACCAGCAGCCCCAGCTCCGCACCCCCGGCGCTCTGGTTGCGTCCCTCCAGTGCGGGGTCGGCTCGCTGCGGGGAGAAGGCCACGGGAGTCACCAGCGCCAGCGCCTCCAGCCCCTCGCCGCGCCGGGAGGGGATCACGGTGTGCACGTTGGCGCAGCGGCAGGGGCTGGGGGCAGAGCCGGGGGTGGCGCCGGAGGGGGCGGTGACGGTGGGGCGGCTGAGCTGTGTGGCGGGCAGGCCGGCGCGGCGGAGCGCGGAGGCGAGGGAGGCGGCGGCGCCGGGGCGCTGGAAGGCCGCGGGGGCGGCGGCGGAGCGGGCGATGCGGAGGGCGTCTGGGAGGAGGGCGTTGAAGGAGTCGCTGTGCAAGGGGACGGGTTGAGGGGAGGATAGGATGTTGCAGCTTGTGTGAATTGGTTTATTAAGTTGTTGCTTGTGGGAATTTGTGTAACTTTATACTCATAGTCACAGGAAACGGGATCACACATACCTTATCGTGGCATGCGCGAATCCAGGCAGAAGCCCCTTCTCCTCGAAGCGGATGGGCCGGTCAAGCAGTGGTAGGGCAAAGACACCCAATACGGCAGCAATGATGAGCGTGAAGGAAATTGCATGCGCGTTGCAAACGACCTTCGCTATTAAACGCGGTATTGGCTTCTCATGCGCCATGCTTGCTTGGCCACGTCGCTACGGATGTACAGCTATAATGATCTACGTCTTAATTTTCTACCCATTGTGCTGCGGCCTACGTAATCATGTATGAGATGTGCTGAAGGTCGCAATGGAGATGGCCCAGTAAAGCAAGTACGGTAGGCGCAATCAACGGCAGCAGTCACCACCAACGCGCTTAACGGCCAATTAGGGCCAACGCTGATCCTAGTGTAAAGAGCAACTTCAGCTTACCTGAAACTACGTGGCTGCGAACCAGTATAGCGAACAATTTATTCCCGCGCGCACGCGATCGCGTTAACCCTGTTGTATAACCACTTGTAATATAGATTAGTATCCATTTGAATCACTTGCAAGGCCTCTAAGCTTCGGGCTGCGGTTCCGCAGCACCCTGCGTTACCGATCGGCCGCCGCTTAGTTCCCCCAGCTACGGCGCGTCGCTCCACCCGCAGCAAGCCATCATGGACTACCAGGGGGAGCAGGACATGGAGCTGGAGGCGCTTCAGGCCATCCTGATGGACGACCTCATAGAGTACGAGGGCAACCTGCCCAGCGGCTGGGTTGCCGCGGGCAAGACCTACAAGATCGTCATCGCGCCCGACGAGGAGGACGGCGCTGACTCGGGCGAGTACCCGCTCAAGGCCGAGCTGCTGTTCGCGCACACGCCCAAGTACCCCGAGGAGCCGCCCAGCCTGAAGCTGCGCAGCGTGACGGGCCTCAGCGACTCCGACCTGGCGGAGGCCACTGCCGTACTGGAGGAGCAGGTGCAGGCCAACCTGGGCATGGCCATGATTTACACGCTCATGGGGGCGGCCAAGGAGTGGCTGCAAGGTGGGGCCTGCAGGAGGGGGCGGAGGTGGTGGGGGTGGTGGTGGGGAGGGGGCCTGCGTGGGCGTCATGGAGTGGGGGGACAGCTTGCCGCGCGAGGGGGCTGCGGCAGTTCAGATGTGCATGGGCAGGGCAGGGCATGTGGGGAGCGGGGGCAGAGCGGGCGGGTCGGAGGGGCTCTCGCCAGCATGTTGCTGGGAGGCTACGTCCGCACTGGGCCCGAGTAGCGAGCCACCATGAGCTTACCCTGCCCCTCCCCCGTCCCGTCCCACTGTTCACAACGTTGGAGTGCTACTTTCCTTACTCCCGCCCCGGCCTGTCCTGCCCCTCCCCCCCTCCTTTCCTCAGGCCGGGTGAACAGCGGGCCGGTGACGGACCCCGAGGTGGAGCGACGGAAGGTGCGAGGAAGCGGCGGCAGCGGGGACAGAAGGGGCAGCGGGCGGAGGTGGCAGTAGGGGCAAGGGCAGCAGCAGGGGGCGCCTGGCGTAATGTGGCTAAGAGGCCGAGACAGCGGGGGTGAAGGGTACTCCCGCGGAAGGGGGGATGGGAGTGCCAGCGGGACCCGGCCACGAGGCGCAGTTGGGCGATTAGGGAAGTGGGGCGGGCGCGGCACAGCGGGGGAAGGTACGGCACTCCCCGGGGGTACCACCTGCCGCCTCCCTAGCCTGCTCCTCTCAGCTCCAAGCCGCCATCTCCTTCACGCCGCCTCCCTCGACCACACCGCCCCGCCGCCGCCTCCACCACCTCCTCAGCCCCCGCCCCCACCACCGCCTCCCCCGCCACCACCGCCACCGCCCCTTCCTTCTCCTCCTCCTCCCCCGCCACCACCGCCACCGCCCCTTCCTTCTCCTCCTCCTCCTCCCCCGCCGCCCCCGCCGCCGCCTCCACCACCTCCTCCTCCCCCGCCGCCCCCGCCGCCGCTGCGGAGGCTCGCCTTTCGGAGGCTGTACGGCAGGCGGAGGCGCGCGCACGTGCTGAAGCCGCAGCTCGGGTGCCTGTGACTCCCCCCGAGAGCGCCGTGTGGATGGGGCGGCTGATGGGCGAGCTGTGGGGCCCCTACGTGGCGCCCATGCTGCTGTCGGAGAACCTGGTGAACTGGGGCGACAAGGTGCGGCGCGCGGCGCCCCCCGGCTGGGAGCTGGAGCTGGCGGAGATGAACATGGGGCGGCAGGGGCCGCAGATGAGCAACTACCAGGTGGGGGCAGCTGGGGGAGGAGGGAGGGGGGGAGAAAAGAAGAATTCCAAGGGGGGAGGGGACAGAAGGCGAGGGGAGAGGGAGGAGAGGAGGAAAGCTAGGGGGTAGCGGGCAGTAGGGGAGGGGAAGTCCAAGGGGTGCCGGGGGAGCCGGGGGGAAGCGGAGCTGGTGTTGGGTGGCGGAAAAGTAGGTAAGGAGGAATGAAGCGGGGGAAGGTGGGGGAGGGCGTCCATCTCGACCCCCATAAACCCCTGCCACCTCCCCTCCCTTGCCGCCTCCTCACCTCTGCCATCAGGTGCTGGCTGACCCCTCCAGCGGGCGAGTGACGGCGGTGGACTGCGACATGCGGATGGAGAGCAACACGCTGCGGGCTGTGGTGGTGGGTAGCGGACCCGTGGGTCGCTTCACAGCAACCATCTCGGGGGTCACCATGCAAGGTAGGGGGGCAGGCGGCGGAGGAGGATGAGGCATCTGCGTTGCCGCAGTCGACCTCAGCCCAGCTAGCTACCCCGACCACTGCCCCCGCACCTCCATCCGGGCACCGTACCGCCTTGCCCTGCCTTCACGAGCCGACCCAGAGGGGTCCCATAAGTCCCTCCACTCTCCCCTGCCCCCGCGTCAGAGGACTTCTTTACGCGTTATGATTACCCCCACCTTCGCATTACCTTACCTCACTTCCTGCCCCACCTGCTTCCTCCCTCTCCCGCCCCCCTCCAGGTCGCATGCGGCTGTTGCCCTTCCCCGAGCTGCGCCTCATGCTGTTTTCCTTCCGCGAGCCGCCCGACATGGACGTCAAGCTGAGCGTCAAGGGCCCCGTCATCGGCGAGCGCTCCATCCCCACCTCCTCCTTCGCCTTCCTGCGCGCGCAGCTGGCGGCGGCGCTGCGGGACAGCCTGGTGGAGCCGCGGCGGGCGGCCATCAGCCTGGACCCCGTGCCGCTGGTGGGGCAGGTGAGGCGGGAGGGCGGGGGCGGGGAGGCGGGGAGGTGGGCGGGTGGGGAGGAGATGGGGAGATAGGGGCGGGAGGAGAGAAGGTCGGGGCGGGGGGCAGAAAGTGGGAGGTCAAAGACAGGCGGGGGGGGGGTGTGTGGACAGCAGCGGGTACCGGTACCTGGTTAGTAAGGGGGCCCATACGGAGGAAGGCTAGGGGTGGGGTGGGGTGGGGTGGGGTGGGGTGGGGTGGGGTGGGGTGGGGTGGGGTGGGGTGGGGTGGGGTGGTGGTGTGTTCAGGGCTACTCGAGGGGCGCCCTGCAGCTCCTCCAGCGGGGAGTGGTCGCCTGCCACCTCGGAGTGTCCTGGCGGGCCTGGCGGAGGGGGCGGGCACCCACCCTTGCGGCCCAACCAATTCCTCTGCCCTCCTCCCTCCCTCCCTCCCACCCTCCCTCTCTTCCGTCTTCTCCCCCCCCCCCGCTTCCCCAGCCGGTGGACACCACCGTCAACATCTACGTGGAGGCGGTGTCAGGGCTCACCTCCTCCAGGGGGGCCGGCGCGGGGCCGCAGCAGCAGCAGCAGCCCTCCATTACCACATCGGGGGCAGCAGCAGCGGCAAGTAGTGCGGAGGCGGGCGGCGGGGCCGGAGGAGGCGGTGTTAGGGCGGCGGCATCGCAGGCTGCTGCTGCGGCTAGTGAGGCGGTGTCCGGAGGCGCGGAGGCGATTGCGGGCCTTGTGTCCGGGGTCGCGGGGGCGGAGGGCGGCAGCAGGCGGCTGAGGAGGAGGCGGTTGCAGGTGGGGCGGTGGGAGAGGAGGAGGCGGGATGGGGGGGTGGGCAACGGACCCGGGGTGGGTACCGAGCGTGCTGGGCCTTACCGTATTGAGAGCCAGGGCATATGAACAGTGCTGACAGCTACCGGCCGCAACCCCCCCGTTTTGGGTTCCATACGCTCCCATTCTCCCATTCTTTGACGCATACGTCGTCAATTGCAACTCCCCCTACCCTCCCCTCTTTTTGCAGGTCATAGCGCTCAACACAGACAACAAGCTGCAGCGCGCCACGCGACCCGTCTTCTACACGCCTGCACCGCCCTCCTCCTCTGCTCCCAGCTCCCCCTCCTCCTCCCCCGCTGCCCCGCCTCCCGGAGTGGCCCCGGTGCAGCAGCTGCTGCGGCTCAACGTGGGGCACAAGGATGGCATCTTTAAGATCATGGTGGGGTGCTGGGGGCGGGGTGGGGGTTCTAGTGATGAGGGTTGCGTGTGGTGCATGCGTGCACGGACATAGCATGGGGGGATGAAAAAAATGGAATGGTAGGGAAGGCCACGGTGACGGCAACTCGCCATCGCTCCAGGACGTCTCGCATGCAAGCACCTCTCTTCGCCCTCCGTGTCTTGCGCTGGCCACCGACGTCTACACCATAACGGCTGCTGCTTATCGTTACCTCTCATTTCCCTCTTAACCATTGCATGCCCGGGGCCTGGGCCAAGACCCACTCAGGAGCACGGCTGGCTTCTACAACGCGACACGTGTCCCAGTGTCGCCTTGCTTATTGCCGCGTGGCTCTCTCAACTCCCTCCTGCGCCGCCGCTGCTGCCCACGCAGGTCCGCGACGTGGGTCGCACTCCCGGCGCCACCGCCTCTGAAACCCGCGGCGAGTCCGCCTCCTCGCCTGCCTCCTCCTCCTCCTCCGCCTCACACTCCGCAGCCGCCGGGGCAGGCAACAGTGGCGGGCCCCTGGGTGCAGCCGGCATGGGCCTAGGCATGGGCGGTATCAGCGGTGTGGGCGGCGGCGGCGGGGAGCTGCTGGGCAGTGTGATGGTGCACGTGGCGGCTGCCAAGGACGGCAGCACCCTCATGTGGGCCGCAAGGGAGGGGGGAGAGCCGGTGGTGGTGAGGTGGAGGTGAGGGAGGGTGGGAGGGAGGGAGGGAGGGGGTGGGGTGGGGTGGGGGAGCAGGGTGGGGCGGGGGCTGTAGACACGGCTAGGAAACATATTGCCTTTCGAGGGTTGCGGCCGAAAACGAGGCCGCGCATAGGCGCTGTGGCATGAGGATGAGAGGAAGTGTTGGTCCCATCCTGATACCAACAAGAACATCGCCATCCCCCCTTCTCCCCATGCCGTACTTTAGGCCTGCGGACGGCCCATGGCGAGTGACGCTGCCGCTAGAGTGCCCCGCCTTCGGTCTGCCGCCGCCGCCACCTCAGTCGCATGGGCGAGACGAGCCAGCAGCCGCCTACTCCTCCGCCTCCACCCCACCTTCCGGCTCTCTCGACGAGTCCGCCGCCCCAGCCTCGTCCCACGCTGCAGCCAGAACAGCAGCAGCAGGGGCCCAGCAGGCTGCCAACAACCCGGCAGCAGCAGCAGCGGCATCCGCCCCCGCATCAGGCGGGCCCAGCATTACTCTGCTGCTCAGTGCTGACCCATGGGTCTACGAGGACGCCAGCCCACCAGGCAAGTTGTACGACAGCCCTCGCAGCAGGTCGCTGGTGGTTCAGGTGGTGGAGGCTCGGGAGCTGGCGTGTCGCGACTGGGCCGGCACCTGCGACCCCTACGTGCGGCTGTCGCTTGACGGGCGCACCTACCGCACCCGCACCCTCTACAACTGCGCCGCCCCCATCTGGCAGCAGACCTTTGTCATGCCCGACACACCCTCGCTGCTCAGCAAGTCGCTGTCGCTGTCAGTGTACGACAGCGGCGTATCGCGAGATGACCCCCTGGGCTCCGCCTCGCTCAACCTTAACATGGCGAGTGAGCATGGGTTGCAAGACCGTTGGTTACCGTTGCAGGGCGTTGAGAGCGGTTGGTTGAGGGTGCGAGTGGCGGCCGTTCCGGACGCACCCGACTCGGCAGCGGTGCAGCGTATGGTAGCTGCACTGGAGGGACTGACCCGCGGGTCGTCATCTCCGTTGCTGCATGTGGTGGTACTGGGCGCTCGTGCGTTAAGTCCGCGACCCGTGGGTCAGCTGCTGGGCATGCGAGATGCGTACTGCAACATCTTGTACGGCGGCGCGCGGCAGGTGACGCATGTCGTGAAGCAGAGCCAGAACCCGAGGTGGGACTTTGGGGCACTTTTCGTGATGCCGCCCGCAACGGAGGACGAGGAAGAGCAGGGGGTAGAAGAAGAGGAGCCGAGTCTGGACAGACAAGGGGTTGCGGGGGCTACGAACGCTGCTGCCGCTCCTGCTGGTTTGGCGGCGGCCGCATCTGCACGTGCGTCATCGTCCGGCGCTTCCTCAATACCGGCATCACCAGCAGCAGCAGCACCATCGACAACGAGCGCAGGGGTTTCTGGGTTGCCATCGCCCTTGGACATCCTTGGCAGCGGACCCGGGGGGACGTCCCCTAGTTCGCAATACCCCCACCAGCAACAGCAGCAGCAGCAGCCCCACCAAGCTCGTGAGCATCCTGATCGCCATCATCACCATCAGCAGCATGACCACCAGCACCACCAGCCATCCGAGTCACAACACCCGCAGCAACAGCAGCAGCCACCGCAGCCCTCACCCGGCCACCACCACCACCACAGCGGTCATCACCACTCCACCCCCATCCCGCCGCTCGTACCCTACCCGCCCCTCCCCGCCGAGCCCCCTCCCGCCGCCTCCTTCCTCCACCGCAACACCCCGCTGCCCGACCGCGAGCGGTTGCGCCGCCGCCGCCAGCAGCAGCTGCGGCGCCGGCAGCAGCAGCAGGCGAGCGGCGAGGTGCTGCGCATCGAGGTCAAGGACGTGGACCCGGTGCCCCCTGATGACGACCTGGGCTACGTGGAGGTGGCGGTGCGGGAGTTGCTGCCGGAGCCGGGGGACAGCTGGCAGGGCTGGCTGCCGCTGCGGAGAGGCGAGGGAGGGGAGCTGCAGCTGAGGATCAGCCGGCTGGAGCCGCCGCCGCTGATACGGGGGGAGGGCGGTCTGCAGCCGATGCCGTACAACAAGCAGCGCGAGGCAACCCCCCAGGCGTCCTCCTCCTCCGCCTCCGGGTCGTTGCAGCAGCAGGGGGCGACGTTGGGCAGCGGCGGTGGCAGCAGAAGTGGGATCAGCATGGGCGGCAGTGGCAGGTACAGCAGGAGCACCAGCATCAGCACGGTTAGCATGGAGGGCGGGGGCGCGGGTGCCTCCACGGTGGCGGCTCCGCAGGTCCAGAGCGTGCAGCTGGACAGCTTCTTGGGCCAGGTAGGGGGGCGGGTGTGCGGGATGGGTTGGTGGATGCGGACTTGCGGAGGGAGGGGGCAACGTGCAACCAGAGTGCGGTTACCGCCCGCCGCAGCACTCGCCACCGGCTTGCCAAGCTCTCTGGCTGAGGTCCCATGCTCCGTTGGCTTTTGAAGCTATGAATACTACGCGGAGCACTGCCTAGCTGTCCTGTCCAACCCTCTTGCTGCCCTTCTCTAGTCGACACGTTCCCCATCCTCATTCGCTCTCACCAAATTTCTCCCCGCCTGTCATTTCCCTCGTTTCCTCTTGCTTCCCCTGCCCCACCCCACCCCGGCCTGCAGATCCGCGCCGCCAACCGCGGTGCCGCGCAGGTTCGCGAGGACCTGCGGGTGCGGCTGGGGCAGGAGGTCATACCCAAGCTGCAGGACTGGTGGGGGGACGCGCTGCGGCGCACGTCTGCTTCCTGGGAGCCGCCGGTGAGAAGGGGGAGCGAGAGAAGTAGGCTTGGAAGATGACCACGCAGGCAGTGCCTCACCCGATGCAAGTTAACCAAGCCGAAGTTACCATGCCCCAGCACATACCGGACCTCCCGTTCCCCCCTTCCCTTCCCTCCCCCCCTCCCCGCCCGCCAGAGCGACCAGCTCAGCGAGTGGCTGCGTGCCCGCGGGCTGGCTGCCTGGGCGGACGGAGTGAGCAGCCTGGCGGGCAGGCCGCCCCAGCCGGGACAGCAGCAGCAAGGAGGAGGGCAGCAGGATCAGCGGCTGCTGCCAGCCCGAGCGCAGTCTGCACAGCAGGGCGAGGGCGGGGGCGAGGGCGGGGGCGAGGAGGAGGTGGACGACAAGGATGGCAAGGGCAGCGCAGGGGAGGGCCAGGGTGAGGGCGGGGGCGGTGCTGCTGGGTTGCGGGGGGCGTTGTCGCAGGGCTGGAAGAAGCTGCTGGGGCCCACTTCGCAGCGGGGCAGGCAGCGGCCCCGGGGGTGATGTGTATTGCCGTCGTGACACGCGGGACGGGGATGTGGCTGAAAGCTGAGGGGTTCTCCTGCGGTGGGGGTCCGTGAGGGGCGTCCTGCCACAGCCGACACGTGCAGGAGCCGCTGCAGCAGCAGCAGCAGGGTTGTAAGGCCGCAGTAGCAGGGGGTTGTGAGGTGCGCCGGGTTGCGGTACACGGGTTTGCTGGATGGCGGCAGTAATGTGGACGAGGTGAGGAGGGAGGACGTAGGTAAGCCCTCGTTGACCTGAGTGCATGTGCTACGTATGTTTGCTTGGTGTTTCCCGGAGCCCGCATGTGAGGGGCGCCGTGAAACCAGGCAGTGGCTGCTTCCTGCGCAACCTCGAACATTGTAACGGAAGCGCAGCACGTGGCCCCTAAGCACCGGTACCGCGGATCGCCACACGAGGAGCACACGTAAGGCCCCTTATAGGCCCGGCTCTGGGGGAAACCAAGCAGGCCGCGAGGACTTTCATACACCTATGTAGAGGTGTGGCTGTGGCTATGTGGTGTCCGGCGCTAAATGAGGGGTACGACCTAGGGCCATCGGATGCCGACTTGCCGAGTCGCTGGTGCACCCCTGCCACTGCGCGGCCAACCGTTCACCAGCGTTCCTTAGCCTACTCGCGCAGTTGTCCCCCCACAGCTGGTACCGGTATCGCCCCGCGCTGCAGCTGGTAGGGTGCACACTTCCCCGCCTGGGAGGGCCGGCTGGCGAGGGCATCCGAGCTGTGTAAGCTAGCTTGATGGAGTACGGTAGTTGGAGATGCCTCAAAGAAAGCGCACAAAGAGCATCATGCCCGATGCCTTCGTACGGGTTACAACCCGTCGCCCTGGCAGCCCCTACAGTGCTCCTGAGGCCGCCACAAGCAGGCACCCAGACCCACCGCTACCGCCTCTCCACGGGCCCGGGCAGCCGTGCTTAACGGTACCGCAGCAGACCGGAACCGTCCCACAGCCCATCGCTGCCCCCAGCACACGTGCAAGACGTGTGGACGGCCGAGCCGCTGCCGCTGCTGTCCTGCTTGCCTCACCAGTCCACCACCCAGCCGCCTGTCACAGCTCCTACGAGGCAAACCGGTAGCGGCGCGCCACTGCATTGCCTCCATGCTGTTGCCGTGCAACCAGCAGCGGGACCGACCCGTTACCTCTCCCACCTGCTGCTGCTGCACCGAACACACACAGCAGCCCTCCACTGCCCACGCCCCCAGTGTGGCACTCAGCGCACCTCCCGCAGCAGCAGCTACCAGCGCCTCCCAGACGACTCCTTGCAGGAAGGTATGACACGCGCACATGTGTGGACAGCACGCCTCCTCTCCCTGGAGTTGCGCCGGACCACCAGCACCCTCGAGGCAGAGCACAAGGCCTCCCATCTGGTGACCGCCGCCTACAGACTTATCCGCCGTCCGACGAACCCGCGCTACCACTCCCCATCCCGCATGCACTACACAACCCGCTACTGCAGTTGCACCACACGAGCAAGCAACCAAACCAGCTCGCTCGCAAACACAAATTTCCGAGCAGCAAATCCTGCGACTAAGCAGCAGCAGAAATCACCCAGCAGCAGCCCAGCCGCTTCCGCAGCCACCGCCAGCCCCGCAGCGGCAGCATGGCCGCCCGCCCACACACGGCTCTCCCCCCTGTCAGAGCTCGTCCAGCATTCCCTGCAGCAGGCAGTGGCGGGGTGAGGGGCGGGGTCATGCCCTCTACCGTCTACCGCTGACGTCAACACAGAAAGGGAAGCTGCACGGCACACACGCGGCTCTCACTGACTCCGTCAGGCACACGAACCCTCCCCCGCGCCCCACAACCCCGCCCTTCTGTTGCCCGCAGTACCCCCTCCACCCCCGCCCTGCCCCGTCCTCACCTCATCGTCATCGTCCTCATAGTCGATGTCGTCCTCCTCGTCCTCCTCCTCCACCAGCTCCTCCTCCTCAGCAGCGCCCTCCGCATCCTGGGGAACAAGGGGTGGGGGGTGGGGGGGTGGGCAAGAGGCAAGGAGGAAGGGGCGGGAGAGCGGCAGGGGTCGTCAGACAGCAGGGGCAGCGGGCATCAGTAGGAGAGGCCCGGCGCATGATCAAGCAAGCCAACCCGCTCCACGCCCCGCTAGGGTTGCGCCCCGCACCTCACCCTTCATCGCCCTCCTGCCGCCCCCCGCACCTCACTCCTGCCCTACCCGTCCTGACCTTGCCCGCCCTCCCCCACTCCCGCTCGCACCCGCAGCCCGCACACCCTCCTCCACCGCCCTCCTGCCACCACCGCCCGACCCCGGCTCAGTGTATCATTTTCCCACTGCCCCTTACCCCTACTCCCCACCCCACACACAAGCCCCCCTCACATCAAAGTCCTCCTCGTCGTCCTCGCTGAGCACACCCGCCTCGTCGTCGCCCACCACCGCATCAGCGCCCTCAGCAGCCTGCAGAGGGGAGGAGAGGGGGGCGGGGTGGGAGGGTGGGAGGTTGCAATCACAGAGGGAGCAGCTATCAGGTGGGGAGCGAGTCGCAGCGAGCAGTTGCCCTGAACGAGATGCGGTCGTGAAGGATGGGGCGGTGGTGCGGGCGGCGGACTGGCTGCATGGCGGGGGTTGCTGTGGAGGTGGAGCCAGTCGCGACCGCAGCCGCACCCCGCCGTCCCCTCAGCTTGCAAGCCAACACCGCTAAGGCTGGCCTGCGCACTGGGGTCCTACGAGGGCCCCCCCCCCCGCCCTCCACCCGCTCCCCACCCCCACCTGCCGCAGGAACCATGCCTTGCCGCTGAGCCGCCGCGCCTTGTCGTCCTCCTTGAGCGCCTCCGCCGCCTTGGCGCGCGCGGCAGCCACCTCCGCGTCGTAGCGGGCCTGGCGGGGGGGAGGGGAGGGGGTTGGGTGGGACGAAGTGGGGAGGGGGTCGGTGAACTGAAGGCAGGGGGCGTGAGTGGGGTGATGCGGGGTGAGAGCGAGAGGGGTCGTCCCCAGGATAATGGGGGAGCCGGGGGCACGGCGATGGCAAGGGCAAGGGTGGGGGGCCCGCTCCCGCCTGGTAGGAGGGGGCCCGCGGAGGTAGCCCCCACCCCCCGCCTGTGGGATGCCAGCAGCTGGTGGGGAGCTGCAGCCAGCCCATGAGGCAGCAGCGCAGGCAGCCCACCCGCGTGCAGCTGCCCCCCTCCCCCTCCTTCCCGACCAGCTAAACAACGACCGCTAAGCCTTACCTCCCCCACTCAGGTTCATCTTCAGTTTGTGGCACCCTGCCGCACCCTAACCCCATTGCCTTGCCCTAGCTGGTGGTCTCCTATGGTTTGGTGCGGTCTCTCACCCCCCGCCACCTGCCGCACCTTCCACGCCGCAAAGGTCTCCAAAGTGACGGGAGTGCCGTGCGCTCGGGCCTCCGCGCGCTTCCGCTCCGCCGCCTCCTCAGCCTGGCAGGTGGCGGGATGGTAGGGGGTTGGGGGGGAGGGGGGAGGGGAACACATGAGGGAGGGATAAGTGCTCCATGCGCCGCCCGCTGCTCGGGTCGCCAAGGCGCTGCCCCAGACATTCCGACCAAGCCGCTGTGCCGCGCCCGCCCCACTTCCCTAATCGCCCAACTGCGCCTCGTGGCCGGGTCCCGCTGGCACTCCCATCCCCCCTTCCGCGGGAGTACCCTTCACCCCCGCTGTCTCGGCCTCTTAGCCACATTACGCCAGGCGCCCCCTGCTGCTGCCCTTGCCCCTACTGCCACCTCCGCCCGCTGCCCCTTCTGTCCCCGCTGCCGCCGCTTCCTCGCACCTTCCGTCGCTCCACCTCGGGGTCCGTCACCGGCCCGCTGTTCACCCGGCCTGAGGAAAGGAGGGGGGGAGGGGCAGGACAGGCCGGGGCGGGAGTAAGGAAAGTAGCACTCCAACGTTGTGAACAGTGGGACGGGACGGGGGAGGGGCAGGGTAAGCTCATGGTGGCTCGCTACTCGGGCCCAGTGCGGACGTAGCCTCCCAGCAACATGCTGGCGAGAGCCCCTCCGACCCGCCCGCTCTGCCCCCGCTCCCCACATGCCCTGCCCTGCCCATGCACATCTGAACTGCCGCAGCCCCCTCGCGCGGCAAGCTGTCCCCCCACTCCATGACGCCCACGCAGGCCCCCTCCCCACCACCACCCCCACCACCTCCGCCCCCTCCTGCAGGCCCCACCTTGCAGCCACTCCTTGGCCGCCCCCATGAGCGTGTAAATCATGGCCATGCCCAGGTTGGCCTGCACCTGCTCCTCCAGTACGGCAGTGGCCTCCGCCAGGTCGGAGTCGCTGAGGCCCGTCACGCTGCGCAGCTTCAGGCTGGGCGGCTCCTCGGGGTACTTGGGCGTGTGCGCGAACAGCAGCTCGGCCTTGAGCGGGTACTCGCCCGAGTCAGCGCCGTCCTCCTCGTCGGGCGCGATGACGATCTTGTAGGTCTTGCCCGCGGCAACCCAGCCGCTGGGCAGGTTGCCCTCGTACTCTATGAGGTCGTCCATCAGGATGGCCTGAAGCGCCTCCAGCTCCATGTCCTGCTCCCCCTGGTAGTCCATGATGGCTTGCTGCGGGTGGAGCGACGCGCCGTAGCTGGGGGAACTAAGCGGCGGCCGATCGGTAACGCAGGGTGCTGCGGAACCGCAGCCCGAAGCTTAGAGGCCTTGCAAGTGATTCAAATGGATACTAATCTATATTACAAGTGGTTATACAACAGGGTTAACGCGATCGCGTGCGCGCGGGAATAAATTGTTCGCTATACTGGTTCGCAGCCACGTAGTTTCAGGTAAGCTGAAGTTGCTCTTTACACTAGGATCAGCGTTGGCCCTAATTGGCCGTTAAGCGCGTTGGTGGTGACTGCTGCCGTTGATTGCGCCTACCGTACTTGCTTTACTGGGCCATCTCCATTGCGACCTTCAGCACATCTCATACATGATTACGTAGGCCGCAGCACAATGGGTAGAAAATTAAGACGTAGATCATTATAGCTGTACATCCGTAGCGACGTGGCCAAGCAAGCATGGCGCATGAGAAGCCAATACCGCGTTTAATAGCGAAGGTCGTTTGCAACGCGCATGCAATTTCCTTCACGCTCATCATTGCTGCCGTATTGGGTGTCTTTGCCCTACCACTGCTTGACCGGCCCATCCGCTTCGAGGAGAAGGGGCTTCTGCCTGGATTCGCGCATGCCACGATAAGGTATGTGTGATCCCGTTTCCTGTGACTATGAGTATAAAGTTACACAAATTCCCACAAGCAACAACTTAATAAACCAATTCACACAAGCTGCAACATCCTATCCTCCCCTCAACCCGTCCCCTTGCACAGCGACTCCTTCAACGCCCTCCTCCCAGACGCCCTCCGCATCGCCCGCTCCGCCGCCGCCCCCGCGGCCTTCCAGCGCCCCGGCGCCGCCGCCTCCCTCGCCTCCGCGCTCCGCCGCGCCGGCCTGCCCGCCACACAGCTCAGCCGCCCCACCGTCACCGCCCCCTCCGGCGCCACCCCCGGCTCTGCCCCCAGCCCCTGCCGCTGCGCCAACGTGCACACCGTGATCCCCTCCCGGCGCGGCGAGGGGCTGGAGGCGCTGGCGCTGGTGACTCCCGTGGCCTTCTCCCCGCAGCGAGCCGACCCCGCACTGGAGGGACGCAACCAGAGCGCCGGGGGTGCGGAGCTGGGGCTGCTGGTGGGGGCGGCACTAGCACTGCACCTGGCGGGCGGGGGGGCGGGGGAGGGAGGGGCGGGAGTAGGGGGAGGGAGGTGGCTGGCACGTGACGTGGTGTGGGTGGTGCCCGACCTGGCGTGTGGGGTGGAGCGGTGTCTGGCGGCCTGGGTGGCGCAGTACCACCAGGGGCAGCAGCAGGGGCGGCAGGGGGCGGCAGGGGACGGCAGGGGGGAGGAGGGGCAACCGCGGGGGCGGGAGAAGCCGCCCCCTGCGCTGCTGCGTGCGGGGGTGATCCAGCAGGCGGTGGTGCTGGAGGCGCTGGCGGGGGGCCCGGCCGGGGGAGGCAGCGGGCGGTACGACACTGCCGAGCTGCTGGTGGTGGGTCACGACGGGTTGCTACCCAAGCTGGATATGTACTGGCTGCTGAGGTACCTGCTGCACGGCCAGGTGGGGGTAGCCAGGGAGGGGAGGGGAGGGGGGCGGTTGGAGGTGGAAGGAGGGGGCATGCCGCATGCGCAAGCAGCTGCTGTGAAGCTGTACCCTTCGTACGGCACGCTGGCTGACGAAAGTCCTGGTGCGGATTGGTGTGGCGCTCCCGTTAGGTGGCTGACCCCCCTGGCTCCCTCTGACCGCCCCGCCCCGTGCACCCCCTCCCCCGCCCTCCCCCACCCGCTGCCGCAGCCCCTGGCGCTGTGGCGTGAGCAGCAGCTGCACTCCCCCGGGGCGACCGCACTGCTCCGCGCCATCACCCGCGCTGCGGAGCTGCTGGCGCCGCAACAGGTGGGACAGCAGGCCTGCTGCTGCATGCCATAGCCATATGCCGAACAGGAGCATGCCGAGGGTATGCGGCCTGTACCAGCCGTACTAACCGCAGCTGCAGCACCAGTCGCGTGCGCGTTGCAGTGTGCGCTGTGGCGAGACCGGAATGTAAGGGGTGAAGGGCCATGCACCCATGCGACACCACCGCTCCGCTGCATTGCCGCCTTCTTGACACGCACCCTGACCTCCTCCCCGAACCTCCCCCCAGACTGCCCGCAGCTACGCGGCCCGCCTGCTCACCGCGCTGCACTTCGCGGGGCTGCAGGCGGGCGGGCAGCCGGCGGGGGCGCACGCGGCGTTCAAGGACGTCATGGTGGATGCGGCGGGGGTGCGGCTGCTGCAGCGGGTGAGCGAGGGAGAGGGGTGAAGACAAAACAGCGAACTGACCGTGTGATAAGGCTTATGGACCCCAAGGGGCCGCCTGCTCCTCCTGACGCCTCCCTTCACCCCCTCTCCCTTCAGGCCCACGGCGCGCCCTCCTCCCCCGCCTCCGCCTCCCTGGAGTCCTCCGCGCTGTCGCTGGCCGCCAGCCTGGAGCTGGTGCTGCGCAGCCTGAACAACCTGGTGGAGCGGGTGCACCACTCGCCCTTCCTGTACCTGCTGACGGGGCGGGAGCGCTTCGTGAGTGTGGAGCGATACGTGGGGCCCGCCGTGGCGCTGGCGGCGGGGGTGCAGCTGCAGGTGGGTGGGTGGGTGGAGGGGTGGAGACTGCCGTGAGGCGTGAGGGCTATGAGGGAACGAAGCCACGAGGCAGGTTGGCTTGCGGTGGGCGGTGCGAGGGGGTACGCGCAGGTAGGGACGTTGGCAGGGCTGTCCTGACTCCCTTGCTGCCGACCAACCTGGTTCGGCGACCCGCAGGCTGCCTGGTCCATGGCTCGAGCGCAGCAGCTGCTGAGAGGCAGCCCCACTGCGGCCCCTCGCGTGTGGGCGCGTGCGGCCTCCCGAGCGGCGGCGCGACTGGCGCTGCTGGCGGCCGCCGCGGCAGCCCTGCGCTGCCTCGCAGCCTGCGGGCCCCTGCCCTCAACCCGCGTCTCCGGCGGGCAGCCCGGCTCCGGAGCCAATCCTAGCCCTACAGGGGCCGCCGCTGAGGTGGTGTTGGCTGCCGTACGGCGGGTGTTGGACTCCCGACTGGACACGGCGGAGGGGGCGGTGGTGGTGGCGGGGCTGCTGGTAGCGGTTGGGGGTGTGGCCGCGGTGGCAGCTAGGCTGGCGGGGCGCCTAGCTGCCGGAGCCTTAGGGAGCTGCGGCGAGGGCGCTGGCAGCGTGGCGGTGGGTGGTGGGGACGGGGCTGGCGCGCCGGAGGGTGAAGTCAAGGAGCGGGATACACGAACAAGCAAGCAGGAGAATGAGGACGAGAAGCACCAAGCAAGGGAAGAGCAGCTGCCACGGCCGTCCCGGCAGCACCCGTCCCCGGGTCGGGGTGTGCTGGGCCGTGCGGAGTGGCATGCGGAGCGCACCCTGGTGCTGACGGCCACCACGGCGGCCCTCACGGCGCTGGTGTGCCTCAACTGGGCGGCGGCGCTGGCGGCGGGAGCCTACCTGGCCCCGCTGGCGCTGGCGCAGGGCTGGGCGGCGGCGCGGCTGGGTAGGTTTCCGGCGGGGCAGTCGGTGGGGGAGCGCGGTGGTGGCAGCTTGGGAAGGCGCATGGCTGGCTTGCTGGGTAGGTTGGGGTGGGTCATGGCACGTGTGCTGGGGACATGCGCTTGGCTTGGGGCTTCGCCCATTGTGGTGTTGCTGGCAACTGTTGCTTTGATGTCGGGAGGGTCGCTGACGGGCAGCGTAGCGTACACCTTGTGCCGCATGTCGGCGACGAATTACTGGTTTGTACTGGTGGTAGCTGTGTCTTTCTGGCTGTTTGGCTTGGAGGGAGCTCTCGGAAAGCTTCGGCAATAAAAGCTTAGGCGGAAGGTAGTAAATCGCGTTGCAGTTGGTACTTTCTTGCGGAGGCATCACAGTTCCAGGCGCCGCACGGTCGCGGAGGAACTCAGGCACGATGGTGCAAAGCTATGCAACACCTAATCGTCGTCGCTGCACGCGCCAGCAAATAAGTATGTTCAGAGCAGCATTTAACGCTTCCTTTACCACGCCGCAATCGTCAGTCAAAGGCAACATGCCAACCGTAGACCTCCGTACTTGTGGTGCAAGTCACCTAATTTCCCTTCTAGGTACTTGTTGCGTTGTTCAAGTACAGTAATGGCGTATAGCAATAGTTTTGCTACAATTCATAGTGACACAATATACCATAACGCTGGTTGACTTTCTTAAGTTTTGCAAGGGCGACATCTGCCCACGTTTAGGAGCACTTGCAATATTGATTATAATACTTTATAACTACATAGGGTCAGTAGCTTTTATTCAACTGGCGATTAGGACCTTTAGCTCTCACAAACTTCTATGTAGGGGCATGCCGTGGCCTGGTGCTATTATTGAATTCCTCTGACTGCTATACGCGAAGGCTCGAGTTGGATAGGGTAAAAGCTACCGCTACTTGCAACCGTTTGAGCAAGACTGGGCTGCAGCAGCTCGTAAGTTTGTCTGCCAGCTAGCGGTCAGGAATGACATGGGCTCAGTTTAGATTCTAGCACGGTATTGGCGGCTTGTTGCCATAGCTGTTACCGTCGGGAGCAGCATGGTCAAAGCTACTTGGTAGCCTCTGGATAAGCACTGAAGACTCCTTTTCAGGGGATTGTAGAACGTTTCCAGAGTTCGCTTGCAGCTTGTGCATCAACCAGGGCACTGTTCAGTCGTCAAGTTGCTTACCATGGCCCTGTTGTTCTTACTCGACTCCGCGCAGCCAACCTACGTTGGAGCACACATTATTTAACTTTGGAACCTACTTACCACGCAAGCGGTTGCTCGGGAGCTGTCGCAGGCTGGAGTGGCATGTCAGCTGACATCTTGCAGCAACTCGCTGCGGCCACTGGGATGCAAGGTAAGGCAGCCCTATACGTATGCCGTATTATACATCTTTGCACATACAATGATTTAGGCTACACACCAAGCCTAACAACACTCCGCACCCCTTTGTATCCCATTCCGCAGACGGCCCTGGCAAGAAGAGCACCGGCGTCAAGGATGAACCGGCCCGCGTGCTACTTGTCACGACAGTGGACGTCGGCGGCGGGGCCAGCGAGCGCATAGAGGTGCGCGCGGGCGAGAACCCCGAGGACGTTGCTCGCGCCTTCTGCCAGCAGCACCACCTGCCGGACGCCATCATCGCCCCGCTGGCGGCGCACTTGGACGAGAACCTGCGCAAGGCGGCACTCAGCCGCATGGTAAGAGGGGTAGAGAAGCATGCGGGAGGAGCCCTGACCAGCTAAGGTCGGGAGAGCTGATGCTGGGAAAGAGCCATGCGTTGGAGGTCGGTCTTCATTAAGCACATCTTTCGTGCCCAAAGACAAAGCAATGGCGCCTTGCTGAGCTCAAGCTAGCTTGCGCTGCCAAAGCATTGAACAGGATCCTCCACTTTTCTTTTGTTCGTTCTCCCCTTACCCTACGGTTTCTCCCCTTGCTTCATCTGCCCCTTCGCCCATCAGCAGCAGGCAACCGCACAGCCTCAGGATGCACGCACACCGCAGTCAGGTCCGGACGCCACCGACCCTGCCGCCTCAGGAATGCTCGCACCACCCCAACATTCCAAATCGCCCCAACGACCCGGTCAAGTCGCAACAGCTCCTCCCTGTTCCGGCGGCGCCGCGCCTCCCAAACAACCGCAGTACAGCTTCGGCACGGGCATGGACGACCGGCTGTACGAGCAGCTATCGTCCAAGCTGCTGGACGAGTCGCAGGCGCCCTCGGCTCGCCGCGGTAACTGGGTGAGCGCCTCGGAGGTGCTCAGCGGTGCAGCAGGTCCGGGTGGCGGCGGCGGCAGCAATGGCGGGGCGGGCAGCGGCATGAACAGCAAGCGCAGCTCGGGGGGCGTCAGCAACTTTGGCGGGCAGCAAGGGGGATACGGCCGGCTTACTACCTCGGCGGCGCCCAGCCCAAGGTACGGCGACGCCAGGTAACCACTTTTGATGGACAGACGTGGGCGAGTTAAACAAAGAATAGCTATAATAGTATGGTCAGACATCTTCCTTACATGGGGCTGTCATTGTGTATCGGATAGCCAGCATATGCCTGCTCCCTACCGGTATGTGCCCTCTGCTTTCTCATCGTGTCGCCCGTGCCTTCTGCCGCCGTGGCGCCAGGAACAGGGACAGCGTGCACATGCGGCTGTACGCCACCGCGCAGGAGCGCGCGGCGCGGCAGGAGGAGCGGCGGCGCATGGCGAACGCGGAGCAGGTGGCGGCCATCGCAGCCAGCAGGTCGTCCATGTCGTGGATCAGCGCGGAGATGATGCGGGGCCGTGGAGCGGGCGGCGCATTTGACAACTATGGCGAGATGCTGTACGCGGAGGGGGTCGAGTCGCTCATGAACCGGCTCAAGAGGGTGAGAAAGAGGGGTCCGACATTGGGGGCTAATGCAAGATTGCTTTTGGTCCGCTGATCTCGCCGCCACATCCCCCGTTGAGCACCATCCTCGCCAGCATGCATGCATGCTGCATGGCGCCCCTACCGATAACCTCGACCGGCACCTCTCCCATTCCTGCCCAGGCCCAGCTGGAGCGCAAGCAGCGCGAGGATCAGGAGCTGGAGGGCGTCACCTTTGCGCCCGCCATCACCAAGAAGGCTTGGGAGCTGAAGCAGCGCGAGCGCACCAGCTGCAGCGGCTCCATGGACGGCATGTCGGCGGAGGACTACGAGAAGTGGCAGCGACTGCACCTGCGCGGCATGAGCAAGTGCACACAGGTTGGGGGTTTGGAGTAGTAGGGGAAAGGGAAACGGCCAAGAGGCCTGGCGTGGAGATCCTAGAGGAAAAGCGCGTTTGCAGCTTTCTGTGTGTCTTTCGCATGTATGTTGGATTCTCCAGCTGCTCTTCTGAGAAATCCTGTCTCATGTCCGCTTCAGTTTCCATGCTCCTTCACCGCATCATCCGCAGGAGCGACTAGAGCAGCTGCGGCAACAGCGCGAGGCTGCGGAGGTGGCCGAGTGCACCTTCCGGCCGCGTATCAATAAGAACAGCGAGTCGCTCATGACGGAGCGGGCAGAGACGCTTAAGGTGCGGGCGGGGTGCCAGGGGGGGAGCAGAGGGGAGGCACAAGCTGGTGGTAGCGAATGTGATGAGGACATTGGTATGGCTCCGGAGGTGGGAATAGGTGTGATCGCTGGTTGTTCGGCGTCCTTGGCGGTCCTGCTGAACCCCTATTCCCAAACCCCGCCTCTCCGTGCTGCAGTCCCAGAAGATGAGCTATCACGAGCAGCTCTTTGCTGACGCGCAGCGCCGCCAAAACAAGTAAGCTGGTGGGGGCTACATGCAAGCTAAAACCCGGTGATAACATATCAACATTGCACTTAATGTCCTGTCCGCTGTTCGTCCCTCACCCATGTAGGATGGAGGACCTTCAGCGCTGGTACCCGGATGGAGTCACATTCCAGCCGCAGGTGGGCCGTTGCTGACCTGGGGCAGCAGTGGTGCTTGGATGTGTGGAATTGTCTTACCTTCCTATCTTCCTTGCTGCTCCTTACTGCTCCAGTCTTGAAATTATCTTTCATCATCACCTCCTGGCTCCTTGTGCGCCCCCAGATCAACAAGGACCCTCGCTCCCAGGAGTACGTACGACGCAGCTGGGATCGCATGTCCAAGCAGGTGCAGCGGCATCAAGGGCAGGGCGGGCAGCAGCAGGGGCAGGGGCTCTCCTGCGGGGGCTCCGTAATGGCCTCCACCGCCTCCACCGGCAGCCCTCACGAGCAGCAGCAAGGCCGGCAGCAGCAACTGGTTGCGGCGGGAGGCGGGCCGGCGGGGAACGGGGCCGGGGCGCAGCAGCCGCAGATCTCTGTGGTGGACCGGCTGTATGCGGAGTGGGAGCGAAAGCAGGTGAGGCAGGCTGGGGGGGGCGATTGAGGGGGGTGGACGGACAAGGCGCCGGCAAATCCCGCTGCTGCACTTCCATAATAGTTGTGCATCGGCGAGGTCAGCTTCTCCGCTATCCAGCCCTGTCACCCACTGCTCACGCAACCCCGTCACCCCCATCATTTGTTGCACTCCAGGCCAAGCTTGAGGCGGCTCGGCAGGTGCTGCACGGCCCCATAGACCCCGTCACCAACAAGCCGCTCTTCCAGCCGGAGATATGCAGGGGCCCGCGCGGCAGTGTGGCGCACGCTCGCAGCAGCCGCGGCGGCCGCCACATCGGGGAGCACCTCTACCGCGCCGCGCAGGACCTGGCAGCCAAGCGCGCGGCAGCGGAGGAGGCGGAGCGCCGAGCTGCGGAGGAGGACGCGAGCCGCAGCCGCACCACGGGTGAGGCTGCAGCGCTGAGGCCCATGCACCCACAAGCTCCATAATAGCAATGGCCTAATCACTACGTTCATCTTTCCCCCTCTATTGCTCTGACCTCCTTACCTCGTGCGACCCTCGTGTCCCCCGCATCCTCTCCTTCCTCCTCCTCCTCCTCAGCGGTGAGCCAGCGCATGTTCACGGAGCTTAAGCTGAAGCGCTTCCGACAGATCTTCGAGTACCTGGACGAGGCGGGCAGCGGCTTCCTGGACCTGCTGGCGGCGCTGGGTCGGGCGCCCCCCTGCGAGGACCCCTCCCAGCCGCCCTGCCGCCACCCGCGAGTGGACAACCTTGACGGGGAGGTGCTGCTGGATGTGGAGGCGGCGGCGGACCTCTGGGCGCGGGCTAATGGGCTGCTGCTAAGGTGGGTGGGGATTGAAAGGAATGCCCTGCATGCCGTACTGCAATGCTCATCACATGGGCTCCTACTTGCCACAGTCGAAGCCGCCTGTAGAGCAGCACAAGGGTTTCCTCGTCCGACCCGCATCTTACTCCTTTCCCATGGCGTAACCGCTTCCGATTGTCCCCTATGCCCGCAGTCCCGAGGATCAGCGCCAGGCGTCCGGGCTCACCGGCGAGGGCTCCACCGCGGAGGCTGACTCGCCGCGCACCTACAGCGCTTCCACCTCCGGCCTCGGCCTCAGCCCCCGGCCCCGCTCGCAGCAGCCCGGCACCAGCGCCCCCGGCTATTCCTATGTCCTGTCCGAGCCCTGCCCGCCGCTTAACCTGGGCATGTTCACCAGCTGCATGGAGGAGGCGCTGCGGCAGCGGCGCGGCCCGCGAGCCTACCTGGTGCCCTCGCCGGCACCCAAGCAGGCCCCCGCGCACAGCTTCCGCCCCGCCATCAACCCCCGCTCCCGCGCGCTAGCCGCCAAGAGCCGCCCCGACAACGCTTCCACCTTTGAGCTGCTGCACCGCGTGGCAGCCAAGACGGCGGAGCGGCTGGAGGCGCTGCGACGGCAGAAGGAGGAGGCGGGCATGGAGGGCTGCACCTTCCAGCCGCAGCTTAACCCCAACCGCAACATCATTGCGGGGCGCAGTACGGTGGGACGCAGCGGCGGCATGGGCAGTCGCCACGGCTCGCTGAACACCTCGAGCTTTGCTGTGGCGGCAGCGGGGATTGCAGCAGCTGGCGTGGGCGGTGCTGCAGGGGCTGCAGCGGCGGCGGCGGCTCAGGCTGCGGCGGATGCGAAGCGTCGGGAGCTGCAGCAGCACCTTGCTGAGCTGCAGCTGGCGACCAACACGGCTGTGAGCAAGCAGGCGGAGCTGCTGCAGCACCGCGCAGAGAGCGGCGGGGGTGCGGAGGACAAGGAGGTCGACGGGGGTGATGAGGCGCTGGATGCTGAGCTGCACCAGTTCTCACTGCTGGAGCAGGAGCTGCGGGACATGCAGGTGGGGGGGGGAGGCGGGGGGGGGGGGGCGCTGGTGAGGAGCAAGGAGGGAGGATGTCGCGGACTGCCTGTTGTGAAACGTTTTCGTTTGCTTCGTATGGCTAAACATGTTGCGGCATGGCTAGAAACCAGGGAGCGCACTGATTCCGTTCCCCTTACTGCCCCCTGCAGGCGCTGACGCAGGTGGCAATCGATGATCATGACCGGCAGCAGCAGCTGCTGGCGGCGGCGGCAGCCCAAGCTCAGGCGCAAGCCCAACACCAGCAGGCGGTCCACCCCGGCAGTGGCGGTGTGCCACAAGGCGGGCTGCAGGAGCTGGCCATGTCGCTGGGGGTGGGGCCGGGAGCCGCTGCGGGAGCTAGCATCAATGGGAGGCTCTTCAGTGATCCATAAATGCCGCGACAATTCGGAGTGTGACAGTTTTGGTGTGTAGTTCTTTGGAGGGGTGGAGTTGGCTTGGAGGCTTGTTTGGGGCTTGCTACACGCTTGGACTTCAACAGCAGTTGCGGGTTATTTTGTTGCGGGAAACTGTTGGTTTCGCCCGAGAAAACGAAAGGCGCTTGCATCTGGCTTGCGGGGTTGCGTTCTAGGAAGGAGGCGCATCATTGGTGTGGTGTGGTTGGGCCTTGGTTGGCTGTGGTTTGTTAAGGACGAACTCTCGCATAAGAATCTAGTTACGTAACCAGTGGGAATGGGCTGGTCTGGACTGGACCGCGTCGACTCTGGAGTAGATGTATATGCACACTCTTGGACACCGGCGGTGCTTGGTTGCGTGCGCAGAGCGTGACTTGCCGCCGAGTCGGAAATTAGGGGGAGGGATGTTTGTGCTGCACATCTGTTGGACCCTTTGCGTGCGACTGGTGTGCAGAAGTGCATGAGAGACAACACCTTTGTAGCGGTGGTTGTCGTGTGGTGGTCACGTGGTGGTTTGGAAGCCATGATGGTGCTTCGATGGCTTCGGTCACGCACCGTAACTATAGTCGCCGTTGATTCCCGGCGAGCGAGTATGATTCGCGCCTACTGATGACAAACCACTAAGACATGCTACATGACAAACTCGTATTGACTGTTTCTTTGCTCGGTAAGCGGTTTGTGACGTAGGGTGCGTACCGCGCATCTATCTAATGACTGGTTGCGCCTGGCAGTTGCTTGGCTGTTGCCAATCCTGTGATCCCCACTATTATTGATTACTCTTAAAGCGGTTTCTAACCGTCAACGTGATTACTACATACTATGCGCTTGCATGTGACTCTTTTCCTTAAGCGTGAGAGCTGGCGAGGCCCCCATGTCGGGCCTCCTCACGTGATCTGGCTGGGATCTCACATTGCCTGTGATACGCCTAATGGGCCATGCGTACGATAGAACGCCCAGTGGCGCCTATTCTGACATTGAACACATGCGGATCTGGGCTGAGCGTGCCCTGCCAGCATGCACCAATAATGCGTTGGCCATGACTGACTGGAGGCACTTGCCCCCTAACATGTCCGCAACAGGACACATTATGATCGCCGTAGTTTGTAAGAAGCAACTTATAGATCCTTCTGGCGGCGCCCCACGCTGCTCAACCCGCTGCCATGAAGTCCATCACTGCGCACGTGCGACGAACAACTGCAGGCAACCGAATGCCACATACGAAATGTTTACAGCACACTCCCCCGATGATTATAACTTAGCGTCGCACTCCACGCACTCCACTCTCATGCGCAAAATGACACTCACTTCCTGTGGACATTCCAGACACCCGTTTATCAGTGCGAAGCAATGCACCACAGTCACTCCGCGTGCGCCCAGGCCAGCTGCTCAGCGCTACCGGGTTGGTGCCTGTGGCTGCGCCGGCGGGGGCACCATGCCTAGCGACATGGCCCGGTGGTCGTACGAAAACTGGCACACCACCTGCGGGGGCGCACCACGACCCGCGCCACCACCACCTGGCCGCGCTGCTGTCGCTGCGGCGGCGCTGGGGAAGAGCTCCAGCCGCCGCCCCAGCGCCTCTAGCGGCAGTCGGTCGCAGCGGAAGGAGGTGCGGTAGAGGTGCGGCAGTGGCGAGGGAGCCATTTGGAAGGGGGTCTCCTGCGGGGAGAGGGCGAGCAACCAGGTTTCGAAGCGAGCAGTGAGGTGCCCACGCAGCCCACCACATGTACCCACTACTGTAGCACGTTACCTGTCCGTGCACAGCATTAGGAGCCTGTCTCTCCCCGTCATCCTACTCCGCCTTACCTCGGACCTCAGTAGCCGCCTCCCGGACGCCAGCCGCTGCACCGAGCTTCCGTCCGCCCCGCCGCCCTCCTCCCACAGCTCGTCCAGCTGCACCACCGGCGCCACCGCCTGACCGGGCAGTGGAGCCACCTCCACCGCGTCGCCTAGCCGCACCACCTCGGCCTCCCCCGCCTCCGCCTGCTGCTCGCCCTGACCCTGCTGACGATGAGGAGAAGCAGCAGCGGCCGCGGTGGCAGGGCGGCGGAGGAAGCCTGCGAACTGGCACGGACCGCCGAAGGGGCTTTGCGGTGGCTGGGGCAGCGCTAGTAGCGGTGGCGTGCTGGAAGCCGCCCTCGCGAGGTTGGAGGGGCCGAGAGCGGCAGCAGCCGCTTCTGCTGCATCCTGCTCGGTTGTGAGCCAGCGAACAAAGCAGAATGACGTTGGCGAGGCTGGCGCCTGTTGAGGATGTGGGTGCCGTGCTGCTTGCTGCTGTTGCCGCTGCTGCTGTGGTAGTGGGGGCTGTTGGGGCAGTTCATGGACGGCGGAGGGGCTGGGCGCGCTGGCTGCGACTGCCCTCGAAGATCCAGCCGCTGCTTGTCCTGAGGGGACTCCGCCGGCCGGGACGGCCACGGCAGCCGCTGCCGCCGGTGCATGCGCGTCCTCCTCCCGTCCCGCCTCGGCGGCGGCACGCTCCATTCCGTCCTCAACTCCTCCCGTAGCACCCAGACCAGGTGGCCCTCCGCTGCGCCGGCACTGAACCTTGGCCCGCTGCTGCTGTTGCTGCGCTCCTCCTGCGGACCCAACTCGCTGACCCGCTTCGACGTCCGCCGCCGCGCCATGCCCCTGGCCCCCTCCTCCTCCCCTCTGCGCCTGCCCCTGACCTGCCGCTGCAGGCAGCCCCACTTGACCCGCTGCAGCTTCATCCGCCCCCTGGCCTCCCTGTCCCCCTCCCGCGGGTCCCCTCACCGGGGTCAGCTGCACCTGAGGCGGAGGCTCTGCATGCGCACGACCCGGCGTCTGGGCCTGGGGCTGGGCTTGGGCAGCTTGGGCGGCTGCCGCCACCTCGCCCCGGCGGCATGCAGGGGTGAAGCCGGGCGGCAGTGCGCCCCGCAGGATCACCGCCACCGCCCACTCCTTGTCCACGACGGGGATAGACAGTGACCGGACGGCCCGGCGGAGTGGCGGGTGGGCGGCCAGGACACGCTGCACAGCACCGCTGGTGGCGGCGGCGGCGGCCGCAGCAGCTGCAGCGGCACTGGGGGTAGCAGCAGCGCCGGCTTGCCGTTGTGGGGTGTTGCTAGCGTTGGCATGGTTGTTGGCGGCGGTGTTGGTAGTTGCCGCTGCTGCCTCGGAAGGGGAGGTGGCGTCCACGATGACTAGATCTACCGCCGCTTCCACCACCCGGTTGGTGGACTGCGCGATGGGGGGCGAAGGGAGGAGGGGGAAGCGGGTTTCGACGTGAACCGGGCACGGAGGGCAGTGTTTCCCCATCTTCGCAGTGTCATGCAGTGGCCGTTTCCGCTACAAGGGCTGTAACCCAGCCCACATGCTCCTTACATGACATCATCCCACACTCAGCCCGCTACCTGTCCCGTGTCGCTAGCTCCCAACCCGTATCGCCGCTCCCAGCGGGACCCCGTGTCGCCCCAGAACCCACCCCTGGCGCTGCAGGCACCTCCGCCTCCCACTGCTCCATGACCAGCGCCCCCGCCACCGCCAGCACGCGACCAAAGGTGGCGCGGAAGGCCGCCTCGCCCAGCAGGTAGACGCGCACACCTGCGGGGCGGCCGGCAGCAGGGCGCGTGAGAAACGGGATGGGCTGGGCTGCGGGTCGCTTGAATAGCATCTAAAGGATCAGCTTGGCTCTACAACGCAGGTAGGCACGATGCAAAGGGAATTGTTATTTACTGTACCACACAGTAGCTCCAACAGCAGCAAGGCACCGCAACCCACCCGCGAACACGCCCGCCTGCAGCAGCTGCGGTCGCGGCGCATGCAGCAGGTACTCGGCGGGCTTGTTGGCGGGGTTGAGGAAGCGCGCCGCGCCCACACTGTCCCGCAGCCAGCGGGCGGACAGCACCGGCACGCCGCGAGCCAGCGGACCCAGCAGCTTGCACGTGCGGCGGTCGGCGCAGTCCGCAATCACAATGTCAGGCAGCTGGCGGGCGCTGCAGGAGGGGGTGGCAGCGCCGCAACCGCCGCCGCCAGGGGACCCGCCGCCGCCGCCGCCACGGGAGGAGCCGCCGGGTCCGCCGCCTCCTGCAGCAGCTGCGGCACTGGGTTGCGGCAGGTCGTCCATGATAGTCCCGCCGTTGCGCTGAATGAGGTTGAGGACCTCCTTGCGAGAAACCGTACGAGCCGCTGCCTCGCCGTCTTCGTCGCCTGCGGCTGCCGCCGCCGCAGTCGCTGGCTGCTGACGTGCAAAGCCGGTGACGAGGAACGTGACGCCGCCAAACACGCCACAGCGCTGCCGCTTGCAGCGCTGCAGCAGCAGCTCCAGGGGCTGCTGGCTGCTGGGCCGCTTGCGCAGGCGTCCCTCGGGTGTCCCCGGGTCGCTGGAGCTGGGCTGGCTGAGAAGCGCCGCCGCCGCCACAGCGGCATGCACGGGCTGTCGCTGATTGTCGGGGGCAGCAGGTGGCGGCGAGGGCAACGGCAGCCGCCGGCGAGCCGTCGCAGGTGGCGGCGTTGTGCTGCCGCCGGCACCTGAGCGGCGTGAGGATCGCGCTCTCGCCGCTGGGGCCGCCGCACCAGCCGCAGCCTTGCCCCGGTTGCGAGGAGAGCGGCGCAAGGGGGGTCTGGGAGCCGGGCTGGCGGTCGGGCTGTCATTGTGGTCAGCTGCTTCTGCTGCCGTTGCCGCTGCTGCGGCTCCGTCGCGGCCTCGGGCAGAAGACCGGGCGCGAAGACGCGACGCGCCAGCCCCTCGTCGGCTTGCTGGCCGCGCCTCTTCCTCCTCCTCGGCGACTAATACCACGTCGTCGTCTTGATCTTCCTGCAGGGGCGCCTCGTCCTCCTCCTCTTCAGCCGCGGCGGCGGCAGTTGCAGGAGCGCCCAGACGACTCCTATCAGGCGCGGACGTGGGGAGGAGACCTGGATCATTTTCAGCTCATGTCGGCCCTCTTAAAAGCATTCGACACGTCCATGCATGGGCATGCTATGTATGGGCATAGCAAGGGCAACGCGGGACACCGCAGGGGGTTGCAGAGTGCCCAAGTGCGAGGGTGTCCTAATCGTCCAGCTTTACCTTTTCCCAAGCTGCGCGCCTGCACCTCCCTCCTGCTGCTCCTCCGCCTGCCGAGGGTGACCTTGCGCCTGCTGGACTTGCTGCTGCAGTTGCTGCTGTGGCTGTGGCGGCGGCGGTGTCTTCCGCCCCGGCGGCAGCGGCCGCTCTCTTGCGGCAGCACCGGTCGCAGCAGCGCCCGCCGACAGCTCCTGCATGCTGCGGAAGCGCTTACACGGGGCCGGACCGCCAGCCCTCATGCCTGCGCTGCCGCCCTCAGCGTCAGGGGAGTCATCCGCGCCCGAACCAGCGCTGCCGGTATTGCTGCTGCTACCGCCCTCGTTGCCGCTGTCACTGCCGGCGCCCTCTTCGCCACTGCCTCGCTCCCTGCCCCTGGCGCTGCTTGTTCGACGCCGCCTCCGCGCCCCCGCACCGCCGCTGCTGCTAGGTTGCGCGCCGCTAGTCCTCCGGCGCTTAAGGCCCGTCAGGGTAGCTCCGCCAGCTCCGGGGTCAACGGTCCCACCCGCCGCGGGTTGTCGTACAGATGAAGGCTTCTCCCCGCGTCCGCTGCCGCCGGCAGCACTGCCGCCAGCATCGTCAGGAGCGGTGGCTGCAGCCGCTCCTGCGGGTGTTGCAGCTGCTCCTGCAACGTTGGCTGGCAGGGACTGCTTGCGACTTACCCGCCGGCCCCACCGTATCCCAATGGGCCCAGCTCCGGGACTGGCGACGCCTCCGGTAGCAGCTGTGGCAGCGGCCCCCGTGGACGTGCCGGCAGCGGCTGCCCCTTGCCCTCGCTGCTGCTGTTGCCGCTGCGCCTGCGGGGTCACCTGCGGAGCTCCCTGCGTAGAGGCTCGGGCACCACCTACCGGGGCCCTCCTGTGGCCCGGGGCTCCACCCGAGGGCTGAGGAGTCACCTCCACAACATCCGACTCCGCCCCCTCCCCCTCCCCCTCCTGACCTCCACCGCCATCCTCACTGCTCGAGCTGTCGGCCTGAGTAAACACCACCCGCCGCCGGTGTACGACAGCGCCACCGCCGCCGCCAGTAGTGGGTGTGGTTGCAGCCGCCGCGGCAGTCACCGCAGCGGCGGCAGCGGCGGCCGTAGCCGGCATTATTGCGGCTGTAATAGCAGCTGTCCTGCGTAGGAGGGATGTGATACCTCCCGCCGCCGCTGCCGTCGTCGCAGGCGGAGCACTCGGTGGTTGCTGCTGCTGCTGCTGCTGCGGTTGCGGCTCCTGATGCGGGTGCTGCTGCCGGTTGAGGCGAGAGCTGCGCCTCGTTGGGGAACCGGAGCCGGGAGTGGCGCCGGCGCCGTGCTTGCCCGCTGCGGCTACAGGTCCGGCACTCGCCGCCGCCGCTAGCCCCGTAGGATCGCCGCTGGCGATAGCCGCTGGGGCATGCAAGCCGAAGCTGAAGGCCACGGAGGGTGAGGAGGGAGAGGCGGGTGGCGATCTATGCTCCTCATGTTGCTTCCCATGCGGCGCCGCCTGCTGTTCCGCCCCGCCCCCTCGCTGATGTGCACCCGCAATCCGCTCGTCCTCGCCATTCTCCCCGAGCCGGCAAATACGCAGCCACTCGGCGTCCGTCGCCGCCGGGGCCGTTGCCGCCGCCGCCGCAGCAGCAGATGTGCCACCAGGTCCCGCTGCCGCCGCCGCTGGCTGCCGAGCGAGTGCGGGCGCGGGGCCCTCCTTGCTCCCCCGCCAGCCCTCCGCATCCTCGATGAGGCTGTTAACTGCCAGTGTCGCCAGTGACAGGCTCTGCAGTGAGGGCATTCCCGCAGCCGCCGCCGCCTCGTCTGCGGACTGTTGCGAGGGCAACGAAGCAAAGTAGTAGGGGTCCGTGGGGTCAAGCACCTGCTGCGCGGCAGCCTCAGCCGCCGCAGCCTGCGGGCCACCACAGGCGGCAGCAGCGCGGGCTGGCGGGGTCTGCTTGGGTGCGGGCTGCTGGTGAAGGGGGTGCGGCTGTGTCCGCGCTGGCGGGGGCGGCGTGGCAGCGGCAGCGGCCATTTGGGGCCGCTGTACTATGGGACGAAGTCCAACGCCGCCGCCACCGCTCCCCGCCGCTGCTGCCGTTGGCACTTGCTGAGCGCTGCCGCTTGTGCCGCCGCCGCTGCCCGCAAGGCGAGCACCACCAGCGCCCAGCGCACCCGCTCCTGGCGTCTTGGCAGTTGTCGCCGCTGCCGCTGTTACACGTGGCGGCGTCACAACCATGACGCGAGCAGGCGCCGTCACTGCGGCTGCCCCCGTCGCCCGCTCCAGCGCCGCCAGCTGCAGCTGCTGGCGGCGGGTGGCCGCGAGCCGCTCCGCCCTGCGCTCCTGCGAGCTGAGCTTGCAGACGAGCGGGGCAACACCCGGCGGAGCTGCCCGGGCGCCGCGCACACCCGCGACGGCAGCCGCCGCCGGCACTCCCGCCCCACTGCCCCGAGGTGTGCGAGCCAGTGGCTTACGTACGCCGCCGCTGCCGCCGCCGCCGCCACCGCCACTTGCGGCGCTGTTGGTCTGGGCGGCTACTGCGGGAGACTGCGGTGATGGTGACGCGATGGTGGGACGTGGCCGCGGCGGTGGTGGAGGCATGTCGGTTTTTGCGCTTGCCTGCTGCGGGTGCTGCTGAAGGCTGCCGGCAGTGGCGTCAGTGGAGGCATCCGTCGACCCAGCAGAGCCGTGCTGCGGTGGCGGCGGCGGGTGCAGCTGGGGCCGCGGCTGGCCAAAGCTAAAGTTCGCGCCTGCCACACCGCGAGGCAACGTCTCGGGGTCGGTCTGCGTCTGCGTTTGGGCAGCGGCGGCGTACCAGGCCAGAGACCCCACCACGTAGCTGCTGCCCGGCTGCTGCTGCGAGGGCAGCGAGGACAGCGGCGGCGGCGGTGACAGCTGCGACGGAGCCGCTCCCGGCTGCTGCTGCAGCTGCTGGTTCCGCCGTCGCTCATCCCCAGGGAGGTGCGCATTGAGGGCCGTGTCCTGCTGCATTGCCGTACTGGCGGCTGCCGTACCGCCAACACCGCGCTCCCCTAGGGAGGCGGCGGCCGCTTCATCCTCAGCCACAGGAGAGCCCAGGGTGGCAGGCACGCAGGATGCGGGCCCCTCGTCACCCTCACCCTCGCCGTCGCCCTCTGCACCCAAGGAACCTAGCGTCAGACTTAGCGTCAAATCTGGGCCTCCCGTCTCCGCAGCCGCTCCCTCAGCCCTGAGCTCCATCTCGCCTGCTGCGGCAGCGGCTGCATCGCGGTCTTCATCTGCGTCTTCCCGGCCGGCTGCCTCCGCCGCCTCACTCTCCGGCAGCATGACCAAATCGACCACTTCCGGCCCTCCCGGCAAGTCTCCTGGCTGCTGCTGTTGCCCCAGCTGTTGCGCACCGCCGCCGCCACCACCTTGCACCCCCACCCCCTCCAACTGCACCCCCAGCTGGCTGCCCCCACCCCCACCGGCGCCACCGCTGCCACCCAGGCTGCCGTCAGCAAGCGCAACCGCGTGCTGTGAAGGCCCGGACGGACGTCTCTGTTGCTGCTGCGACTCCCCCGCCAGCTGCCGTACGGTGCAGGTGCTTCCCTCCTCCGAGCCATCCAGCCTGAACACGGGCGGCAGCGAGCCCACCGCCGCCCCCGCCGCCGCCACGTCAGCTGCAGGGGGCGCTCCAGCACCAGTGACAGGGGCTGCTGCCGTCACGGCAACGGCACCGCCCGAGGCGCCGCGCGCTCCGTTCCTCGGCTTGGTGGCGGAGGCGCCTGCCGCCGCGCCTGCGGCCGCTGCCGCCTCCAGAGCCACCCGGCGCTGCCGCTGCGGCGCGGAGGGCCCGGCAGCAACCGCGCGTGGCCCCCCCTGGCACTGCCGCTGTGCAGCAGCAGCAGCAGCGGTAGTTGCAGGCGGTGGAGGAGGGAGCTCCAGCGGAGGCGAGGCTGCCGACTCGGGTGCGGGCGGCAGCGCCACTGCGGTGGCCGGGTCGCTCCCGGCGTGCAGGAGGACCTCCTCGCCCGCCTCCGGACCGGACTCATGGGGCGCCACCCCACCATGGGGGCGAGGCTCCGCGTCCTCCGACTCAGGGAGGACAGCCGGTGTTGCAACCGCCCCGGGACCCTGTTCGCATTGCCGCAGCTGTTCGTGTTGTTGCTGCTCCTGCGCATCGCTGCCAGAAACCCGTCTAGCCGCTGCCGCTGCCCCCGCCGGGAGGCCCTCCCGGCGCTGCCCCACCCCCGCCCCGCTGCCTCCCCCGCCCGGCCCCGAGGTTGGCGAGCCCGGGTGCGAGGTGGCGAGGGAGCAGCCCACACAGCTGAGGCTGGGAGGCTGCGTCTCGTCGCTGTCGGCGGGCCGGGCTGCGGGCACTGCGGCTGCAGCAGCGGGGGCGGCTGCAGCGGCCTGGGCCTGGCGTTGCTTAGCCGGCGCAGCAGCAGGAGGGCTGACAAACATCTCGGTCTGCGGTTAGGTGGGCGCATGGCGGTGAGGCAAGCAGGTGTTACCTCCTCTGGGAAACCACCCCCAAAGCCTTCACCAGTGCAGCTTGCAGTGGGGGAGACCAACCCCACCATTTGCCCCCTAGCAACGCGACAGAAGCATGCGCATGAAGGAAGGCCCCACGCCAACCGCGTCATGCGTGCCCTCTGCGCTTCCCTCCACCTCTAGACCACCCCCAGCCGACTTCATCCCCTATTCCCGCACCCCTCCTCCTCCCCTCCTCACCAGCATCCACTCCTCATCCGGCCCAAAGTCCGACAGCTCCCCGTCGCTCTCCTCGCCCGCTCCAACGTCTGCTCCTCCCCCGCCAGCAGCAGCCTGCAGCCCTGCCGCCCGCTGCTGCTCCCGCTCCTCCTCCCCTCCCTGCTGCTGCTGCTGGTGGTGTGCGCGCATGAGGACCGCCTCCCACATGTTGAGCCGCTGCGAGCAGGGCAAGGCGGAGGAGGTGCGTGGGTGTATTGAACTATTGATAAAGGCCGTGTGAGCGAGCACACATGCAACTCTCTCGCAGCGGCGCGGCGCGGCTGAGGCCGTGCTACCCGGGCGGCTGGGAGGGGCGACATCGGGGGACACCCGCGAACAACACGGCCAACGCGCGCCTGTCTGCCTGCCTGGCCCACCATGGCCCACCCCGAGCCCCGGCCCTGAAGGCGTCCTCCCCTTCCCGAGTGGACAACCAATGCTGGGCATGGCCACCTAGAACCGGCCTGCCCACCAGATATAACAGTACCGGCACTACTCCTCTATCCCCATTGCTTTGCCCTAACCTGTGGTTTTGGTATACCTCTGACCCCCCCCCCGCCCCGCTCCTACTCACCCGCTGGTGCTCCCGGTCCATGTTGACGCCCCGCGTGCGCACCCCCGCCGCCGCCATGGCCGTCTTCAGCTCCTCCGTCACCACCACACTCGCCAGACCAAGCTCGGCGTCGCCCGACAGCAGGCCTGGCGGGGGAGGGAAGGGGAAGGAGGGGAGAGCAGGAAAAGAGAGGGGTTGGGATTGGAACGAGGAGGTACCCGCGGTGAGGACAACTCCATTCCGAGATGCCGCACAGGCTGCGTAACAGGTCAGGGGCTCAAACTCCCGTATCCAAGTAGCCACCCCCTGCCGCAACTGCCCGCCCGCCCACCCCTCACCTCGGTGCACCCTGGCCAGCTCCTGGTGCGCCCCCGACAGCCCGCCCCCGCCCCCTCCGCCCCCCAGCGCCAGGCTGCTGCTGTCGCTGCTGTCACCCCCGCCGCAGCTGACCAGCGTGCTGGTGGCCGCAGTGGTGCCGGTGGCAGTGGTGCCGGTCGCAGTCGCAGTCGCAGCAGCAGCAGCAACCCCTGGGTTGCCGCCGCCGCTGTGTGTCCCAGCGCCGCGGCGGCCCGTTCCCTCGGAGGCCCCTGCCCTCGCTGCCAGCGCCTCAGCGGGGGGCGGTACAGCTGCGACTTCCTCCGCTGCGCCGATGGTCGCGACAGCATCGACTGATTCCTCCTGATGCGCGTTGCGGACGCATGCTGCTGCGGCGCAGGGCGTGTGAACCCCTCCTTCGTCTCCAACCCCAGCCTCCACGGCAATGGCCCCGGTAGCGGTAGCGGCACCAGCGGGCCCTGCAGCTGCTGCGGCAGTAGCAGCCGCCTCCCCGGCCGGCTCCGGCCCCGGCTCTTCGGCAGTCGCGCCCACACCCGCGGACCCAGCCACATCCGCGCAGCGCCCGTCCCGCCCCGAGAGGGGGCAGGCGCCCGCGTGCGCCTGGTCCCTGCCCTCCACCACCACCGGCCCCGTCTCCTCCTCCTCCTCCGCAGCAGCAGCAGCTACCGCCGGAGGCTGCACATCCACCTCCATGGGGTCGCCCCCGCCCCCAGCACCCGCACAACCCTCCTCCACAACCGCCACCTCCCCCTCCGCTCCGGCGCCGCTGCTGCCGCGTGGCTCCCGCCGCTGCGCCTCCTCCCGCTGGGAGCCTCTCCTCCCCTCCGGCGCCCCGGGCCCCTGCTCCTCCGGCGCCTGCGCCCCCGAGCCCCGCGGTTCCCCCATGCGGCAGCCTTCCGAGCCCTCCTGATGTGTTGCATGACGACCCCGCTGCTCATGCCGCTGCTGAGACGGTCCGGGGCTACCACCGCCTTGCCCTTGTGAGGTTATCAGTTCACCAGCATTACCCACATCAGGCAGGTCTGACGCCCCCGCTGCTGCTCGAGCTTCTGGCTCCGGAGCTGCCCGGGCTGGAGGCGGCTGCCGCTGGGAAGGCTGCAGAGGGGCCTGCGGTGGCTGCTGCGAGACAGCTGCAGGTGGCCCCCCTGGGTCCAGCTCAGGTCCCAGCAGCAGCAGCGGCTCCGAGCCCGGCTTGGGTTGAGGCATGTCCGGAGAGGGCTGACGTGGTGGCGGTGGCTGCTGCTGCTCCTCGTGCTGCTCCGGGTCCTGCAACCCTAGCAGCGTGTTCTGAGACTGCGGCAGGGGTGGTGGCGGGTCGTCGAGTGCGAGCTGCAGGCTGGGGCAGGCGAGGGCCAGGGAGCCCAGCGGCGGGCTGCACAGCGGCACTGCACCCTGAGACCCGGGCGGCAGGGACAGCGCCAGCGCCAGGGAGGGAGGCGCCTCGACCTCGACCTCGACCTCGCTCTCGCCATCAGCCCCGACCTCACCCTCGATCTCGTCCTCAGTCTCAGCTCCCGCTGCAACCTCGGCCTCCACTGCCGCAACGGCGGCCCCAGCCACACCGCACACCAGGTCTTGTCGTACACCCAAGGCATCCATGTCCTGAGCGCCACCGCCGTCAGCGCCAGCAGCAGCCCCTTCCGTCCCGGGAAGGCTGGCCTCCGCAGCCGGGCTATCGGCCGCCAAGCTAGTCGCACCTCTGCCCTCGTCGGTTGACAACCGCGCGCCCTCACCGCCGCCGTCATCGCCGCCACCTCCCATGCCGCCCCCCCTGCCCTCAGCTTGTACATCTTGTGCAGCGGCGCTACCTGCCGCGGCAGTGGGCTCTATGGGGATAGTACTTGCCAGCGGCGCACTGCCCTCGTCCCCGACATCACCCGGCTCAGCCGCCTGGACTTCCGGCGGGCCGCCGGGGGCGGGTGCTGCCACCGCCGTCCCGTGTTGTTGATGCAGTTGCACCACCTCTTGCCCCACCTCCTCCTCTTGCTGTTGCTGCTGGTGCTGCGCCTCCTGCTGCTGCTGGTGCTGCTGCGTTCCCCGCGGCACCCCTGCGAGTACCTCTCGCTGCTCCCCCTGCTGCCCCCGCTGCGGCCCCCACTGCTGCATGACGTCCGGCTGCGGACCGCCCTCAGTGGTAGCGGTGGCGGCGGGAGCGGAGGTGGCAGCCCAGGGATCCAGCACCTGGGTGGCGGGGTAGGCCTCGGCAGCGGACCCCGCCTCCGCCAGCCCCACTGCAGCGCACTGCGGACAGACGGTGAAGCAACGCGGAAGGCAGCGTGAGAGGGGCGCAAGCAAGGTGACGACAGGATTTGGAGTGTCGAGAAAGGTGCCGCAGAGACAAATTTCCCTAAAGCTCGCTACTGTCCCAGCCCTTCATGTCGGTTAACATGTCAGTTAACAATACAGGCGGGATGCCGTGGAGGGGCTGTCGATACGCTCCGCAGCGCTTGGAATAGGCAATGCCAGGTAGCCATTGGCCTCACCTGTAGCCCAGACGTAGGGGTTGCCCAAAGCCTTGTGGCTGCTGCTGCGTCCATCCCGCGCCAAGGTTGTCCCTGGCCAGCGCCGTAGGGGGGCATCAGGGCCGCCGGTGGCTGCAATGTGGCCGTGGGCAGCACAGTTGCAACGGCGCCTCCAGCTCCTGGTGTAACTTCTCCGGTCCACACGGCTCCCGATCCTGTCATGCTGGTGCCTTACTGCAGTCTGGAGTGTGTGCTGCTCCTGCGCAACAAAGGAACGGCTGGGACAGCGGTTTAGGGAACCGAAACAACTAAGACAACGTCCGCGGGAGCAATGGCATATGCAAGCGCGCTTCTTACAGTTGCCGTAGAGTCTAATACCTTGTCGCTAGCTGGATTAGGCACGTAGCTCACACCCCACGGCCAGGTGAGTGGCAACCTTCGCGCCTAAATCGCAGGGCGAGTGGCCCAAAACCACATTGTAGCACGCCACAACAAACTTGCCTGCCCGGGCCCCCAAAACCAGCAGCTATACTCTCCTCTTTGCAGCCATGCCACTACTTCTGCTATGTAAGCTCGACCGATGCTGCATTAGCCCAACTGGCTTCGTTTACTGCTCTTCCCCAGGATATAACACAAAAGAGAAAGTCATACCGGAACGCACTAGCATTGTCTGTACATAGCTGTGCAAGTTTTGATCCTTGCAGAAAACATGGCAGGGCCCCTAGCTACAGTTATCCTTCAAAATGAAGCCAGCGCGTCTAGATTCAATAGAATGTCAAAAAATATAATATGTATCGTAAGCTGCTTCCATGCGGTTCGCCAACATTGCGTCGCGTTGTGCACGCCATGCGGCGCGTGCGGTGGCAGTACGAGATGCCCCGCATGTTTGGCTACCCAACATAGCTACGTTTGAGGCGTCAAATGTCGTTTTAACAATAATGTCTTTGAAATTTTAATCATATAGCTCACCTGTTAGCACACGCAACGCCAAAGGCACACCGGCCGCGGATGGTGGCGTCGCCAGATGCGACCACCATCCTTTCCCAGCGCACCCCTTGGCACTATCTCCTTCACAGGCGGCACGGAAACGGCATTACCGATGTGCACTACGTCACGCATGCACGCCAAACTCTTTGGACACAACATTGCATGCATGCTATAGTACGTCGGGAAAAAGTACAAGGATTGGGTGTGCGAATGGGAGAGTAGCTTGTATTTTGGGGTGAGGGGTCCTACAGCCCAGTTGTATGGAGGATGGGAGTTTCTGCTTGTCACCACAACCATGACCTGTTGACACCGCCAACCCAACATGCATGTAGACGGTTTGAATGGCTACCGGGCACTCAGGATCTAGGCAACTGGCCGGTAGTCAAGCTCATATGTGTATTGAAGGCACTGTTAGTCAACGCATGTAGTGAGGCGCAGCCCAGCCCGTTAACTGGGGGCTTATGCCATGGTATGGGACGGAACAGGTGCAACAATGTCGTATCACAGCATGTAGCTTGAAGGAACCAGGGGTTTTAAAGCCAATATCATTGCTTGTCATTATAAATGCTTTTGCGCCCACCGCAGTTGTACCGGACCAAGCCAATGCGTCTGTGTTTGTTAGCAATGAGAAGCAGCGCTGCACACGCAAGTCCCGAGTAGCAGCCGAAGCCGGTGCCGGTATTTATCTTTCCAACAATATTCAATTACATGAAGACCGCATGAAGGCCCACACTTCAATTAGAAGCTTTGCGACTGGCAATGCTTTTCCGCCTCAGGGTGAACACATGTGGGCATGGCGCGCATGCGGAACAGGCAGCTTACGGCTAAGCGACAATAAGTCCCAATTGAAAGCCTTCTTGGAGAACTACAATATTGTATCGTAGGAGCAATTTCGCGATAACCCGACAGCCCCACCAAGTCAAGTTACAGATACCGGGAATCGAGGGAGGATACGCATCGGAACTCTTATCATTACTAGGTATCTAACTGAAGAGCTACAACGCATACCTGTTGCATTGGCGCAACACTCATACTTCGGGATAGGTTCATATCGCATATACATCATTAAACGTTAATCCCCAAGGCCGCTCAGACACCTACTGGGTTACTCGTCAAATTTGGTCGCATCCTGGAAAGGTGAGAGAAGTCGTCAAACAGGTACGGTCCGTACCCAAGTGACGACAAATGACGACAAGGTATTGTTGAACTCACGTATGAGACCATCGTGACTGCAGCAGACCGAATGTATATGTATACTGTCGTGAGATGGCAAATTGTTAATTATACTTAAAGTGACCTGTCTTCTAGCCACGCTTCTACTGCGAGCCTTTTCCGTTAAGGTAGCCGCGCGCCTCGCCAGCTGAACGCTGTTGAGGCCCGCGCCCTTTTAGGTTGGTGCTAGGTTGCAAGCGCGAATGGCTCTTTCGGCACGTTCCTCTCCACTCCAGCGCAGCGGCAGCGGGCCCTTGCCGTCTGCGCCCGCCTTGCGCCTTACCCGACGGACGAGTGGCCAGCTTCCTCATCCACCTCTTAGCAGGGCCTGCTCTTGTCCCGCGGCGCCCGAGGATATTGGGGTGCCCAGCACAACCGGTGTCAGTTCTGTGGACCCTTTCTTAGCTGCTGGGCGTCGCCTTCAGACCCTACTATCGCGCGTCGGGTAGGCACTTATGAGCTTTGTTATTAGTGCTAGAGCCTGTGCCTTATATTTTGGGGAATGTTAGCGTTGGAGGTCCGTGTGGGCGTTTGCGCCTCTTGCTTGCCTGCATAATTAAAGTTGGGAAGGTATTTTAGCTATCTGTATAAAGTAGTACTACCTGTCGTGCCCACTTTTCCGCAGCGATGGCGAGGACGAAATGCTGGACTCGCTCGTGGAGCAGGAGTCTCCGGAGTCCAAGCTGCAGACCAGCGTCATTCTGGGCGGTTGCATGACCATGGGCGCTGTGCTGCTGTCTAGTTTCTTGGGTCAGGACCCCTGGGGCGGTGTCGCGCCATCGCTCGAGACGCTGCACGCAGCTGGCATTGGTGCGGCGGTGGCCCTGCCGCTGACTGCGCTGCGACTGTGGACCTGGACACCAGCGGCTGCGAAGGCTCTGCCTGCGCTGCAGGTAAGTTGTATAAATATAAGTAAACGATAATGAGCGTTCAAGTTGTGAGGCAAAAACAGCTACTAACCTGCTTCCCCCAGTCCCTTAATGTTCAGAACTTGGTACTAGGAGCATTCTTGCTCAAGCCGGTCTGGTGCTGTTCAGTCCGCTTCTTTCCTCCCTCTTTCCTGCTTCCTTCTTTCCCCGCAACTCCCCCCCTTCACACCACCTCGCGCCCCCTTCCCCCTTCAGGACGTGCACGCGGGCCAGCTAGAGGTGCACCGCCCCTGGCTGTCCTGCATGGGTCGCGGGCAGGTGCTGACCATGATGGCGCTGGAGGTGCTGCCGGCCACCATGCTGCTCTTCCCCGCGGGGCAGGCGGCCATCATGGCGGCGGTGGCCATGTACGGCCATGTGAGCTGGGGAGGGGTCACGGGAGGGGTCACGGAGTTGCTGGAACAGATGGTAGCGGCGGTAAGGGGACGTGTTGGTGGTGGTGGGGGGGCGCCTTCTTGGAATGTCTTGCTGCCCTGGCGGCCGCTCTTTCCCGCTCTCGCACCTCTTGGAGCGGGGGCTAACTCAACTCCCCACCACCTCATTCGCAGCCCTGCTGACCTCACCCCTCTCCTCCTCCCTTCCCCCACCTCGCAGCTGATCAGCGGCGCCGGCATGGAGTCCGGGTCTCAGGAGACCTACCTGACCGCCCTGGCGCTGGTGCTGACAGCGGCCGCCTCGGGGGTGGGGCGCTCGCTGGACCTCAGCGTCAGCGACGAGGAGTACGAGACGGTGCAGGCAGCGGCGCAGAACGCGGACAGGTGGGGGTGGAGGAGAGGGGCACAGGGGGGAGGGTTGGGGGCGCGGCTGCCTGGGAACGATGTGGGATTGTAGGAATTGGCGTGTCGTTGACCCGAGGGACCGAACAACTACCCCTTCCCTTGCGCTGCTCCACATGCCCGAAGCTGTACAGTATCCCTGCATCATTCCCGGGTACGCACCCCCAGCAAGCGACCTGCTCATTCAATGCCTCCCCCCCGTTCCCCCTCCCCTCTTCCCTCCCTCCCTCCCTCCCTCCTCCCCCCCAGGTACTACCGCACGGTGGCTGCCGACGTGCACACCAGCCCCGCGGACGCCTCCCGCGCCGCCGAGGCCTTCCGCTTCGTGGCGCAGGCCTGGCTGCAGACCCGCGGCGAGGCGTCGCTGCTGGCGGGGCTGCTGAGCGCGGTGGACGTGCTGCTGCTGGGGGCGCTGTGGCACGGCACCGGCAACCTGGCAGCCCCCGCGGTGGCGGCGCTGGCGCTGAACGCAGTGGACTACTGGCAGCTGCACAGCTCGGTGCTGGGGCGGGAGGCCAAGGTGGCGCAGGGGGGCAGCGGGGGAGGCGCGGGGGGTAAGTGAGGAAGGAGAGGAACTGGGGGGGGAGGAGAAAGTAGCCATGTGAGAAGTCAGGGTAGAGTGGGGGATGGCGAGGGAGGTGTTGCTGCTGGCGGGAGGAGGGAACGGAGGGGCAGGTGGCTGAGGAAGGAGGGAACCTAAGGCGAGGAGGTAGGCGGGTTGTGAGGTGTACATGGTTGTAATGGTTGTAGTGCAATATTTAAGGCGTTCCTAAAGAGGGGATGTTGCGTGGGAGAGAGTTGGTTGTCGTTGTTGCTTGGGAGAGATGGGAGGTGCATGGAGGGAGGCGCGAGGGTAGCGTGTGGGTCAGGATGTGGGCACGAGTTCAGGGCGTTCCCTGGCTTAACGTTCCTGTGGACAAGTTTGTCTGGGTGACGGTGTGGGCGCTTTGCCGTGTTGTGGGTGGACCGGTTTGAAGTACTGGGGCTGGGGCCGGTGAATGAGGTTCGGGCGGATGCACGGGGGCGCTGCGGGCGGGTGGCCGTGGGCCCTCGCGTCTGCCGCATCCAGCATGGTTGCACCCCTTGGCCCGGCCTAGCGTCGAAGTGATCCTGATGCTTGTGAGTCGGGAGAACCTGGATAAGGCCGTGTGGGCTGCGCGGCCGCTGCATGGAGAGCGTTGGCAGTCCTGTTGGTGTGTGTGGCATTTGTGCAGGTCTGCTGCTGCGCAGAAGCAGGGCACTTTAGGAGGGAAACGTGAGGGAGCAGTGCGGATTCGGGCGCATCTGGCATGCAGGGCGAGGGGGTGCGGAGAGGGTGGATGAGATGGATTGCGGTAATGGTGGGGGCGTGGCTGAATTGGACACAACACCGTGCGCCTCTCTTTCGCGGAGAATGTTGCGTGGGTGGCCCCCGGCACTCATCATCATGAGCTTGTCGTTACACGTTTTCCTGCTGTAGACACCGGTTTTGGATGGAACGTTTGAGATTTTGAGTTTTACAGATTTGCGAAAGAAGAGAGCGAAGGTGCATTCCCTGGAGGCCTGCGAGGAGAGGAGAGGGGACTGTGGCCCTGGCGCTGCGGGACGGAGGGAGACTGGGTGGACTCGTGCCGATCCCATTCCTATGAAAAGAGAAGAGACGTTTTTTATGCCGCTTTATCTTCCTAACTATGGCGGCTATCTTGCGAGACATATGACGCTACCGCGCACATTCCCTAACCTATACGGCATCACCTGTGCGCTGCGTGCTCGGAGGACGTGGCTCGCTGTTTGCCGGAGTGGACGCGGTGGGTTTGCGCGCTGCTTGGGATTACTTCCAAGTCGCCTCGTCACGGTGAATTCGCGGTTGTGGCGGAAGAGCGGACTTGCTCACATGTTAGGCTGCATGTCCTGGTCGCTACTGGCGCAGTAGCGCTAGAGGGGTATGGCGCTTGGCCCGGGCGGCACACGCCCTTGCGGCTGGCGCGGAGTGGGAGCGGAGGGGAACTTGGAGCGATCGAGCGATCGGCGGGTGTTGCATGCGCTGCGTTACACCGCGTCTTCTGCTTTTGTTGACGGCGGCGGTTGGAAGCGGCGGCAGGAGAGGTGGAGAATGGGTCTCCACATGAGGTCGCGCGGGTCTTGCCGGATCCATGCGAAAGCTGGTGGCGATGATGATGATGACGATGATGACATATTGTATGTCGAGCGCGAGTGCAAGTGCGCAATATGCAACATACATATAATATTTTGGCCAAGGTAATGGGTCGGGGGTCATTAGGGCCCTGCGTTGCAAAGGACGAGAACAGTATTGCCGACACACCCGTTGAGCTGCGCAATTCCTCATCATGCGCATATCGTTGTTATTCTGGCAGGCTTGCACGTATATACGGTTATCGACATGGACGAACCTTTATCATCATGAAGGCGGAAAATGCACCTTAAAAGTATTCTGGGCATAACTTGATTAGTAACATCTGGTTGGATGTTTGTTATCCTCCTTGTCGCTGTTGTTGTCGTCTGTCCGGTTCCGTCCTGTTTGTTTGTCGGTTGCACGGGTCTTTGTGCCTGTTGGTTTGTGTGTTGTTGGTACGCCGTGGATACGGTTTTGGTTTCAGTCGGCTAGTACCGAAGTATTAATATTTGAAGGATATATTGCCTGCCGTGGCGATCCTAAAGGGAAGTTGGCGGAGGTTTAGTAGGACGTTGGTCGCAGTTTGCATGCACGACGGCCGCATGCCAACCTGGGTCGTGGCTCTGGCGTTCCAGGTGCTACTTCGTCCGGTTATTGGGTCAACACATATGAGGGGTAAGCGGCTAAAGTAACAATGTGGACTGGCCCATTTTGGTCTTAACAGGCTTTTGCTGCTTCAGTTTGGCTGGACCTAAACTTGATTGATGGCTCTTTTCATTAATGTCATGAACACACTTTGACGTACGCAGTACGTATCGGTGTTGTCGTTGTTGCCACGAACTTTAGGCAAACGTCTTTCACAGTTGCCAGGTTGTTGTAAAGTACGTTGCTTCATCTGGCGATACCCAACCCGTTGGGTACGTTACAAAACAGGCTACAGGCGAACGGTAACAGAATCTGGTCAGGCAGCGATGCAAAACACGTAGGCTAAATCCCCGATGCAATTGAAGGATACGGCGAGAAGGAGTATCGTGTACTCCCCACCAGGAGCTCGTCGGCTTGTTTGCCAGCCGCATTCAAACACATCAGGTATTCTTCTTTCCCCCCACATGAAGTGGCAATCCACCTAATTGAACATGACTAGTAGGAATCCAGGTCCCTATCAGACGGGTATCGGGGATGTGTACTGCTGTTAGGATGCGGTATTTGCACGGAGGGGAGGAATGCTGTATTTGTATGTGAAGAGAGGAGACCAGGTTGTACGGATACCACCCAGCGCAGAGGTGTTAGAGCGTAAACTTTGATGTGGCACTTGACACCGCTAATATCTTTGATTACGACTTGCAAACGTGCAGCCCTTAAAAGCTTGGTTTTAATCCTAGATGTCCCGCGCTAATGTCGCGCACAAAAGACACAATTGTTATCGCAGCTGAGGCAGCCGCAGAGGTCACCTCTGAAGCACATATTGGACGGGGTGCTGTGCTTACTGCTTCAGACGGGTATTCTGGGTTCGTCGTTTCAGATGGCGGCACGACCCTAGCATACGTGGAAAATACAGCCGATCTTAATGTCCAGAACGGTGTTCAATTTCAGAGTTTGTTGAGTTTTGGCATTTCGCGACCCGGTGCCGGCGCTGCGAATGTGCCTGTGTCATTCATCTGCGCAAAACCACTCTTGTCGCACGACGACACCTTGCTGACAGCCGTGGCAGATGGATGCGCGCTCTACCTTATTAGGTTAAGCAACCGGCCATCAGCAGTTGCGGCCCAGGTATACGGCACCCTATCGTCCCCGGCGGAACAATGGAGATGGCTTGGTGCAAGTTGGCTTGAGCAAGAGGAAGGAGGACTACTGGCTGCAATATGTCAGGTACGTAGGCACAACTGTTCCTTCACTGATTTGCTGGGGCTGCGGCGTGTTTCGCAGGACTTCTGCTGCTTAAGCTTATGCTTCCGCGTGTAGATAAACTCTCGCACTCCCTAATCGCCCCTGCGGTTGTTCCCGTTCCCCCAACAGACTGAAGTTCGTGTGGCTCTGTGCAACGCACCAGACGAACCCTGCCCTGACATCCTGGACGGCAGCAGACTCTCCACAGCCGCTTCCACCAGCGGACAGACCTCCAGCGGCGCGGCAGCAGTAGCGCCTCCACCACCACCTGATCCTCGCCAGGCAGCGGTGCTGACCTTAGCCCGCCTGGCGCCCCCTGCGCGGCCAGGCGCAGCAGGTAGCTCAGGGACCACACCTTGCCGCTCCTCCCAGTGCCACGTGGCGTGGGTCAGGGGAGCAGCCCCCAAGGCGGGGCCTGGCGCCAGCCGTACACTGCTCGTGGGTTGGGGAGCGGACCTGGAGCTCGTCACCTGGCAGGCGGCGGCGCTTAGGGCCGCGGCGGCAGCAGCAGCAGCAGCCAACACTGGCAGCAGCAGTAGCGGCGGCTGTGGCGGCGAGCAGCTTGCGGCGCCCTCCAGTCGCCGTACACTGCTGCTGGGGGTGCCGGGGCCGCTGAGTGCGGTGGCGGCGGGGCCGTACGACAGCCTCCTCGCCACCACTGACGCAGCCCTGGCGCTGTCGCTGACGCAGCCGCCTCCGGGCGGTCATGCGGAGGGTGGCGACGGGGGCTCAGGAGCTGCAGACGGCGGCGCTGATGAGCCGGGGCGCTTGCAGTCGCAACCTGAAGTGGTGGACCTTCGGGGCCGCATGGCGGGGGCCCCGCCAGATGCGCTCATGCTGGGAGGCTGCGGTGCTGATGGCGGGGGCAGCTCGCCCTCCCTGGCTGGACTCCTCAACATCAGCGGAGGGGCGGGGCTGCAGGGAGAAGGCCTGCCCGCACCGCTGAACGCGGGTGCCAGCAGCAGCAAGGCGCCCGGGCCCTCTGCAGCCGCAGCCACCGGAGCTGCGGTGCCTAGTCGGTTCCTGCTGGGCGATGCAGCTGCAGCCGCTCCCCCCGCAGCGCTGTGCGTCGTGTGGCCTGGCCGCCTGGCCTCGGACCTTCCCCCGGCCACCACACCCTCCTCCTGCCCGTCCTCCTCCTCCGGGCTTCCTCCCTACCGCGCCCCGCGCAACCCCCTTGGCGGCTTTTGCAGTCTGCTGCCGCTGTCGCTGCCGCGCCCCGACCTGCTGGCCTGCCGCGGGTCGCTGGTGCTGGCGGCCAGCAGCCTGGGCCCCCCCGCAGTGGCCGCCTGCTGCCTGGAGCCGGGGCGGGGGCTGGTGCATCTGGCGGTCATCACCCCCTCGCTGCCCGGGCTGCTCGACCCCGCCCGCAGCCGCCTGAGGGGCGTCACGGCGGTGGTGGTACCCGCGGGGGCGGGGGCGGGGGCGGGGGCGGGGGGGCACCGCCGCTGCAACACAGCGGAGGACGAGGGAATGGCTGGAAGGCGGCCAGGGGGGGTGGTAGGGCCGCAGGTGGCTGCGTCCTTGGTGGTGGTGGTGGGTGAGGTAGGGGCGGCGGCGGCGGCGGGCGGGGCGGTGGTGGGGTTCAGTCGCTCGGGGCAGCAGTCTGGCGGGGGGGTGCGGATGGCGCCCCTGGTGGTGTCGGCGCACCCGCTGCCGCCGCTGCTGGCGCGGCATGCAGGGAACACCACTGCCGCATGCCCTAGCGTGGCCTCTGAGGAGGAGGGAGGGGGGAGACGGCAGGGTACCGCGGGCGCTGCGGGGGGACAGCTGGGAGTCCAGTCAGCCGCTTCGTGTGCCAGGACAGCGTCCGCAGGAGGACCAGGAGTGGCGGTGACAGCCGAGGTCCCGCATGCGGGGAATGCTGCATCCGGGCTGTCATCGGCCGGCCCCGCTGCCCAGGCTGCCTGTTCCTCATCCTCTGCAGTCCCCACTGCCCCCGCCGCCGCTGCCCCCGCCGCTGCCGCTCCTGACGCGGTGGCTGCTGCGGTGGTGGCGCAGCTGTCTGAGCTGCTGGGGGGGCTGCGGAGCCACGTGGACAGGCGGCTGGACCAGCTGGCAGGGGAGATGCAGGTGGGCTGGGGGCCGGCGTGGGGCGGGGTGGTGGTGGCAGGATGGTGAGCCGGGGGCGGCTGAGAGGCTAGGAAGGAACTTGTAGGTCGGAGGTGGGTGAGGGCTTCATGGTGATTGCAGCCTCGAGCTGTGCTCTTAGCAAAATGTGCACTTTGCCATGTCATGCTGTCTAACCCCGCCCTTCCTAGGTATCATGCTTGAATTTCTGTTTATCCCCTGCAATCACTCAGGCCTGAACCTTCCGATCCCGCCCTCCCACCTCCCTGCAGGCGCACGCCTCCCGCCTCGGCCGCCTGGAGGCCGCCCTGGCGCCGCAACCGCAGCAGCAGCAGCCGCAACAGCAGTAGCGACAGTCGATGCATGCTGCAGGGAGGGGAGCCGCTGTTTCAGGGGTCGCTAGGCAGCGTGATGGTGCCGGCAGCTACAAAGCAAGCAGTAGGGGAAACAAGTGGGGCTACACGAATAGGGCTTGAAGATGCCGTAGGGTAGGAATGCCATGAGAGGAACACATTAGGCTGCGTTACAGCGCTTTTTCGCATGATGAAGAAGTCCACAAGGTGTGTTTACTGCTTGGTTTGTTGTGATGTAGCGAAGACAAGGTGACATCTTGCACTTATGCACGTTTGTTGCGCACTTCGGAGATCTAAGCTGCTTACCCTCCTTATTGAATTCGATGCAAGCTGGGAACGCGAGAATGGTTGTTGGGGACGGACGGTAGTGAACATAAGGCGGATATATTGGGGGTGCTTGTAAAGGCACACGTTCTGGGTTTGCACCCCGGTAGCCTGTAAGTATATTTGCCCTCAATGGCTTTGTAGAGGTGTTTGCGAATATAGCTACAGCACGATGTCTGGAATAGCTGACCACCATCCGCATGATGCCTGGGATGCAACATGCGCTCAGATGTAACGTGTCCTGTACGACGTTACTGTAAAGCGCAAGCCAACGAAGGCCTGAAGACAACCCTTTACCCCTAAGCGGTGGTACTGCACTATCCTTACAGCTCACACACGCCTTGTAGCTCTCACACACCTTACTAAGAGCCTAGAAGCAAGGTGGAAATGGCGGAAGCTCCAAAGTTTAACCTTCGCAATCCCGCTGTGAAGCGTATTATGCAGGTTAGCCTCATAGGAACGTAGGCATTCCGAAGGCTTTCCGGTGTTTGGGTACACAACTTACGGTTGGGACGTTTCTATAATGTTGCGCACGGCTGCAGGAGATAAAGGAAATAAAGCAGGACACATCCGGCGATATACTAGCAGAGGCTCTCGAGGTGGGGGTCGGACGATTTCAAGTTACAAGCCCTCTGGGATGAAACTTCTAACGTGTCCCCTGCCAACTAGCCTGCTTCGCCATAGTATCTACGCCGGACGGCACCGTGCTCCTGTTGGGCTCCTGTTTCTATATTACTTCCATACAAAGTTGTGCACCTGTCCTCTCGCTGTTGTGTAGACGGACATTTTCGAGTGGCATTTCGTGATACGTGGGCCCCGGGACACCGAGTTTGAGGTAAGCCTGACAATCGAATACCACACGATCTGGGCTCTAGCGGTGTAATTGTGTCACTCTTTTTCACCCTCAATGTGTCAATACATGTGTGATGTCTTGAGCTTCCCCAGGAGAGTCCGAATCCCCTAGCTTTACGCACGGGTCTCTCGACGTTTGGTCGTCCTGAACAGTAGAACGCACTCATGTTTTGCCGGTTGTCACAGTCGTCGCGGCTGCTCCCTTATATCCCATGCCTCCCTCGCTGCTATCGTCGCTACTACACTGGCTACCAGACAATGCCTCAAGCCTCGGTAGCTCCTTTCCCCAATATTCACGCTTTCTCCAAACAGTCGATGACTAACTTACCGGTACTGCCTCGGGTGTGTCCCATAGCCGCTTCACTTCCTTAGCCCCCGCTCTCTCGTATGTTGGACAAGCTCTTGTCGCAATCCCCCTTACCTTCTCGGTTTCAACAACCCAGCTCCGCCTCCACCACCCTGGCACCACCACCCCTCCAGGGCGGCATCTACCATGGCCGCATCCTGCTGCCCGCCGACTACCCCTTCAAGCCGCCCTCTTTTATGATGCTCACCCCCAACGGCCGCTTCGAGACCAACGTCAAGATCTGCCTCTCCATCTCCTCGCACCACCCGGAGCACTGGCAGCCCTCCTGGAGTGTGCGCACCGCCCTCACCGCGCTCATCGCCTTCATGCCCAGTCCGGGAGCGGGCGCGCTAGGAGCGCTGGTGAGGCTGGCGCGCTGGCGGGCAGGGAGTACCAGGCTGTTGGGCTGTCCGGGTCAGGTTGCTTGCGTTGGGCGTTGTTGGCTGTGTTGCCGTGTTACGAGGACTGCCTTTCCAAAGCTGATGTTCATTCGTTTTCTTTTGCACTGCGCCCTCCCCCGGCACCCAATTCCCCGCTCCAGGATTTCCCCAAGGAGGAGCGCCGCCTGCTGGCCGCCCGCAGCCGCGCCGAGGTGCCCCGCTTCGGCAGTGCGGAGCGGCAGCGGGTCATCGATGACATGCACGCGCGCATGCTGGCCATGCCAGGCAGCGCAGCGGCGGCGCAGCAGGCAGCAGTGATTGCCCCTACGCCGGCAGCAGCAGCGGCGGAGAAGGCGCCGGCTGGGGCGGGTGGCGAGCTGGCCGGGAGTCAGCAGCCGCAGCAACCGGCGCCAGCAGCTGAGGGGGATGCGTCAGGAAGCGCTGGGCAACGGGCGGGTGGTGTTGAAGCCAGCGGCGCAGGCTCATTTGCAGCAGGCGTGCCGGCTTTACAGCCGGCGGGAGCAGCGGCCACTGGCGCAGCGGAGGCGGCCGGAGCGGTGTCATCTCCGGCTGCGCACCAGCCTTGCGCCCCGTCCAAGGAGCCCACCTCGTCACAAGCCAACGCATCCACATCAGCACCCCAGCCGCACGCGCCCTGCTGCCCGCCTTCCTCCTCGTCCTCCTCACCTGCCCTAGCCGCATCAACAGCCCCTGCCGCCCCCGCTGCGGCTGCACGGCTCTGCACGGATCACAGCCACAATCACAGCCCAGCAGCTGCCTCTGCCATCCGCCGACCGCAGCCCCCCTCCACACCAGCCCACACGACCACCACCACACGCCCCACCACCGCCTCTGCCGTACATGCCCCCGGCGGCACTGCTGCTGCTGCTGCTCGTGCTGCTACCGGCGGCGGCGGGCTGACCAGCACGGACCACATGCTGACGGCGCTGATGTGGGCGCTGTACGTGGGCATCGGAGCCATCCTGCTGCGCAAGGTGATGGGCGCCATGGGGGTGGACCTGGCGGAGCTCATGAGGCAGTAGGGGGAGGGCCGGCAGCGAAGGGATAACCAACTACCGGTGGTTTGCCGAGGCTCCGTGGTAGTTTCATCATGGACAGGCGGCAGAGGGCTGAGTATGGGAGATGGGTACCGGTAAAAATAAGGTTACTGACGAACTGGCTGACGAGGCTAAACCATGGGTTGTTGATTGTACCCGGCCCATCCCGCGGGCGCTGCCCTGGTAACCTGCCAGGGTGGTCCCGTGGGTGGTGGAGGGGGGCGGGGAAAGGATACGGCGCTGCAGCTAAGGTGTGATGCTGGTGGGCGGCAGGTTCCCGTGATGTCAGGGGCTTTGTCAGGAGTGGGGATGTGCGTTTGGCAGGCCGTATGAGCCGCAGGTTGAAATGCCCAATCCATTCAGCATGAAGAGGATGATGTAAGATATGTGCGAAGCATGCCGAGCTGCGGTTGCGGGAGTCTGAGTTAGAGCTGTGTACCGGTAATTCTGTACTGTTCCAAGTCATTGATGTGTTGGTGCTCTTAGCTTTTGGGAAACCTGCGCAGGCGTGTAACGCCCTAACATGTGTCATGAAGTATAACAGGTGCGTAAGGTCGCTGCGGCTGGGTGAGTGGTTGCTGTGGTTTGGTGCAGCCTGCACCTCAGGTGCACTTGAGCACTAGGCAACGCTTTGTTTATGTAATCCGGTGGCGTAAAGCTCTTACCAAGGCAAGACGCCTATACATGCGCATTAGTAGTCTAGTTGGGCGCGGAGGCACAGGGACAGGGCCTACAACGTGGAGGAGAGGAGTCTTGCTTTGCCTTTGCGCTGATGGATAGTGTGGTGTACCATAGCAGGTAATGCCTGTATGCGATAGTGGTGCAGGTGCGGACCCCAACTGTGATGTTGTGAGCGCTGCAAAACCAGTCTTGTACGACTTCGGGTTGGCTGCGGTAGTAAAACGGATATGCGATTTTGTGTGTTATGTGTCCATTCCGAGAGTGCTTGAGAAGTGAGTTGAGTAACGGCTGATCTGCAAAGAGTGATGCGGTCGCTCTTGCACATGCAAGGAGGGCAGAGCTAGCCGCCGAACACGCAGGTAGTGGTCTCGGATACGACAACCACGCACGGACCCACGTCGGCAGATGAGATGAGGAAGGCACCTAACGACGCTGATGGGATTGTAGGCTTCTCTTATGTACCGGTATCTTATATGCCCCAAAGAGGTGCATCGCCACCCACAACTGCTTGAGAATCAGAATGATCAGGATCGGGCCCTTGTCCGTTGTTGCCGTGCGTGCGGCCATGCAATGAGTCATGTCGCGCAATCTATAGAAAGCCAGCGAAGTTTACTTGTGGTGCAAAGGGAGTAACCATTCAGTGCTTTTAGTCCTTTTTATTGCAAATTCCACACAATGAGCAAGCAACTTTCTGCGCCCCTGACCTGCCTGACTGCGGGCGGTCTTGGAGTTGCGTACGCAGCGCTCCAGCTTCGTGTAGGCCTTCATCGCTTAAAGAATGGTATTAGCCTCGGGACGGCCGCTGAGGGAAAGGCCGAGGACAAGGTGCTCCTCGCTAAGATGCGCGCTGGAGGCAACATGCAGGTGCGCACAAAGTGGCTGCCATGCGTGAGCGCGATCTGGCCGCTTCCATTTCTTCAGTCAAGTGTTGATGGCGGAATGCACTTGACCTTTAGCTATGTCACATGTCAGTCAGCCGTCCGTCATCACATCTGCCGCGCATCTTAAGCATGTATATATTAGAGGCTCTGAAATATATTATTCTGCCGCGGGTCAAGGATTGCGATGTTCTGGAGCTCGTGCGGCGCAACATACATGTTTATTTGGGGTGCTCTTGCTCCCACGCATCGTATTCCCGACCTAAGTTCCTGTAGATGAATTGGTACTGAATAGTTGGTACTGATATGTAGAGCAGACTTTAACAGCCTCGCTTGGGACCCGTGCAACAGTTGGTGTTGGTGTTACTTTACCCTTTTTTCCCTTTCCACGCCGCCATCTTCCTCATTTCCAATCCCTCCGCCTTCTCCTCACCACCTCCCCTCCTCCCTCCCCTGCTCAGGAGTACGTGCCCACCGGTCTGCTGCTGATGCTGCTGCTGGAGACCGCAAGCCCGCTGCCCGCCCGCCTGGTGGCGCTGTACGGCGCCGCGCTGGCCGCCTCCCGCCTGGCAGTGGCCTACGCGCTCAGCCGCTCCGCCGACCCCTCCTTCAACCCAGTGCCGGCCCGCAAGTACGGCTTCCTCACCACCCTGGGTTGCCTGGTGGCGGGGGGAGCGTACCTGGCGGTGCAGGGGGCCAAGGCGCTGCGCAAGTAGGGGGGCAGGCCGCGGGGGCAGAGGAGGGGGGTGGAGGAGTGCTGAGCGGGTGGGGTTTGCGGCGCGTGGGGTGGCGTGTTGGTATGCACGCTACGTGTGATAAGGGTTCCGGACGGGTGGTGCGATGCCCACAACGGTAAGCGCGCGAAGATGGGAATGACGTTTTGAGGAGCCACAAAGAGGCAAGCTGAGCACAGTTGGCTGAGTAAAGAGAGAAGCAGCTTGAGGGCCGGTGAAGAGGAAATAACTGACCGTGTGGGTTGGTGCGAGGACATGCGGCTGCCTCTAGGCGTGCATGTGGTGCGCTGGGATGATTGCCGCACCAACTGCTGCTCCCAGCCGTAGCTTGTCTGGCCTAGTAAAGAAAAAGCGTGCACAGCCGTATCTATATAACTCATGACCGCTACTGATGATCGGGACAGCCAGGTGTAGATAATAGCGGCTCTGGTGCCCGGGTGGCGCTTGCCTGCTCTGGGGCGCCTCAGATGTGCATACCGGTAGCAGCCGATGCCGGCGGGTGTTTTAACTTGAAGTGTGCATGCAACACACTTCAGCAGGAGGAATTGTACGATGAAGGGGGCTCTAAAGAGCACCTGCTGTGTCGCCGTGTGCGGGGGCTGCCGTCGTGGTGTACTCCGCCCCAGGCCGCGCCTTGCGGTCGCTTCACAGCTGCTTGCCGAAGCAGGGGCGCACCTCTGGGTTCAAATTGCAATTGCTCGCCTTGCTGAAGAAGCTACATGTAAACTAGGGCTGCATGACCCAAGCAACACTGCTGCACATTACCCCAGCGACCCGCGGGTCGAACTACCGGTATGGCGCCCTGCAGGGAAAGGTTGCCCCGCCGCCGCTGAAGAGGTCCTGCCAAGCGGCACAGCCGCAGTCGTGTGTGGCCCTCAGCTCCTGGCTGCCGCCTGCCTGTCCCGCCTTGGGCCTCCTCCCATCAGCCATCACACATTGGGCATTCTTCTTCTCCGTCCGCAGGCGCAGCTGAAGTCCGACTACCGGTAGGTAGCGCTTGTGCAACCCCCGCCCCCGCCTCGTGTGTTCGGTCGCACAGGTGTTCGCACGCTGGAAGCAGCTCCCACCCACCACCACTACCAACCAAACAACACCCGGACACGCAGGCACAGCACACCTGCCCCTCTGCAAACTCATCCAACCCTGCGCGCTCCGCCTAAATCGTACTCAACCTCCTCCACCTTCTCTCCTCCTCCTTGTGCCGCCTCCCCCTTTCCCCCTAACCCGCCTTCCCCGCTCCCCCCTCAAACATACCGGTACGCTCCCTATACATATTACCCCCCCTTCCTCTCCCCCCTTCTCCTTGCCATTCTCATTCAATACATTGGGTATTCTTCTTCCCCCCCCTCCCCTAGCAGATGCCCGCCGCCCTCAGGTTGGCCAGCATGCGCTCCCCCACCGGCTGCTCCAGGTCGGGCACCGCGAACTGCTGCCCCGTGATGCGCTCGTACAGGTACACGTAGCGCTTGCTCAGCTCGGCCACCAGCTCGGCGGGCGCCTCGGGCAGCACGGCGTCGTTGTAGGGGTCGCACCTGGGGGGGGGTTTAGGGAGAGCCGGGGGAGTAGGTAAAGTGAGCCGCGGAAACACTGACCCTGACCGTAGTTCACCGGAGGTGGGGAGAAGGTGCGGGGAGAAGAAGTGAGTTACCCGGATCGCAATGCCCCCATTGCACGCGACCCATGACCGTAATGGATACCTGTACGAGTCCGAGGCAGGGCGAGTCGAGGGGGCGAGACAAAGTGCAGGGACATCTTTCGAGGGGCGGTGCGGTGTTGCATGTTTAGGAAGCAGCTGCGGACACGGGTGCATCAGCCCCTTCTCCTCCTTCGCTGGCCCCTACCCTCCTCCTCTCCCCAACACCAATTGAATCATCTTCTCCCCCCCTCTCACACACGGGAGTGTGCTCCACTCCTCAGCTCCCCGCCCCCCTCACCTTGCCCTGAACCACAGCCGCAGGAACTCCTTGTCGATGTTCTCCGGCTCCAGGCCCGCCGCGTGGCGCGCCGCGTAGGTGTCGGCCAGCCAATAGCGGCTGGAGTCGGGGGTGTGGATCTCGTCGATCAGGCGGATGGTGCCGGAGGAGTCCTGGGGGGGGAGGGGGTAGTGTGCATAGTGTGGAGGGGGAGGTGGAGGGGGAGGTGGAGGGGGAGGGGGAAAGCGGGGGTTAGGGGAGGTGGCTATCCATCACAGCGCGTGGGGAGAGGGGAAAAAAAGAAGTGCAGCAAGTAAGTTTCAATCCCGAACCCCGACTCCTGCAGTGAGGGTAAGGAGCGGGAGCGAACCATTCTGACCACCACATCATCAACCACAGCGACACCTCCCACGCCTCACCCCCCATCCCCCGCCTCCCTCCCCCTCCCTCCCCACCTTGCCGAACTCGTACTTGGTGTCGACCAGCAGCAGCCCACGCTTGGCCGCCTCAGCCTGCCCGAATGCGAACAGCCGCAGAGCAGCGGAGCTGACCTGGGGGCGGGAGGGGGGAGGGTGGGGGCGGGGAAAAGGGTGTTGAGAGTGGAGTGAGTGTTTTGAGAGGGGCGCGCAGAAAGAGAGCGGCAACAGGAGCCGCTTCCTTCCTCCTACCTTGTCACCCCCTTCCCATGTTCCCAGCCTCCTGCCCCCGCCCCCATATCTTGCACATTCTACTTACTACCCCCCCGCCCTCCCCACCCACCCCCTCCCACCTCGTCCCACTCCTGCTGCGTCATGAGCCCCTGCGCCACAATCTCCGCGGGGCTGATGGGCACGTCGTGGTCCTCCGCCTTGGTGGTGGGCGTGATGACGTTGGCCGCCAGCCGCTCGTTCTTGCGCATGCCGTCGGGGAAGGAGTTGCCGCAGTAGCTGCGCGCGCCCGCCTTGTAGTGCGTCCACAGGCTGGTGTCGGTGGAGCCTGGGGGGAGGGGCGGAGGGGGAGGGGGGAAAATATAGATAAATGCATCAACGGAGTCCCAATCCCGAATCCCGACTCATGCAGTGAGCGCATGGGGAGGGAGGGGGGAGAGGGAGATAACGAGAAGCCACGGGACGAGGCTAGAGGGGAAGGGAGGTGGGGAAGGTATGAGGGAGGTATAAGCGGGCTGGCAATAGGGTAAATCAAATGATACGGTAGTGTTGAGGATAATGGGAGGTATGACAGATGCCGATATTAGACGCAAGGTAGCGACCTGCCCCACCCAGCCAGCAAACACGCACCCCCCCGGCCCCCCCTTCGCCCACCCGTCATGAAGCCCCTGCACACGAACTCCACTGGGAACACCGCGCACTTGCGCATGAGCGCCACGTTGGGGTCGGGGGTGGCCAGCAGCGCGGAGGGCACGATGTGGGAGGTGGCGCCGAACCACCAGGCGGACGTCTGGTTGAGCACCTGGGGGGGAGGGGGGCAGGCGGGGTGTAGCACGCAGTAGCAGCAGCACCAGTCCCGCATGGATCCGCCCCAACGGCCGCTCCGCACCCGCCTCTGGCCGCTGGCCGCATCAGGCGATTTGTGAGCTCAGTTCCGCTGCTGGTCTTTGACCCCCCCACCCTCTTCGCTGTCCCCTCTACCTCCTGCCCCCAATCTCCCCCTCCCCTGACGCGCCCTCTCCTGCTCCCCTCCCCCGTACCCGCCTCCATCGCTGCACCTTCATAATTTCCCCCCCCCTTCCCGGCCCCTCCGCCCACCTGCCCCTTGAACGGCACGGATGCCAGCAGCCGGTCGAATGCGGACTGGCGGTCGGTGGTGACGATCACCACCTGCTCACCCAGGTCGTACGTGTCGCGAACCTTGCCCTGCAGGGGGGGAGGGGATAGGGAAGAAGAAGAAGAAGAAGAGGAGAAGTCAGGATGGGGGTTGGTGACGGGAGGGTGTTGGCAAGGCATCAGAGGGAGGGGGACGACGGGAGGACGGGGGGAGGGGGAGGGGATCAGGGGTGTGCGAGTGAAGGAAGAGGGAAGCGGCTTTCCAGCCGCCGCAGCAACGGGCACTGGAAGGAAGGCATTGGGCTGGCTTCCCGCCTTCAAGCCGAGAAGCCGTGCCCCCATCTCTTCCCAGTGGCTAGGCTAAGCAACCCGGCGCCTCCACTTCCCGGCATCCGGCTCGTGGGCTGCAAGGCCGCACCCCTGCACGTCCTGGACCCCTTTGCAGCTGCTTCCCCACCTCCTACCTCCCTTGTCCTGTCCCTGCTCCCAACCCTCTCATCCTCCCTCCCCAAGCCCTACCTACAGTACCTAGGCTAGTACCGCAACGGTGTACGCCCCGGCCCTGACCCGCTCCCTGGCCCCATCCCCCCACCTCTCCCCCTCCCTCCCCCCGGTCCCACCTGGCGGCGGTTGGGCAGCGGCAGGTCGGTGGCCGTTAGGCAGTTGGTGCGGGCCTGACAGGGGGTGGGGCAGGTGGGATTGGGCGAAAGGGTGAAAGGGCGCGCGTAGGTGGAGTGGGTCAGGCTCGGCATGGTCGCGCCGTGAAGGCGGGGGTGGGGCGTATGAAATATGACAGCAGCAGCGCAGCTCGAGTTAACACCGACGCCACTATCACCGCTGCCCAGCCCCGGCCGCCGCCATGCACCCTCGCCGGACCTCCCGTCACCCCCTCCACATGACAGCACCACACACCCCTCTCCCCGCGAGGCGGCCTGCAGGGTGGCCTCCTGCAGGGTGGGGCGCTGCGTAGCGCCCGGCCGCCTCCTCGCCAGACACACGGGCGCGGGCAACCCCGCACCGCTGCTCCTAGCCGCCACCTCTCCCCACTCCTCTAAACTCTGTCGCCTGTGTTTGCACCCCTACATGGCTTCCCCTCCTTCCCTCCCTCCCTTTCACTTATCGTTTCCCTCCCTCGCCCCACCTGCTCAATGGCCGCCACCACCTCCGGCCGGACGCCGCTGATGGACTCCACATGCCTACCATGGGGGCGAGGGGAGGGTAGAGAAGGGGGTGCAGGAAGCCCCGTGAGTTGAGGCGCGCTGCGGGCGGACAAGGGGGCAAAAGCTGCTGGCCCAGAGCGCGGCAATCATAGGACAGCCGCGCTCTGTAGGGCTAAGCGTGACTTGGCGTGGTTTGGGGGTGTGAGGATGGCCTCGAGGGGCAACGCTGAACGAAGCAGCAGTATGTAATCCCCGCCAAGTGTACAACAAGATTGCACAACATGCCGTTTTAAAGTGGTGCAGATATAGTGACTTACGGCGGCTGTGCAGCGTGGGCTCGGACTACCACAGACGCTCGCACGCGGCAGCCAGCTGCTCCTCCATTACGTGCCGTGGAGCATGTCTGGCGGCTTGCTCTTAGATGCATGGTCAAGAGCTATCGTCCTGTTTAAATAGTTGTAATCAGTGTACAGCGAAGATAAAAACTAACAGTACGTCGCCTTCGTTGAGGTCAAATTACGACGAGCACAGTTCAGGATGTACACCTCTCCTTGCACGGTTAGGTTACCAGCACTGCTAGCTCCTCCCCAGCGAACGCGTCTGAGGAGCCCTAAGAATTCTGCTTGCTACCCCGCTGTAAGCCAATACGACAAATCCGTACAGAGCGGCTTGCGTCAGTTCGCAAAGGCTGCTCACTGCTCCACGGCTAGGACATGATGACCATTATATCCGGTTTGCACAAGAACCATGTGTATGTACTTAGTCTTACGGTCGTTGTGCAGCCTCAATATAGTGTATCAAAACACTAACTTTTCACTTGTATGTAGCCTGCTTTAAACGCAAAAAAATATTTATAGCAGTATGTAGTTGGACGCTATGGAAATAGCGCTAAAAGGAGGCGGTACATGTATACCCAACGTTGCAGCCGGCCTGCGCAGGACAGGCTTCGTGCATTAGGGCCGGACAAAGATGGATGCGAAGAGGTAACCTTTGCTATTCGTAGTTCTTGGCCTTTGTGCAAATGCCATTCATGCATGTCCTGCGCCGAGCTTGGCGTCGAATTTAGGTAGCTAAACCTTGCATTCGATTACAGGATACTCGATGGGTTGGCCTCGCTGGAAGGGGTCATCCTACCTTCGACGCCTCCGTCCCTGAACGAGGAGGCTCGGCGTTCCTCGTCGGACCGTAATTTACAGAACACAGATGGACTCTCCAGGATTCCAGCGTATAGCCAGCAGCAGCAGCGGTGTAGTATGCCGACGGCTGGCCGGACGTCTGTGACCGACCCATGTCCTTTCATGGCACCTGGGTCGCTGCTGCCCGCCTCTGGCCCCACCCTCGCTTTCTTCCTCCAGTTACAACCCCCGCCACCAGACGGTATTTCCACAGCAGTTCTACCGCCTCATCCACAGCACCAATCGGGCTCATGGCTGTCCCGCCTCGCGGCTTGTGCCGAGCCGGCGCAGCGCCTGATCCTACCGCCCGCTCCTCCGCCCAGCTCTCTGCACCGCACCGCGAACTCCGCGGAGGGCTCAGGCGGTTCCGTCCAGATGGCGGCATCGGCGGTCAACCCTCGCGCCCTCCGCAACGCCCTGCTGCTTCTCACCTTTAACTCGGGCGCAGCCACCCTAACGGCGCTCGCCAAGCTGCATGCGGCGGCGACGGCCACGCAGGGCCGCGCCGCGCTAGCAGCTCTGCAGCCGGTGCCTCTGGTGGCGCGGGTGTTTGGGGAGGCGGTGGCGGCGGCGGACGCAGCCGGCAGCGAGCAGGCGGCGATGGTGCTGCTGGCGCTGCTGGCGCAGGCGGGGCTGCCGATGCCGGACGACATCGCCAGGACGCTGGTCATCCCCATTGCCGTACGACTGCTGGGCGGCAGCTGCGCCGTCACAGCAGTGGCGGACGCCGCCGTCACTGCCGCCGCTGCTGCGGCAACTGCCAGCGGCACCCTCAGCAGCAGCAACCTGCACCTGCGGCTGCAGCAGCCCCAGCAGACGGCACACGAGCTTCCCTCCCCTTACCCGCACTTGCCGGGCCACCCGCCTCAGCAGCACCCCGCCTGCAGCGCACCCGCATTCATCGCATCACCCCCCCTGGGCTGCCGCCTGGCGGCTGCGCGGCTGCTGCTGCACCTCGCCACCTCTGCCCCCAACGCCGTGCCGCTGCCACCCAACGGCGCAGCCCCCAGTCCGGGTCCGGGTGCGGTACGGGACTGCCTGGTTGCGGCGGGGGCGCTGGAGGCGTGTGCCGCGGCGCTGAGTGCCGCCGCGGCCTCAGCGCCTGAGCTGCTGCTGAGCACGCTGCGGCTGCTGGCGGCGCTGACGGCGGACGTGGCGGGGTGGCCGTGGGAGTGGCCGGTGGTGCGTGCTGCGGCCGTGGAGGGCTGCGCGCGGCATGCGGTGGCGTTGATGCAGCTGCTGGCGGGCGAGGAGGCGGGCGGGGGCGGGAGCGGGACGGAGGGGGCGGCGGAGGGACACAGCAGGCCTAGGAGCTCTGGTGCAGGTGGAGGCGGGAGTGACGATGCCGGCGGAGAATCGGCGTTGGCGGCGGCGACGCATGCGGCTGCTCGGGACGTGGTGGTGAACCTGGCTCGGGGGCCGCTGTTGGTGCGGGAGGCACTGCTGCGGGCGGGGGTGCTGTCGCCGGTGGCGGAGGCGATCATGATGTGGCCGCCGCCGGGGGCCTGCGTGATGCCGGCGGGGGCGTCGGGCGGGCTGGGCCAGGGCTCCTTCTCCGCGGGGTCGTCGGGCGGGCTGGGGGGCCCCTCCCGGCGGCACTTCTCGCTATGCCTGGGTGTGCTGATGAACTTGACGGCGCTGCCCGGGGTGCGCGCGGCGCTGGGCTCCTCCGCGCTGGCGCCGCTGCTGGGGCACCTGCTGGACCTGGTGGAGCTGCCGCAGCTGGGGGGAGGCGGGGGGGAGGGGCAGGAGGGGCAGGGGCAGAGGCAGGGGGGGCCGCGGGTGAGCCAGGTGGGCGGGTCGCTGCTGCAGGGGGGGCCGCAGCGGCCGCAGCAGACGTCGTGTTGTGGTGGTGGTGGCGCTAGTGAGGCGGCGGCGGGCAGCTGCGAGGTGCGCGGGCCGCTGCTGGAGCTGCTGTTGAACCTGGCGCTGGACCCGCGCTGCCACCCGGCGCTGGCGGACCTGCAGGTGGGGCCGCGGCTGGTGCGCTGCGTGGCGGCGGCGGCGGCTGCGCAGCCCCTGCGGCTGGAGCCGACGGCGGCAGCGCCCGCGGGGCAGGGCGCGGCTGTATTGGTGCCCTGGCGGGCCGCCGCGGCGTTGCGGTTGATAGCGGCGTTGGCGGCGGACGGGCGGTTCACCGCCCCGCGGCCGGCCATGCAGAGCGAGCTGGCGGCGGCGGGAGCAGTTGAGGCGGTGGCGGATGAGGTGCAGCGCGCGGCGGCAGCGCTGTCCACCGTCGGCGCCGCGGTGCAGTACGAGCTCTCCATGACAGCTCTATGTGCGCTCATGACCGGCAACCGTGGAGTGCAGCGGCAGGTGGCGGCGGCGCCGGGGCTGCTGGCGGCGCTGGCGGCGGCGCCGGCGCACCCTGCCGTCATGCGCAGCAACACACGGCTCCGCGTGACGCTGGCGGCGTGGCGCATGGTGACGGCACCGCTTGCTGACCCCATCGCCGTGTCGGACCCCTCCGTGGCGGCGGACCTGCTGATCGGCTTGGGGCATGACCCGGGGGTCGCCTTGAGCAGCCCCGGGGTGTCGGGTCCCGTGGATGACCTGTACGGCCCCGGCGCACTGTACGTCAGCAGCTCTCTGACGGGGGGGCACAGGAGGTCCATTCTGGAGGCGGCGGTTGACGCGGTGGTTGGTATGAGATCATCCAGGCTCTTGATAAGCGAGGCTGGTGAGGTGAATGGGCGGTCCGGCGACGCGGACGTGCGGGAGGGCGGCGAGCGGCCATCAGCGCAGCAACTTCCCTCCCGTAAGAGCGCGCCGGTGATGGGGAGGGTTGCAGCCAACACGTCTGAGGCGTCGGGGTCGGAGCCGGATGCGGCCGCAGCGGCCTCCCCCGGCCGCTCCGCACCGCACCTTTCCGTGTTCGCCTCGCCGCTGCTGGATGAGGAGCTGGAGGGCGGCGGCGGTGGCAGCCTGGGCAGCCGCCAGACCAGCCGTACCAGCAACTCCCTAGCTGCCGCCCTGCTCCGCCCCACGCCCTCCTCTCAGCTGCAGCTGCAGCAGCAGCCGCCATGTGCCGTACCGCCGCCACTGCCCGGTGAGCTGGTCGCCGTGGAGGAGCTGGCTGAGGCCAGCAGCGGGAGCTGCGGCGGTAGTGCAAAAAGGGCGGCCGCGAGGGCAGAGGCCGCAGCTGCCTCCACCTCCTCGGAGGCAGCGCCCCGGCAGGAGCGGCACCTACGCGCCCCCCACCACGATCCCAGCTCCCCGCGCCAACCGGCTGCCGTACGACAACTCCAGGAGCCACCAGGAGCCACTGCTTCGCTGCCGCCCTTCTCCTTCCCCGACCTCTCTCCGTCCAACTCCAAGGAACTCTCCGGCACCGCCCCCGCCACCGCTGCCACCATATCCGCCAGCGGTGCTGCACCAACGCCCACCTCGGCTACTGCCCTGGCGGCGGCGGCTGCCGGCAGCGGTGGCGGCGCGCTGGAGATGGCTGCCCCGCTTCGAAACCTGGTGACGACGCTGCAGGCGCTGCTGCCTCGCCCCGGCTGCCGAGCGGGTGCTGCGCTGGTGCTGGCGCAGCTGGCTCGGCTGGAGGTGGTGCGGGGGAGTGTCCTCATGGCGGCGGGGTGGGGCAGCCTGATGGAGGCGGTCACCTCCAGCCTCACGGGCGGGGGAGCAGGGGGTGCAGCGCCGGTGCAGTGGTGAGTGCCGGCGGCATGCGGGCAGAGAAGGGGTGCCTGCGGTGCTCTTGTTGCTAGTCGACGTGGTTGTGACGGTAGCCGCTGCCATGTTTGCTAACCTCCCTCACCCGCTCCGTCCACCCGCCTACTGGTTTCAGCGATTCCATCGACTCATTGTTATTCTGCCCTTCGACCCCTTTGGCGATTTCCCTCGCTGCTGCCGCTGCTGCTGCAGGTGCCCGCGGTCCTCGCAGCCGCTCCTCACGCAGCCCTCGCAGCCGCTGGAGCCGCCGCTGCACTCACTTAGCGGCTCCTCAGAAGCAGCCGCAGCGGCCGCCTTCGCCGCCGACCCACGGGACAAGCTCGCTCTGTTGGAGGCGATGGAGGTGGCGGCTGGCACTGCGGCGGAGGGCCGGGCGGCGCTGACCCATGGGTCTGTCGTCACCGCACTCGCTGATCTGGCGTGCGGCCGCGGCGCCCTGGCGGAGAGCCTGTTGCTGCACGAGGGCGGCCCGCTGCACTCTGACCCGCATCCGTACACCCACTACCACCACCAAGACCGGGAATCTCACTCGCACTATCGGAGCCTACAACACCACCTCAGCCGCAACAGTCGCTACGCGCAGCTCGGTCACCACCCGCAGCTGGGCAGCCCCTACGCCAGCCCGCACCACCACTTCAGTCAGCACCCGCTGCACCCGCACCAGCACCAGCACCACCCCCACTACACCCACCACCAGCAGCACTACCAGCACCAGCACCAGCGCTACCTGCCGCGCGCCCGCACCCTGGCCATGGCCATCCTGTCGGAGCTCGTGTCCCAGCCGCACGTGGCGGCGCAGCTGCAGGTGCGGCCGCTGAAGCCCCCCCACCCCGTGCGCTCCCCTCGCATGCCCTGTAGGGCTGTTCACGCTTAACATGCTTAACTTGCTTGGCATGCCTCGCCCGCCCACTTCCACCCCTCCACGTGACCCACGCCTTCACGCCTCATACCATGCAACCTTTCCTGCGGAAGTATTCGGAAGTACCTGCCCAAACCTGTCCTGCACCTCCTCACCTGCCCTACGTCCCTAACCCCTCCTTTTGTCCCCGGCCCCTCAGCGAGACGGCATGGGATCCATTCTGGCGGACAATCTGCTAGCAGCGCTGACCGCGGCAGTGGCGGCTGCAGCCGCCCCGCCCGCCTCCTCCGGGCCCTCCGCCGCCCTGAGCGCCCTCGCCTGGGCCATGGAGGAGCAGCAGCGGCTGCGCAACGCGGCTGCGCGGCTGCTGCGGCAGCTGGCCCAGCACGTGGACTGCGCGCGCGACACGCTGGCGACGCCGCGCAGTGTGGGGCTGCTGACTGCAGCGCTGTCGCAACTCTGGTGGGTCGGCCTGGGTGGGTTGCCCTGGGGTGGGGCTCTTGGAGGCGGGGGTCTTAATGGGGGACGCCATGCGGGTCGAAAAGACATACCGGTGCCCCGATAGCGTGTGCCGTCTCACCTGCACTGTGCTAAGCTACCCCAACCTTTCACCTCACACCTCAGGGACGTGCATGGCCCGGTCCTGGCCCCGCCCTCCGTCGGCCCCGCCATGCCGCGCCCCACGTCGGCCTCCATCGGCAACCGCAGCCGCGGCCACTCCTCCCGCATGCTGGATCCCAGCGCCTCCTTCCTCAGCACCCGCGGAGGCGACTCCTTCCGCCACCCAGCCACCACCGGCGGCATCGCGCACATGCCCTCCGGACGCGGCAGCATCTCAGCCCAGAACTCCCCCCTGCCGCGCGGCGTGGGCGGCAGCAGCGGCAACATGCCTTCCGCCCTTGCTTTGACCGCAGCCGGCGGCAGCAGCAGCGGCACCCTGAGCGCCAGCAACCACGGCGGCACCAGTGTTGGGGTTGGCAGCAACCCCGTGAGCCGCACTGTGACGGGGCTGCAGGCCTCCTCCGGGCCCCGGCGGCCCTCCGGCTCGGGCTACCAGACCAACCGCGTGTTCCCGCTCAGCCCGCACGTGTCGCAGCACCACACCGACTCGCCGCACGGCGTGACGACGCGCATGTCGCTGCACACCGCCGCCTGCCCGGACGTGACGCAGTGGAGCACGCCGGCGCAGCAGGCCATGAAGGTGAGGCGGTGACGCAGGGGGGCGGGAGGCGGGGCGGGAGGCTGATGCGTATCGTATGCACTTGCCGGCGACCCAGGTGGTGGTTGTGCCCTTTCCCTTCGCAACATAGACTCCTAGAGTATGCGTTGTTGGCTTGTATCTAGTGTGCCCAAGGACCAGCGCCTTCTGCAGGTACCGCTGTAACTGCAGACTAGCAAAGTGCGGTGGTCGCTGCTGTTGTCCCGACTGCCCTGGACCTCCTCCTCCCCCTCCCCCCTCCCCTTCCCCTCCCATGTTTTGTGGCTCCCTGCCAACAATACCCATTGTTTTGCCCTAACTTTGTGGTTTGGTTTATTCTACCCCTCCCACCTCCCCTCCCCCTCCTGCCCCGCAGGCGCTGGAGCTGTCAGAGGAACGCAACGCCGCAGCCGCAGCCGCAGCCGGCCCCTCCAGCCGCCGCCACGCCAACACGCACGGCGGCTACCAGCAGCAGCCCCGCGTCCTGGCCGCCAGCAGCTCACACGGCGCGACGGCATCCGGGGGCGCAGGCGGGACGGGGGTGCGCGCCAGCCGCACCGCCACTCGGGGCCCGAGCCGCCTGAGCGCTGCTGCCTGCGCCGCCGCCACCGCTGAGGGCACGGAGGAGGAGGACGACACGGATCGGCTGCTGCGGGGCATGACGCCGCCGTCGCTTCCGCAGCTGCAGCAGGAGGGATCGCTGAGTCAGCAGCCGTCCCCAGTGAAGTCGTCGGAGGCGACGCGCGCAGTCACCGCTGGCGCCGCCTCCTCCCCTTCCGCTGCTGCAGGTGGTGGTAGTGGTGGCGGCTCCGCGGGTTCCCCGGCGGTGGCGGCGGCGCTGGAGTCCACTGGGAGCTTCACGGAGTTCACCAGGAGGAGCGCACCAGCAGCCGCCGGGGGAGGCGGGCGCGAGGGAAGCGGGGGCGGAGGAGGGGTGGAGCGACCGCGGGACGGCATGGAAGCTGCTGCTGCTGCAGCGGCGGCGGCGGCAGCGACCGCCTCGGATTCCGAGGGCGACGGAGGCACCGAGCAGCTGGACCTGCTGGCGACCGACGGTCGGCGCCACATTGTGAGTTGGGCCGGGTGTTGGGTGTATGATGTGTGTTGGCTCCGGAGTGCAGCAGTACCGGGGCGGCTTGCGTGGCCCGTCTGACCCGCAGCAGGGGATCGACCCGGACCCGCTGCCCCTCTTACCATTTACTCATTGGATGGCAGTCGGTGGGTCATTCAAGTCAGTTGGTCAAAACGAGTCCTCTGCTGCTGTCGAGCCCTCCACCTCTGGCTCCCCTACATTGCTGACTTCGCTTCATTTCTCAACCCGTGCGCCCCTGTCGCCCCGCTTTCAGGCTCGCCGCGGCACCCGCGCGCTGGCTCCTCCCGCCCGCGCCCCCGCCGCCCCGGCCGCCCTGTCGGGCTCCGCTGCCGCCGCCGCGCAGTGCCTGGTGCAGCTGTCGGAGCTGCTGGGGGGGCTGGCGCGGTCGGACACGGATGCGGCGAGGGTGAGCGGCGGCTTCCCGGGGGGGCTGGGTGGAGGGAGGAGGTGAACTGACCTCTGCAGACAGACAAACGAGTTGCATGAACGGAAAGCACGAGTCTGCAGTGCATGCGCTCTGGGACCTTCGCATCCAGCCTGGTATCCCTCACCCTTGCCCCCTCCTCCTCCAACCATGCCCCCCACGTGCCTCCCTGCTCCCCCCCCCTCAGGCCATGGCCACGCTGCCCTCCGTGGAGCTGTTCGTGGACCTGCTGGCCGCCTCGCACCCGCCCCTGGTGGCGGCGGTGCTGGAGCTGCTGGCGGCGCTGGCGGCGCGGCAGGACGCGCACGAGACGTTCTGGGACTGCGACGTGGTGGGGCAGCTCGTGGCGCACCTGCAGCTCAGGTCGGCAGCGGCGGCGGCGGCAGCAGCGGCGGCAACACCGCCGGCGGCTGGCGCCTCCAGAGCCAGCGGAAGTGTTGGTGCAGCGGCCGCTGCCGCAACAGCAGCGGCCGGCGGCGGCTCCTCCTCCTCCGGGGTGGTGCAGCAGCTGCAGTTGCGCGCGGCGCAGGTTCTGGAGCGGCTGTGCTGCGACCCCGACCTGCACGGGCGGCTGGCGGCTACGGAGCTGCCGGCGGCGCTGATGGCGGTGGTGCGGCGCGCGGCGATGCCGGAGGCGCAGCACTCGGATTACTCGCAAACGGTGAGGGGCGTCGAGGGGGTTTCGAACCGGGATCGGCAGGGCAGATGGTTTGGGCTCGACTGGGCTTGTATCTGCAAGCACACGGAACAAAAGCTGGCGTTTGCGTGGGGACATCCTCACTGACCATTCAGTACAATCCTACTCGCGGCGAGTTTCCTTAGCACGGAACCCTAGCTGTGCTCTCTGCCTCCCGTTCAGGCGCTTAGAGCCGCATGTGCTAATGACGTACTCAGTACTTGTGTGGCCGTGTTTGCAGGCGGGCGGTTTCGGCGGCTGGGGCGCGGTGCCGTCGCTGTCCTTCAGCATCTACGCTGGCCCCGCTGCCGCCGCCGCCTCCCCCGGTCCGCAGTCCTCGCTGCTGGTGTGCGTGCTATCGGCGCTGGTGGCGCTGCTGGACTGCGAGGACGTGCGGCGCCAGGTGGGTGGGTGGGTGGGGGCGGGGCAGCGTGGGGCCACAGCGTGAGGACGCAAGGTGGGCGCGTCTGCTTGGGGCGTGGGAAGTGTTGTGAGTGTGGCGAGGTGGCATCAGGGGTAGTGCCCTCCCCCTTGCTGCAGTAGTATCGGCTAAGGAACGGCGGCCCCAGGGTGGCCCTTACCGGTACTCGCCGGCGCTTTGTCCGGTCTCGTGCATTACTGTTGCAGGTCTTTCCTCTTCCTTTTCAGGTGGTGCTCCGGAAGCTTCCGGGGTTTCTCTTCCCGCTGGGTTTGTTTGATTTCTCGTGGTCCTGTCCTGTGTCTGTAACGTCCACATCGCTTAATGAGAGCTCTGTACTTTGTGGCAATCGCTGTCTGCCCTCCTCTTTTTTCCCCCTCAGGCTCGCGAGCGCCGCTTCCCGCTCTACCTGGGCATGCTGGCCAGCAGCGCCGGGACGGCTGGAGGCAGCTCCGGAGGCGCGGGCGGCGGGCCAGGCGGATGGGAACCGCTGGTTTCGGATCTGGCTGCTCAGTGCGGCGAGAAGCTGCGGGACAGCGTGATGCCGGGTCCGGCGGGCGGCGTGCGCTTCCGCTCGGGCAGCAACAGCAGCACCAGCGCCGCGAGGGCGCTGTAGCGCTGGCTGCGGGCAGGTGGTGGGTGCATGCTTGAGGAGGCGGACGAGGATGCGGATGGGGAGGGGATGAAGAAGCAGGATGCAGTGAGGGCCAGGGCAGCGGGCTGTGTGGAGGGACATACGGGCTGCAGGCTGGTGGGTGGTATAGGTGGTACAGGATTAGGGAAACATTCGTGCAGGGCTGCCTCTGCGGACTGGTGCAGGCAGGGAGGTGTAGGGATTACACCGAGCGTAGGGATCCGGAACTCAATGGAAATGTACCAATTACTACCAAAGTGTATGCTGCGAGGAGCCGTCAAGCCGTTGGTGGAATAACTGATGTGACGTCAGCGGACGATCACGGGGAGGCTGCTGGCGGCTGTAGAACTCAACGAGATGCATGGCTTAGGGGTTTGGAGGCTTGCAAGGCTGTGGAAGGTTAAGAGGGTTTGCTGTACAGCACACACGCGTGGCGATAAAGAACACGAGGTCGTTTACACCAACAGCTGGGGAATGGGAGTATAGGCGTGGCAACGACCTGCATGCGCACGGACCCGACGCTCGGGTGTTGGTGTGTCCTCACTTGCTCGGATGGCGCACGGAGGGTTGATGAGAAGCATCATGGTTGGGACCGGTTGTCAAATTGGCAATTGTGGTGGCTGTGGTGCCGGCGGTGGCTGGGGACCATCGGTGGCCCCCAGCACCAGCACCCCCCCCCCCCTGCCCCCAGCAGCCAGCCAGGGGGTCAGCGCAGGGGGCACGTTTGTGTTGGTGTCAGGCGTGTGCATGGAATGTTGCGCTTGCTGTTGGTTTCTTGATGTGGCCTTGTTATCCTGTTGCTAGTGGGATCGAGCAGTGCGGCAACCGGACTTGCAGGCCTGCCCTCTGACTGACCTCAGGGCAGCGCACGCGCGCCTCCCTGCATGCAGGCGTGCTCGGGGCTCTATGTTTGTCTGTGCAATCTGCAGCTGACGCTTGGACCTTGCTTACCTATGTATGCTTACATGCGTGTGTGTGTGTGTTTGCGGAGTAGTATGATGTGTTAATACGGAAGGCTGCCGCGGCACTGTGCGCTGACTGGCATCCGACCTAACGATGAGAGCGGTTGCGAACTTCCCTTCCAGTCCTTCGTTTTGGAGGGCTTAGGTCCATTGCCACACGATCGCGCTTCTTCGTTTTCTTTTGCCGGACGGCCTGATGTGTTGCGGACGCACTCCTCTATGTCCTGTTGTTTAGTAAACCCTTGTGTGCGACTGAGAGGCGTGAGATGAGCAGTGATTGTGCATAGGCGAGCATGACGGGAGCGTTTGTTTTTTATGGGAGCCGGCATTAAGGGACATCGAGGTAAACCTTCTTACTATGTAAAGCGTTTACTACATGGCAATAAACGACGCGGCATAAACCCGCCCCACTTGCGGGCTTCATGTTTGTAGAGCGTTGGAGGGCGCGCCGAGTTCTGACTCGTCACCCCGTGTTGATGCGATTGATGCGATGGAAAATGATGAACCAAAAGGGCTCTTGCGACGTTGTGTGGGTTACATATGACATGCATATGCGACTTGTGTGCAGCAGTGCAGCCCGCTGCAGCCCGGGACCCAAGACCCGAGGTGCTGTCCAGAGGCATTGGGGGTTTGGGTGGCGGGGCAGCGATTGGGGCGGTTGTCAAGTGCATATGAAGAGGCGGTGTAGGGTGCATAGTTGGTGTTTTCAATGGGTTCGTCATCTGGGAGGCCAGACGGCTGTCGTGCAGTCGTGATGACGTACGCGTTTGGTTACCGCCTACAGTTGTGGGGCCCCCCTCCCCCGGAGAGCAATGTATTATGTATACCATTAGACTGGAGCGCACCGGGAATCCGCGACCACCATGGCTTTGAGCACATTAAAACTAGTGAAATTCAAGTGGGGCTGGCTTGACTTGACAATTTTGGCGGCTCTGTAATTCCATGAACCGTGATGGACTCGAGCCCACTGGTAAGTAGACGCTAGATGGTCCTGACATGCGCCACACGGCGCCCCTGGAACGTTAACTGCCGTCGTGGTGCGAGTTGCCTTGGTGCAATACCCCTTCACCTCCAACCCTGGCTCGCTGAACTATTGGCTCTGTTTGGGTCCGAGTAGGCAACGAACCCTGCTTCGTGCAGACGATTGTTACGGGGTAATGGTGGCGTGCTTGATTGATTGGGAGAAGATGCGAATCCCAACTCCCTTCCTATCCATGCTTGGCCTCCTGCCCCCCGTATGGGGTGCCCATGCCACACAGCGGCCATCCGGGAGGTTGAACCCGTGTGTTCATGACAGCTCCCCGTCGTGGCACTCATCACCTGCAACCTCCAATCTACAGTGCCATTCGCACGCTGCGGCCCATACAGCTACCGGTATATCACGTCCCCTCACGCGGTCACCCGGGTGGCGTCCTGTAGCACTGCCGCTGGCGCGCTAACCGCCTCCTCCCGCTCCACCGCCGCCTCTGTCAACGCCGCAGCTCCGCCACTGTCCACAACGCGCACTTCCCACACCATACCGCTCCCTGCTCCCTCCTCAACCGGCTCCTGGCCCCCGCCTTGAGCCCCTGCGGCCTTCACATCCTCAGCCTCCTGCCCCTGCTGCGGTCCCGGCTGCCCCGACTGCTGCTGCTGCAGTGCTGCCAGGCTTGCCTCCCGGCTGGCCACCCGATGCATGGCGGGCACGGGGCCGCCCGCCGCCGCCGCGTCCAGGAAGGCTGTGAGCGCCGTCTTGAAGTCCCCGCTGCAGGTGGGCACCAGGTGCGCGCCGCCGTGCGTGAAGGTGGAGACGCGGGCGGGCGGGAAGCAGCCGTACAGCTGCGCAGTGCGGTCGGGAGGGACCTGGAGAACCAGGGACAGGGAGGGGCGCGTGGGAAAGAATGGGATACGACACGAGGAACGGGGCAACGGGTTCACGAGATTGGGTTAAAGAGGAGGGTTATGGGATGATGAGCGGCAGGGGCTTCTGTCATAGCAGCCAAGCGCAGAAAGCAAATCATATTTGCCGGCGTCCATCCTAGCTGCCCTCAAAACACCCCGCAGCCCCCTCGCTCACCAGCGCGTCCGAGCTGCCCGTCACGAACAGCAGCGGCACGGGGCTGAGGCGGGCGCCGCCCTCGCCGCCCTGCCCCGCCGGCCCTCCTCCTGCTGCTGATGCTGTGGCGCTCGCCTGGTCGCCTGCCAGGAGCAGCTGCGCCACTGCGGGGTCGCGGGGCAGGAAGCCAGCCACCTAGGGGCAGAGGTAGAGGGGGAGGGGAAGAGACCGATGACACGAGGACCATTGCGTGTATGTGAGAAGTATTGTGTAGTAGGGCTCACATGATACTGGTACAACCACGGATGAGGGAGACACATTGCGGTCACTAAACATGCTGAGGCCCTCTGGGGCATGGAAGGAGGCTTTCGAAGTGCACATGGGCCGGAACTTCGTACATGACGTGGTACATGCGGATTGTAGTTGCCTAGCGCACCACAACTTACTAGGATGGCACACTTCAAGCGGCGGAGTGCTTGCGACGCAGGCGACACTGCCGCCTCGCCTCCCGCTGCTGCCGCTCCTGCGGGGCCGCTGCCAGCGAGGTGCGCCAGCAGCAGCGCTGCAGCGGTGGCCCCCTGGCTGAACCCCAGGAGCCCTGGGGAGCAGGAGGGGCAAGGGCAAGAGCGTGCAAACCGAATGGCTCGAGGAGGCGACAGACCAGGTACTGGCATGCCGTGCAGTACCGGAACGGCGATACCTGCGGTACAGACCAAGAGTTGCTGTCAGCACACCCACCATCAGGCTCGTGCTCCTTCAGCGCTGCCATTAAGAACTCCTGGGCTGCACCCCAGCCTGGAAAACAGGTAACCAGGATTGTGCGAGGAAAGCGAGAAATCAAAAGGTCGCATTAAAGGTAAGGTTGGAAGGAGAACGAAAATTGAAAAACAGAAAATGGAGTCGGAGGGCATCGATCCCCCTACCTCCCGCATATTACGCGGCGCTCAGCTTCGCTTGCTAAGCGGGCGCTCTACCATTTGAGCTACGACCCCAACGGTTCAGATGATAACCAACATGGAAATTAATATCTTATATACGCTTATGAACTTGCCGTACAACCTGCCTGTAGCCCCACCTGTGTAGCTTGACGCCTTAGATGGCCGTGCCGCGGGCCCGCTGTCCGTCCACTGCCACCAGGAGCGCCCCTCCCGCACCCCCTGTACCTCGTCGGGATCCTCGTCGGGGAGGCCCTGTGGCAGGGGCGAAGTAGCCGGTTAAGCGATAATGGCTCCCATGCCTTCCAACCATAGTCAGCATACACAGCATACATCTTGTGGCAGGTGCACCACACCGCTGCGGCAGGTGAAGGATGCAGCATGGGCTAGGCATCCAACGACCAAGTGGCAAGCCCAGACAGCAAACCTGCCTCCCATCTCCATATACCCACACCCACCTGGGCCTCAAAGGGCGCATCCACGAACACAAACTCCACCCGGCTCTTCAGCGCTTTGCGCATGGAGCCCAGCCGACTGCGGAAAATCTGCAAGCAATAAACCGTTATTGTTTGGTTAACCGAAAATGAGTGCACCGTAGTGCCCATGTGTTTATAGCAGCGCGTGCCGCAGGGGTAACACGTAGGGCTAGAATATGCTATCGCGAACTGGCAACATGCATCCAGCTGGTTGCAAGATAGTATTAACTCGACCCACCTCAGCATTTTGCATGTAGCCATGTAAACACAGCAGCTTCAACTTTGGGTTAGGCGGCGCCACTGGTCAGTTAAAGGCGAGATGTTCATGCACATCCAAAGAAAAGTTTGGTAGTTAGTCATACTGCGAGCAACTATTCAAAAAGAGAGACACGAGAACGGTATCTGGTGTGAACTGTCTCTTCCACTTACTGTTCGTGGCCTGCCGACGCGTCGGCCTGTCGCTGTTGCTGCCTTCAACGCTGTTGCCGTTAGTTGAAGCGACGACCGAACCTTCTGTGTGAAATCTCCTTGGCGAATTCGCAGTTAGCAGTAAGTCAATAGGATAACCGCTTGTGATAGCGAGCGAGGAAGCTCTTTCTCGCGCCGGCCACAGGGTAGCGCGGAGCCCGCGATGCATGCCACATAACAACTCTAAGGCGAACCTCGTGTAAGTGAAGTTAAGATAATGTAGTTAGCTTGTGTCCTGAGGACCTCATGCTGCGAATGGCAAGCTGACCGCAACACACATCAAAGCATGGATCCGGCCCAGGTTAATCAATTAGGGACAAACCTTCATAGAATGGTTTCTTATACAGCTGTATATATGTTAGGCGCACAGCTATAGTTATCTATGAGCTACATGGGTAGCCGTAAGGCCCATAACCTTCGACCCTCTTTTGCCCCGTCTCTTCCCGAATGCCGTGCGCACCTAGCGGCAGCATAATAATGAATATCGCTCGCATCTAAGTGTTAATTTACTCGGATACCGGCATCTGGGCTGCCCGCTTCACTTTTTCCTATGGCCGGTGCTGCCAAGCCGCTGCCGCGCACCATCGTGCTGCGCAACGGCGTGGAGCTACCGGTGAGGTGGATGGAGGGCGAGGCCGCTGGCGGGGGCTGCAGGGGTTGTGATGGGAGCCGGGTTGTGGTGAAGAAGGGAGTTGCATCTTGGCATCAGGGGCAGTTGGCGCTCGGTCACTGCCGTACCACCGGAGCTATTCAACCTTACGCTGCAGAGCGTTTAGAGAGCCCGTTGTCCCTTTGCTCCATCCTACCTGTTGCCGCCGTTCCAACGGAGACTGACGCTCCTGGCTGTCCTCACCGCACGCAACCTAGAACAAGATCACATTCTAGATCGATGGGCCACCTGCTAATACCTGACCCTCTTCCCCTCCGTCCTCCTCACTAATTTCCCACGCATCTATACCCCCTTCCCTTCCCCCCAGGTGGTGGGTTTGGGCACGTTCAAGGCCCAGGGCGAGGAGGCCCGCGGGGCGGTGCTGGCAGCGCTGCGGCTGGGGCTGCGGCACATTGACACGGCCTCCATATACAAGGTGGGGGGGAGGCGGTGTGGGTAAGAGGCGTGCATTCTTTACTGTTTTGGCGGTGACGGTGGGGTCCTAGGCTTGTGAGGAATGGCGCTGCGAGGTTCACCGGTCTGCAAGCGAGGACAGGCACGCGGGTGCACAGACGGCATGACTCCGTTGCTGCTTTACGTCTCCAACCCCATCCGACCTCTGCTCCTGCTGCTGCCCACCCCCCACCCCGCCCCCCGTCACCCGCCCCACCACCACCACCACCGCTGCCACACAACAAAGTGGGCAATCTTATACCCTCCCCCCACCACCATCACCTCCCTCAGAACGAGGAGTCCATCCAGTCCTCGCTGTGTGCCTCGGGGCTGCCCCGCTCCGCCGTGTTCCTGACCAGCAAGGTGTCGCCATACGAGCAGGGCGCGGGGCGGGCGCGGCAGGCGGTGGAGGGGGTGATGCAGCGGCTGGGCACCGACTACCTGGTGGGGGGTGGGGGTGGGGGGTGGGGTAGGGGGTGGGGTGGGGTGGGGTGGGTAAAAATATGGATATTGATGAGAGGTGGATAGGGCATGTAGTGGGGTGAGCGAGAGGGGCATACCAGCTGTGGTGCAGCTAGTTGGACAGGGTGGGGAGGTGCTAGCGGCTCTAGCGCCCCCGGCCGCTGGGGCCGCCCAGCCTGCCGACCCATGGAGAAGAGTGGTTTGCTCCGCCTCCCCATCCTGGAACCCCCATCCTTCCTGCGCCCTGGCATCCGGCACTCCTGCGTGCACGTCGCGCCACCTTTCCCTCCCTCTCCCTCCCTCCTTCTTCCCCCCTGGACCCCGCTCCTCACCCCGGCCGTCCCACCCCTCCCCCCTCGTTCCCCCCTCCTCCTCCCCCCCTCCCCCCACAGGACCTGATGCTGGTGCACTGGCCGGGGGCCGCCCGCACGCCGCCCGCCTCCCCCGCCAACCGCCAGCTGCGGCTGGAGACCTGGCGCGAGCTGGAGGGACTGCACCGGGAGGTGGGGGGGTTGGGGGGGCGTGGTGGGGGGGAGGGGGCTGGGGACGGGGGAGCCTGAACTCGCACACAGCTGCATGCCACACGCCCCCAACCCGCACCCGTCTTAATCCCACACTCATCCTCCCTTTGCTTGCCCTACTTTACCCCTACCCGTACGCCTCCACATTGGGTATCCGTGTTTACCCCCACGTCTCCCCCTCCCCCCTGCAGGGCCGCCTGCGTGCCATCGGTGTGAGCAACTATGAGGCGGCCCACCTGCGGGAGCTGCTGCAGGAGGCGGACGTGAAGCCCATGGTGGGGTGGAGGGGAAGCGAAGCGCTGATGGGGGGCAAGGGGCAAGAAGGGGCAATGCCGTGGCGTTTAGGCTACTGGTAACTTGTTTGGGGGTAAGCTGTAAGGAAAGCATGGCAGGATCACGGCGCCAATGGTGTGGGCGGTCGGGGAGGGGGAAGGGGGGAAAAATCATATAAGTGAAACAACGAGGTGCGCAGGTGCAGGTCCTAGGTCGGACGTCCGGCGGGGCGGCCAGGGAGTCTACGCACGGCGCACAGTACCGAGCGATACGTGTCAGGCTGCTTCCGCACGTCTTGCTGTCCTTCATGTGTGCAGTCATGCAAACGCCCCCCTGCCCCCCTGCCCGCTGCCCCAGGTGAACCAGTTCGAGGTGCACCCGCGGCGGCAGTGCAGGGAGCTGCGGGAGCTGTGTCGCCAGGAGGGTGGGTGGTGCAGAGGAGGTGCAGTGTCGTGACACGGAGGGTGGGCGGGGGGGGACGGCTAGGCGAGCGGCTCTCCTTGCCGGCATCGGACAAAAGCACAAGGACCCAACACCGCTTCCCTTGCTGCGGCTTCCCGGGCCCCTCCGAGCGTCCTATTCATAAACTCTTTCGTCCCTTCCTTTTTCATCCCTTCCGCTCCTTCTCCTTGCTCCTCAACCCCTCTCTCTTTCGCCCGCCCAGGCATTGCGGTGGTCGCCTACGCCTCGCTGGGCTGCTCCGAGCTGCTGGGCCACCCCGTGGTGCTGCGGGTGGCGGCGCAGGTGGGGCGCACCCCGGCGCAGGTGCTGCTGCGGTGGGCGCTGCAGGGCGGCTGCGCGGTCATCCCCAAGAGCGTGCGGCCGGAGCGGCTGGCGGAGTGGCGCGAGGAGGCGCTGCTAGAGGGCGGCTGGGGGCTGGCGGAGGAGCAGATGGAGGAGCTGGGGGCGCTGGAGGACGGCCACAAGTACTGCTGGGACCCTGCAGGGGTGGTGTGAGGGGGCGCGCGGGTGGGAGGCGGAGAGGCGTGGGAGAGGGAAGGAGGGGAAGAGAGGGAGAGGGGGAAGGGGTAGGACCTGGGGTGAGGAGCACTTTGCTGCCTTGCTGCAAACCTGGTGTCGTGTGGGGCCAGGTATGCATGGGGTGCCAGTAGGAGAGCTGGCGACGAGCTGCTGGGGGCTGCCTCCATGCCTGAGGCCCTGAGGGGCTCTGCGCCACCGGTGGGGCCCTTGGGGCTGTGCGGGGGTATGCATTACGGTAGCTGCTGCGGTAAGGGATGACGGGTGCCATGCATGTAGAAGCCATGTAGGCAAGGGCAAGGTGGATGCTCCCCCGGACAGATTGGCAAGGGGGTATACGGCTTACAACCAGGAGATAAGCTGATGCTATTAATGTGAGGGTGCCGAGGGTGCGATGCCGATTCAACAATAATCCGCTGGATGTACGACAGCAATGAGCTTGGCAAATGGGACGCTTGGTGGCCAGCAGCAGGGAGACGTTGCGCATGTGGCCTGCGAACAGGAACACAACGGCTTTCCTGGCAGGATTTCGGACAGAGGAATCACGGTAGGTGTTTTGATGCGCGCCCCTTCAGTTGCAGCTCACATACCCGAATGCACACACGTTCCAGCTCGCATGCATCCTACGTTACGTTTCCGACTACCACAGTGACCATGATGACGTGTTGCATGCTGTGTACGAGCGGCCCCTGGAGCGGCCGCTGCTGGGCTCCAAACAAGTGGCGACAGGACACGTGCGACGAGGCCCCATGGCGGGTCACGACCTCACTCCAAAAGACGCATGCAACGATCATAAATATCCATAATCAACTTTATCAGCCCCGAAGCGACACGTCAGGCGCGGTCGTCATGGACAGACAGCAGGCACACACTCTCCACATGTGCCACTGGCCCGCTCGGCAAGGCCAATGCACCCCTGCATCACCGTGCGCCCTCGTAATACCCCGCTGCAGGAGCTGCCCGCGCTGCTCTGGCAAACAGCCCCCGCCGCAACGGCGCTTCTGCCTCCCCAGCAGCACCCCCAGCAGCACCACCGCCCCTCATCAGCACCGCCGCCACCGCTGCCTCCAGCGCTTTGTCCCCCGCCGCTGCCTCCTCCTCGTAGCTGTACACGCCCCACACCATCTCCATCAGCGTGTCCAGACTGCGCTCGTGCCACTGGTAGGCCCGCACGCGGTGCAGCGGCCAGGGCAGCCGCAGCGCACACAGCCGCTGGAAGCTGGGAGTGGCGCCCAGCGCTCGCAGCGACTCCTGCAGCTGCGCGCGTGTCAGGGCTGGGCCCACGCTGTGCGGCGGCAGGTCACTCACCTGCCTGTACGCTGCAGATGCGATTTTAAACGGGTCGTACAACCAGGGAGAGCGCGGTTTGAAATGCCAGTTGCAGTAGTAGGTGTAGTAGGCCTGGAGCGCCTGCGCCTCACTGGTGCAGGCCAGGGCCCAGCGTCGGAAGTAGAGGGTGAAGGTGGAGGAGGGCCAGGTGTCCAGCTCGCTGAGCATCTGGTGCAGACTCATGCGGCGGTAGAGCCGGTAGTAGGCCATGACAGGGTACCAGAGCAGTCGTACGAACACGGTGAAGGGGAAGGTCGCCTCAGCTGGAGCCTCCCTTGCCTTGGCTTCATCGTAGGCGATGGCCACGATTGCCAGGAGGATGTTTTGCACGAAGATGTAAAGCATGATGATGCTAATCCAAAACACGGCATCCTGCATGCTGGCCATGAGAGCTGTCTTGGGAACGGTGCTGTTCACAAATTCATCGTAGCTGTAGAACCCAAACATGAGCTTGGACAGGGCGGCGAAGGCTGTGGCAGGGTAGGTCAAGTCGGGCTGGATGCCTGGCAGCTGTGTGCTGGCTAGGCAGAAGAAGCCGATCAGCAGGAAGGCGAAGGCGAAGAAGCAAACAAAGTTCACGATGGCCTTCCAGACCGCCGACAGAACGTAGAGGTACAGGCGCATGCCCCTGTGGACGCGGAAGTAGGGGTAGAGGGAGAGGCCGTTGAGCAGGATGGTGAAGCTGCCCACCTCGTACCAGAAAGACACGAGGCAGCCCCAGTAGAGCAGCCGGTTGAAGTCGCTCTCATCACCGAATGACGACTGCGGCTGTCTGGGCTGCAGCGAGTAGGCGGAGGTGGCCACCGCGTAAATGCCGTACATGTAGACGCAGCACCACAGCAGGCACAGCAGCAGCGCCAGCAGCTCCAGGCTGAGCAGCAACAGGTGGCGACAGCAGGAAGCGGAGGGGTCAACGTCCGTATCGAACAACAGGAAACCAAGAGGCGGGTCATGAGACGTTTACGCAGGCAGGCTTGTGCATGAAATGGACAGGGCCACAAGCCGTGGCAAAGAAGATTCAGCTCCAGTCTAGAAGATCAACCTTCAGCCCAGCCCAGCCCAGCCCAGCACAGCCCAGCCCTGCCCTGCCCTGCCCTGCCCAGCCCAGACCCAACCCCAACAATGCACCTCTTGCGGAACCCTCGCTACATTCCCGCCGCTCACCTGTTCCAAAGGCTATACGTGAAGAACGTGGCTAAGGTCCTCGCCCACCCTGCCTTCCGCCGCGGCTCCATTCCCGGCGTCCCCTTTGCGTCCTTGTCCCGCCAGTCGTGCATGCGCTGCAAGTCGTACAGCCAGATGGAGCGCACCAGCACCCCGCTGTAGGCCAGGGTCAGCAGCAGCACCACCGACACAAGCAGGACGGACCAGGGCGCGAAGGGCCGGTCGCCGCTGAGGTCTAGAGTGGCGGTGTAGACGGAGACGGCGTCGTCCAGCCTGGGGTCGTTGGGAACCAGCGTTGACCGGTGCGCAGTGAGGGCGACCCAGGCATACCTGTTTGGGAATATGCTGTAATCACACACGACTTCAAGAGCAATCTTGAACGCATATTTCGCCACGAAATCCGCGTCAACGGATAACTGGAGGAACCGGTCAGCAGCCGTTGTAGCGGAGCCCGGTGTCGTGTTGCTGTATAGTACGGCTGAGAACAGCTTGTTAGATGCATACAAGAAGCTCGGCGCGTTGGTCGTCGACATGTTCCAAAATTTGGACGCGAGAGTTGCGTTATCCGTTAAGTAGCACGGCAGGGAAGGGTAACGGCAGTTGCTGTCAAGGTCCAAGACAAGCCGCATGTAGCCTAGCCGTGAGTAATCCCCGAGGGCCAACTGTTGCATTGAGACCTGGTCCTGCCCGCCGCTGGGGTCAGCCGCCGCTTTCGCCTGCGTGGGTGGCGAAGTCCCGCCGAACAGCGATGACCGCAGGTCAAAGATGTACGCCACGGCATCACCCATGGTGGTCTGGTCCTTGAAGATGCGCTCCTGGCCGGCGGGACCGAACCGCGTCAGCTTGTCCACCATGTTGGCGGAATTGACGATCTGTTCGCGTGTGTAGGTGGAGAAGAAAGCGCCCACCACGAGTGCCCAAAAGGCCAGCCGCGCTGCAAGGTAGGTAAGGCCGTGGTACTCGTAGGTGTCAAGCACTGCGCTGCGCAGGTTGACACGCCGGCTGTCAGATTCTGACTGGGGCATGCAGAAGGCATCGCTGCCTTTAGCGGGCTGAGGAGAGCAAGGCATGTCTGCTTCAGGGGCAGCAGCATCCACAACTGCCACGCATACCGACAACGGGGTGCCGGTGGCTGTTGCTTGAGGGCTGCTGGGGCATGGCGAGACCTTGGAGGGGCTTCCACGCATTTTGCTGGAGGCCGGCTTAGAGGGTTCACCGCTGATGAGCGTCTAACGTCGCTAGCTGCTACTGCGGTATTGCCGAACTGTAAACTGGAATGGCAAAAGCGAATGTTGTCAATTAATAAATCCGGATTTTATCTGCCGATGGCGGGTATCCACTAGCCACTATGTAGCTCTTAGAGGATACAAATGCGGTTGGGACTTGCAAGCTTCATTGCTAACGTGCCTCCCAAGTTCTGTGATAGAACATAACGAGCGAGATGTGCTCTGTTACCTGTAAGCTTGGTGTCTTCAGTTTCTCGTCGCTCGTGCTTAGCGGCATGTGTCGGGCACAGCAGGCTAGTCAGGCTAGGGACTGTAGCTTCCTCCTATCAGTCAGCGGATCTAGTTTCTCACACCGGCCGTTATGCACAATTTGCATAGTTCTTCACTAAATGAACAGCGGCTGCATGCACGAGCGACAAATGTTGGCGACGAAGGCGCTTGCCGATAAGCAACCGCCAAAAATGATACCTTAGTACTGTTTATACGCTGAGTGTGATGTGACAGCAGCTTGAAATTGCATACTGGATTCGAGCCACGGCCGACAGGTCGGTCGAACCTCGTCGGCGGGTGAGCTAAACGTAGCGACGGCCAGGTCAGAATGTATAGTATTAATTTAAGTGGAAGGGTCACGTTGGTACACATCGTCGCAGTGCCACCGGTCGCGGCATTGTACGGGTAGGTGAACTTAGCCTTGAGCCCTTGACAGCATCGTAGGATAGCTGAGGACCTCTCCAGCGTAATGTACGTTTACGTGTTATATTCCTTCTGCTGTAGGTTTGAAGGGAACACGTTGAAGTTGGGACCCTTCGCCGTTTACTGGTACAGGTCTGAAGGGTGGGTACACAAGCCATGGTGCCTAAATTGGGCTTGGCTGGCAGGCACTGCTTCCCGGTACCCAGGTAAAGGACACTTGGACTCCTTGCCAAGCTGGACACTAATAAAGCAAGTGCTTTTTCCCGCCGCTCAGGCGATCCAACCTTACAATACTGCCTTTCTTCTGCCGCCGGCTCACCCGTCTCAGCAACCCAGCACCCCATGCAGCGCCCGCACCAGCCCCACCCCACCACCACTGCTACCCCCCGGCTCGCTGTCCCCTGCTGGTCCCTCATCCCCCGCAGGCGGCCCCTCCAGCCCCGCCGCTGCCATCCCCCACAGCACATCACGCACGCTAGCAGCCCATGCAGCCGCCCGCCCCGCAGCCTCCCCGCCCGCCTCCTCTCCCGACCCCAGCTCCCTCTCAGACCACCCGGCTGTGAGGTGTCCGGCTGCACGCACCGCCGCATGTGCTGAGGCCAAGCCTGGCACGAAGCCGGTTGGCTGTGCAAGCAGGTACATCAAGCCGCGCCCCTCCTCCACGTCATCCACCCCAGCTGCCCTGCACCCCGCCAGCATGCCCTCCGCAGACGAAGCTGCAGCCGGCCGCAAACCCTGCGTCGCACCCCCCTCCTCCATTGCTGCTGCCTGCATCGCTGCCCCAGCACTGCCCTCGCGACCCCACACCGCCACCGCCGCCAGCGCCGCTCCGAACACCCGCCGCCGGCAGCCCCACATGCACCGCCGCCGGGCTGCTCGCTCAGCCGCTGTGGGGGTGGTGGCGGTGCCACTGCTGCCGCCATATAGTTGCTGCTCCTGCTGCATGGAAGAGGAGGAGGAGGTGGGAGGCTGAACGCCCTCTGGAGCTGTTTGCTGTTGTGGTGTTGGGGGTGGGTGCGGATAGGCGGGTGGCGAATATGGCGGTGGCGGCGGCAGGGGGCAAGCCGCGGCATGTGCGCCCACCGCCCAGGCCAGTTGAACCAGCGTCAGCGGAGGTAGCGGCATCACCGCCTCTTCTTGCGCCTCTTCCGCCTCATCTTCCGTCGCTGTCCCCGAACCTGGCCTCCTCCCCGCCGCCTTTGCACCCTCTCCCGGGCGCTTCCTCTGCCCCCTTCGCCCCGCGTGCCTCGAGACGCCTTCCTCCTTCCTCCCGGCTACCAAGTCCATCGTAGCCGCCTCTGCACTCCCCTCAGCGCCCTCGCCCTCACACCCAGGCCCCTCCGCCGCCCAGGCCCAGGCGGGCGGGTCCAGGCGCCGCAGCAGCCCCAGCCAGGGCCGCAGTCCCCGCTGCACAGCAGCCAGGGCCGCAGCCTCCCAGGGTTCGGGTGGTGAGAACTGGAGGCGGCGGAGAGGGGCACGCGGGGTGGCGGCGTAGCGGGTTGGATGGGATGCGCAGGGCAGGGCAGGGCAGGGCAGGGCAGGGCAGCAACCATGCAGCTCAGGGCGCCAAACAGAAGCAGGAAAGTGGCGGGCATGTCGTCAGCAAAGTGCAAACCAGGAAAGCAGGACCCTGGCGCTGAGGGGGACGCGGACGAGCGGGCGAGGGAGTAGGCCTCGCACGTGCGCCTCTCTCTCATCTCATCTAGCGTGCACCCTGCCGCCGCCCACCACCTACCTGGAGAGTTGCAAGGCAGTACAGCATCTCGGCTGCCGCCGTGCCGCTGTCAGGGGCGTCCGCCACACAGGGTTGTGTCCCTCCCTCCGCCTCCGCTGTTGCCACCTCTGTTGCTGCAAACGACCCACGGGCAGCTGCAGCAGCCGTGATGGCAGTCCTCCTGCTGCTGCCACGGCCACTGCCGCCGCAGTGCAGGTGCGGCAGGTAGGCTGCGCACCAGTCCGCCAGCCAGGGCTCCCCGGGGTAGGCACCCGGCAGCCCGGCAACACCCTGGGCAGTAGAAGAGCGGGGGGGGGGGGTAAGGGGGTGCGCAGGGAGGAGAGTGCGGGAGGGCCGGGAGGGTGGGAGGTGCGTGAACGGGTGCAGCGGGGAACACCGTTGCGTACCGGCAAGGAGAGTAAACCGCGAGCGCCCAGCTTGCGTAACCGCCCAACGCCTCCAATTACGCCTCTTCCCTCCCTAACCCTTGCTTCCTTCTCCTCCCAGCCGCCAGACAACCCATCCCAGCTCACCTGCAGCAGTGCCCTCAGCTCCCGCTCGCTGAGCCGCCCGCCCGCAGCACCCCTGCCCTCATCTCCACCCACACTATTGCTTCCTCCACCGCCACCGCTGCTTCCATCCCCTCCACTTCCCCCATGGACTGAGCCCGCGGCAGGCTGCTCCTCCCCACGCAGCACCTGCTGCCGTTGCCGCCGGTGGCTAGCAGGCTGCGGCTGCTGCTGCGGTGGCGGTGGCGGCGGATGCGGATGCGGAGGCGGGCCCCCTAGCCAGCGCCAGCCCCTGAATGCCGCCCCCGCCACCTCCACCAGCGCTCTTACGGCGGCGGGGCGGCAGGGGCAGTGGTGCAGCGCCGCCAGGGAGGCCAGTAGCCGGCAGGCTGTGGGGGGGTCTGGGAGAGAAAGGGGCAGGGTAGGGGGTAGGAGTGCGCAGGGGAGGGGAAAGCAATTAATGAGGCCCGTTGCCATGGGTCGCTTTACTTACCCTACTTCACAGTTGATACCCCAGGACTCGACTGGAAAAGCTCAAGCAGCCCGAAGCATTCATTACAACAGCAGCGCAGCAGTTGCTTGTCCCACGCTAGCACATCCATACTCATTGGACCCGCCTGCCCCCCCCCCCCTGCACCCGCTCGCGCTACCTAGCCGGTGTTGCTGCGCCAGCAGCTGCTGCTCCGCCGCCTCCAGCCACCCAACCGACACGCGGGGCCCCGCGCCCCCCGCAGCTGCCTCCAGCAGCGCCGCGAGCTGGGAGTGCATGGGGAGGAGGGGGGAAGCAGGGGTATGAAGGGAAGGAGACACGAGTGACGGACTGAAGAACCCATATCCCAGGATACTGCTGTTACTCTGAAGGGACCGCCCCGCCTTCCCTTACTCCTAGTGCCCATTCCCCCGACGCCGTTCTCCTCCACCTCCTCCTCCTCCTCCCCGGCCCCCCCCCCCCTCACCTCCCTGGGCTGCATGGAGGCCATCGCGCCCGCCGCACCCCGCAGCAGCTCCGACCAGAACTGCTCCTCCTCCTCCTCCACCTTTTCCGCCTCCTGCGACCCTCCTCCACCTCCACCGCCTCCCCAGCAGCCCCTCCCCGGCCCCGCAAGCCGCCTCCCCAGCCCCCTCTCAACCGCCCTCATCACCTCCGCCACCCGGCCGTACCCCCGCGCGTCCAGCAGCCCCGCAGCCGCACTCCGCAGCACCTCACACCGCAGCGACGCAAGCGCCAGGAGCTCCTCACCGCCCCTGTCACCGGCATTACCACCCCCAGCAGGTACGGGTGCGGGTGTGCGGTGTGGTGTCGTACGGCCCCCGCCGCCCCCCGCCGACTCCACCAGGTGCGCCACCCTGTCGCACGCCAGCAGCAGCAGCCGCTGGCTCCAGGGGCGGTGGTGAGGCCCTGCTGCTGCCCCGTGGCTCCCATCCTGGTGACGGTGGGGGTGGCGGGGGCTGCCGGGGGGTTGAGCGGGCGGGGGCGGGGAGGTTGCATGCGGAGGTTGCTGCTGCTGCTGCTGCAGGGGGATCTGCACCGGGTGCCGCAGCTGCCCTCCGGCTAGCAAGTGGGAGACAGCCTGGGGCAGCAGGGGTGAGGGTAGGGAGGGCAGGAGGTCAGGGCTCGGCAGAGGTATGGCGGGAGGAGGACGGTCCTCGCATGCCATGCTCTTTGAGCGCATCCTTCAGCCGGAACTGCAAGCCCCGGCACCGTTGCTTGGGGCAGCCTTGCACCAATACCACACCCTCACACCCTCACAAGCACTACCGCTCCCACCGGCTGTACATCCAGCAGAACTCACCTGAACTGTGTCCGCTGCTGCAATCAGCTGTTCCAGCTGTGACTCGTACGATAACAGTGCCGTGGCAGCTGTAGAGATGGGCTGTACGACATGCAAGACAGCCAGAGGGGCACCAGATGGGAAGCCATCGGCACTTGCCATGCAATCCTGAGGTACCCAGGAAGATGTAGAGGAGGTCGAGGACGGCACCAGGAGCACTGATGGACGCAGGATGTGATGTAGGGGCTCGCTTGGGTCATCTTCAACCTCACTACCGCCACCCCTGCTCCTGAGCTTTCGTGGGCGGTAGTGCTGCTGCGTTGAACTCGTGCTTCTCGAAGGCGTTGCGCTTAGGTGATATCGAGACGAGGGCCATGGAAGCTGTGCATGGCTCGTTGAGGGTGAAAGGGGTAACCGCTCGCGCCGTGGTCGTCGTTGTGGCAATTGCTGGTGCTCTAGGCACTTGATCGCTAGGCATCCCTTATACGCTTTCAGATGCCCACAGACATGCCTATGGTTGCAACCGGTTAGGCACGGACAAGTCGTCGATTGACAGTTGCGGCGACCGGACAGAGACCAGGATAGCGGTGGAACTCGTCGTAGCGGCGCAAGTTGTCCCACTAAGCTCGCGGAGAGGCCCGAGCCGCTCGCGACGCCAGCTTGCATGGCATGCAACATATCACTTGGTCGCAGATGCAACCAGAATAGCAATAGTTATTTCCATCTTACAAATGCCGGGCGTAAAGGGATCCGATGAAGGTATAATAGCAATCCGTGCTTGACCGTATCTCAGCAAGGCCGCTGCATTAGCGTGTAAAAGGGGGAGTAAACCATGTAGACTGTGGTGATAGGCGTTTACTTCGCAAGTTCCACCATTATTTGCGCGTGGATTGGGCTCCTATGCTTGCAATGGTTGGAACTGCAGTACATGTTTGTCGACAGAGATTAGCAATGCCACATTTGTTTTACAAGCTGTGTGTTGCTTGCTTGTGTACCTCTATCGCAATATAACTTACTTTACACCGCCGCCATATAGGGTTATCAACTGAACATTTGGTGGTGGCTAAAGCAGCCCTAACGAGCATTGTAAGTTACACCTGCGGCAGTAGCTCCTAAAGATGCCTAAGCGTAAGGCCGAGGCTGAGGCAAAGCGTGATGAGGAAGAGGAGCAGCCGGAGGAGCAACCTAACGACGATGACGACAGCGAGGATGAGGACTTCAGCGCTGAAGAAGCCAGCGAAGATGACAGCGACAACGAAGGGGAGGGCGATGAGGGCGAGGACAGCGACGATGACGACGAAAGTGGCAGCGGCAGCGATGACTCCGCTCCTGAGGCCTCTTCCAGCGAGGCTGAGTCTGAGGACGACGAGGAGGGCGAGGCGTACAAGGAGGTCAACGTGCAGTTTGAGTTCTTCGACCCGCAGGAGCGCGACTTTCTGGGCCTGAAGGCGCTGCTGACCACCTACCTGGACGGCCTGCAGTACGACTGCAGCGGCCTGGTGGACGCCATCATCAAGCAGGTGAGGGGGAGGGGGAGGGAACAGGTGGAAGCCGGGGCAATGGTGGGTGTAGGGGTGGCAGCGGTTGTGGAGGAGGTCCCGGGCACGTCCGGGGTATAGTAGGAAGCATTGTGTGGTCAGTTTAAGGCATGGGCTTGCAGGCCTGTACATGTTTCTTGCGTTTTTGGCCCAATCCATGGCATGCTCCTCTCCACCCTCCCTCCCTCCCTCCTCCCCATGCACAGACCGCAGTGGGCACGGTGGTCAAGTCCTCCGAGGATGATGACCCCTTCGCGCTGCTCTCCGCCTTCAACACCACGCGCGGCCCGGCTGCGGGGTCCGCCTGGCTGGGCCAGGTGCGCGACTACCTGCGCAGCCGCTGCAGCGACCCGGACACACGGGACAAACTGGACAAGGTGGGGTGGTGGGGGGTGTGAGGGGGTGGGGGTGTGAGGGGGCGGGGGTGTGAGGGGGCGGGGGTGGGGCGGTGGGATGGTTGCCGGGTTGCCACGGGCTGGATGGGTGGGGGCTGCGGGGGGCAGGCGGGGACAATGGGGACCGGCTGCCACACGCGGCATTATACCGGTAGGGTTCGAATCATGGTTCGGAGTGGGTGGGAGTGGATGGGGCCACATGCAGCTCGTTCGTCACGGTGATCTGCCATCCATAACGGTCTCCTTGCTTACCACAACCCACCCTCTCCCCCTCCCGCTGCTCCGCAGGCCCTGTCCGGCCCCGGCACCGCGCTGCTGGTCTCGGAGCGGCTGATCAACTGCCCGCCGCAGCTGGCGCCGCCGCTGGTGCAGATGTTGCTGGAGGTGGGTGCGGCGGCGGGGGCGGGAGGGGCGGCATGAGTCAGACCAAACCAAACCAACTAAAACTAACATACCGTATTAGGGCGAGTCAAATGGGCTGGGAGTCGGAATGCGGACAGGATGCGGGGGGGGCGGGCTCCGAAGGGGGCGGGATGGTGGCGGGGTGGAATGGAACCTGTCGATGCATGCTGCCCCCTTCGCCGGACGCCCGCCATGTACCGGTATATGTGCTGCTGCTGCTGTGGCGGTGCTGGATGCAGCTCTCCTGCCGGCCTGCTGGGGTCACACGCCGGTCACTGCATCGCTGCTTCCTCCGCCCGGTTTTCCCCCGCGCAGGAGATTGAGGGCGCCGCCGCTGATGAGGACTACCCGGAGGTGCGGGCTGGCGGCTATACCCCGCTTGGGGGCCGGGGCTGGGGCTGCCGGTTTGGCGGCGTTGGGTGGAGGGCGCTCACTGTTCGGCTGAGTTCGCAGGTTTACGGCAGCGGTCGGAGGTCCTAGCGTGTTTGTGGCTGAGCTGTCTGACAGGCACTGACCGGATGCGCGGCGGGGCAGCTAGCCCTGGGTCGCATCAAAGTGACAAGTGCCCAGCCTCCCCGCCCTGCCCCCTCACAAGCCGCCCACCAACCAGTCCCCGACCCAGACTGGCCGCACCAAGCTCCCCCACCACCTCACCACCACCACCTCCTGTCCCCATTGGGTAATGCTTCTTTTCCCCCTCCTCGCCCTCAATGCCACACCCACCCCCGCGCCCGCACCCGCCGCCGCCCGCAGGAGGAGCGCGAGGAGTTCCGGTTCCAGCGCTACCTGCACTTCACGCGCGTGTACACGGACCCGCAGGAGGTGGGGGCGCAGGGGGAGGGGGGAGGGGAGGGGAGGGTGGGCAGGGAGGGGAGGGGAGGTTGAGTCAGGGACGGTGAGGGAAGACTTTACAACATCACTAGCAATTGGTAAGCTATGCCGCTTCCCTAAAATGCTCATGGGGGCTTCCTCCTTTAACCACGAAGCCGTTTTGGGTTGAAGTCAGCCCCAGTCTCCATGCTGAGAGGTGCTGAAATGCCTGTGTTGGCCACCCGACCCCCACCCCTCATGACCAGGATGGGGAGGAGGCCGGGCAGGACGGGGAGGGCGGTGCGGGTGCGGGCCCCAGCGCACCCAGGCAGGCAGCGGAGAAGAAGACGGGCAAGGCCAAGGTGGGTCGGGGCTGGGGGCGGCCTGGGGTTATCCCATACTGGACCTGACCGGATACTGCAGCAGTCGCTTGGGGGCCGGGGTGCGCGCATGCATGTCAGCATGTGGCAGTAGGCTGCAGCAGCGGTACGCGGGGTAGGCCCCAACGTGACTCTTGCCTCCACGGCCCCGCCTCGCGTGGCCCTGCTCCCTTCGCCACCCACCTGCAGCCGCACGCGGGTGACTAGTACCTCGGGTTACTGGTCTCCTCACCACCCCTCCCTGCTGCCCCCCACCTCCCCCCAACCCCCAGTCGCCCCTCATCGTGTACGTGCGCCCCGAGGACGAGTACCTGCACCAGGTGGCCTCCTGGAGCTTCACCTTCCCCGTGGAGGGGCGCCCCGTGGCCAAGGGCGACCTGCGCCCGCTGCGCGCCGTCATGTGTGTGGAGGCGGGGCGGATGGCGGAGGCGCGGGCCATGATGGACCTGGTGGTGGGGAACATGATGGCGGAGGGGGGGGCAGCGGGGGGGGCGGCAGCGGGGGGAAGCGGGGGAGGAAAGGGGGCTGGAGCAGCGGGGAAGGGTGTAGGGGCGGGCGGGAAGGGGGAGGAGGGCGGCAAAGGGAAGGGCAAGGGCGGGCAGCAGCAGGCGGGGGCGAAGGGGGGTCGCGCAGGAGGACGTTGATGTTGTGGGTAGGCGCACTAGGCGACGTAAGAACAGGTTAATTACGTGCATGCTCGGATCGACAGCGCGCAGGATGTGCGGAGCTGCGAGGGTTCGTGCTTTCTAAACTGCGTGGGATGCAAGTGCGCGGTAGGTTGCAGAGGTGGAGGTGCGACTGTAGTAGCCGGTGGTCCATGCCTTGCTGGTTGCGCAGGCAAGCTGGCGGAAAGCTGTTCGCTCCCAAGGCCAACGCACAAGGGTCTTGGTGTGGTTGAGGGACCCATCGCGGCAGTCGTGTGTCACCTCCAATGAGTTTGGAAGCAAGGGGCAACACGCACGCTTTGCGGTCGCCGCCTATCAGAAAATGACGCACAAGTCGGAATAGCACTGCCATGTCCATTACAGATCATGTCCGACTGCATTTGCAATAGCATAGTGCAATAACCGATAAGACTTCTAGGATAGAACCGTGGGTCACCGTGGGCACGGTTTCTTCCCAACTGCAATTCATGGGGAACATTGCGAAACGCCTCGCCAATGGGCAGTTCCGCAGCACGATAATCCACATCGCATCTTGGCTACGCCCTCCTCATCTCATCTCATCATCCATGCCGTCATCCCAGTTTTTGGGAACCTCCCCACAATACGTGCTGTGCTCCAATCCACCTCCTACTACTATTTAGCTGCACATGTAAGCAGCTCTCCGGCACCCTGAACAAGCAGCCGAGCAGTAATCCCTATCAAGTACACCGTCAGGCGGTCTGTCACCGGCTGAACTCCCTTCCTTGAAGGCCTCTGTTCGGTCACAGCACTTTCCTCGCTCGGCCATTACCCCTCCCTTCGCACCCTCCTCTCTCACCCTCCCAGCGCCTTCAGCATCACCCGTGCCATCTCCACCAGTCGCATGCGCTCCCCGTCCTCCGCCCCAAACGTAGCCGCCGCCGCCTCCAGCTCCTCCGCCGCCCGCCCCCGCTCCTCCAGCTGGATCAGCGCCAGCGCCGTCACAAGGTGCGCCTCGCCCACCGTCACGTGCCCCGCGCCCAGCGCCCCCGCCCGCGTGCGCGCAATGTCCGCCAGCATGTCTACCACCTCCATCAGCTGCAGCCGCCCCACCGGCAGCTGCACGGGCGCAGGCCGGCCGCTGCCGCTGTCCACCAGCCCCAGCACCACGGCGTTGAGCGCGGTGGCCCAGATGGCCACCACCTGGTCGTTGCAGGAGGCGGCCTTGTCCGGGTCGCCCGCGGACTGGAACACCTGTGCAGGGCAGGGCGGGGCAGGGCAGGGCAGGGCAACATGGAGTGGAGGGGGAGGAGGGAGGGGGTCATGGAGAGGGGAGTTAAGGAGGAGTGGAGAGTAGCAGACGACAGTGGGAAGGGGCATCAGGGACACACCATCACTCTTCCCCTCCTGCCCCCTCACCCCCGTTGCTGCACTCCTCCCGTTGCCCCCTTCCTTCCCCCACCTTGCCCCCTTGATGACGCCTTATCACAAGCTTCGTTCAACGTTTCCCCTCCCCCACCTTGCCCATGTTGTAGTAGCCCAGCGAGGTGCGCACATCCTCGGGGCCGTACTCCAGCGAGCAGTAGTACACGTCCTCCGCGAACGCATGCAGCGCCTCCGCGTGCTTGGACTGGAAGGCGTACAGCTGCCCGTACAGCCTGCTGAGCTGGCTCTTCATGATGCTGGTGGTCAGCCCCGGCTCCTTCATGGCCAGCCAGGAGGCCAGCGCCAGGAAGTCCTCGCACTGCTTGGCGCGCCGCAGCCCCAGGTTGGCTTGGGCGGCCAGCAGGTAGAGCGGGAAGAGCTGCAGCGCGGGGGCGGGCTTGAACAGCGCCTGGCCCTGCTGCACGGCGTCCAGGGCCACGGGGAGGGCCAGCTCGTACTCGCCGGCCGCCATGAGCCGGGCGGCTTCCTGGAGGGGGGGAGGGAGGGGGGGGAGGGAGGGGGGGAGGGTAGGGAGCGGGGAATGGGGAGGAGAGGGATGAGCGCTCGGGCGGTACTTTGTGTCATGGGGAAGTGGGGGGTGGCCCCAAAGCTAAGGAGCAACCCGCCAGCCAGAAGCATTAGCCCCAGGAGTACCTGAGACGCCAGTTTTAGCAGCGCAAGCTTAAAGGGCTGCACCAGCTCTATTCTCCGCTTGTCCACCAACAAGGTTTCCACCGTTGACGCTGGCAAGAGACACACGCCCTGGGTGTTTGCACTGCTCTCCACGGGCAGGTGCAGCTCGGCAACCGTATGCAACACATCGCGATTTGCTGATTGGAGTTTCGAGAGCTTATTCTTCCGCAGTTCCTGTTACAGGGGAAAGAGGTACGGTTACAGGTAGCTCCAACGGTAGCCATGTGAATGCAGACGCGGCTTACCTGTAGGAAGGCTGTGGGACTCTCCTGGAACAGCTCCACCGCAACCTCCCCCATAACAAAAAGCTGCGAGAAAGGCACTAGGTTGCTTCGCCTGGGCTACCAGAAGTCTCCTGTGGGCATGGTCGTGCATGCGCTCACCTTTCCATTGCTAGTGTGAAGCTGGTGTAGCTGCGCCTCTCCTAAGGAAAATACAGTGTATGTTAAAGTTGCCATTTCCGTATGCTACCCGCAAGGGTCGGGACGTATGGTCCTCCTTAGAAGCTGCAAGCTACTCGCCACGACCGAGGCAACAACATTTTAGCTATGTATTAATTAATGTTGATTGTTATGACGCAGGAAAATTCCGTTGGTGTCTTTCTATAAACGATAATTAAGTTCTAGAGCGAGGCGAAACGTATGTGGGTGTCTCTTTTGACTCTTCTCGTATTAATGCTGCGTGGACTTATGTATTTACAAGTGCGTTTTGCTCATCCTTCCCCATTGTTGCTGACAGTGTACGACGTTCCTGCTTTTGGCGGGTGCAAGGTGAGTTTGCTGCACTGGATTCCCGTCCCAAGCGAGAGTTCGCACAGTGCTGCTGCAGAGGCGAAACGCAGGGAAGAACATCCGTACTGTTGAAACCGTTAGCAACGAAATACCGGCAGGCCTCAACCGGCGTTCATCTTCGTGCAGGAGTAAACCGAGGCCCCAGATCACGGAATGGTCATGCCTATAGCCGTGACGAACTGATGGTGTAGAACAGACAAAGCGCTGATACTCCTTACAGCCATGCGATGGATGGGTCCGATGCTATTCGACAAACCAGCCGACGCAGGGTCAGGCCTTATCAGGTTTAACCGTGCCACTTATTTTCGACCCTAGTTCAAGCTAGTTGAAGCTACTTCATAGTTTCCATCGCGCTTCGTTACCTCCAGTTGGACACTGGACCCCTGTCTACCTCTCCTCAGCGCGTGCGGCGCCAACCCTCAGTACCGGTGATAGTTGACGGCGGAGAGCACAGCCGTGTACGACGAGTCTTCCCGGAAATCGTATTGAATGTACCGCAGGGGAAATGCTGCGATTGGGGGAGATTGGGGACTAAGCATGCACTAGCTGAGTGGGACACCCACAGCGCAATGGCAGTAGCGGTGAACTTTATGGCAAGGCAGGGCGGGTAAACAGTAACACATGCAGGAGCGAAACACTCCCCGTATCCGTGCCACCCAGCGGACTAGGAGGCGCGGCTGCCCGCGTGCCCGGCAAACGGCGAGCGCCACATGAACATGTAGGTTGCATTCGCAAAGACAGCAGCACACAAACGCGCTGGTAAGTCCCACGGAGCAGATCGCGGGGGGAATCCTTGCTTACTCTGCAAGGCGTTCTTGTCTCGCGGCTTGTACACCTGAATGGACACCGCACCGCCCGAGTGCAAGATGGCAAGGTTTCGTTTGTTAGCCCAGGTTAGCCCCATGTTAGTTCCGCTGTTGGAGTCTTCCGCAACACGTCATGACATTGTCTTAAGCCTACAGAACTAGGCAAGCGTATGAACCTGCGTGTGCAAGGCACAAGACTCCTAAGATGCGGACCCCAGGCCGGAAAACACGTCAAGACGCCAAAAATAATGCCATTGTACTTCATGCAGTACTACCGGTACTACCGTGCTCCTGGGTAGCCCCTGCCTGCATCGTGCGCCCTCTCGGGTGTGACAGCCCCCCATGAACCTTTCCGCTTCACCTTGATTTGGATGGGGCAGGTGACCAATCCGAACTCCTTCGCAGAGTCATGCAGGATCCGCCACGTGCCCGGATTGCCGGGAACACACGCAGACGGGCAACGGCGAGAGTGGGCAGCAGGTGGGATTCCTTTGTTAGCACTGGTGGGCATTGGGGGCTGTGCCACAGGCGATGAGAGGACGCGAGCCAGCGAACAAAGAAATGGGCGGCAAGGATAAGGACAGCAATGAAGCGGTGAAGGGGCGATGGCGACACCTCAACCGAGCATGTGCCTTCCCAAAATGCATTCACTCAGCCGCTCTAGCCTACCGCCACCCGCCTCCCATGGCGCCAAGCACATTTCCCCTTCGCTGACCCACCTCCCCACGCCCTGCCCCTCCTTCCCTACCTCCACATGTGCTTGCAGGCACAGATACCTCCGCCGCCCCGCCGCCACAGGCTCCAGACAGCAGCGCCAGGCAGCCCGGTGCAGGGTTCGACCCGCATCCGCACCCTCAGCCGCATCAGCAGGAGACCACACCAGCGCCTGGGGGTCAGGGAACCCGCCACCCGCACCCACACCCGGCGGCCCGGACAAGCCGCTGTCGCCGCCGCCAAAGCCGAGGGTTCCCGCAGCGGCCGGCTGCGAGGAGTGGGGGTGCGCAGCGCCGGGGTAGGCAGCTGGTGCAAGCAGCGGCGGGGCCTCTACTACGTTGCCATGCGTATCTACCTGCGAGCAAGGAGGGGTAGGAGGCGGACGGTCACGGATGATGGCAACGGTGTTGCCAATAGGTTTAGGGATGGCTGCATGCGGCACGGAGCGGACCCGCCCAGGGCCCGAACTCAGGGACAGGGGGCATATGGGTAAGTGCTCCTCGGGGCCTGCTTACCTCTCTGACGCACCAGCGGCCCGAGCCGGGCCTTATGCTGACCGGCTGGTTGCTGGCGAGGCTAAGCTGGTAGGTGGCGCCAGCACACAACTTGAGGGTGCTGGCACTGCACAGCGTCAACCAGTCACCTGGCCGCTTGTCGCCCTCGGCTTTCCCAGCGAAGCGCTGACCTGCTCACATGCGGCTCCAGCTTACCAACCTTGCGTCCATGGCGCAATGCTCACAGTAAGAGCAGGCCAACATAGGTGCTCAGCTATTCCTTACCATCGTGCTTCCAGTACGCTGGCGTGGGACCGTCGGTAATGCTCAGGTAGAATCGCAGCTGACCGCTAAGTCGCGGCTCTGCTAAAACGGTTTGCTTCTTATCGTTCATGTAGGTTAAACGGCGCTAGACGATTAATACGGAGAGCTCCAACATCGTTAACTGCTTTTGGCAGTTAGCGCGCGACCCCATGGGAGGTACAAATGGTATAACCTGAACTCTATCCTTTTTCTTTCATTTCACCTATAACCGTGCCACCCTGTCTAGACTAAAGGCCCTTGGATGGCTAACACCGAGCCTGTTGCCGGTACGGCAGAGATTAGCGAGTCCTAACGAATTAGGACATAACAAAACAAGTATATGGATTACCTCATACCAGCTCTGAAAATTATCTTGGACATGTATGTGCTTATCCCTGGAAAACTTAATTTGATTGTTGCGAAAGACCACCAAACTGCAGCGTTTAGGTAGGCCGTCCTGTAGTCATGGTATGATAGTGTTAGCGTGCGTTTAACTTGGCCTGTTTAGCTTGCATTCAGCTAGGGCTTCACGCCCATTCGTCGTCAGAGGCCTGGGCCACCCAGAACAATGGCTGGGGCGCTGCAACGCCCAAACGGTTTTGTTGCGTGCGCCATAGATTGGCCGTCGGCATCTCGGCATCGAAGCGGTTGTTGTCGACAACATCCCTTCCATCAACCCGGCCTGAGCGCTGGTCCGCGAGGGAAGAGGTCTAAGGACCATAGTGCCATACCTATAGCTAGTAGCAGCAGCTTCTTATGGTGGTGCGGGTCAGGTGCGAGGGAACTAAAAGCTTTAATGGTAAGCAGGAGTCGTCTGCGCATGTAATGGCGTCAGAAGCAACCACCATGCTTGCGTGATGCCCCACGCCTTGACCCGCACTCTTTCATGTCCCTTTCCCGCTACGCCACTGTTACGCCTCCCTTCCTCCACTCGGTCCCGCAACAGGTACCCGACCCAGGTAAAGCGCCGCTTCCCTCCTGGGACGACTCTGCAGAACCGGCTCGTCCTTCAGCCCCAGCCGCTGCTGCAGCTACGGTGACCGCCTCGGCCGCAGCATTAGCCCCAACGGCAGACGCAGCATATGCAGACCTGGCAGCAAACGTTGCTAGCGAGGCGGTGCAGGGTTCGGCTGGCGGGGCCGTTAGTCATGCCAATTATGCCTCGGCTGGCAGCGTGCTGTCGTCGGTGCTTTCCTCGCTGGAGGATGCGGACGTACGGCGCAGCAGCCTGGGCAGCGGGAGCAGTGTGGACGGGGAGAGCGAGGGGGAGATGTGTGTGCTTGTGTCGGACCCGGCAGGGGATGTGCAGGTGGGTTAGGGGCGAGGGCGACCTGGTGCTTGAGGTGCGGGGGCTGGAGGCTGCGGTGGCGGGGCCGGGGGGCTGGGGTGCTGGGCGTTACACTCCCTTTGTGGATACTGCAGCTCCCGGGCCCATGAAGACACGGGGGACGTGAGAGGCGTTGGGTGAATGACGTGGTGGAAGCGGCAGTGGAGGGAGGAATGTAGCACCGCTAGGCGGATGGCCACCCGGACGCAGCTGAGGGCGCCGACACACGCAGCAGGGGGTGCAACGGAGGAGAATGCATTCCCAGCTAGACGCCGCGTGGGCCTCCCTGCTAGAGCTGCACTGCACTCTTCGACAGCCTCCGGTAGGAGGCATCCACATCCTACGTCCACATCCTCCGCTGCGCCCCGCTGCGTTGCCCTGCAGCGGCGAAGCAGCGGTGGGGCCGCCAGGGCTGCTGCCAGCCTCCCTACAGGCGTACTGGTCCCAGCTACTCGGGCCGCGGGGCGTTGTACAAGGGCATGGGAGCTCACACCCCTCCTCAGCCCTCCTACGCCCTCCACCCCTCACCCTCCCTCCCGCCCCCCTCCCACCCCATGCAGATGGTGTGCGCCTCCGACCCCTCCCACCCCGTGTCGCTGGCCGAGCGGGCGGTGGTGTCCCCGCTGCTGCCCGCCAGCCTGCTGCGGGACGTGGAGGCGCGGCTGGGTGCCGACCTGGCCACCCTGGGCCTCACCGTGCTGTTCGCAGTGGGCTTCATCAGCCTGGGTGAGGGGGACGGGGGGGGGGAGAGGAAAGGGGGGGGGGCAGAAAAGGAGGAGGTGGCTGTGGGCGGCATGGGCCCTCTCCTGCTCCTCTCCCTGTTCCATCCCCACCCTCTCGCCTCCCTGCACCCTCTTTTGTTTCGTGACAAACTGCTTCCCTCTATCCCCATTGCTGTGCCATAACCTGTGGTTTTGGTATATCTCTGCCCCCCCTCCTGCAGAGTTCGGCATCAACGACCTGATAGAGATCTACTGGGGTGACTCCACGCTGGCGGATGTGGTGTGTGTGGCGGCGGGGCTGGCGCTGGTGTTCTGGGTGCGACTCAGCAGGGTGCGCATCATGAGGCTGGACAGGTGGCGGTAGGGGGGGCGACTGGACAGGTGGCGGTAGGGGGAGGGCTTGGAGAGGGGAGGTAGGGCGTGGCGCGTGCGAATGGAATAGGATTGGAAAGCAGATGTAAACTGAGCGTGATTGGAGGAGGAGTGGTGGGGATTTGGATAGTTGAATAGTTTGGACGGACGGACTGTCAGTACAGCAGGAGGTGGGTACTGGGTGGTTGCATGAGGACGTGCGCCGACTGCCGTTTAGGCAGAAAGGAGGGACAGGCCTGGGGCGCGCTGGGAGTATGGGTGTACCCGGCAGTGCGAGCAGGCGAAACCAGCGCTACCCGTGTGCCAGCTTCACCTCAACAATCGCACACCTCGTCACCTCTTCCTCCTGCAAGGCGTGATGATCCAGCTGAGAGCAGCCAACAGCCCACCACTTCGTCGCTCCTCATTTCCCGTCGCATCACAGTTACACAACTTACCGTTAGTAGCCCCGAGCTTATCATCGGCAGAACCACTCCCTCTCAAACAGCGCCCTGGCCCTTGGAATCTCCCTTTCTCAGACATGTGGCAAACTCCGTTCTTTCCACGTTACAGCCGCTCACAGCCCGCTTTCCAAGCCCAACATAGCTAGGTGCATCCATCTTGTGACACGTTCAGCCGGCAGACAATTACCACGTTAACCCCTCACCACCACACTCTCGGCCCTGGAATACCGTACCACACAGCAACCCTTATCACTGCCCCAGCCCTCCTTCACTTCACTTCCGCTGCTCCTGACCCCCTTCCCCCTCCTCCTCCTCGTCTTCAAACGCCGCCCTGGACGCCTCCAACGCCTCCTGTAGCCGCCGCTGCAGCTCGCCCAGTGCCTCCTTGCGCTGCTTGAGCTCCAGAACCGCGATCTGCACCGGGATGTCCTGGGGGCGCCGATGATGAGGTAGGACCGTTGAGGAGGTGGGGGTTAAAGATATGCCAAACCACAAGTAAGGAGGAGGAGGAGGTGGACATAAAAGGGTGAAGCATGATGCGGGGTCGTCGGGCTAGGGGCGCCGGGGGCGAGGTAGGTGGGCAGGGCAAGAGGAGCTGCTGGAGGTGTAGGGCTCGCGTTCAGTCCCCTTACGGACGCATGCACGGCCAGGCGGTGCGGGGGGGGGGCATGTGAGGGATGAACGTCCGGCTACAGGGGTGTGTGTGGTTTTGCCAGTGAGTGAGAGAGGAGGGAGGGTGCAGGCCCAGGACCCCGTGGTCCAGTGATCCAGGATGTGGGGCAGATGCAGGCGCAAACCCACCACCCTACTGGTCTCCTTCCTCCTCTCTATCCCCTCCTACTCCCCAGCCCCCCTCGACACCCTAATGCCGACATCAGCATGGCAGCCGCCGTACAACATCCCCCATCCCCCACTCCCCACCCCCCACTCCCCAGCCTCTCCACCCCACCTGGTTGCTCATGCCCTTCTCCTCCTTGAGCGCCCGCACGTGCGCCGCCTGTTGCGCAACCGCCGCCTCAGCCGCCGCAACCTCCTCGGGCGTGGGGACAGCAGGCGCGGCAGCCGCCTCCGGATCGTCCCGTGGGTCGGCGGTTATGCGCACGACCGTCCCGTCCTCCAGCTCGTACTGGTCGAACACCGCAGCTTGACCCAGCTTGGTGCCTGCGGGGGCACCATCTTCGTGGTTGCAATCACAGCACGCACCGTCCCCTTCCCCGTCACCACATTCTTATCTACAACCCCTGTCACCGCGCTCATCACCACCCTCCCACCGTCTGCCCCATCCCCCTACCCACCTACACGCATCCGTTCGTCAGGGATCCTTGGCCTTCCTCTTTGTTTACCGCCCCCCCCCCCACACCTCCCCGCTCCGCCCCTTCCTTCCCGCTCCGCCCCTACCTTCCCGGTCCATGATGTTGAAGAGGGTGACCTCGCGGATCTTGAAGCGCCGCCCGCCTTTGGACACCCGCCAGCCCTCGTACCCCGTCACGTAGCCGCACTGCGCAGCGCGCTCAAGCAGGCCGTTGCGGTCCTGGGGTGGGGGGTGGGGGAGGAGGGGAGGAGGGGAGGAAACAGTGCCAAAGGGGGTCGGGGAACGGGGAAAAGGCAGGAGGACAACAGCACAGCGATATGTGGGGATGTATGTCACGCATACCGTATAGCGGGCGGGGGCATATGGACTTTGGAGGGTTGGGAGGGGAGTCAAAGGGAGGAGGAGAAGACCCAATGTGTTGAGCGGTAATGGCATGGCAGGGACGGGCAGAGCCGCCGGAGCAGCAGGAGGACCGCGGGTGGGGCTGATAGGTGCTCACCTGCCGCCCCCGCCCCCGCCCCCGCCCCCGTCCTGGCACTGGTAAGCAACGTAGGATTCACTCCACTGCTGCTGCCCCACCCCCCTGCTGCTGTCCCCCATCCCCCCCCCCCCACCTGCTGCGCCGCCGCGTCCTCCTCCGCTGCCGACTTGCGCGAGGGAGTGGCGAGCAGCTCCTCCCAGCTCGTCTCGAACAGCTCCAGGGCGGCACTGCAGGGGGGGAAGAGGCGGGAGAGGGGAAAGGCAGGTGGGAAGAGAGCCAAGGATCTTGAGGAAGGGGGCGGGGAGGGAGAGACGGAAGGAGAAGCATGGATAGACCGACGCGCCCTCACACACACCCAAGCATCTGCGGGCTGCCCAGGCGGCCCCTTGTTGCGTCCAACCCCCTCCCTCCACCAGGCACTTCAGCAAGGGCGGCAGGCGCCTGCAAGGGATCTTGTTCGCAGAAGCCTTTGCGCTTGTCCCTTCCTGCACCCCCCGCTCCCCTCCACCCCACCCCGCCCCAACCCGCCCCGCGCATCTCACCGGTTGCCGTATATGTAGATGGGGTCCGTGACGCCCTCCTGAGGGGCCGCAGCAGGCAGCCGGCAGGGGCGTTAAACCAGCGCGCTCATCCCGTGGGTGGGTATTCCTGCTCCAAACTGCCCTGGGAACCCCCCACCTCCCTGCCCTCGTAACAGCGTACAACGGGGGGATGCCGGTATGTGACACATATCCTCCCTGTGTCCCCTTCCCGCCCACCCTCCTCCACCGGCTCCCCTGTCACGTGGTTGCCATAACCGTTACCTAACTGGTCTTATCCCATTTACTCAAATACTTATACACCATTCCATCTTTGTGTTGCCCTCACTTGTGGTTCGGTACTTCTACCTCGACCCCCACATCTCCGCCCCCCCGACCCACCTGGAACTTGTTGTGCGCCAGCAGTGCGAAGGGCGCGCGGTAGAGGGCCGCGGGCAGCCGCTGGAAGTCCACCCCCTCCAGGAGGTACCTGGGGGGGGGTGCGGGGGTAGAAAAGAGGAAAGGGACGAGCTGTACGACGATGCCTCACAACGGGGGGCAGGGTTGCCGGGAGCAAGGGAGGGTTGCTTGGTCGGCGGGAGGAAGAGAAGGGGGGGTGCGGACCAGGGTTGACATGGGAACGGGTGCTGTGGAGGTTCGGTGTGCTTGTCAGGGAGGAGTAAGATTGGGGAAGAATGTTCCGTTGACTGAGCGGGAAATGTTGGGTCACAGCGGGGCAGAGAGGCCAGGTATGCATCCAGGATGGCTTCTGTGCCATCCTGGGCGCCCAGGATGGCACAGGGGCGCCCAGGATGGCACAGGGGCGCCCAGGATGGCACAGAAGCCCCTGGGCTCCTGTGCATGGGCGCCTGAGGAGAGGGTGCATGGGCACTAGCTGAGGTTTCTTACTTTCCGGTGAGTCGCCAGTAGGAGTCGCACATCTGGAACGCCAGCATGCGGGTTTCTGGATTGTCGTACTGGGAGGGCTGAGCGGGTGCGGAGGAGCCTGAGCTGGCAGCCCCAGCTTCCTTCTTTTTCAGGAGGTCAGCCAGTGCGCTCTTCTTGGCTCCTTTCTTGTCACCGCCTTTTTTGTCGCTGCCCTTCTTCGCAGCTAACACAACCATAGTTCGCGGCCGCCGTGCTACGCATGGTATCCCACGCCGCGGTGCGCCTCCAAATATGGAAGAGAATGGGTTGGCGTGTAGGCGCATGCGGACGGCAAGTTGCCCCAGCGCAATTGTCCGATCGTTAAGGGCAGTTAACCACGCTAAGGAGTGATAGTGGTAACGGTTATAACGCTGCTTAGAACAGGTAGCGATGTGTGTAATGGCTGGCGAAGTCTCAAATGGTAGGCAGGTGTCCAATCAACGGTTCGACGTGTGCAAGTACGTTATAGAAGCACACGCAATCCCAGAGCACACTAATGGCTAGATACACAAACCGCTTACACACAATATTGTTTGGCAATACAATAACAGTACTTTATCAAAGTAATCCAGGCTTCGACTAGAGTTGGCTACACGTCCTTCCTTGGAACTAGCGAGCAGCATTCTAACCAGTGTGCCTATTACTGGACTAAGACATGCATCGACAGTAATGCTTTCTGAACATTGTTTGGTTTCTGTCATATTCTTGCATGCCATGGCCTAGGCACACTGTAGGCGCATCCTCTTACCCAACATAGTATTTAATTAGTTAAACTATGTACCAAAGTGACTACAATAGCTCTCCATACGCAACGTTCGGCGGGTCCCTCTCTCGACAACAATCGTTAGCACGCCAGGGCTCCCTTCGGAACAGCACAGGGTCCTACGGCAATGGGTACAACCACGATGGGCCGTCTGCTTATGGGGCTCCAAACCGAAACATCCTGGACAACTACGGCTCGTTTGCGCAGCGGCCTGGCAGCGGCCGCGGGGGGCCAGCCTCCGGTAACATGGGTCTTGGAGGCCGCATCAGCAACTCAGGCAGCGGCACGGCACTCTACAGCAGCTCCTCGGGCGGGGCCTCCGTCTTGCCAGGTAGAGAATGCCGCCGAGAGGCGGGGATGAAGAGGGCGGGCTGGACAGGGCAATGGCGTCGAGCGTGCCGGGCCAGTCAATCGTGCGAATGCCGGGATCTTCAACCGGTCTGGGTGTAAGAACCATGGGATGTTGTCATGCGCATCGTTTTGTAAGCACTGTGGCTGTGCATTCGCAGCCAAGGGTACAAGCAAAGGCACCTGGGGTGGGTGTCTCCCGCTCGTAATTCAACTGGACATGACTCCACCCCTGACATGCCTTTTTCGGACACCGCTGTAGGTGCCAGCTCACGCCCCGCCGTTTCGGGCGGGTGGGCCAGTGCGACAGGGGGCGGCAAGGAGCCCCTATCACAGCGCCTAGCGCAGGTGAGGCGGGGAGGCGATGAGGTGGGAAAGGGCAGGGAAAGGGCACAGAGGGCTAAGGCAGCCAAGGGACGGGGGCAAAACACTCAGGCGCGAGGGCTTGGGAGGAAAGGCCGCTGGCGGGACGACCAAGCGGCTCAAGTGCCGTCACATCGTCGCACTGCCTGCCCGGCATTTCCTCAGTCCGGACCCCATTACGGTTCTACTGGCGGGACCCATGGCCATGCCCACCTCGCAGCAGCACCCTCTCGGGCAGCGATGGCGAACAGGAAGAGTAAATTCGTCGTGCTAAGACCAGTAGCTGCTCCTACCGCCATCCCCGCAGTCCATGGTTGCAAATGTCAAGGTCCCTCTACCTACCACCACTTCCCCGCCCCGCATCGAGCTCCTTCGGGTCTATCCCCGCCCCGCCCCGACCACCCACCTCCCTCGCCCTCCGTCCTTCCCTTTACCCCGTCCGCAGGTCAAAGCGGTGTACAACGCGGCCCGCCTGAACCGCAGCCTGGGCAACATGCTGCAGGGCGGCGGCACCGCCAACCGACCCGAGGTGCGCGCAGCGGCTGCTGCTGCTGCTGCTGCTGCTGCCAGCCCAGGCCGCGGTGGGGGCCGGACGGCAACACCAACGCGTCAGGGTGGTCAGCGCCCCGTTGGCTTCACCTGCTACCTGTGCGGCCAGCAGTACGGCAGCCAGAGCCTGATGGTGCACATCCCGCAGTGCCAGAAGAAGTGGGTGATGGTAGAGTCAAGTAAACCTCGGCTTGAGCAGCGGCCACTGCCCCCCATGCCCCCTGAGTTGGAGGCAGGGGTGCTGCCCAGCAGTCCGGGTGAGGTGGAGGCGTTCAACAGCCGCATGTATGCCTACTGGGACAAGGTGTCGCTGGTGGCGTGCCCCATCTGTGCACGGACGTTCAGGTGAGGGATAAGATAAACTGAGCCGCGGAAACACTGACCCTGACCGTAGATTACCGGAAATTGCTTGATGGTGTTCCAGAGGGATAGTGTGTGTGGGGGGTTTCAACGTAGCAGTACCATGGGTTGCGGCGATGCCGTACGGGCGCTCCTAAGGGTGCTCGGAGTCCCCTGCCACTCCGCCTCGGCGCGGCAACTCGTCCTAAACATGCTGGCAGCAGCTTGGAGTTTAAATAGCTAGACGCGAACCAAGTCGCGGAGAACGGACCGCGCTCCCCTTCCGGCAAGTGCGCAGCAGCAGCACGGTCCTTTTCCCTCCACGGAACAAAACGGGCCGGATTCTCTTTGACCTCCACCATCGCAGAAAGCTGTTTCAGCAGAGGCCCCTTTCCCCACCGGTCATCGGTTACCTGTCCCTCCATTCCTCTGCCGCAACAGCCGTCCCCAACCCTCCTTCCCGCCCCTCGCAGGCCTGACGCCTTTGAGCGCCACGCCAAGGTGTGCACCCCGAATAACCCCGGCGGACCGCTGGGACCCAACAAGCACGCAACCGCCAGGCCGCCCTCCGCTAGGCCGCCGGGAATGGGGGGCGGGGGCGGCGCCGCCGGCCGGCCAGCAAGCGCCGCGCGCCCCGTCAGCGCTGGCCGCGGGTACGGCACCGGTGGCGGCGGCGGCGGATACGGTGGTGGCGGCGGCGGAGGCGGCTCTCCTTCTCCGTCGCGTGTGCCGGCCCGTCAGGGTGGTCAGCGCCCCGTTGGCTTCACCTGCTACCTGTGCGGCCAGCAGTACGGCAGCCAAAGTCTTATGGTGCACATCCCGCAGTGCCAGAAGAAGTGGGTGATGGTGGAGGCAAGCAAGCCCCGCCGAGAGCAGCGGCCGCTGCCCCCCATGCCCCCTGAGTTGGAGGCAGGGGTGCTGCCCAGCAGTCCGGGCGAGGTGGAGGCGTTCAACAGCCGCATGTATGCCTACTGGGACAAGGTGTCGCTGGTGGCGTGCCCCATCTGTGCACGGACGTTCAGGTGAGACGAGCAAGGGCAAGGGAAAGCAAGGGCAAGGGCAAGGGAAGCAAAAAGAGCGGAGCAAGGGCACGGGCAAGGGAAGGTGAAAGATTGCATCATGCATATGCATGTAGGCGGTGCTATGGTGTGGGAGAGTTACACTGGTACTGACGATCCCGGCGCAAGCGGCAGGCTCCACTCCTGCTCGGTTCCCCTGCGTTAGCCCTATCCAGCCGAGCCCTCGGTACAAAGGTTCGTGGGCCAACGCAACGGCGCACACCAAGCAATGGAGGGATGTGTTAAAGCGGGTCGAGCAGGCGTTGCAACGTACGTGCGCAGCCTTGCGGCCGGCGGGTGGCGGTCCAGGAGCGCCCAGCAGCCATGTGGACAAGACGGGGCGGCAGGCGGAGCGGCCTCTCCAGCAAGACGCTCCGCCTGCCAGCCCTACTGAAGCCCCGCACCCCGCATGAAGATGACGCCCCCTCCGCTCTCCAGTTGCTCCACGTTTCCTTTATTCCTGTCCCACCTCACAGGCCTGACGCCTTCGAGCGCCACGCCAAGGTGTGCACCCCGGACAACCCCGGCGGACCGCTGGGGCCCAACAAGCACGCAACCGCCAGGCCGCCCTCCGCTAGGCCGCCGGGAATGGGGGGCGGGGGATCCCCTGCACGACCCGCCAGCGCCTCCCGAGCTGCGGGCGGCGGGGGAGGGGGCGGCGGCACGCCACCTCGTCGCGAGGGCGAGCGCCCCCGCGCCTACGTGTGCTACCTGTGCGGGCAGCAGTTCGGCAGCCAGAGCCTGACCATCCACATCCCGCAGTGCTATGAGAAGTGGCTCAAGGTGCGGCCCGACTGCAGCTGATGATGAAGGCCCGGCTGTGCCTTTCTGGTCGACTATCCGCTGTGTCGTACACCCCAGGCCCCTGCCAGCCATGTGTCCTGCAAGTGTGGGTCTACACCGCACTGCTTTAGGTGCTTGCAACCGCCTGGGAGCCCAGTTGCCTGCCGCGTGGAGTGCCCCGATCGCATGAAGCCGCTTTCACTCTTGCATTCCGAGGGCCCAGCGCTGCCCCTGCTCTTTCCGCCTCTCGTTCCCGTCGCAGTAACAAGGCATGGTCACAAACCTCTTCCTCTTCGGCTGTACCTCCGGTCTTGACTTCTTTATTTCCACTTTATCCTCACATCTCCTCTCATCTCTCTCTCATCTCCTTTCATTAAAACGGGCTGGTTTGTCTTTGCCCCCTCCCCCTTCGCCGCCCTGCAGGTCGAGGCCACCAAGCCGGCCAAGGAGCGGCGCCCTCCGCCGCCACCGCCGCCCGAGCTGGACCAGCCGCTGCCCACCCGCCCGCACGAAATCGACGAGTTCAACTCCAAGATGTTTGGCTACTACAACGGGGTCAGCCTGATGCCCTGCCCCAATTGTGGCAGGACGTTCAGGTGTGGGGGGTGCGAATGCTGCAGGGGCTGGGTGGCGGGCTCAGCGCGCAAGGTCTGCGCACCTGGGGTGCGGGGTAGCAACGCGCAGTGCAACGCGCAAGCGTCATGTGTATGTGTGGATTCGTGTCAGCGGCCGGCAAGTGGGGTTGCCGGGTCGGTAGGCCCAAACATCCATACCCTCGGTTGCTTGTCTGTGCGTTACCATGTTTGCCAGTCTGCGGAGGGCAGTAGTGGTTCCACAACAACACTGAGCATGGTGCTGCTGCCCGTGCCGTCTGCTCCGTCCGCAGGCCCGAGGCGCTCAGGGCGCACCAGAAGGCCTGCACCCCCGACAAGCCCATGGCTCGGCCGGGCGCACCGCTGGCAGGAGGGGGCGGTGGCGCTGCTGCTGGCGGCGGGGGTGGTGGGGGTGGCGGTGGCCCCTCGGAGTACGACGATGGCTCCGGCGGCGAGCTGGAGATGTGCGCCAACTGTGGCCGCAAGATGAGGTGGGCAGTTGAGCTGCGGCCGCCGGGGTGGAGGCCTGGGGAAGAGGACTACCGGCGGCAGCGGTCATGGCTGGGTTGTTTCAGTGCATGCCGGGCATCAGGGCTGTTTCCATCGCTTGTCAGGGTTGTCAGGGCAGCACCCTGAACAGGGTTTACTGGTTTACCCAAGCCTACTCCGCCCTGCCGCCTGTCCTGGCCTGCAGGCCTGACGCCCTGGTGAAGCACCAGCGCATGTGTACGGCAGCCAAGCCCATGAAGCCACTGCGGGCGGCTGGCGGGGGGCAGGCGGGGGCAGCGGCAGGGGCGGCCCCCGCCCCCACCCCCGCGCGCGGACCTGCGGGGCGCGGGGGCTTTGGCGGCGGTGGGGGCGGCGGCGGGGGAGCAGGTGGCCGGCCGCCATCTGGCCAGGTGCGCATGATACATTAGTGCCGTACTGCGTCGCTAGGCGATAGGCTTTCCAGGACTTTGCCAGGCACGTGCTGCCTACACGCGTGTCTAACTTCCGGTATCTGTATACATAGTAGCATGAAGCTCTGGAAAGACTAGGTGCGTGCGTCTGTCCCGGCCTGCCCTGCCTCGTTCGACCCTGCCGAGGTGCTGGTGTTGGTGCCAGGCCCTGGGTCAGGGTATCCTGCTCGGGTCCACATGTACGGCAGTGTGTCTTCTGCACTGTGTGCGATACTGGTAACCGCAGGGCCATGCGTACGGCGGGGACGGAGGCGGAGGCGGGGAGCAGCAGGAGGAGGATGACGCGGGTCCGGAGCCGCCCAAGGTGTCGTACAACCTGCCCCCTGGCGCAGGGGCAGATGGCGGGGACGGAGACGAGGTGCGTGGCTCAGGGGGGCGGGGTTGCGGGGCCCTGCGGCACTCATGCATCATGTGCGGTACTAGCACGTGCCATGTTACTCGGTCTGCAACCATCCCCAACCAACCATGCATCTACGGAACCAGGAACCCGGCTGTGTGCCGCACCTAGCCTTTCATGGTGCGCTTGGGACCTGCGCTTCAGATCTCTACTCATGCGACTGGCTGCCGTGTGACTGGGCCCCCAACGCACTCTTTACACGGTTGCAGGAGCGGGTGCAGTGCGGCACGTGCGGGCGCCGCTTCCTGCCGGAGGCGTACGACAAGCACGTGCGCGTGTGCGCCAAGGTACGACAGCTATGCATAGCGGACAGCGTTTGGCTTGGACGAGCGTTGCGGGTAGTGGATGGGTTGTCCTAGGCGCGGCCATGGTTCCTTGCTGTTAACCATCCCCATTTGCCACTCCGCAAGCCTGGGGGAACCAAACCGTCTTGCTCTTTTTGCTTGATGCCCGCCACAGGTGTTCGCGGGCAAGCGCAAGGTCTTCAACAGTGCGGCCAAGCGAGTGGCGGGCACCGAGGCAGCGTCGTACTTCAACCCCCGCGCGGCGGCGGGGGCGCGAGCCTCGCCGGCGCCGCCCGCGGGACCTCCGCCCTCCACCGGGGGCAGGCCCCGAGCGGCAGGGGGTGCACGGGGCGGCCCCGGAGGGGCGGCCGCTGGGGGTGCCGCTGGGGGCGGGGGCGTACCAAAGTGGAAGGCACAGGTGGGGAGAATTGGTTTAGGGATAGCTGACCTCATGGGTCAGCGCAGGTTCGGCGCTGCAGTGTCGGCCATACCTTCGCACTCGGCACAGCTACGTTTGTGTATTCCGCGTGAACCGTATTGCTTCATTGTAAAACCACGATCGAGACTATGCAGCGCCAGGACACCCTATCCCCATAAGAGTGTTGCTCCAACAAGCCTTAACCCCGCTCTCCTTCCCGCTGCCTGGTCGCTGCCCTCCCCCTCCCTTCTTACCTTCTCCCCACCCTTCCTCACTTCCCCACTTCAGAGCAATGCGCTGCGCCAAGCCATGCAGCAGATGCGGCAGGTTGGCGCGGCGCTGGCCCGCGGGGAGGACATCCGCAACATCCCGCACGTGCCCTCCGCGCCCGACCCCTCGCTGGTGCAGTGCCCCACCTGCGGCCGCCGCTTCAACGCACAGGCCGCGGAGCGCCACATCCCGCGCTGCTCCTCCATCGTCAACAAACCCAAGTTCCTAAAGGCTGGAAGTGAGTGGGGCGGCGAGGAAATTAATTGGGATACGTGTTCCGCATTTGGCTGGATTGTAGGATTACGCCTAGCCTTACTTGTTGGGTTTGTAGCAGCAATCAAAGGGCAGCGAGGGGTGGGGTGGGAGCATGGATGGATTGGGGAGAAGGAACAGTGGGGTCAAAGAGTACCATGGGCAACCACAAGCTAAGGCGAACAGTGGGGTGGGAGCGGGCCGGGGGGCATGGGGCAATACTTGTGGTTCCGGTGGGCATCTGAGTGTTCGGACGGGGTGTGCAGGCTGCAGGTTACCAAGACCCCTTGCATGAGACCTAGACACGCATGCAACAATGCCCCAGCACGCACATCCACCACCTGACCTGCCTGTACCCGTGTCCCTTGCGTCTCTTCGCCTTCCTTGCAGCGGGCGGTGCGGGCAAGGGAGCTCCCGACAGCAAGCCCCTGCCCAGGTGGTGAGGGCAGTGCGGGTGGCGACACGAACCCAGAGCGCTGCTGTATGTAGTTGTACATAAACTGCGGAGAAGATGTCAGCAGATGCGACCCACGCGACACCCCGCTGCCAGTGACACTGATATCTCACCAACTTCGTCCAACATCGCATACCTACATGCATGCATGCATGAGCACGCAGCAACTGACGGGGCATGTCAACTGATGACATTGTGAGTCGTACTGGGGGTGTCTCCTGGTGTTGCGGCTATTGCTCTCCTGGGAGCAGTTGATGATGCACTTAGCTGGTGATCTGGGCACTACTGGGCACAATAAGCTACCGCTGGCACTCGCATGCTCGTGTATGATGACACCTCTCGCACCTGTTTCAGTGTAGTTATGGTTGGCAGTTTGGGTTGGCACGTTGTTGGACCGTTTAAGCGACTGGCGGGAAGGATGGCTCAGTTGTGACACGATGACGACTGGTGCTCTCAACTTGATCGGCAATGCACACTTCCCTCTTGCTGGACCTCCGTCCTCTTTTCACTCATTCACTCACGAGCAAGTTGCATGTTACCATAAGCAAGGCAGATGCCGAGCAAAACCAAACCTCTATACAATCCCCAACGACTGGTCATGCAACTTACAGGTTACCGCGTAAGCCCGACCTACCACCCATGGCCCGTTACCAAATCTGTTGTGTGAAGAACCAATCTGCCCGTATACAAGTGCCGGAATCTTCATGCACATTCACGAAGGTGCAAAAAGCTTATTGTCGGCCACAGCAGCCACGTGCGCTTTGTCAACAGCAGCTAAACCGCAACCATTGAAGGACATCGTCTACATGTGGGCCTTGGCAAGCCGAGTGAGAAGCCGACACCGGTCCTCCCTACGGCTACAGAGACTGCAGGATACCGACCGCCCAAGCTTTATGTGATAGGTTTGATAGGCTAAAGCAACTGTTGCCAAGCACCTTGCAACCGGTCCATACGACATAAACTGCTGCCGCTTCACATGTCATCTGTAGCAGCAGCACCGGCGTCAGCTGAACCGCCGTACCCGCAGTGCTGTGGACGTCACAGGTTCCCGACGTAATACGCCAAGCCCACCAACGCGCTGCCCGCAACAAAAACCCCATCGTGGACTCACAAACCGCAACCGCAGCTCCCAGCCTCGCCAAACACCTCGCATCACATGACATCCTACTATGCTTCCAAATCCCAACTGGGTGCAATATCCAGTCCAGTCCAAAGCCTCGATAAAACAACATGTAAGCCCGCTACACCGATCTGTTACCTACGTCTCATACGTTGCCGACGTCTCATACATATCTTTACAGCCGGCCAACCCCTCCCGGCGGCGCCGCCTGCGCCTCCAGCGTCGCCACATACTCCTCCAAGGTCACCGCGCGACCCCGCCTGCGGGTCGGGGCCGGCCCCTGCCGACCCGCGGGTCCGCCGCCCTCCTCCTCCGTCTCCTCGTCCGCAACCAGCAAGTGCCCATTGACGCCGTGCTCCTGATCCAAGATGAACACGTACATCTCCAGCCGGGGAGCGGGTGAGCTGCAGCCCTCCTGCTGCTGCTGCCCCGTTTGTCGTTCTTGGTGGTCGGGAGCAGCTGCTGTCTCGCAGCCCCCGCTTCCGCAGCGCCCCTCCCGCATCGCCGCCGCCGCCACCTCCCGCCGCAGCTCCTCCGCCTCCGCCAGGTGCTGCCGCGGGTCGCGGGCGGGGTCCTGGATGTAGGCCAGACCCACCATGTTCTCGTACGACAGAGTGGCGCGCAGCTCGTTCCACTGCCGTACATGGGTGTGATGCCCGGGACAGGCAGGTCGGGCCACGCATTAGCGACAGGGGAATGCGAGCCGCAGCGCTGTGTTGGGACCCATGCACACGCACGTAACGGGCTCCGCGTCCTGGCGAATGCTGCTGGAGCGAGCCATCAACTCATTGCAAGCCATGGCTGGGGCTCTGGGGCTCATTCCTTTCTTCCCAAACAACACGAAGCCCGCCGAAGCCGCCGACAAGCACCCCCCCTTCCCCAACATGCTCCTCCCACCTGCATTCAATGGATATTCTTCACAGCACAACGGATATTCTTCACAACAGAATGGATATTCTTCTTTTCCCACCTGAATGCCCTTGGCCTCCGCATCCGCCGGCAGGTGCTTCAGCGGCTGCGTCTCACAGAACTCCCGGAAGTTGAAGTCGCGCAGTCGCATGGTGTCCGCGGGGCCGGGCGCACCCGGACCGCACTCGCAGTAGCTGTCGGGCGGCTGCCCGCCGCTGGCCTCCGCCAGGTTCGCCATGTCATAGTGGTTGAAGTAGACGAAGGGGCCGCCCGGGTGGCGGCGTTGGGGCGGTTTGGAGGCCTCCAGGCGCGTGTGCGAGTCCCACAGCCGAGCCAGGTCGTGCAGCGAGGCGAACACCGTGGAGCGCACCCGGTCCCTGTCGCCTGCGAGGGGAGCGGGAGCGGGAGAGGGAGGCAGAAGGGGAGGTAAAGAGGAAACAACTAACTGACTGAGGGATAAGGCGTCAACATGGGTTGCAACATGGGGAGGGGGGGGGCAGGGGGGGAAGCGGGAGGAGGAGTGAGGGTGGTGAAGGAAGGGAGGCAGCCGGATGGGTGCGAGGTGCATGGGTCGGCACCCTCCTAGCAGCTGAGACAGTGAAGCATCGGGGCAAACTTAAGCGCCGCTGCTACATGACGACTAGGCAGCACTCGGCGCTTGCTACCTAACAGGCATGTGACTGCAATAGTAGTACAACAGCGGCGACACCTCACCGAAGCGCGCCACAGCGTTGGCAATGCGCTGACCCGTGGGTCGATGATACAGTCCGTGGAAGAAGAGGACACTGCCGCTCATGATCGACGTGCTGTACAAGTTAACAGGCAAACAAATGAAAGACCATAGTCAATATTGGAACAGCGAAATGGCGTCTTGTCGCAGCTAGGATAGCCGGAAAATACCGGGAACCGGGCTGCGGCGATAGCAAACGTGCGCAACGTGGCGTCAACCGCTTACTTGTCCTTGAAGCAGCCCGGCCGCTCGCAAACCTTGAAGGTAGGGATGGAGTGAAGTACCAGTCGGTCCGCTGCATACAGCTGGTATAGCTGTTCGGGCGAAGCCGCGAAGGAATAGCCGCTGGTCACCGCGGCGCCAGCAGCGCTGGCTGCGGCAGCTGAGGCGGTAGCAGTTTCGGCAGTTTCGCGCTCATTCGGCCGCGATTGCTGGAGCTCAATCGAGGTGGGCATTATTGCTACACGGCGAGGTGTGCGAGGGCTGCAAGCGGGGCGATGGAAGTAAGCGCTGTGAGCAAAGCTATTACACAACATCCGGTTGCTTCCGTAACTACGTTTTTATATGGCTTGGATTGCTAGGTTGTGATTACAGAAGTGTCTAACAAACGAGATTAGCATGGTAGCCAGCTCCGTAGAGGTAGCTAAGTACGTTGGGCTCATCAGCAATCGTGATGACTAAGCATTAAGGCAACAAATCCAGCTACATACAGAAAGGGAAAACGCGAATGCAGCAACGCCAAGGTTCAATTTCGCAGTACAATAACCAAGCCTCATAGGCGCCTAGCTCACAACCTTCGCCGCGGAGTAGCAACCTGCAACCTGCAAGATCTCTCAAGCAATCACCGCTCCTCAGAAAGCTACTCCCACGCACATTTTGCGCAATCACTTACCCACACACACGCACTCTCCAGCTTACAAATGAATGCTCGCAACACGCCGAGTACAGTTACAAGGTGCGAGGCACTGAGACCCGCATGGGTTGGCCCTCGCTAAACGATGTGCACTAAGAACGCAAAACCGCTCTGACATGGTAATGCAAGAAACACCTCCCCTACACGACCACCCTTGGCTGAAAAAGCCGACAGAGGAACAGCCTCCCTCCGCCGGGTACTCTTCGTTAGTACGGCATGGCAACTGACGCGAAGGGAAGGAATGCTAACCTCACACCTCACCCTCCTTCACGCTCACTCCAAACTCCACTCCTCCGTGCAACGCTCTGCTGCAACCACCACCTTCTCAAACCCCACTCAACCCATCGAAACAAACAACACTGCTAACCCACACAAGCGCCACCCTTCACCGCCGCTCTCCCGCACACGTCACCTCACCTCGCTGCCACCCACTCACATCACTCCGCCCCTCATCCACTCAAGCCATCTAAACTGCTCACTTCGCTACGCCCGCCCCCTCCCTCGCCCGAGTCGTCCGTCAGACCCCGGGGGCATCCCGCCAGGTCCCCACACACATCATCTTCCGACAATCCAGTGTACGTTCCTACTCGCGGCCAGTTATCCCTAACACATCAGCTGCCACCACCCTCCACCACCCTCCACCCGCATCAGAAGTCCAGGAAGTCCCCCGCACCCAGCTCCATGCCGCCCAACCGCACCCTCGCACCAGGCACCTGGTGCCCCGGAAGCTGCCGTACGAGCTCCTCCGCGTCATCGTCCGACAGGTGCGGCCCGTACCGCCCAATCACGGCGCTCGCCACACGCGACGCAAACCCCGCTGCCGTACGGATGTCGTACCCCGACATCATGGCGTACAGCCAGCCCGCCGCGTAGGCGTCCCCCGCGCCGCACGTGTCTACCGGCCCCTGCGGCAGCCAGTACGGCGGTACGACACATAGCTCCCCCATGGCGCAGACGTACGAGCCCTTGCTGCCCGCCGTCACCACCACGATGGGGCAGCGCTCGGCCAGCGCCAACACCGCACGCCGGGCCCCGTCACCGCTGTCGGCCGGGCTGCTATCTGCATGCCCTGCTGCTGTTGCTGCTGCTGCCGCCGCCACATCAGTGCACTCCTCTCCGCTGCCCGCCAGTAGACCCCCCGCCAGCGCCTCCGCCTCCGCCTCGTTCATAAACAACATGTCCACGCCGCGGTGTACGACACGCAGCATGGCATCCCGGTGCCGCGCAACGACCCCTGGGTCACCCGCCGTCATGGCCACCTGCGCGCCCACTGCATGCGCCGCCTCCAGTACGGCAGACACGTACTCCTCCGCGCCGCACATCTCCCACAGATAGCCCTCCACCACCACCAGCTGGCTGGCGCGCACCGCCGCCCGCAGCCGCTCCGTGAGGGTCAGGCGCTCCGAGGTGAAGAAGGAGAGGAAGGAGCGCTGGGCGTCGGGTGTGGTGAGGACCATCACGGTGCCCGTGTGGGCGCTGCTGGGAGCTGAGGACGCTGGGGGCTGCTGCTGGGAGGAATGCTGGGAGTGCTGGGCGCAGGTGGTTGACGGTTCTTGCATGGCGGTGGTTTCAGAGTGGGAGCCGTGGGGGGCTTGCTGGTTGTTGCAGTGTTGGTGGTGGCTGGGGTGGTGGTGGTGGTGGTGGGAGTCGAGGAGGCAGCTGACGCCCGCCTGCCGCATTTGGCTGTTGAAGAACTGCCCCAGCGTGTCGACGCCCAGGCTGCCGCCCAGCGCCACTCGTAGGTCCTTGCCGGCAGCCCGAGCCAGCCGAGCCACCCCCACGAGTGTGTTGGCGAGGGAGCCGCCTGCGCTCACCTGGGGACAAGGGAGAGGGGCGCGATGGGGGTTGGCTGCTGGTGGGGGAATGGCTTTGGAAGTCTGGGCAATGAGGACGATGGCTACGGTACTCATGAAATTTGCAGATGCTAGAGAGCCTGAGGTGTCAGCCGGGGAAATGCGTAATGGGCAGGGACCAGTGTCAGGGAAGACATGCGGGATGCTGGAGAACGGGCACGCACCTGGCTGGGCGCGCCGAGCTCATCCAGGGTTTCCATTACCGCAGCACGTTCATCAACTGTTATGACTCTGTTGGCGATTTAGGACAGCAACCGGCGGATTAGGCATCGCCTAAGGACCTTGCATTTCATGACAACTTAATGACCACAAGCCGTTCTGCCTCAACTGGGTCCCAGCCCATAGCTGCCAAAACGAGTATACTAAGCACACCTAACTGTAGCTACCATATAACGCGACTATATGCATATCCCAAAAGGCACATTACCTTCGGCCTCCCTTGGGGACGTCAAATTGGTCCAGCAGCTCGTCGCTTACACTTGAGCTCCAATCCACAATCGCCTGGCCGAGCCCTAAAATATCATGAGAAAGTGCAAAATTCTTATCGAGCTGCCGACTGGAGCTGGTGGGGAGGGTTCCAGGGCTTTCAACTGCTGGAACGGCCGCCGCTGCACTGACGCTGTTGATCCTAGGATGGATGCAATGTAGCGTTTGTCGGCATCCATGTAAGCGTAACGTCGCTGAACAATGCCGCCTAAGTGGTGGAGGAGCGCATCGTGGTGACGACGAAGCGACATCCGTGCAGCGGCAAGGTGTCTTCATGGCTGCTGTGACACCGCAATGAGGTCACGCACTCGTTCTCCACGCGAGTCTGCATTGTGCAACATGCCTACATGTGCGGTCCATCCTCAACCCTTCGTACCGTGCAGTACATTTGTGCTCAAGTGCAACATCTGTAGCGGTTAATCCGCTTCCTGCCTCTGCATGATCTATCCCTTACCTGACATACCTATCTACATGTTCGTCACCTATAACGCTGCCTTAGCTTGAAAACCGCTCTGTTTCTCCTCTGCATTTTCCTTTCCCGTCCGCGGCGCCCTCGAGTACCACTATAGAAACCATAATAACCTGTATCTAAAATCACTGCTTCATGCTACAACTTCGGCCCCGCTACCTCTTTAAATTTATAGTAGAGCTTCCCTGACTACGATACAAGTTGTTTCCTGGCAGCAAACAACAACTGTAAGCAAGTACATGATATATGATTGTTACAGGCGTTGCGCTGGCGGCATGCGCGGCGCTGACACACACTGCTATCGACTCGACGCGCAAGTATGCTGCAAGCGTCATTGGCATTCCGTCGGACGGCTTGGTCACCGTCCCTGCGATCCTAGATATGATTCTGTCATGCGCCGGTGTATCCATAACCGGCAGTTGGAGGGGCACTATGAAGCATCCGACACGCTTCGCGATAGCCACTATCAGCTCGTCGTTGCTGCTTCTCGTATCTCGATACATGTATCAGCGAGCAATTCAGATCTCTCCCCTTAGCCTGACAATTCCATACCTTGCATTCACTCCAGCCATCCTCATCGCCACGGCCTACGTCTTCCTCGGTGAGCACATGAGTGCCAGGGTTGGGATTCTGGGGCCATGTTAGGTTGGTATGGAGTCAGGAACCCCAAGTGTCGCACGAACATCTGGTTGGAACTGCACGGGGTGACTCTTGCCACGAAGCCACATGGGATGATAGACACCTGCGGAGGTGTGGGTGGCGCTTTGGCGCTTCGTCCACGCCTCGGCGCTGCACCGGCTGCTCTGTGCTTGAAGTCTTGAAGGCTTGAAGTCTGTGTATTTGACCCTTGAGCAAGTTTCTAAACGCCCCCTTCCTTCCTTCACCGGCTACTCCACAGGCGAGCTCCCAAGCCCCGCTGGCGTGCTGGGTGTCTCTGTGGTGGCGCTCGGGGGCTACCTGCTCAACATCAAAGCCGGCGGAGCAGGTGGCGGCGCCAGCGCGGGAGGCGGCGGCAGCCCCGTGTCCGGACCTGGCGGCGCCGTAGCCATCAGCAGGGCCATCAGTGAAACCGGCGTCCCCTCCTCGGCCGCCAGCTCAACCCCAGGCAGCACCGCTGCACTAGGCTCCCTAGCTTACAGTCCAGCGGTTGCAGCTGCGGCGGCTGGTCAGTTACCCGGCGTTGTGGCCGGGTGTGGGGTGCTGCTGCAGCGGTCGGCCTCCAGCAGCACGGTGGCGGATGTGGAGGCGGCGGCGGGTGGGGCGGTGGGCGGCGCGGCGCTGCTGGGCGGGGCCAGCAAGCGGGGCGGCAAGCTGCTGCTGGGGACGCCGCAGCCCCGGCGGGCGGCGAGTGCAGTGGACCTGCTGCGGCAGCCGCCCGCCATGGCGTGGCAGTGGCAGCAGGAGCCGGGGACAGTGCTCATGATAGGTGGGTGGCGGGTCCCTGGATATCCGGGCTGCTTGAGCAATATGGACGAAGCAGTGCGCGCGGATGAGGCCGGTTCTGTATAGCGGAGTGGGCGTGGGAGACATCCGAGTGCTACGCGCGCAGCACCTCTGTCCGGTTGGCAAGACGGTCGGCCTAAAAAATGGCAGGTCGATCGCCGGTCCGTCGATCAAAATTACAGCGTTATCCAGCATCAAGGGCTCGGACACGGTGCGCTTGCTGGGACCTCCTTCCCTCCCAACCGGCCGTTGTTCCGCCTTCCTCCTCTTTCTCTCTCCCCACATCCCCTCTCCGCCCCGCAGGAGTGGCCATCATCTGGTCGGTCACCGCCTCGCTGGACAAGCTGGGGGTGATCACCGGCCCCTCCATCTGGGTCTACTTTGCGGCGCAGCGACTGGCCATCGGCACCGCCTCCCTCGCCTACATCTTGGCCGTGCAGCCTCGTCTTCTGCTGTTGCTCCGAGACCACTTCGGACTCATGCTGGGGATATCGGCGTTGGAGCTGGCGGCCGTGTTGCTGTTTTTGTTAGCCGTACGACACCTCCTTGTGTCGTACGTTGTTGCGATAAAGCGTTGCAACGTGTTATTCAGCGTGGTGCTTGGGGCGCTGGTGTTTCGGGAGAGCGTGCGCAGTCGGCTGCCGTACGTGTTCCTGATGATGCTGGGCATGACGCTGATTGTGCTTGAGCCGGGGGGGCACAGCTTCGTGCACAGCCATACCTAGGGTGGCACCCTGGGCTCGAGCTGTCCGGACGGCTGAGAGGAGCTAAACCCTTGTGGGAGGGTTGCTGTAATGGACCGCGCAGGCTGACACGGCATGGCTGCCGTACCGTTCGAACTGGTCTTGTTGGACGCCTGATGGCGGACATGGGCAGCAGGCGGGATGAGGTGCACGGTTGCATGTAGTGCCCATGCGGAGTGATGGGGGCATGCTGTTTGGAGAAGGGGAAGAAGACTGAGTGCATTGGGCCTGAGGGAATTGGCAGGCTGCATGGTAGAGCAGAGCGGTGCGTGTTCATACGCGGTGACCCCATTTATGAGGGCCCCATTTATGGTGACATTAAATGGCCTCAGCTGTCGGGGCTACAAACGGCATGCCAGGGTGGTATCACTGCTCCTAGGCTGGGAGGTTGTAATGGAAAAATGCATGCTTAGCTGGCTGGCGGTTGCCCTGCATCCACTCACGACGTGTCATGGACACCTCGACGTAACATGACTGCCCGTTAATGTGACCCGCGGATCCGATGAAAGGATTGAGGTCGCTGAAGCCAAGAATCCGATGGCTCATGGTGCATAAACTGTGGGGAGAAGTGGGTATAGCTGTCTCCCTTCCACTACCTGTTCCTCGCCTAACGACTGAAGTGAATGGCTCGTGCAGTCGTGAGTCGTCCCTTCAGCTTCGTGGAATCTGGATCTTGCGTAAGCTGGTTTAGGGTCCATCGGGTTGGTTTGAATACTGTTCCTCCGTTCACACCAATGCAACCTTTAAGCCATGCAGCTTTCTTCTCTATGGCGACATAGTTTATGGCTCCCATCGTTGCCAAAGCCCAGTACCTCAGCTGTGCGCTTTGTTTTGCTTACGTGTATTGGCTCGCTTCTCGTGTACGTTGGGGGCAAGACTGTAGGATTCATTGTGCAGGTAGGTCATTCGCGCACCTGCCGACGGTGGCATTGGTCAGCAAGTAACTAATACGTTTCGTTCTGCCTTGAACAGCTTTTTGAGATCAGTTCCGTTGAAGTCCAGAAATTCATTAAAGTCATCGCGGCGCTCTTGAATCGGCCAAACTTAGGTGCGTGCGCATGGTGCGTTTTGTACCGGTACTGTCCTCCGTCCTTTAAAAGCAGGTTTTGTGCAAACGCACCCTGTGCATACTCCCCTGGTATGCCCCGGTTTAAAAAACAAGGCCAGCATAGCTTCGCTGCCATGTTTCTCTGCCAGCGCCATTAACCGTCGGGTCGTGGCTGGGAATTTCCTGCCGGTGTAAGACTATAGCAGCGACTACTTACATTCCTTGGGAATGCGTAACAGGATCGCCTGATAGGTCGTGCATGTTGCTCCTTTTCACCGCCCCTTCTGTATCCGTGCCCTCCCTCCAGACCTCGAGTTCCTTCCCCAGGAGTTTGAGGACCTGACACCCAGTCCCGCGGGCGTATACTCTTACGCCCCCGGCAGCTACCACCCCATCCTCTTCCGTCGATCACCCCACGAGGCAGGCGCCTGGCAGTGGAGTGACGACGGAGAGCTATGGCTAGCCACTGACGCGTTCCAGGAGGTGCGGCATGCAGGGGTTAAGTAGGGAAAGCTAAGCACCCTGCAAACCAGCAACGGAAATGACATACGTGACAGTACCTGCCCATGTCGTTGCATACCCCTACCTCACTGCGCTGGCCTCTGCTGCCGCATGTCCAAACCCTCCTACCTGTGCTTCCCGGTTCTTTCCTCCGCTCCTGCACCCCCAGAGCCCCAACGGCGTGCCTGAGCCGCCCGCGCTCATCTTCATCCTGCGGCTGCACGTGGAGCACCTCATCCGCCGCCGCCTGGCCAACCCGGCCGCGCGGCACCGCCGACTGCCGCCGCCGCTGGATGTGGGCGCTGACGGCGTGGGGCCGCCAGGGGGCCGGTCGGTGGACGCGGCGCCTGACTTGCTGTGCTGCCCCATCTCGCACGGGCTGATGCGGGTGCCGGTGGTGGCGCCCAGCGGGACCACCTTTGAGTACGAATACATCAGGAAGTGAGTGCGGCGGGGTGGGGTGCGGTCGGGGTGGGGTTGGGTGGGGGAAGAGCGGGCTGGGTGCTACTGGGCTCCGGCAGGTGCTGCCGAGAGTGCTGTTAGGGAGGGGGGGCGACCGTGTAAAGACCGTCAACCTGAGGCGGCAGGGTTAGCTGGGTCGGCTGGATGTGTAGGCTGGGGGACACCACCCATAGCCGAGAGCAGGAGACGGCGACCAGGTAAGTCGCGTGCCGGCAGGGTCAGGGACATGTCGTAACCACCTCTGAACACATTTCCGCCCTGTCTCGTCCCTTGCACCTGTAGTGTAGCAAGCGATCCCCGATTTCTCAATCCCCTGCCGCCCCCCGCACATCACCCCGTACCTGCCCGCCCAGGTGGGCCCAGCAGCACAACACGGACCCGGTCAACGGCGCCCCGCTCGCGGAGGCGGACCTGTACCCCAACCTGGCGCTGAGGGACATCATAGAGCGCTGGCTGGGGCAGGGCAGGACAGCTGCGGGTGAGACCGCGGGTCAAGTGACCCATGGGTCATCCGACACGCTGCCAGCAAACCTTGTAGACTTGAGTTAGCTCCTTTGTCCTTTTTTCTTGGAGTAACAGGCAGAGACGCTGGGGATCCGTAACACCGTAACCAATTGTGGCAAGTTTTGGTGTCTGGGTGCTTGCGCATATTTAGGTGACGGCGTATGTCGGTATGCTCCTGCCGACCTATAGACACGTGTTGCCCTCTTGTCAAAAACGGTGAGGCCTAGGTGTAGAAGGCATGGGAAGCACAGCGAAAACGGCGTTGGCGTGCCTGTTGCTTTGTGCACTGCTCCAGACTTGACTTGGGGGCAGTTGCCGAGGTCATTGTCGACCAGGCGGAAAGCTTGCAGCAGCAGCTGCAGCAGCAGCAGGGTTGCGGCACCACCGTCTCCACCGGAAGCCGTGTGGTGGTTGGAGCACAGGGCAGTCGGTGGTGTGCTGTGTTGGGGCGCGTTTGCCTCTTGTACTACCATAGATGAAAAGTTGCATTGCCATATTGTGACGCCAAATGTAACTGTAATGGTGCCGCACTGCCGTTCATTTTTCTCGTGGGCTTTACGGGCCGTGTTTTATACCTGTTAAGGCGGGAATTTTGTGCTTTAAAGTTGGTTTGCAACGGCCGTCGTGGGGGGATGGCTCCAAGGGGTCGTACCGCCTGAAATGGGTGACAAAGCAAGGAATGATTATAAGCTGTCGTTCCTCCCAGCGTCATGCAAATACGGACGTCTGATGATGATGCTTTATCCCACAGTCTTCGTCCCTGCATTCCTCGTGTGTTGCTGAAGCGAACACAACAGCCTGCAGCATTCGTCGTCTTCAGGCATACCAAGCTGGTACTCATGTGTCACTCATGTGGCCCATTACATTGGTTTAATCGGACCAGCCCCGTAAGCACCGCACCGCGGCGGTGGGGAGGAGTGGTAGTCATTGGAGCGTCGGTGCACTTCCCCAAGCTGAGGCTGTGAGGGCGACGGTTCTTTCCGCCGGGTAGAAGCGGCAGCAACGCGTTGGGCAACACGTGCATGCTCCGTATTCTAGGCTGACCTGGCACTACTGCACGGTGCTGTACACATGCGGCCTCCAACACCTTAAGCGACAGCAGTTTTCCACCCCCCCTTCGCATGCCGTACGAGCGCTGGCAGCCCATTCCACAGGCGCTTATGCCAGCTAATGCAGCACAGATGCCTCCTCTATACCTCTCGTTCGCAGAAAGTGCCCTCCTCCCTTGAGCCAAGGGTTCCTGGTAAAAGTAGACCAGGAGACGGCAGGTTGCAGACGGCTATGTTCCGTCACCGTCCCAACCTAAACCCCGAGAGACAGTCGCATTGCAGCGCCCGTGTCATATCACCGCTTGTACGTTATAAGCGTAACCACAATCCTGCCAAAATCATTGCGCATCCACCGTATCCGTTTCAAACCCTAGCACGTCCGAACTGAACTGTGCAGCCGTCACGGCTGTCGGCATGGCCTTGTCCGGGGCCGCGGTGCCGGTGAGGGCCTCCAGGGCCGCGCTGAGCTCCTCGGGCCCCATGGGCTCCCCTGCGGACTGCAGCAGGCTCAGCAGCTGCTCGCGAGTGAGCTTGCCTGCAATCCACAGAGAAAGACACACGGAATGAATGAGGAAGGAATGAACAAGTGAAGCAGTGAAGGTTGAGATGAAGTCCCACACTAAATTGAAGCCCACCACGTATACGCCCAGCTCCCATTCCTGTCGTACTCACCGAAATCTCCCCTTGCTCCTAGTTCCCGGAACGCCGTCACGATGTCCGCATGCGTGACGTTGAAGAGCGGGCGGTGGTTGACGTACAGGCACAGCAGGTCTGCAAAGGTGATGGCGGGCATGGACTCCAGGTCCCGACCGTGCGCCATGTACTGCACGTGGTTGAGCAGGTTGTCGATGTCGGCCTCGCTGGGGTAGAAGCCGGCGGCGCGCATCAGGTCAGGAACCACCTCCAGCGGCACGGTACCTGGTCGCAGCCAATGACGGGGCAGCAGGGTGTAAAGATGGGGTCTGCTTCCAGCCGGAACAAAGGACACGATGCCAGTACCCGACACAACTGGATGGGTCCAGTACAAGCAATCTCCACCGCAGTCGGCCCCCTTCAGGTCGCCCTTGCGTTGCACCGTCATCTTACCACATCACTTTGTACGGTATCCACACCGGTCGTACGGCATCCGCAATTCTCACCCCCTCTCCTGCTTACCCGGCACCGCCCTGGGCTCCAGCGCGTCCTCCCCTTGCGTCTTGATCTGCGCGTACACAAAGTAGTCCCGCATCTCCCGCAGCAGCTCCGGGTCGCCCAGCACCTCGGACCAGCGCGTCTCGTTGCCGGCGGAGGCAGCATGCGCGGCGGAGCGCTCCAGGGGGGCCGTGTTGATGTCCCAGCTGGCCAGCGTGCCATCGCCACCTGGGGTGCGGGGCCGAGGCCAGGTGCCGGCCATTGCTCGTGAGACACATGATAAGGATGAGGAGGGTGGTTACATATCCCGATTCCTGCATTGCAAGTAACTAAGGCTCCAAATAGGCAGGGGCGTAGATACCGCGGATATGGGCTTGTCGCAACCCGGTCCCGCCCCTGCAGCCCCTGTCCCAGCCCTGCCTCTCCAGCACTGGCTTCCACTGTAATGTACGGTAGTCCATCCGTGCCCTGCTACCGCTATGTACCCCTGCTCACCCACTGTCAGCAGCTTGCGGCCGTCGTAGGAGATGGTGATGGCCCGCACTTCGCCGGGGTGCGCGATGAGACCCATGGTTCGCGCGGGGTCGCCATCCAGGGGCCAGGCGATGAGACCCACCACGCGCTCCGCCGTGCGGTAGGCCAGGAAGGCGGAGTCACTGGCGTGGGACTTGAACATGACGAGCTGCGCGATGGGGCCGCCGAAGGTAGGGCCCAGGAAGGTGGCTTCCACGGCGGGCCGGTCTGGATTGAACACGCGGATCTTGTAGCTGTCGTCTGTGACGGAGAGGTATGATAGGAAGATAGTAACGGGGTTTAGGAGTGAAAGATGTCTTAGGTGTTGTTCCAAGCACAATCTTTCAGCACCGCTTGCAATAGTGGCAAAGCTTAAGCGGAGAAGGCATCCCTCGCCAAGCCCACGTACCCGATACCAGTAAATGGGTGTCCGCAGCAAAGGCACGGAAGTACTGCAGCGGTGGGGCAAACGTGAGGGAGGTGGGCGCGCCGCCGCCAGGTGGGAAGTCGTAGTACGACACGACCTGGAGCCCCGTCGCTACGGAGGAGGCCACCAGGTCGTACTCCACCACGCGCGCATCCGCGCCCACCGTCAGCAGCCGCGTCTGGCCAGACGGCGACTCGCCGAACACGACGCTGGCGATTGGGCCGTGGTGCGACCTGCAACGGCCCAGGAACTCCCACCGCATGGTGTGCTTGTACGGCAGGTAGGCGTACAACAGCAGCTGCAAGGAGGGCAACAATTGGAGGTTGAGAGGTGGGCAACTTGGAGGGAGGGGTGAATGGGATGATGGATGGGACAAAGGTGCGCGGTTTTCCAAGGAAGCTGAATACCGTAGCACGGCAGCAGCTTGTCACTGCCTGGGTTGACCCCATACCAAACGTACACCAAGTCCACCCTCTCTCTTCACGTCCGACCGAACCGAAGCCTGTTGCGGGTTAGTGCCTCGGTGGTCCTACACATGCACCATGCATCTACCTGTGCATCCACGGACCTGCCGGTTTACCCGCCCACTCGCACCGTCTGCCATATCCCACCCCACAGCTCATCGTGGAGCGCTCCCCCCCCACGCCATGCTCCCTCTCCCTCCCTCCTCCCGGACCCAGCAACGTCTACCTGATGTTGCTCGTCCGCGGCCGCTATGTGGTGCCCAGTGGACGACACCGCAATGCGAGTGAGGCCCGCCGTTGTGTTGCGCATCACGTGCGAGTCGGTGAAGTCGTCTGCGTCCAAGATGTGCAGGTGGCCGGCGCCGAAACCCACCGCCAGCAGCGCTCCGTCGCGGCTGTAGCACAGGCAGGAGCCGCCGTGGTGGGCGTCGAAGGAGCGCGAGTTGAGCAGGCAGTGCGCGATGGAGTCCCAGCGCTGCAGGCCCCCGCCGCGCCCAAGCACAGAGAACTCGGCGCGGGTGGGGTGCGCCGCGATGTCCACCACATCCGCCAGCAGGGAATCCAGTACGGCAGTGCCGCGACGGCGCTCCGCGTCGTACTCCTCAAAGGTAGAGCTCTGAGGCCGCATGGGGTTAGAGGACATATGGGTGCTGGGCGTTGGGGCAGGTTGGGTGCAGCATGTTGCATGGAAGGGGCTCATTCCCAGTTGAGAAACGGGGGCGTGCCGCAGCGTGCCGCCACAGCAACAAGATGGACCTTACATGGCCAGTGCAGGCCCATGTGTCGGGGCACAGCCTGTACGGAGACGAGGTGTTAGAGCCATACATCGATCACCTTTCCAGCATCCCGCCTTCCTTTCCATGTGCCTGTAACATGCTCCCTCCGCACCCCCCCCGCTCGCCCTGCTCCCTACCTGCACCGACACGATCCTGCTGTTCCGAGTGGCCACCACGAAGTCCGGCACCATGAAGCGGTTGAGGGTGTCAGCGGCGTCTGCGTGAGCTAGACGGTCAGGAAGGACCGCGGAAAAAGCCACAGCGGTCACGGGGCCTGTGTGGGAGTTTGAGGTTGGGGGCAGGTGCAGGAGGGAAAGAGGAACAGGCACGATAAGTGCGAAAGCCACGAAGGCCGATGGTCAACCCCTAGTGTGCTACCCCGCAGATGAGTTGACCACCTGCGCGGTAACTTGTCAGGTGTCCCTGCAATCCTGACATGTAAGCCAGTGGTAGTCACGCATGCCATCCAGGTATCTCCCGTGAGCATGCTTTCGCAACATTTCACATCACCGGAGCACCTGCTCTGCGCAACGCGCCTTAGCTGCATCCGATCCCCCCCTGCACCCACCCACCCGCTGCCAGGTCCTCAAACCACGCCACAATGCGCAGCAGCGGGTCAAAGAAGCGCACGTAGCCGTCCTCTCCGCCGCTCACGATAAAGTCGCCCACCGTGGACAGCAGCGTGATGGGCGAAGAGTGGATGCGCATGAGCTTGATGGCCCGCCGGTCCGTGGCGCTGGTGCCCACCTGCGCCGCAATGCCCTGCTCGTCCCACACCACCAGGTCACCGTCCGCGGTGGCGGTGAGCGCCTGCGTGGTGCCGGGCACGAACACGCTGCTCACGAAGTCGCCCACCGCCTGCTTGAAGTCGCGGGAGCGCAGTGGGGGGGAGTAGTACTGGAAGCGCGGGGAGCCGGGGGCCCAGCTCCAGAAGTACACGCGCCGGCGGCCGTTGGAGATGAGTTCCTGTCCCCCGAGAGGGTGGAAAGAGGGGTTGAGGATGAGAGCGGGTAAGAGATGGCGGGTGGGGGAGAAAAACAGCACGAGAATTCTTGGCATGTGACAAGTGAAGAGTAACCCCTTAGGCCGTGAGAATGTGGCTCACGCCGACTGACAGTTGGGCGGCAATGTAAAAGCAGACTCTTAACATCATCGAGAGCTCCGCGCCGTGCCTACGCCGTGTCAGCTAGCCACTAGTAGACGAAATAGGCTAGGGTAGACGGGTGGAGCGCACCTGCGGGTTGTTGGGGCTGAAGCGGATGGAGTGCTGCACATCGCCCGCTGGCACCACCGTGGTCACCAGGGGCCGCAGCGGCCCGCCGGGACCCCTCGGCTGTGGCGGCTGTGGCGGCTGTGTCCCGTCCGCTGCTGCTGTTGAAGGGGGTGCGGATGCGGCCGCTGCGGGGTTGAGCAACGCTGCCAGGGACCACAGCGCTACCTGAGGAAGGGGAGGGAACGCCTGCTTGAGCCAAACCAAGAGCATCACCGGCACCGATATCAGTGGCCGCCCCAGCGATCTTGCCCCATCCTACCGTCGCGGTAAGGCATCTTATGGTAAGGCTGAGCGCCGCGGACAGGCCGTAAAGGCATGTTAGGAAGTGTTTCAGCCCCCGAGCATCTCCTGCTTTGGTTGCCAACATCATGCACCTCCTTACTGTCCCCTGTTCCTGGATCTTTGCATACCGGCTTCCAGCAATCACAACCTAGCCCAATGAGCTCCGGGTTACCACACACGCAACACGCTTCCATAGCAACGCCATCTAGCCCAATCAAATCCGCATGTTGCCCACCACTCTTCACACTCCACTGTTCGCAAACAGAAAAGCCTTAATGGCGGTCTATGTGCGGCTGTGGCGTGCTCCTATGCTGTGGGACCCGCTTGCTTCCAGGTTCAACCCCATCCCTCAAAGTTCGCGTGCCCAGCGTGACTTAGCGCTAGGGCTGGCCAAGTATGCCTACCAGTGCAAAACTGTCTTCTAGGCCCCAAGCGTCCACATCTTGCGCTGTCACATCGCTTGCCCCACCAAAACCAGCCAGCCGCCCTGACCAATCCCTCCCTCTCCCGCTCACCTCTTGCTCGCCGCTATCGGGATCCGCTGCCCCAATACTGGCAAGCCACGCACCATCAACCGAAACGTCCATGGTTGATACGCCGTGGCGGTGTGGCTGCCGGATGGTGCATGTGGGCAGGCCGGTTCGCACATTCCACACCACCAGCAAGGCCTCCGGGCCCGTGTCAGCGGTGATGACGTGCGCGCGATCATCTGTTGTTACAATGCATGTGATTGGACTGGTGTGGCCCTGAGGAGATGGGTTGACACAAGCGTCGTGCGAGTCAAGTGCAATTCAGTACGTGTAGATGTTGCTGCCATCCCCCACCCTGTTGGCTGGCTGGTGGCCTGTACAAGGCAGATAGGCCGTACCTGCAGGAAGACCTGTCTCCTTAACCGCTTGTCGTAGATGACAGCAGTATTGGCAGCTAAATAGCAAATTTTGTCCGTATAACCATCGGACAAGTTGACCACGCTGTGTTTGATGCTAGCTGAAGCTCCGAAGACCCAGCTTAATGACTGCGAGTACACCACGACTGCTTAAAGGTTGCCTATGCTAGGGGCGCGTCCTTCGATGGAGGAGCCTGCAGTTATTGTCCACCTTACCAGGGCCTGTTGATCTTCAGCCATATTGCTTCTTTCCAAGCAACTTTGTGCTATGTAAGGTGTTTTCGTCCCATTGCCGCTTGCACACTGCTACTAATGTCTAAGACGAGCTTTCATTTCATCTCCATCCATACGGCATAATCCTTCCCTTGTCTCGGTGCTAAGTGCTACTAGCTTGTTGGCTTCCTACGGAGGAAAGGTTGACGTGCCGTATCAGCATCGTACATCTGTGTATCAACCCAATCCAGCCTTCCACATCCTTTGCACTCGCCTCGGTTTGTTGGGCGGCAGGTCTACTACAATTTAACGTAGTTGTGTCGCTAAGCTTAGTGCTACCTGCAGTGCCTCCGAGACACTCGGTCGTGGATTTCTTTTCCGACTAGCTAAGATGGCTGCCCGGCATGCTATTGGACAGGGACTTTCCCTGCTAGGACTTGCAGGCCCTGCAGGCTCTGCTCTATCCGGGCAAGCGGCTCGGTTCATTAGCACCTCAGCTTTTCGCTTGTGGCCAGATGTTGTGGTGCCGCCTATGGGAGAGTCCATTAAGGAGGGCTCCATTGCGGCGGTGCTTAAGCAGGTGGGCGGCGTCGCTTTCGTAACGCTGGAAGCCGGAAGCTTTAGTACCTCGAAACGAAAGGGTGTCCATTTCACGCATTATACCGAAGTGGTTTCTGGAGTGATGGGGTTCTGTTCGACTGGCGGGTTGGTGTAATGCGCGCCTCAACGGCTTACCAACTTTCTCCAGTTGCCGCCATCCTCCAAGCCTTAACAGAATGTAGTTAAGGGAAGGAGTATGTTTGCATGGACAATTTTACGTGAAGTCCGTGGATGTAGCGAGTGGCAGGTTTTGCCTTAGGGGAGTGACCATGCAGCCTGTCATACGTGCGGGCGTGAGCAGCATTGCGTTCGTCGCGAAACACACGTCTCTGCTGTCCGCATTCGTATTCTGGGCCTCAAAAGACCCGGTCGGGCTTAGGATCGCACGGGCAGCCCATTGCCAGTAGTTGCCACCGGAGCGTCATCTAGAGCAGCTGTCATCCGGCGCCCAGTGCCCTCTTCGGTACATGCTTATTCCTCTACAGGTTCCTGGTCCGCTGGTTATTGCCTGGTCTATGAGTTTTTAGACCTCCATCTTGATGATCCACTCTCATCGTACCCCCCTCCCCGTTTCCTTCCTGCATGGAACCCCCACCCATCAGGTGGGCCAGCCGGTCCGCGAGGACGAGATCATCGCCCAGGTAGAGACGGACAAGGTGACCATTGACGTCAGGGCGCCCTCCGCCGGCGTGCTGCAGCAGGTGCTGGTGAAGCCGTCGGACACGGTCGTAGCGGGGCAGCTGGTGGCTGTCGTGGCCGCCGGGGCCACCGCCGCTGCTCCGGCTCCCGCCGCGCCAGCAGCCGCTGGTGCTGCTCCCGCTGCTGCCGCCTCCTCCTCGGGGCGCACCCCCATGATTAAGTTCCCTCAGCGGATGACTGCCCAGGGTGAGCGGATCAGCGACCTGCCGGCAGGGCAGTACGAGGCGGCGCTGGCAGCGGCCACCGGGGCGAAGCCAGAGGCACCGCAGGCGCCCGTTGCCACTCCCGCTGCGCCAGCCGCTGCGGCAGCCCCCGCACCGGAGGCGCCGGCGGCGCCGGCAGCTTCCTATCCCATGCCGGCGGCCAAGGCTGCGCCGCCTCCTAACATGAAGAACCGTCTGTCGTACGTGACGCGGCCTGACGGCCGGGGTGGCCCCCCGCGCCGCCCCCTGACGGCGCGTGAGCTCGAAATGATCAACCTGGGTGGGGCGTACTAGGCATGCGCCGAGCCAGGTTTTGAATGGCGTGATGCAGGTATGTCACGGTGTTGAGGCTTGGGTGCGAAAAGAAATGGGTGAACGGTGAATGTCAGTCTGATAGGTTGTATGCTTGGGGTTTGGTTCCGTGCAGCATGCTTGGGCTGCTGTGGTGACGTGTTTTGTGGACTGTCAAACAAGCGCGGGCTGACTGTGAGTTTGTGGCGTCGAACTGCAGGCGGGTGGTCTCAGCACGGGGTGTTTGTTGCTATCCATTGCTTGCCACGTTGCGTGATCTTGCTTATGTATGAGGCTGGCTCGTCGTGACTGGAATGTTTGGCCGCAGCTTTAAGCGGCCTGGGGTGCTCCATGCCTTCCTGTGATACGGTGCGTCAACGGCCTGGAAGGCATGGGTCCCAAAGGCTTAACAACTTGCTAGGAAGGAAGCGTTGTTTGGTTGCTTGTTACCATGATGGTTTAGTTGTGGGAGCAGTTGTATGATGGTGATGAGGTGTTTGCGTGGACTCTTTTGTAGCAGCTACAGTGGCTGTGGCGGCCGGAAGGCTTATGGAATGGCGGTACCTGCCAACGGGTGAACGAGCTGGAAGGAGACGGGCCGTGCCCCTGTGCACTTTGCTAGGGCTACAGATCTTGTTTTGCTAGTTTTGTGTCGGAGCATGCCGTGCTTGGTAGCCCGGGGGGCATTAACACAGGCGGAGATGTAACGGACTTAGCGTGTCGATGTAAGTGCACCTCCAGGTGGGTGCAGCTGCGTGTCGGTTGGTTTGTTGAGCCATGGGGGTGTAGAGGAGGAAGCCGAGCTCCCCAAACCCCGAACATACTCCGGAACTAATGACTGCCTGCAGTGTTCCGGTGAAGCCACACTGGAGTATGGACAACTTGACGCAAGCACTGAGGCAGTCAGGTGCACAATGGCTCTTCAAACTGACAAAGGCACCCTTAAAACGGTATAGGATAACCTAGATCAGTTGGCTATATGCAGTTATGGGCATGTTACTTAGAGAAGAGTTCATAAGGAGTAGATGCCGCACAGCGAACGGTTGCTCCGGCCTGAAAGGCTTAAGCGGAAGGCATAAAAGTTGTCCTGAAGCTGCCCCAAACTATGACTGGGTTGTAACTGGCTTAGTATTTAAGACGGTTGGCATGTCCAGATAAGGTGCCGTACGGCTTGCAACAATAAACACTAGGCGACCGCCCAAGCCTTAGGTAGTATCGTTGACAAAATACAGCTACAAAGATGGCAGCCATGATGATGCGCCAAAAGGTTGCGGGTGCCGTCGCTGGCGAGCGCCGCGCTATGGTTGTCCCCAAGGTATGCTTAGGATTGACACTCCCTAACCGTCGCTAGCCATACATGAAATCATGTAGGATTGCTTAGGATCCTCACTTCCTTTCAGGTGGGCCGCATAGCGACTCCTGTGGTGGTTGCCGCGGCGAACGCTTGCGCCTTCAAGGGTGCTGCGGTGGCCGCCCGTGTGAAGCGCTCCGCTCGCGCTTCCCGCGCACAGTCGCGGCGTACAGCTGTCATGACTCAGGCTAAGGTATGCCCTTGCAGCAACTCAGAACGGGGTTGCATGCTTGCAGCCGGCGACGCGCTTACCGCGTTCTTGCATCGCAGATTGGGGATAGCCTTGCTGAGTTTCTTGTGGAGGCTACTCCCGATCCTAAGCTGCGTCAGCTGATGATGAGCATGGCTGAAGCTGTTCGGACCATCGGCCACAAGGTACGCAGTGCGGGTGGGGGATCGCTCATGCCCACCAACGTTTTCCTCCTAGGAAAATATTGATCATTTGAATGCGTTTGCAGGTTCGCACCGCATCGTGCGCTGGCACTGCCTGCGTGAACAGCTTCGGTGATGAGCAGTTGGCTGTGGACATGGTTGCGGATAAGCTGCTGTTTGAGGCCCTAAAGTACTCGGTAAGAGGTGTCACACGCCTCATTATTCAGGAATGAGGAAAAGGGAGCTGTTCAGTTGTCCCAATCGGGGCAGTGGCCAGTTGCCCAGCATTGGGGCAACCCCCTTGACTTGGGGCGTGCCGTGCTTGCAATGAGGACGAATGGGGGCAATCTCCCATGATACGGACGATATCGTCCGTCCTATGTCACACGGCGCCACCCGGTCTTACCTCCCACTACCTTTCGAATGACCAACTTTCTACCATGCACATACACCACGACCTAACCCGGGGGTCCCGGACCTGTTCGCAGCACGTGTGCAAGCTCGCCTGTTCCGAGGAGGTTCCGGAGCCGGTCGACATGGGCGGGGAGGGCTTCTGCGTCGCGTTCGACCCGCTGGATGGCTCCTCCATCGTGGACACCAACTTCTCCGTGGGCACCATCTTCGGCGTGTGGCCCGGGGACAAGCTCACCAACATTACGGGCCGCGAGCAGGTGTGAGGCGTGTGCAGCGTTGAGGGAGGGGCGGGACGGGGACACAGATGGGCACTCACCGGTGGAGAGGTGAATGGTAGCTGCGGCCGGGTAGACACTGGCCGGGTTGAAGGGTCGTGCCTCCAGCTCTAGAAAACCAGCCTGTGGTGGTGAAGCCTCTTGCATAGTAGAAGGTGGTATTAGCTAGCTGCAAAAAGGCCCGTCCTCAGGGCCTGCTGCTTTGCGCATGCTGTGAACAAACAGGCAAAGGTCCCTGCTCCATACAACGCATGCTGCTTTCTGCCACAACCCTCCTATCTCCCTGCCGCCCCTCTCGCACACGTCTCCGCATCCCGCTACGCAGGCCGCTGCCGGCATGGGCATCTACGGCCCCCGCACCGTCTTCTGCATCGCGCTCAAGGACTGCCCCGGCTGCCACGAGTTCCTGCTGATGGACGACGGCAAGTGGATGCACGTCAAGGAGACCACTGAGATCGGTACGCGCAGCGCAGGGGACGGCGGTACCTGGTGTAGGCGGCTCCTGGTGCATGGTTGGTGGGGTGCTTAGGCTGGTTACCCCGCTGCATATGTGGCATGGAGGTGGGGTGTTCAGTACCGGTATGGTGGGGTGTTCAGCAGCATGTGCTCCTCGGAGAGCGACACCTAACCACCATCACCACCGTCATTACCGTACCAATGCCACCAACTGATCCAGCTCTGCGGCTCCCAACACATCGTGCATGCTCCATCCCTGCTGCCCGCGCAGGCGAGGGCAAGATGTTCGCCCCCGGCAACCTGCGCGCCACCTTCGACAACCCCGCCTACGAGCGGCTCATCAACTATTATCTGGGAGAGAAGTACACGCTGCGCTACACCGGCGGCATGGTGCCGGACGTCTTCCAGATCATTGTGAAGGAGAAGGGCGTCTTTACCAACGTGACCTCGCCCACCACCAAGGCCAAGCTCCGCATCCTGTTTGAGGTGGCGCCGCTGGCCCTGCTGGTAGGGAGGGATGGGGTTGGGGGTTCGCCTTGCGGCTGGCGAAAGGAATGCGGTGTGGGTGTAGGGAGAAGTGACAGGCGAGCAGGAAACATGGGCTTACATACAGTAGGTAAAACAACGCAGCGGCCCAGCTTATAGTGAACAGTCTTCCGCCGTTGCTGTACAATTGTGCGCCAGCAGGGTGGTAGCAGTTAGTGGTAGCGGTGTGTTGAGACGTTTGGTCCTGGTCGGGTGCCCCCGCAGATGGAGAAGGCGGGCGGTGCGTCCAGCTGCGACGGCAAGTGCGTGTCGGCTCTTGACATCCCCATCCTCAACTGCGACCAGCGCACGCAAATCTGCTACGGGTCCATTGGAGAGGTTCGGCGGTTCGAGGAGTACATGTACGGTGAGTGGGCCGTTGCCTGGCTGTAGGGCTAAGCAATCCTTGTAATAGGACACCTAGACGATTTATGCTGGCAACCTGTTTTAGGGTGATGCAGCAAGGCCTTCCGCTTACCGTATCCTGACGCTAAAATCAGGGCCCACAAGGCGGTTGTACCGGCTCCTCAGTTGCTGACTTGCACCCTCTCCCCCTTTCGCATGCCGTCCCTGCACCTCCCAGGCACCTCACCCCGCTTCAGCCAGGTGACTGCCTAGACCTGGATGGGATACCTGGACGGAGTGACATATTGATCGCTATACCTAACGGCCTCAGGCAATGCGATTACTGTACAGTTCATGCGCTATGGTTTTATTGTTGGGGTGCATTCCCGTTAGGTATGCTGGCGCCGGGTGAATAAGCCGAGGCATAATCATCGCCATGTATATTATGGCATGTATGGCTTTCGCAAAGCCGTTTTTGACGCGAGTGGTGACGAGTGTTGGAGGAGGGAGACGTTTTCCTATCTACGGGCAGGTGATACTGGCTGTGTACTTTGAGCGGAGGCGGAGCGATTGCAAACCTATTGGGCATGATGAGTGGACGTGAAGGATGTGCTGTACGACTAAGAGGCTCGGAGCGCTAAATGCTAATGTAAACTCGGAACACTAGCAGCTTCGACCCCAGGGTCTCGGCCACAGACCATAGAATATTGGAGCATCGTTCGCTCGTCAACGCGTGCCAGTCAGATCACGATGTGCCGTTAGCATGCATTTCCCAAGAACCAGGACATTGTCATCTTACACAAGTGAAAAAATTGCGAGGTATTCTTCCAGGCGCACGTTCTCTGTGCTTAGGCACCAATCATATGAAAGGAAACATCCAGCTCACAAACTTATGTCCTATCGTAATCCAAAAACGGTTGCCAAAACCTGCTAACCTTACTCCGAGGGACGCGCGCATAACGCACGCACCCACATTTCCAATGCCGGGCAACGTTGTCTGTTGCCACCCCATACATATGACGTGTGCGAAGCAACCGCCAGCAATGCCGCCTTCCCATCCGCAAGCACCGGGATGTAGAAACCGGCGCCACCATTGTCACCGTTCAGCTAAAGGAGCAATGCTGCCCTAAGAGTGATGAATTGTGCCATCTACATTGAGACGCAATAACTACCAAGCGAATCACTATGCGTCAGTCACCTCTTCCCAAAGAACCAATCCACTCCGTACCCCAAAACAGGGGCGCCGGATCTAAGTTACCTTCAAGCCGTACCAGACGTTTAAAACGCCTGCTGCTTGCATGACAGCGAGGGAACGCAACACGCTGCCCTTCAAACATTGCCCTGAGCCCACTCCAAACTACCTTCCTCGCGGCCTGTTCAAGCAGCCTCACCCGACGCCGAGGCCCCCGCCGCCTTCAACGCCGCCTCCCCCGCCTGGACCTCGTTCCCCGCCATAGATGCGGTGCTGCGCGCCATGGAGTGCCCCCCGCTACCCAGCCGGCCCGACAGCTGCAGGTGCGGCGCCCGCAGACTGTACTGCAGCGCGTAGCTGCACTTGTTGAACTTGCGGGTCTGTGCGGGCGAGGGAACGGGAGCGGGCAAAGGGTGAGGGGACCCGAAGAAAATACGGGAATTGACAGGTTGCAACCCCGAGGCACATGAATGGGGTGCCAGGCTCCATCACTCTTAAGTTCATCCGCAGGCAAATGCCAAATCGTTGGCACCGAGCCCCGCTGCCCCGCCTGGCGCACCTGCGAGAAGGGCAGCAGCTTCTCCTCCATCTCCGCCAGCGTGATGCCGTCGTTCTTGTGCAGCGCCGTACGCGGCACGGTGGGCAGCACGTGGTTGTTGTGGAGCGGCATGGAGAAGTGGAAAGGGTTGTAGTTGGCGCCGGGCGAGAACAGCACCTCAACGCGGAAGCGCTCGGGGCTGTCGAACGACACCGTCTTGTTCTCATACATGCGGAAGACAACCTGCACACCGGGGTACACGTGAGGACAGGGGGCGATGGGGAAGGATGGGCAAACGGCAACCATGCAAGCACGGAGGAAATTCAAATTTGGGGCGGAAAGCAAAGCTACGGTTCATGCATCCATGACGGCAATGTACTGTACAGTCCATGCAGTTGTATCGAGGACACCAGGAAACGGCAGCGAATGGCGGCGGTGCCGGCGGCTTCCCCCCTCACCTGCGTGAGGTAGTCCAGCTCGGTCGTCTCATCAACCTGCGCACACGCCGCCTCGCCCAGCAACGGAGAGCTGTCAAACTGGCGCTGGAACAGCATGTCGCCACTGCCCGCAGCAGCAGCAGCCGCGGCAGCCGCCGCCATGGGCGAGGACGCGCTATCAGCTCCCCCGCTGCGTGCAAAGGACCCGGCCGCCGGAGCGCTGCCGCCCATGGAGGCACGCAGGTCGGGGCTGGAGGTGCCGCCTGTGCCCGACGGCGGCGTTACGGGCGGCGGCACGCCTGCGTCCGCCGCCTCCGCCCCCAGGTGGCACCACCGCAACACGTTGACGAGGGAGTGCATGTGCGACTCGCTGGTGAAGTAGATGCGGGTGCGAACGTGACGCAGCGGGGAGTTGATGTCGGAGGCGTAGGTGGGGCAGAGGCGGTGGATGGTCTCGGTCTCCGCCGGCTCGAGCTCGCCGTTGCCATCCATGTCGCCCTCGCGACCCATGGGTCCGCCGCGGGAACTGCTGACCGCCGAGGCGGGACCGCGGCCGTTGCCGTTCTTGACCATGGCTTCGTCCTGGAGCGAGATCCTGCAGTTACAAAGGGTTCCAGGGCAGGTGGTATGAGTTGACACCTCCTTGGGTACGGATGTGCACGTATGGTTATTAAGCTTTGCCTATCGACATTTGAGAGAAATAAAATTTTCAAGACAAATTTTACAATTTACTTCGCTTGTTCTCGTACATGCGGAACCCCACCTCACCTGCCAACGTCTCCCTCCAACTGGTCATAGTTGAAGCCCAGTGTGGGCGTGCCGCTGCCCCCCCGGGTGGCGTTGGGCTCCATGCAGGCGGTTGCCAGCGACTCCTCGCGCATGGAGGCCAGGTCCACCAGCAGCTTGCCCAGCAGCTCGTTGGCGATCTTGGATCCAATGCGCAGCTTGCCGCCCGCGTCCAGGCCGTACTCGCAGGGGATCACCACGTCCGCCAGCAGCTTGGCGACAATGTAGAGCTCCTGCGGCACGAGGGAGAGGAGAGGAGCCGCAGAGATAAGGGGGACTGGTTTTACTGTGTATTCCAGTGAAAATCAATCCATGGCCCAACCGGAGGAGGGGCAGGGCCGCAGGGCCCAATGACCAGGATACTCGGGAAGTTTCTTGCATGCGGGAGAGTCCGGAGAGATGAACAAGGTTGGTTTGCGTGGAAGCTGGGGGCCACGCCTGCTAGTCAGAAGCAGGAGGGTGTAGTCCCGGACTACGCGACTGCAGACCCCAGCCCCAGCAGGTGGTGCTTGCAGTCCCAACAGCAACCATCAAACTGTTTACCGGTATTTCCCCAGAAGCACCATCAGCTACACAAGGCATTTTATGAAGTGATTCCGCACCTGCAGCGCCTCCAGGCCCAAGTGCGCATTGTGGATGGCGTCGTACTTGGCCGAATCGTAAATGTCGGGCACCTTGGAGATGTCGAAGCGGTCCTTCTTCTCGTTGTAAAACGACTTGAGCAGCTTGTGCCACCTGTCAAACATCAGCAGCATCTTCTCGCCACCGCACGGCTGCCCGTCCTCATGCAGCCGCTCCTTGGGGTCCATGCTGAGGGAGCTGTACTTCTGCGGCCCGCCGCCGGCGCGCCACTTGTCGCCCTCCTCCCGCACCAGCTGCCGCAGCCGGTCCTCCAGCCGCTTCAGCAGCTCCACCAGGCGCCGCAGCAGCCCCAGCGGCGTGTCGGGCAGGCTGGCGATGATGGAGGGCGCGCAGGTGGCGTGCAGCAGCGTGTGCTGGCAGGCGCCCGCACATGCGGCCGCGACCGGCTCCATGGAGCGTTTGGACAGCGGGCTGAGGCGGGTGGACTGCGGGTACGGCAGCGGCGCGGCAGCAGCAGGGGCGGCAGCAGCCGGGTCGGCGGGCTCGGCAGACGAGGGAGCGTCCGCGGCAGGAGTGTCGGCAGCAGCCTTTTGGGCCGCCTCCCGCTGCCGCTCTGCCGCACGTGCCTCAGCCGCTGCCTCAGCCTCCCGCTCGCGATCTATCTCCGCCAGCCTCGCGCGCGCCGCCGCCTTGAGTGCATGCAGCCGGTCAATCATGCGCTGCAGCACCGGCAGCACGTTGGGCGGAGGCGGAGTGCCCGCATCGCCGGAAGCGGCACCCTGCAGCGACGCCGCGGTCGCAGGCGCAGGGGCGGGCTGTGGCTGACCGGGAGCTGTCGAGACGGCCGCGGCTGCCGCAGCTGCCGCGGCGCCCTTGCCGGTGGCAAAGGAGGAGGCGCGGCTGATTTTGGGAGACAGCGGGGGGCTGATCATGGGCGTCTGGGACAGCTTGGAGACGGCCAGCGGCGCCATGGAGGGCTTCTCCGGGTCCCATGTCATGGCCTGGGGGGCGGGAGAGAGGAGGGATATGCAGGACAGTCCCCGGTCAAGGTTGGACTCCTATGCACGGGCACAGTCAACCCCAATGGCCTCTGAGCGTGACATTACCTTCCCGCGCTGCCAGCCATTGGAACCAGGCCCCGGCAATCCGCATAAAATGAGCCAATCCTGATGAGCGGCTATCGCTGTGCCTGCCCCTATGTTTGCTTATCGCGGCCCCACACCCCTCAGCCCCCAGTGCCCACCTGGTAGAGCGCCTCCTTTGCCTCCGCGATGTCGTCCGAGGCGCCCTTGCCGAACGCCTCCAGCATGGACGCGTCCTTGTTGACCAGCGACACCAGGATGGGCGTCAGGCTGCTGCCCTCCAGGTCCAACATGGCCTTGGTGAAGGCGGCAGCAGAGGTCTGGAGGGGGGAGGGAGGGAGGACGGGAGGGAGGGAGGCAAGGAAAGATGTCAATAGTCAGGACCCCTCAGGAGGGTAACGCAGCGGAGGCATGGTGTAGAGCTACCGGTAACCCAACCCCATCCGCTGCCTGTGTCTGCACCCAACGCACCTGCACGCGGCCCTCGTCCGAGGAGTAGATCTTGAGGTCGTGGCGGTAGGTCGAGTGCAGCCGCAGCAGTCCATTGCCGCCGCTGTGATGCAGGCCAGGGAGGGAGGAGCGCAGGACGCGAGAAAGGGTTTCAGACTCGACAGTGGAATGGTAACTACTGGTGATACACACGGTGTCTTAGACGCAGGGGGTTTGCAAACATTCAACTACAAAGCACCAAACAGTAGGGTTAGGTGCCCCTACATAGCCTGAATCCAACACCCCTATCAGCTTGCAGCCCCGTAGAACAGCCTCCACTGTTGCCTCAACAGTCAGCCGTAACCATTATGTACAAAGATGCAAGACCCCATATCCCCCTGGTCCTCTACCTGGGGTACATGACCATGCGATAGACCTTGCCCAGGTCCTCCGCCTGCTGCCTGCCCGCGTGGGTGAGCACGCCGCCCCACTTGAGGATGAGCAGCGCCTCCTCCAGCACCGGGGTGCCGCCCGCGGACACGTTGGCGCCCGCGCTGGGGGAGTTGTGCAGCGTAGCCACGGAGGAGGAGTGGGGGTCTGTGGCAGTGGGAGGCGGGAAGAGGGTAAGGAGCAGGAGACGGGGTGGGTGGGTAAGAAGCGCAGCGGAGAGGAGGCTACAGTAGCGCACCATGTGCACTAAGACAGAAGCCGAGCGCAGCAGAAGGCGAAATCGGTAAGCGAGATTTCTGTTGATGCCGTCGGCACTCAGCAATTGAGTGCCCCGCCTTTCACTGTCTCCCGAGGCTTCCATCCTCCCGTCTCCCCGCCTACGCCAGACCCCATCTCAACCTCCCAGCAGCCCCTCTCACCAGTGCCGGATCCGAGGCCCGTCAGCATCTCCATGGAGCCGCCCACACCCGCCATCACCGCGCCCCCAGCCGCCTGCGGGCCGGCCGCAGCCGCACCCGCGGAGCCGCCGCTGCTGCCGGCGCCGCCTCCCGAGCCCGCCGCCCCCTCCGGCGCAATGCCCCAACGCAGCGGCTTGATCTGCACCTTGCGGTTGATGCCGGAGAACTGCCCGCCGCTCTCCAGCACCGTCTGCATGATGCGCAGCTTGCCGCGCACCTCCTGGGCCGCCTCGCGCTCCTCCGCGCCCGCCGCGGCACCGCCGTCCTTGTCATCCTCACGGCGCTCACAGTCCTGGGAAAGGGTGGGGAAAGGGTGGGGGGACGAGGGGCAAGCGGGTACCGTAAGCGGGTACCGTATCGACACGGCTCGGCTCGGCTCCCAACACCTGTGTAGCTGGTCCGCACCCTGGTGCACCTCCAGTTCATCTGCCGAGCACCCTCCAGCTAATAGCAAGACCGGCCACCATGCGCGAAAGCTCCGTTACCCCCTCCCCGCATCCGCATCCGCTCCACACCCTCTTACCCGCCCGTGGTGTTAACCTCCCAACTCCGGCTCCGTACCCCCGCCCCCGCAGCCCCCACCCGCCCCCTCTCTCACCTTGACCAGCTGCCGTGTGATGTCCAGCAGCTCCTGCAGCTGCAGAGGCGACTTGAGCTTGGCCTGCTTGCCCTTGGCGTCCTTGTACTTGTGGAACAGGGTCAGCAGCGGCTCCTGGGTCACCACCACCTTGAGCTTCTGCTTGGGGGTGCGGTCTGCAGCGGGAAGTGGAGGGGGGAAGCGGGGACAGCAAGCGGGAAAAGGAAGAGGTGTTCAGAGGAAACAAGGTGTGAGAGGAAGGGTTGTGAGAGGCCAGGACGGTACAATTCCCAGTACCGTAACAAAGGGGATGCAGCACAGGCGGCATGCACAGGGTTATGTCATGACCACCAAGTATAACTACACTATCAGGGGGCGACTGACGCCTTTGGGGTGGTCCCCACTGCAGGAGACAGATGGAGGACAACCACGCCATGAACTGAGAACCCTCCTGCGTAGAAGCCCTTTAAATCCGTGTCATGCTGCCATTACGACCCTCCCCTCATACGGCACCCAACCTTCCGCCCTCCTCCTGCCCCAGTGCCTCCCACCCCACCTCCGTGTCGGATCACTGCCAGCACGCAGCGCAGCTCCTCCTTCTGGCTCCGCTTGGCGGTGTGGCGCACCTCGCTCACGTCCATGCCGGGAACCAGCGCGTCATCGTCCTCCTCATCGCTCTGCGGCAGGTGGTGGTGGTGGTGGGTGGGGCAGGAGGTGAAGCGCTGCCGACTACGAACTTCAGGACAGGAGGGGCGAGACAACGGCAAGGTTTCACCCATGACATGTGGAGCGCTACCACACCTATACCGCTGTCCTTCACTACCGCAAAGCTGTTACTAGCTGCAAACTCAAGTCGTACTCTTCAAGTCAAACATGCCCGCGGCCTTACTCTGCTGCATCCAAGTTTACTGTGAACACCAAGACCCGACGCTCCCCAATGGCCATAGCCAACAATGTGTCATACTCCCAAGAGTTCCCGCATTCCCAAGCCATCTTCCCCCCCGAGACCCACCACAACCGTGCTGCCCGTATCCGGGTTGGTCAGCCTGGACGGCGCCGGCAGGTTGGGCTGCACGTTGAGCCGGTGGGGCGCCAACGCCGACAGGATGATGGAGCGCAGGATGCCGGCCGCATCGTCGTAGTACTTTTTGGAGTTCTTGACAAAGGACCAGCCGTTGACGTCGCACACGTAGCTGCGCCCCTTCTCGGAGCGAAGTAGGTCGAAGCCGCACACCTTTTGGCCAAACGCTAGGCACACCATGCGCGCAATCTCCTTCTCCTGCGGGCTCAGCAGCACCGGGAAGCGCATCTCCTTGCCGTCCGCGCTGCGCAGCACCTTGCCGTCCACCACCGGGGACTTGCGAGCCTCGGCGTGGGCGTACCTGGGGAGGGAAAAGAAGAATACCGGTACCCAATGTGTTGAATGGAAAATGGCAAACAAGCAGACGAGCTCCTGATGAATGAAATGTGAGAGGGAAGGAGGGGGCAAGGTACAACAGGCATGCAATTGGGAGGGGGTATGGCTTGGGAACTGGCGGGATGGAGAAAAGCCGCCCTTTTGCCGGATCCTGCGAGTCCAACATGTGTTTAGGGCATACGTGCTTCATACCATGCAGCTGGTGTGGATACATGCTGGCTATTCCTCCAACATGGCGGAAAAGAGAGAGCCTGAGAGCCCGTAAGGTCGTACCACAGCAATCCCCACTCCTGCAGCGCCTTCCATCACAGCCTCCGCTCCTGCCCCACACCTCAAACCCCGGCACTTACTTCCCATCCCAGTTAATCCCAGTCAGCTTCCACCCACCTGGGCCCCACGGTGTAGACCTTGACATCCGTTCCCCCGGTGGGCAGGAATTCCTCGTAGATGTAGGAGCCGTCCCGGCGCACGCGACCCGGGTGCTCGCAGTCGTACTTGGAGGCCTTGTCGTCCACCTTGCGGAACAGGTACTTGACGCCGCCGCCCTGCGGGAGGCAGGTGGTGGAGGCAGGTTGTTGGGGAGCCAGGTAAGGAGAAGCGGAGAGCGTAGTGGGATTCGAGACGCTGGGGTGTAACCTCTCGAGGGGTGGAGGCAGGGATCCAATAGTTGACAGTAGCGATGGTATATGGCTGTAGGGCAGCTCTATTTGCATAGTTACGACCCGGCTATCTAAAAAGGCTAGCGGCCAACTTAAACTGCGGAGACTGCTAGCCCGTTCCTTAAAACACATACCTCGCTTCATGTGCTACACTTTAAGGCCCACTACCGGTATCCCACCTACACCAACCACATAAATCCTGTGCGCGCGCGCCACAGCTGTTACCCGAGCGCCGCGCTCTTACCATGGAGTGCGGGTAGTAGACCCAGATGTTGTGGTCCTCCCCGCTAACCGGCTTCTCCACAAAGGGCTTGTAGATGCGCAGCCCGTTAAGCTCAACGTAGTCCTCATCCTCGACGAAGCCCGGCGGGTCGGCGACGCCTGGTGCCCGGGATGACACGACACCGGTGCGGAGGGGTGCGGGCGGGAGAGGAGCTTCAGGTGCCTGACTCGTGGTGGTGGTAACACACGATCCTAAACGTGGTGTGCGGTTTACAACGGCATTGGTAAACTTGGCGTACACTGGGGTCGAAGCCCCCAACGAAAGGGGGCGAGGTAGTTGGCAGCATTGCGGACAGCCAGCGGGCTTCGATTACATGCATTTCACCGGCCAGGGCGTCGGCTTGGGTCGCTGGCAGTTGGCTGGTCTGGCAGACTGGGGCATGCAACGAACAACCACGAAGAGGCACCAGCAGTCGGTTGCGCATCGGTGCTTCAATAACACCCTTGCTTAAAATGACACTCTCCACGGCACTCCTGCGCCGCAGGGCTTTCAAGACGATACCCCCATGTCGTACAACCATAACCCGTTCCTGACGCATCCCGGCCCCAGCCCCTACCCTCCGGCAGGCTTTCCCTGTCCACGATGATGTGGGTCGGCACGGGGATGTTCTTCTCCACCAGCAGCCGGTACACCCGCCGTCGGTCCAGCAGTGCATCCTGAGCGAAGCAAGACAGCAAGATCGCTTGAAGGACTGCAGGCCGGCAGTTGATGTGCCATGCGTGCTGTTGCATGGGTCATCGATGCAGAGCTGACCCACCCTCCTCGCTTTCTCCTTCTCATTGTCCATGGCACAAACCGCGCATGCAGTTCACGGCCGTGCCAATACTAGGAGAAGTATGAAGCCCATTTTTGCCTCCAGGTCACAAGATCCTTCAAACTATGCAGTACCCACCCGTTTCCTGGCCAGGACCGGCCAGGACCGCCGAGCAAGCCTTACCTGCATGAAGACGTCGTTTACTAGGAATGGCCGCTGGTTAAGGATGTACTCCTGAGCCTTCTTAAGGGGAAACCCGTCGGAGTGCCAGCACAACAAACACTCGACGTGGGGCCACTCATCCGTCGGCTTGTCAAGTATAACGTCGTCCCCGAAAATGACGACCTCGAATTCGCCCCATCCAGTCAGGCGATCCAGAATCTCCCTCATGGGCTTGCTGCGCGCCTTCTTGTCCATCGCGCATACGCCAACGCGTATTTTGGGTAAGTTTTGTTGCCCATCAGTCCCGCTGCGAAACAATCCTTTGAAGAGTCGCCGCATAGTATTCAGTCTTGTTGGTTATCCTGCAGGATAAACAGTCAAAAGAGCAGGATGGACGCAAACTGCGAAGGCACTTGCAAACTATGCCGGCAAACTTATGCCCGCAGCAAACACAAGCAGATGCGTGATGAACTACATAGTTTATGTGATCCGCTGAAGTAGATGAGCACTGGCGCCGTGCTGTGCACGGGAAACAACATAATTCCGCGCTCACACGCCGAGACGACTATCCTACCTGTAACGTTTGCTCTTATAGAAACTGTTAGGTTTCGTTACTTACCACTATTAACCACGGCTGTTTGGTCGCTGATGCGTCGATAGCTCTTACTATGTCTTGATTGCGACACAGCACTTGCAACCTGACGTCAGAATGGTCTCCAAGCAGTGCACAATGCTTTTTGGGGTCCAATATTTCTTGTTCAAGGTGCTAGGACAAATAGATGCATGGCACGCAACGCATATGGCTGGACCGTGGGTATATGCGCTATGCTCCCGTACGGGAGCTTATATCAAAGAGATTGAAGCATCCACCAGCCACACGTGAATTCAGAAGGTTAACGATATGCGGACGTGGTGTTCATCAGGTGTGAATAAAGCTGACCTAGATGAGGCTGCGAGTGGCTCCGAAGCTGTACGTTTGAACGTGTTCCACTGCTTTCACACTTCCAACCCCGGCAACGAGCTGTAACGTGTGCAGCGCAGCCCTAGAACACCATCTTACAAATGTATCTGCTTTTTTCCGTCTCATAGGTTTGGTCACTAACCCACGCGTTGCGCCCTATTGCTTTCGCCTCGCTTACTGTGTTGACTAAAACAAACTGTATTGCTGTGTGTATAAAATGTAAACTTCTCACACTACCAGATTTTCGTGACTGGCGCACGATGGGGTTGCAAGACTATTGCGTCTACTGCTCACGAGCTTCTGTGCTAAAGGACCGCATGGCAGCAGAACGTGTCTAAGCGTAATCTATGGCTGCACCAAATGACGCCGGGACCCAGCTGGGCGACGGCGCAGGAAGTACGCTGGCCCAAACTGCCACGTTGGCGCTAACGACAGGATTGTCGCCGTCGGCAATCCCGCACCCGCTTGCGCCGGAATCGATGTCATATGGCATCCAAACGCGGGACGCTGTCATAGCCGTCTTCCAACGCCAGGCAGCCCAGCAGCAGGCTCTCCTGACTCAACAGCAACTGGAGCTTCTTCAGTTGACGGAGGCAGCCCGCAGCCACCAGCGGGACCTAGCAGCGGAACAGCAGCGTCTGAAGCTGAAGACCGTAGAACTACACCGCCAGTCAGAGGAGCTGACGGAGCGCGAGCGGAAGGTGAGGTGGGCCGGGGCTTACGACCCACTGCGGGTCAACTGCACGCTGTCCCGCAATCCACCTCTCACCTCCTCTGCCACACCTCCGCCTGCACACACACCCCGTTCTCGCATCCGACTGGCCGCCTGCTTGCCGTTTCCATCCCTCAATCTCCTTGGCCGTCCTCCCAACCGCCTCCTGTTGCCACCTCAGCTGGCCGGCGATGCGGAGGCGCTGGCGGCTCGTGAGCGCGCGGTGGCCGAGTCGGAGTCGCGGCTGGAGGCGCTTCGGTGCTGTGTCAGCCAGCAGTACCTGGTGCTGCGGGCGGTGCACCTGGAGCTGCAGGAGAGGTGAGGGGGCGGGGGGCTTAGTCAGGGGGGACCTGAGGGCGGCCACCAATGGAGTAAGATAAGGAGTGCATTACCGGTATTAGCGCGCATGGCAGCTTGGAGCTGCGCTAAGTAGGTGGCATACCGGTATACCGGTGTGAGGGGCACTACGCTCAGCTGCAGCTGCGGTCAGCGGTGGTGAGGGCCAAACGGCTCCTAAAAGCAACCCTAGCGGCGTCGTAATATTAGCGCTATCGGACCTCCTCCCTTCGTGGCCGTGTGGTATTAACCAAAGTATCCTATGGCCTTTGGCAACTGAATGAGAAGTTCCTTACAGCTGCAGCTGTTTACCCACAGGCGATACCGCATCTCATACCGCTGTCCCCGTCACCGCTGCCCTCTCTCCCCACCCAGGCTCCTGGCAGCACGGCTGGAGGCGGCGCAGCAGCCGCAGGCTGCACCGGCAGCGCTTGCGACGGGGGCGGAGGAGCTCCCCGAAGCGAGCGCGGGGCTGCCTGCCAGCCTGGCTGAGGAGCATCCGGCTGCCTGCTCACCGTCACACCAGCCGCAATGGCAGGCCGCTGAGCCACATCCGCGTGAGCCGTCGCCGGCTGTTGCTGCTGCACCGGTTGCGGACGACCGGGGTGCAGACAGGGACCGCAGTGGTGGTGGAAGCAAGCGACGGAGCCGTGAGCGGGAGCATAGCCGGGATGGGGCTCGAGACAGAAAGCGGGATCGAGAGCGTAGTCGGGATCGAGGGGGAGACCGGACCTCTGATCGGGGCAGCTTGCGGGACCGCGGCCGGGAGCGGAGCCGGGCAGGGGTCAGGGATGCGGAGGAGGGCGGCAGGCGGCACCGAGACGTCGACCACGAGCAGGACCGAGGCCGGGAGAGGGGCCGCGACCGGGAACGAGAACGGGAAAAGGAGCAAGAGAAGGAGCGGGAACGTGAACGCGATAGGGAGGGCCCCAAGCGGCGGGGCCGGGAGCGGTGGCGAGGGCGTGAGTGGCCCGAGGGACAGCAAGACCAGGAGCGAGAGCACAGGGGTGCATCCTCCCCAACCGCCCGTGGCGACCAGGGCGAAACCCAACGTGCTGGGGCGCCAGCTGTGACACCACATGTCGGGGCGGGAGGCGGCGCTACGTCACCGGCAGCATCCCCGAGGGCCGCCAGCCCCATCACCGAGCCGCCCGGCAGCACCCGCGGAGCCGTGGAGCTGGCTGCTGAGGCATCCTCGCAGCGGAATGGCGAGGGCGAGGACGGCCCCCGCCGCACATCGGCGGCCGGCGCTGCAGCCGCGGGTCCCAGTGCGGCTGCCCCCGTTGCTGCCTCGGCTGGTGCTGCGAGCGAGGGCCGGTCCCTGCGGCCCGGCAGGAGCACCCGCGGGAGTGCGGCTTCTCGTCAGGCACAGCAGCAGCAGCAGCAGCAGGCGCCGACGGAGACGCACCTCGGAAAACGGCATCGAGGTTCCGGCGTGGATGATTCCTGGGAGGGTAGGCAGCCAGCCGATGAAAGGTGAGGTTTAGGGGGCTGAAGGGGCACGCGGGGTTGTGTACCCAACATGTAAGGCCAGTCACCGTACACTAAGACGGCGCATGGTGGGCGCCCTTCATGCATGCATGCATGACTGGAGAGGGTTGTCAGGCTTTGACCTTGGCTGCGGAAAGCGTATTGCTCACACGCCGCTAGTGGTCCCAAAAGCTTGTCCATTGCATGTTCCCAAGCAGGTCTGGCGCCAGCCAACGACCGTCAGACGCGGCGGGCAATGTGCAGGGCGGAGCGGAACAGCAATCACAGGCGCGCCTGCCAAAGCAAAGGCAGGCAAAGCAGCACCACCGACCGCCGCGCACTGGCGACGGCGCTGCTGCCGCACCTCAGACACTAGGCGCCGACGCTGATAATAAGCCTGCCGACGGTACGTGCGGCCAAACAGCAGCAAGCATTCCGGAAGCTCCCGACTCGGCAGCGGCGGCCTCAGCGTCTGCAACCCCAGCCTCTGCCGGCGCGCCTCCCGCTGCTGCTGCTCCTGCCGCGGTGCAGGACGTCGCGGAGGTACCTGCGGCAACCGTATCCGAAACAGACCCGTCCTTTGGAACCGACAGCCGTTGCCCTCGAGAAGAGGAGGAGGACGAGCAGGAGCAGCAGGCCTTCCTCGCCATGCACGCCAGCGGCCGGCCCGGTACGGAAGACACGGAGGAGGAAGGGGAGGAGGAAGAGGAGGAGGAGGCGGAGCGCTGCCCCCGCGAGGAGGAAGAGGAGGCCGCCGAGGCTGAGGCGCAGCGCCGTCGAGGGGGTAGGAAGGCTCGGCGCACGTGGGAAGAGCAGCCGCAACCGCAACAGCCCGATGCCGACGTGCGACCCCGGCGGCCATCGCGGCCTCCCCTGCCGCAGCCGCAGCCGCCTAAGAAGAGAAAGAAGACGGGGAGGCTGCCGCTGGAGGACCGAAAGCGGCTGAGGGCTGAGCGGCGGGCGCAGCAGGTGGCATATATTGAGGCGAGGCAGAAGCGCAAGGAGGTTTATGAGGAGCGCTTTAAGCAACAGCGGCTTGCTAAGGAGCAGGCCGCAGCTCGGATTCAGGAAGAGATGGCGGCGCGCAGGCTAGAGGAGCTGCGGCAGGCGGGGACCCGGTCTGAGAGGCGACGGCAGCGGCATGAGCGTAGGGACGCAGAAGCCGCGGCTTCCTCCGCGGCAGCGGCGTCACCAGCCTCGAGGCCTACCGCAGCTGCGGCAGCAGCAGCTCCTGCACCGCCTATAGAGCTTGATGCAGCTCCGACGTTGCCCCTTCCAGCTTCAGGAACCTCGGCGCCAGCAACGGAACCACAACACCCAGTGCAAACAGCAAAGGAGGCAGCGCCGGGTGCAGCGACACATACAACGGCGAAGGCGACGCAGACCACTTCAGCAACACGACCGGTGCCGTCCGCCGCTGCAGGCGTGGCGGCCATGGTGACAACGACAGCAGCAATCCTGCAGCCCCCTGCGAAGGTAGAGGTTGTTGAGGCGCCCAGCACGGTAGTAGCGCCACCTGAGCGCGAGGCAGCAGCGCCGCCGCCCCCACCGCCGCCACCCCCACCGCCCCCTCCAAAAGCAGAAGCAAAGCCGGCGCCAAAGGTCGAGGAGCAGCCTGCGGTGGCACCGCCGGAACGAGCGCCGCCAGCGGCGGGTGTAAAGGAGCGTGCAGTCGCAGCACCTCCGCAGCAGACATCACCCGTTGTGATGAAGGCGCAGTCTGGGCCGGTTCAGCCGCCGCCACCCACATCATCAGTTTTGCGGCAAGCCGCTCCTGCTGCACCGCCAGGCCCTGCAGCAGCCGCGTCTGACCACCTACCGGGTCCCCAGGCTGGAATGGAACCGCAGCCGGCCAAACGCCAGCACCAGCGGCACCTTTCGCAGCAGCCCGGCACACAGCAGCAGGAGCAGGAACGGCAATCCAGTCCTACTCGGCAGCAGGGGCGTCAGCAGCAGCTGGAGTCGGGAGCCCGTGTGGGCTCAGCCAATCCTCAGAGAGTGCCCTCTGAGCAGGTTGGGAGTGGCGGTAGGTCATCTGCGGCGTCAGGGGCGGCAGGGAGCTTAGGCTTAACGCCGCATGCGCCCGGTGGCGTTCCTGCGGCGTTAGGCATGGAGCAAGGTGGTGGCTCCTGGTCGCAGCCGCGGCAACAGCCGGAAGACGCACCGCACGAGTGTGCCCCGCTTGGGACAGCCGCGGAACGTGATAAGCCCCCGCTGGCATCGCGGCCACGGCAGCCACAGCAGCAGCAACCGCAACAGCAGCTACAAGTGCCGTCTTCGTTGGACCAGCAGTACCCGCATCCGCACTACCAGCAGCAGCAGCTGCCGCGGCCACAGCAGGAGCACCGGCCAGGGCAGCAGGCGCAGCAGTCCCAGGCGCATCGCCCAGCACCGCGGCCTCAGAGCCTGCTAGACTGGCGCCGGTCGATGCAGCCGATTGCCGCCCTCTCCGGCGCCTTGCCCGCGCTGGCGCCGCAACAGCTGGCACAGCAGCAGCAGCAGTCCCACCCTCAACTGCACGCCCAGCTACCGCAACCCCACATGCATGTGCACAGCAACCACCACCAGCAGACGCAGGCTTATGTGCCGTCGCAGCTGCAGCAGCAGCCACCCCATTTACGAGCGCAGCAACAGCCACACCAGCCTCACCCGCAGCAGCAGCGCCAACAGCAGGCCCCTCGTCCACCACATGACCAGCACCAGCAGCTGCTCCAAGCCATGCAGCAGCTGCAGCAGCAGCAGCAACAACAACAGCATCTCCTACAACAGGACGCACACCCGCAGCAGCAGCAGCCTTTACACCAGCAGCAGCTGCAACAACAACAGCAACAACGGCATCCACAGGCGCCGCCGCAGCAGGGGGCGCAGCCGCCTCGTGCCCACCACCTGCATCCTAAGAACCCCGCACCTCGGCCAGTCAATCGCGCCGCTGCTCGCGGGGCAGCTGGAGCGGAGTACGGTTCCACAGCACCCCCTGGGCCCAGCCACCCGCATTTGCAGCAGCATGCCACAAGCAGCTCCGCCGTACAGTCGCATCCCCCAGGGCCGCCGCCGCCAGGTTACGCCCCACCGCTTGTGCCGCTGGGAGTGCGCAGCCTGCCCTTTCACCGTCGTCAGCGGCTGAAGGCGGCTGTGGCGGCTGGATCTTACCAGGGGCAGCAGCAGCAGCAGCCTAACAGCGATGATGGAGGCGGGGATGGGGATGTGGACGGCGGCCTCCTGGATGAGGACTTGGCGCGGACTGTGGACATGTTGCGGCAGGAGCAGGAGCGCGAGCAGGGGCAGGGGCAACAGGGGCTGCTGTGACGCCTGGGGGTGCAGCGCTGGGTGGGTGGGAAGTGGGAGCATGGGTTGGCTGCTTGTTGGATAGTTGGAATTACCGTTGATATGATAGCACGTGGCGGTGGGGTAAGGGTGCAGATATGTTGCTGGGGATGTGTATTTTTGACCTGGTCTCGTAACCTCTGCAGATAGCTGGCATGGATGCCAGTTGAGGCTTCTTGTACGGACTAGGCGCCGGGTAGTACGCGTTGCTGAGTGCTCGGAATCATGGGATAGGTGCGGCCCGACTGGCTTCGGTGGCGGAATTTGGAACACTATATTCTGGGTTCACTGCATTGGGCTTACCGTATTGCCCAAAAATGGCAACACCTTCAGACAGATCATGTTGGACGGTTGTTCGTTGGGTTCTGCCACCTTGTCTCCTGGCCCTGGTGAAAAGCAGAAGGGGGAAACATAAAATAAGTGAAACAACTAGAGTCTCAATCCCATATCCCGACTCATGCAGTGAGCGCATTCGGAGACACTATCCTAGAAGCACGCAACTCAAAAATTACTTGCCGAATCTTTGCTTACCGTAAACCGAGAGGGGGAGGGACAGGGCACACAGCTTTCGGGTACCTGTAATGGCAGGTGAGAAAGATACCTGATGATGCCGCTCACACAGGGGTGACACGTGCATGCGCGGCGCCTGGAGTTGCCCCATGCAGTGTGTCGCCGACATACGTAGCGCCCCTATAACCCACGCCTGGGGGTTGCGGTGGGAAGTTACTTGGGTTTAGATTTGCAACCATAGCCCATTGCCTGATAAACGCCGGCCCGTCCGTTGCGTCAGTGTATAGGATTGAATTAATCCTTAAAATTATTCCCGGGGCTTAAGGCTCGTTTGTAGATGTACGACAAGCAACATACTGCGGCTTCTGTTGAACGAATCTTAGCCTATATTAGGAATTGTGCTTTAAATGTAGAGACTTTGGTGCCCTAACCTATTGACTAGTAAGACAACACGCAAGTCGTCGAAATGGGCGTTGGAGACCAATTTCTGCATCAGCCTTCCTAGGAATGCAATTACGCATTTAAATGAACCGCAGCTGCCTTACCCGTAGCTATTCGCTTCCAGCTGGCCCCGCACTTAGAGCAGCTGTTCCGGCAACACCTGTCAGGCTTCTTCCTGCGACTCGTGCCAGCGTTGCGACTGCAGCGTATGCGGACACTGTTTTAGAGGATTGCGTCGACGCACATTTTTCTGTGGAAGAGCTAGGGCATGTGCCTCAAGGAGTATCTAAAGCATGGGGTGCAGCATGGGACGAGCGGCTCAAGGAATCTCGAGGGGCAGTAACTTTGCGTATATCTGAAAAGGAAGGCTCGCCAACGTGTGAATTAATACTTGTCGGCATATTTCACCGTGACGCTGCAAACTTGCGTTTCATCCGTGAGGCCATTGAGACCGCGGAGCCAGACGCCGTCGCTCTGGAGGCGCGTCATAGCTTTCTCCCCACCTATCGACACCTCTTGGACGCCGTACCTGAGGACCTCTTGCTGAAGCTGCTTAACTGCCCATTGCATGACCTCCAGGTGGATGGGGATGGCGGGTTGGGATGCGCGGGCTGACCGGGCCCATGACCAAACACACGGAGCGCATGCCTACCCCTCTCTGATTGCTTCACGGCCAAACTCCGATCCCTACACCCCTTCTGCGCAGGAGGCATTCTCATACATCACCATCGAAGACAGGTGCGTCCAGGGCAACGTCCTGGCTAGGTTGGGAGCGGGCTTGCTGAGGTCCGAGGGAACTGCTGACGGGACTGCTGGCTCAGCTGCTCACTCCTCCGCGATAAGCCTGTACGACACATACACATGTCAGCATATATCGGGGCGTGCAGTGTCCCCCGCGGCGGCAGCCCCCCTAACCCCGCCGCTCACTCGCCCAGTCTCCCGGTCGCGGCGGGTCATTCAGGCTTCCCAGGCGCGCACCCGCCCCCCCCTCCTCCCACCTCTCTTCTCATATCCCCACAGGCTGGCATGGCATATTGCCCTCCTAGACGCCAACCAACAACTAGGGTCGCTGGCACCTCTCCCCTCCTCTCCTTCCTCCCTGCTCAGCTGCACCTCCTCCCTGCGCCCATCCCAGGTGAGCGCCGCTGCAACAGCAACTGCCTCAGCGACGTGGTGGTGTCCCACACCCGCACACCTGCGCCGCTGTCCCCTCCCCTCCCTGTAGCGGCATGCGAGCCCTGCTTGCTCCACGGGTATAACAGGCCTCACGTCCCCTGGACTGCTCCGTAAGCGGCTTTACGTGTGTGTATGGTTCGCAACACCTTCCCCCGCCCCGCCCCCGGCCCCCGCCCCCTTCGGACCTCACATCGCCCCCAGGTGGTGGGCGCCTTCCTTGCTCGGGAGCTGGTGCTGAGTGACAAGCTGGGGGCGGCGTGGGCGGCGGCAGCAGCGGGAGGTGAGGCGGCACGGGGCGTGAGGGGGGACGGGGTGAGGGGCTGAGACGGAGAACTCCTCGTGTGGCTGTGCGGATTGGGAGAGGAGGTGGAGGAGGGGGGGCGCAGGTGGGGGGGGAGGTGGCGGGGGCGCCCGAGTGCAGCGGTTGCTGGGGCGAGTTGGGGCGGGATGGGTTGCGTGGCTTGCTCGCCATCTGCCCTCCTTACTACGCCCTTTGTCCTGTCCTGTCCTAAACCGCACTGCTTCTACGGCTTGCGGCTGTCCACACCCCTCCCTACCCGCTCCCCCACCCCCGCCAGACTTGCCGCTGCACGGCATCGAGTTGGACGATCCCGCCTCCTACCAGCAGCTGCTGCGGGGGCCGCTCACCGCCAGCGGCACCTGCAGCTCATCAGACAGCGGAAGCAGTGTTAGGACGTGCCCCGGCAGCCCCGGGGGCCCCCAGGAGTGGCGGCCCCCGCAAGCCGCCTCCCCCCAGGCCGGGGGCCCCCCGCAGGAGCAGGAGCAGGAGCAGGACGCGGCGCTGCTGCGGTGGCTGGAGGGCGAGCAGCGGCGGCTGGCGCTGGGCTGCCTGGGTGGGCGGCTGGCGGGGGAGGTGGGGGAGTGGATGCAGCGGGCGCCGACCGGGGACATGCAGCGGGTGGGTGGGTGGGTGGGTTGGGTGGGTGGGTGGGGAGGTGGAGGTGAGGGGCCTGGGTGGCCCTGCGGAATGTGCATCCCTATTAGTCCCTCCCCTCCCCTCCTGCCCTCTCCCTCCCCCAGCTGCTGCAGGTGCAGCTGGCCGGTCTCCTGCCGCACTGCATGGGCCCCACCACCTACGCAGCCTACGTGGACGCCACGGAGGCGCTGTGGCAGCAGGCGGGCGGCAGGAGCAGCGGGGAGGTGGGGGCGGCTGGGCAGGCGGCGGCAGGGGCGGCGGCGGGGCGGCGGCTAGCGGAGCAGCACACGCAGCTGACGGTGAGGTGGTGGCGGGCGGGCTTGGGCGAGGGGTGGGCTGGGGCGAGAGGGGCGAGGTGGAGGGTGGGTTGGAGCGTGGGGTCAAGACAGGAGGGGTTTAGGAGGAGACCCTCCGTCCCCCGGCCCCGTAGTCCCCCGACCGACCTTCCTGCCTGGGTCCCCTCACCCCCCCTCCCCACCTGCCCCCCTCCCACCGCTATAGGAGGTGCGGGAGCGGCACTTCCTGCGGCAGCTGCGGCAGGTGGCTGCTCGGGGTGGGCGGGGCGGGCGGCGCTGCAGGCGTCTGGTGGCAGTGGTGGGGCGCACACATGCGGTGCGGTTACGGAGGGAGCTGGAGGGGAGCGGAGGAGGAGTCGGGGGCGGAACGGCTGGGGAGGGCAGGAGGAATGGGTGATATTCGAGCTGGGTTGGCGCCACCTGGTGGGGGCAAGGTTGAGGTTAGGATGGCAGCATGGCTGGTGGCCGGGTGTGGTGACACGAATGCGGGTGACTTGTGGGTGTGGCGGCAGGTAGGGGGAGTGGGAGGGTGATGTGGGCGCGAAATGGTGGAGTAGGTGGTGGTTGGGTATGTGGCTGGGCAGAAGGGGCGATGCACTCGCGCTGCTGCAGCATCTTGGATATTGGAATGCCGTTGACCCATGGGTCACCAATGGTTCATCCCTGATTGCGAATCCTTTCATAGCTCCTGGTTCATCTTCCGCTACCATCGCAACAGTGTTGTAGTGCCGTACTGCAATTGGGAGTGCTCCAGCGGCGCTGCTGGGCTGCTGGGCTGCAACTGCTGCGTACGGCCTCTCTCCTCCCAACAGCGCTGCATCTCTAGCTGGCTGCTGACACATCGTGCTGAGGGCACACATTCGACCCAAGGTATCAACGAATGCCGACAACTCGACATGCATTCACAGCCGACCATACATGCAAGCTTCAATGCGTGGTACCATTATAGCACACATTTTTGCGATATACAGAGCTGTATGAATGTCGGGTTGTTGGCGTTCGTTGACACCTTGGGACAAATGTGCTCAATCTGTTTGAGGTGCTCTATCTGTTTGAGACCCCGTTTTGACGGTGTCTTTCTGGCTTGCTTGATTGTAACGCGCTTGGCTTTCGTAGGTTTGCTCTTGTGACAGGAGCTTCCTAATTTCGTCTGGGCGGTACGAAGCGCATCCAGAAGGGCTAAGCAACGTTGAGCTGGCAAGCAGTTGGCCGTTACAAGGCATGAGGAGCGGTCACATCGCCAGAAAATAGTGAAATTAACCCTACGGTAACGGTTACTCCTAGGCTGGGTATCGCATTGTCATTTGACAGTAAATTGGTCTCAGATCCTCAGAGCCTTCACGAACTTTTCGTCGATCCCCGGATTTCTCATACTGGCTGCATAAATAAGAACCTGCTCAACAAAGGTTGTCCGGGCAAGCGTCCAGGCATATCACAGTCACTCGATGGCGTCATCGTCCCAGCCGCTGCTGCTGCTGCTGGCGTCCGTCCCTGCGGAGGTGCTGGCCGCGCAGCTGTTGCCGCGGCTGGGCGCAGCCGACCTCTTTGCGCTTTCAAGCTGCTCGCGCAGCCTGTTGGAGACGTCGGCGCAGGAATGGAGCGAAAGGTCAGACTCCGCGGTTGCGTTGTTGCGTTGCGCAGCTTGCCGACACCTACCTACGGCGTTCATGGCTGTTGTATGTTGTGCGGAAAAGCACGCTTATATGCTTTCAGTCATAAGACCCCTGCTTCCAAGCGCTATGCGTCAGCCATAAAGTATTTAAATGAGCATTGCATTTCAGTACAGGTATGCATTACTAGTCCTGCGGGTTGCGTGGCTTGTGTCAGGCGTGTTAGCGCAGGTAGCGTTTCGGGCTGGATACGGGTGTGATGGATGCCATCTTCGCTGCGCGCCCCCACCCTTCCGCGGCCCCACCCATCACTCCACACAGGTTTGTCCGCCTCGGCCTCCAAGACCGCCAAGTGGGCCCCGCACGTACCTCCCGCCGCCGGCGCGAATGCACCGACACGGGTGCCAGCGCTAGTAACAGCAGCAGCGAGGGCAGCAGCAGCAGCAGCGGCGGCGATACGGAGGACGGCGATGATGACCAGGAAGCAAGTCTGGACGCCCCGCTAGCCTCCATACAAGGGACCTTGGCTGAGATTTCCATCTCACCCGCGACTCCGCCTCTGTCCTTGTCTGCAAGCAGGCATGGAGGACGAACCGACACCGACACCGCCGCCGTACCAGCAGCTGCGGGGGCTGCGTCCGCTGACTTGGTGGAAGGGCAGCCGTCGGCGTCGTCACCCCCGTCCCCTGCGCGGCTGCTGGCGAGCGGCTGTCAGGGCTGGCGGCAGCTGCTGCGGCGGCGCTGCGCAGTGCTGGCGGAGGAGCGGCGGCGGTGCCAGGGCTGCGGGGCGACCCGCGGGTCACTGCGTGTGCACCCGCTGTTGGGAGTGCCGCTGTGCCGCCGCTGCCGTGCGAGCGACGCGTTCCGACTGGTTACCCGGGAGAACGCCATGCAGGTGAGGTAGGGGTGTGGCGCGGGTGTGGATGTGGGTTTTGTTTTTGCGTGTATATGCTTTAAAACATATGGTTGGCGTGGACAGAAGGGATTCCGAAAAGGCCTGAGTCCAGTCAAGAGCAGTGGCACGTGTCGTGCCTGGAACTGCAGATAACTGCAGGCGACTGGCTTTCCAATCCAGTTCTTCATCTCTGCGTTTTGTCTTGTTGCACGCTCCCACGCAGGACTTTGGGTTGCGTGGAAGCGACTTCAGGGGCCTCCGGGGCCTGCGGGAGGGGGCTGCAGAGGCCGGTACGGCTGCAGCGGGCGGGCGGAACCGAGGGGAGGGGCGCAGCAGCAGAGGTGGCGGCGGTGGTGGTGGTTGTGGAGGCGACAAGGGGCGTCGGGGCGGTGCATCATCGGGTCGGAGGGATTGGGGTGGTGACCGCAGTGGCAAGGGTCGTCATAGTGGTGGCGGGGGCGGAGGTGGACCCGTGGGTCACAAGAAGCGGCCCGACTGACAGCACGAGTGGTATCTGCTGTCGGAGGTGCGCGGGCGCGCGGAGGAGTTGTTCGGTGCTGGGTTCGAGGAGCGGGCAGCGGGGCTGCTGGGAGGGGGGCCCGCGGGGTGGGGCTGAGGGGGCCTGGTTGAGGAGGGGCGGCGCGATGAAGGCGTTACGATGGGCGGGGTGAAGCATGGTTGGATGGGAAGGGGTGGACTGCGGTTGTCGTCTGCTCCCTTACATACAGGATACAGCGGCAGGCCGACCTACACTTACTAGTGGTTGTTAGTGCTTAAGGGGAATATTTGTTATTGCTGGTATAACAGCTGCCTGGTCCTGCCTGGCCTTTTAGCGCCCCAGCCTCTACGGGGACCCGTGGACGTCTGAATGAGTGCCGCACACCGAAAGCCGCATGGGCTGACGGCACTAACCTAGCTGGTCTTTGTTCCGATGTCTCCTGCCTTGGGGTTGGAATTGGTTCTTCATCGAAGAAGCCTATACAATATACGCAGATGACTACGTCGGTGCAATTGATGATAACTACCTATCAATTGTTGCTTGGGAATCTTCATATGCCTCGGGCTTGTCCCGAGCGCTGTGGCTGTGGGTCCGTTGTTTTGCGGATGTCTACGCGGTTCCATTATTTCTGGGCCTGTCCTGTTGAAGATGCTGTGGTTGAGCAGCTTGAGATCAAGTTGGGTGTTGCGGTTCCTCGGGCTGCCTTGTGGTTGGCTTTGCCTCCCTCGGGCGTGCAGCAGTGTGTTTGGGATGGTCTTGTCCTGGGTGCTTTGTCGGCTATGGTAGAGGGTCGGCGGCTTTTGCGAGCTTGTGTGCGTGAGTCTGGTTCTGCGGGTGTTGTGCTGAGCTTGCTGATTAGGTTGCCCTATGTGCGGTTTCTTGGTTTTGGGGTCAGCTTGTTTGGGTGTTCCCCGTCGGGGGTGGGCTGAGGTGGGCCCTTCTCATCCGTTCTTGCGTGTTGTTGGTGGGCGGCATTCTGTTCTCGGTTGAGCGTTCTGTGTTTTGGGTCTGCTGTGGTCTGGTCTTTTGTGTGTGTTGGTGTGTTTTTTGCCATCGTTTTTAATTGTAGAGGTTTTTGCTGACGGGCCGTTTTCTTGGCTTCTACCCTCGTTCTTTACCTCTCTTGTGGTTATTTTTGGGTTCTCATGCCTGTTTCGTGCTGGCCCGTTGTGGTGTTGTCTTTCCGGCGTGTTGCGCTTTTCTTGCAGTGTAGCGTTGGGTTCATCACCCGTGTTCCCTTTTAAGGAACCATCGTAACGGTCATTCATTCATTCGTTTGCGCAAAAAAAGTCGATACTTGGGTCGCTTGTTGAAGGTGCATGAATGGATGAATGTCTCTTCATGCATGTGCTGCACGGGGCCAAGAGGCGAACGATATCGGTATGACAGCAAGGCGTTAAAGCGCTTAGGCAATCTTAATTACATGAGTGCGGTAGGGCGAATAACGGGAACTCCATATCAGCACATAACTTGGACGACACACCCGCTGCCAATCAGCATGAATTCCGTATTTGCGCCGCCCGCCCCAAACCATTCGGTCGATCGCCAGGATGGCATCAAGACATCACCAACACACCATGGCACCAAGGACACCACCCATCAACCAACCATGGAGCTGCAACCACTCCTCCTCTCTCCGCACATTGCCACCGCGTCGTTTGCCGCTCACAGCCTCCTGGTCATGGCGCAGTACCGGTTCCTTAACCATCGCATACCAACAAGCAATCGCAACAAGCAATCACGCGCAGCTCCCCAACAAGACGCTTGCATGTGGTCGCAGCCTGCTTCACGAGACACACCCGTCAGCGAGGGAGCATTCACACGGGCCCCAATACCCGGCGCATGCACACCGACAAAGGTGAGACCACATACGGGTAAGCCTGTTGCCCCCTTCTACGCCCCCTTTCTTATCCATCCATCCACGCGTTACTGAGCAACCACATCATCACACATCAGCGCATTAAGGTAAGTCGTTGAGGCCCTGACCTTTATCAAAATCGCGCAGTTGCTGAACACCGCGCGTACAAAGTGTCCCCCGTTTGAACCGTCGCATGCTTCTCGGGATGAATCAAATTCGCCCTCCAGCTCAAACCCACGACATGCCTGCGTATCCACCACCACCACCACTACCACTATTCTGGCCACATCCCGCATGGTCCCTGCAAGCACCTGCATGCCTCAACTGCCGCACACACCACACACACACCACTCCAGTAGTTGTCATAACACACACCTCGCCACCGGTTTTCTTAAACACACGCTGAACCATCTTCCGCAGCTTCCAATACGTTGCATTTCGTGGTCAGGTTTTGGTTACCCCACCTCTTATCATACACCTACCGACCAGTTTTCACCGCATCCACAATAATACGCAACCGGCATCAAGATGTGCCGCCGGCACCTCATTAACCGGGTGGGAAAACCCGAACACACACAACCGTTTTGGTGGGGACATCATCTTCCAACAACCACAGTACGTTCCGGCTCGAGGCTATCAGTTTTCTTGTCACCGTCACCCCGCCAGTGTTTGGTGGCCTCACCCGGCACCGCCGCTCCTTCTGGCAACGCAAGTGGCATCGCCGCACGCGGGGGCAGAGCAAGTCTTTCGAGAACACCTCATGCGCCATCCCCACTGTCTGGCTGCGTTGCTATTAGGGCTGCCCCCTCACAGTCAACAGTCCCGCCTCCGCAATACTCGTCACCTCTGTGTCAACTCCGGCAAACATTGCAACCGCCCACAACCGCCATCCCGGCTCCCTCTCAGCCACGAGCGGAGACCCAAGGAACCGCCCGCCGGTGCACCCCGCCCCAAACCACTCCACTGCATCGTAGCCATCCCCCATCTTCGAGCACCCAAGGTTTGGTCTGGTTTCTGTCTATTGACCACACCCCAATACACTGCACTCCCATTCGCATCATACCTCTCATCGCAGTTCTCATCCCACCCCATCCCACCAACATGCGCCGAAGATGGTCCGGGATGCGCCGGGATTGCCCGACAATCCCTAACAATCAGTCTCCCCATCCCCACCCCCGTTGCCGCAGCCCCCTCCGACCCGCTTTCTCGCAATGTTTTCGCCGCTCATCCGCCGCTCCATGTTCTTCGCCTTTTCCATAGGACTGCGACGCATTCATACACATTTAGGATAAAGTTGCAAGTTGCTGCTCTGCTCCTCGGCAGGAGCGTGAAGCAATGAAACATCCATAATTGAATCACGCCCATAATATTGAAATCATTGTAGCACGAATTGCAAAATCATTGTAGCACGAATTGCAAAATCATTGTAGCACGAATTGCAAAATTCCAGTCACGTTGCACGCACCGAAGAAACAAAGGACCCCGCTTCAGTCATAACCCCGAAGCAACCGCATCGGTGCCCGGCTGCCCGCCTCCCGCCTATGCTTCACCCAATCCCCGCACCTCGCTACATAAACGGACGAGTTTTGTTATCACACGCAATCACCCAGTAACGCGGCATTTCGGGAACGCTGGTTCTCCTGCAATGCAAACCCCCCTTTGATAAAAGCAACTTGGGTGCAATAATGTGCAAACGAAAGCCTGCTTGGAAGCACGCTACGGCATCAAATGCCTGATCCGCCAACCAGCGGGTGGGGGGCCTTCGTAAGCACCGTCAGTTGGGCACCAAGTGTTAAGAAAACTGGCCGCCCGATGTGAGTGCGTGTCAGTCTCCCTTCCCACTACCACTCGCTAAGAAAAAAACCAGTAACCAAAACAGTCAAGAAGCCCCTGTAACGGGCCACAACGGTGCCCCCAAGGTCCTCTTCTTTCCCGTCCTCAGCCCCTCCTCTCCTTTGACAAATGGACATATCGCTGCGAAGCAGTCAATCACACCGCACTGAGACGAGCACCGAGACTCCCGTTGGAGGACCAACAAAGAACAGAAACGCACTCTTCGCACTCCTTGCCCATTCCGTTACCTTACACATCGTATGCGCTTGCGGACACTCTGTCAACCTTGCGTTCAACTGGCAGTCTTCCCCCGCGTCCTCCCCCGTGTCACTGCAATCACATGTGCTATAACTAGGTGGGGTGAGAGGCGAACAAGATACCTCTGCCGGGACCCGGGGTAACACACACCGTCGGAATGACCCGTGGGTCTCCTCGCTGCAATGCACACACAGAAACCCTAACATCAGCTGCGGCAAAGTCCCCTGGACCCGTGTACCCTGGCCGTGTCAACATCCCCTCAAGCGAAACCAATTGTCTCACGCGCGAGCAAAGCCGTGGATTCAAGCGGCAAAGATGCCCCGCGGCATCATGCACGACACAATTGCGACTGAGGCAAGCAGCAGACTGCACACATAGCCGCTGCATAGTCAAGCCAACATCAGCAATCAAGCGAGAAGTCATCAACAGTACCCAGTAGAAAGCCGCCCAACGCCTAGCTCAACAGGATCATGACCCGCGGTTCACACAGGAGTTCTGGATTCCCGGTTGCTACTTATACATTAAATTGGATTCAAGCCAAGTGAGCAGTACATTACCAAACACTTTCAGCCAGGTCGCTCAGACGCCCAAGAAACACTCCGTTCTCGGACCCCTTCCTACCAGCCCCGTCACCCCCCCGCGCCCAACACACAGCCCTCACAGCGCCTCCTCTAACACCTCCTCCATCGCACCAAGCTTGAACGTCGCCGCTGGCGCCGCTGCCGCAACGGAGCTCCAGCCCCCACTGCTCCCGTTCCCGGACGCAAACCCCTCAAACCTGGACCGAGCCACCGACCCCAACCCCGACCCCGCCCCCATCCGGCTACCGACGGCATGCTGCAACGAGGCATAATCCGCGCCGCTACCCAACCCCATTACCACGCTTTCACTCCCGCCCGCCACCGCCGTTGGCGCCCTGCCCGCGCTGCTGCCAAACATGAGCTCGATCTGCAACTCCGGCAGCTCCAGCGGCGCCGAGCCCACATCGAACGCCACCGAGGACACCCCCGGCAGCGTCTCGGCAGACGTCTCCCCGGGCGCCCCCATGCCCGCCACCGCCTCCGCCGCCGCCACCAGGTCAGCACACGTAGTGCTGATGCCCTGAGAGGACACCACCTGACTGTCCGGCAGCGTTTGGGGCGACGAGGGGCATTGGGTCAGCTGCTGCTGCTCGCTGAGGCCCTCCGCCGCTGCCTCCTGCGTGTTGAAACCGGCGGCGGCAGGAGCGGTGCCTGTAGGCCGGTCAGCGTCGGCGGCAGAAACGGAGGCGAAGGCCGGGGGCGCCAGCGGCAGCACCACCAGAGATGTGGCAGTGGGCAGGGTGTTGGCGGCGGCGGTGACGTCAGCCGCGACGGTGGCGGTGGAGGCGGCGGAGGCGCATGACAGGGCATGCCCCGAGGTAGAGGCGGAGGCGGCCGCAATTGAGGCAAGCGGCGAGGGGGTGGCGGATGCGGAGGTGGTGGGAGCGTGTGAGGCGGAGGGCGAGGGCGCGGGCGCGGGAGGGGCCGGGGGGTGGTAGACGTAGGTCTGCATGAGTCCCTTGCCCTTCACCTGGATGCCCCCGGTGGCCTCCCAGGCCGCCTCCTCGCGCAGCAGCTGCCAAGCGGCCTCGCTGGCGTGGATGGCGCCGGGGGTGCCGCTGCTCTCCATGCGGCTGGTGGTGTTGACGGTGTCGCCTGGACAGGGGGAAGGCGGGCGGCGGGCGGGAAGGCAGAAGGGCGGGCAGAGCAGCGGGTGGGAGGTGTGGCGCCAGTAGGAGCAGCGGCATGCGTGGTCACCTCCTGGTAACACACAACGGTAACAGCAACTGCTCGCTGCATGCGACCCCCCACCCGTCATGCAGCGCCCTACAATGCACCGCTTGTCGACCCAAGACGGCCGGTGCCCGCACGCCCCCACGCGCAGCGACGCACCCACCGAAGAGGCAGAAGCGCGGCATGCGGGTGCCCACCACTCCGCTGACCACAGGCCCCGAGTGGATCCCGATGCGGATCTCCACCGGCTCCCCGCTGGTGGGCATGAGCACCTGGCGGGCCGCCGCCAGCATGGCCTGTGCGCGCACGCGACAGCAGCACGGCATGCATGCACACGGCGTAAGGGGCATGGCTCCCAGCACGTAGATTGCGGTGCAATGTGCGCCAGGGCACCGTGCCGGGCCCCGGAATGGACAGTGGCGACCCACGGGTCACTCGAGAGGCCCCTCGGCATTCACTTCCAAGCACTGCCATCACGTCCATCACATGCTTCCCACCCAACTCTCTAGAGACATATTAGATTCCAGGGACGCATACAACGGGGATAGCGGCGGCTATGGCCGATCCCAGGCATGTCCGCCCCACCTTTGCAAATCCAAACACCTTGTGCGCGTGCAGCGGATCCACCCGACTGCCGTCCCGCACCGCCGCCATGCCGTCCTCGTCTTCGTCCACCAGCCCGCCCGCCACAAAGTAGCAGTCGCCAATGGTCTCCACCTGTAAGAGTGCGGTGCGATACGGCAGGTGGGGAACAACGGGGAAACAAACGTGCCATGGGGGAACGGGTCCAGACAAGGCAGCTAGGCAGCCCAGCAAGCAGCCATGCTTTCGGGCCTGGCTTACGCGCAGGCTGCCATAACCAACTTGAACACCCGCCGGCTAGCCGCCCCCCGCTCCCCTTCACCGAAAAGCCAACGACAGCGCACATGTCCTGTCGTACAACCGCTACACCCACCCACCCACTGCCCACCCACCTTGAATACGCCGTACGTGTCAAGCATCTTGTCGTACCGCGAGTAGAGGTCGTTGAGCATTGTCATCACAGCGCAGGGCTCCACGTCCTTGCACATGGGGGTGAAGCCTGGGGGGGAGAGGGTAGGCGAAAGGGGCGACCGGTGCCGAGGTGTTAGATAACAGACAGGAGGTCCCCCGTGTCTGCAGGTGCGGACATAAGCCGGTGTCGGGCAGTTCGCATGGGGCAGAGTCTTCACACACCCCAAACGACTTCCCCCTTCCCCCAAGCCCCTAACCCTTCCCCGCCCTCCCCTTAACCTCACCCTTGATGTCCGCGAACAGCAGTGTGACCTGCGGGTGCCAGGTGGACAGCGCCTTGCAGTTGCGAACCGTGGGTCGCCACGTCGCGCCGCTGGCCAGCAGGTCCGCCGCCCGGTTGCCGGCCGCTGCTGCCGCCGCCGCAGTGGCCACAAAGTCCTCTGTGATGTACTGCAGGATGTGGCGCGGGAAGAGCTGCTCCAGCAGGCGGTGCTCCGTCTCCATGACCAGGGCCAGGTGGCGCTCGGCGACCACCTTGGCGCTCACGTCGTGCTGGGGGAGGGGGGGGGAGCACATGGAGAGGGAGGAAGGGGTGTGGGTGGGTGGGTGAGTAACAGGGATGCCTACCATGCATGGCGGATGAGAGGGCGTCTGCACGCGGGCATGAACAGGCGGTTCGGACAGGAGGAAAGGGAGCGCCGCGATGCCTGCCTGCTCACCTGCACCAGCACCAGTACGTCCTCCCCGCTCAGAGGATCCACCGCGCGCGTCGCCCAGATCTCATGCCAGCACTCCTCATCTTCATCCTCCTCCTCGCCACCCTCCTCTCCCTCCTCCAGCTGCTGCCCATGCTCCTGCCCCTCCTCGCACTCCCGCTCCCGCTGCCGCTCCACCCGCAGCTCCCGCCGCCGCTCAGCCCGGTCTGCCGCGTCCAACGATGCCAGCGCGCACTTCAGCCGCTCCAGCGTGCCGCCACCCGCCGCCGTAACCCGCCTCGGCGGGCCCTCGCCCTCCTCACTCTCCTTGGACCCGCGCACCTGCGTCAGCTGCAGAGTGGGCTCTCCAACCGCCTCCGACGCCCTCTCCGTCCCCCCGCCAGCACCCCCCCCAGTGCCGCCGCCGCCGCTGGCCTCGGCAGCGGCCAGCTTGGGCCTCAACGCCATGACGCTAATGCCGGCCCGTGCCTCTACATGCCCCCCGGCGACACTAGCACCAGCAGCCGTGCCTGGCCTCACCGCACTCTGGGGGGGCATCACAGCCCCCGCAGCCCCCACCCCTGGCTGCTCCATGCTGTTTGTAGCCAGCAGATCCGGCGGCAGGGAGGCGGAGGTGGCGCGGGAGGAGCCACCGCCGCCTCCGCCGCAGGGCCCCGCGCCACCTCCGGCACCCAGCCCTGCAGGGCCCTCATGCACGAGACGGGAGCAGCCGCGCAGGGATTCCACGTTGCCGCAGGAGGGGCGTAGCGAGGAGCCGCCGCCGGCGTTGGAAGCGCTGAGGGCGTGCGGCGCCACGCCACCCAGGTTGGAGTTGCGCAGGTGGGTGCTGCCGGAGAGCTGCGAGGAGGAGGGACGCGGCAGGGAGAGACTGCGTCGGGGACCCGCATGGCTGCCGCTGTCAGCGGTGGTGTGGCTGCGGTAGGCGGCGGCCTCCGCGCCAGGCAGCGCATGCGGGTTGGCGTGGCCGGCGGAAGCGGAGGCGGAGCGAGGCACGGCGACTGCTGGGGCAGCGGCGGATGTGGGGTGCAGTGGTGAGGGGGGCTGGGTGCTGCCGCCGCCGCCGGCGATCGGTGCCCGCCTGCCTCCCCGCGGCGACGCGCCGCTACGCCCCAGCCAGGAGTCCAACACCGTGGCGCTGCCGCCGTTGCGGGGACCCTGCGGCGGTGCCCGCGGCCCAGCGGTGGGGGTGCAATGGGGTTAGCATGGGGGACAAGCACAGGCGCATCAGAATCCCCATGCAGCGAGGCAAGCCCAGCCCCAACCCGGGGCTACTACATCTTACCCATCCACCCACCCTACCGCACCCTACCGCGACCCAACCCACCGGCGGGCTGCCCATGCAGGCCTGGTCGTGCAGCAGGAAGGGATAGCTGCCCTGGCTGTCCTCCCCCCCGCCGCCGCCTCCATGCCGCTCCCGTGCCGAGCTGTCGCCGCATGGCAGGCTCTCGTACGTGCCCAGCAGCTGTGCGGTGCTGGGTGCACCCGTGGTGGCGGTCAGGAAGGGGCCCACGGTCTGCGGCCAGGGCTGCATGGAGGAAGTGGAGCCGGCAAAGGGTGCGGGCCCCGAGCCCATGTCTATTACAACTAACTCTGCTCCGCCGCCGCCGCCGCCGCCGCCGCCGCCGCCCCGCCGGGATGTCACGCTGGTATCGCTATACTTGCAGGCGGCATGGCGGGAGACCGGCGCGACGCCGCCGCTGGGGCAGTCCCCCACGACGGTGGCCACGCTGCTGGCCCCGCCGGAGCAGCCCCCGCCAGCACCGGTGGCGGCGGTGCTCTGACTCACCCCCGCCAGCAGCAACGCGGCAGGCGGAGCGGTTCTGAGCTGCGCCGCGAAGGTAAGCACGCGCGCGTTGGAGCCCGCGAAGCTGCCGGTGGACAGGCTGTCCGCCGCCGCCACAACCCCGCGGGAGCTGCCGCGAGCCAGCAAGACGCGGTGTGCGCTGACCCGCGAGCCGGCGCGCAGCCCTACAGCGGCATCGCCCAGTCCCAACTGTTCGCCGCCGCCATCACCGGCGGCCGCGTCAGAAGCTGCAGCAACGGCGCCAAACTGGCCGCGGACGCTGAGGAGAGCGCTGCCCTCATAGTGGCAGGAGGAGCGCGTCGGTTGCAGGCGAGGCATGGAGGCCCGCCGGCCCGCGCGACCAACCGAGAAGGAGCTGGCCCGCTTGGGAACGGCGGTGTGCTCTGAGGCATCGACGTCGAACGGCATGACGGAGGAAACAGAGCGGCGACCTGAGAGGGACATAGTGAAAAAGGGGCAGCCGGTGTTGGGGAGCGCAGGTGGGGGCCCCGCGCCGTCTTCGGCGCCGGCATCCGAGTCCCCGGCGGGATTGGTTGCTGCTTGACAGGAGGACGATTCGGTACCCACGCCAGGCGACGGCTGCGGGCGGGACAGTTGGCAGCGGTTGGCGGCGGCGGCGGCGAGGGAGCTCGGGCGCGGCTTGCCGCTGTGCGTGAAGGAGCCGCTGCGGCGGAGAGCAGCCAGCGGGCCGCGGGGGCCGCTTGCGACTGCGGTTATGTCGGAGCTGCTCCTGCCGCCCACGGCCCCGATAAACAGCTTGGAGCCGGAGGAGGTTTGGCCCGGGCGCGCGGGTGGTTTCTGCTGCGGCGGCGGCGGCAGCGTGCTCGACTGCTCAGCGCCCTTCTTGTCGCCCAGCATGCTCAACATGAGCGCGGTGAGGCGGAAGGACCTGCGGGAGGCCCTCGGCGTGAGGGGCGGCGAGGCTGCGCACGCAGTGCGGACCCGAGCATGCACGCATGGGGGCAACCAGAAGGCGGCGGTTAAGCACGGCAGTGCGGGTTGCGGGAGTTTGGGGTGTGTACCATGCGGGGCAGCGCCAGCAAGCGGCTGCAGGCCCCGACAGACAGCCTCTGCCATACCGCGCCTTTCACCACGCTCTTCGGTGCTACCAAGAAGCCCAATGGAACTGAAGAACGGACCACACCGGTACGTACAGGCTTCCCCCCATAGCTCCCCGCAGCCCTAGCCCTTACCCTGCAGCAAGCTATCCGGCTCCACCGGCCCCGCGCAGCAGCCGCCCTGCGGCTCCTCACGGCAAGCGACCGCAGCGCCCTGCACCGCTGCACCCCCTGCAGCACGCGTTGAGCCCTCCGCCGCCTCCTGCCCTGGACCCCGCCCCTGCAGCGCCCTCGGGCTAGCGGATCCGCCTCTGACAGCGCTGCTGTTGGCGGCAGCCGAGGTGTCGCAGGGAGCCGCGGGCGCCTGCTGGGGCCCCTCCTCACGCTGCTGCTGCTGCTGGCGATGTGTTGGCGGCGATGAAGGCTTGGTAGGCTCCGGAGCGCCGCGACCGGGGGTTTCCTGCTGCGATGCTGAAAGCTGAGGTAAGGGCGGCGGCCGCAGCTGGCGCGGCTCCCTGCGTGCTGGGACTTGAGGTGCAGCGGCGGGGGCGGTGTCCAAGGCCGCGAGGATGCGAGGAATTTGTGGAGGGGCCAGACTGTGGGGCACGCGCACGACACCTGCGGGGGGAAAGGGGTGAGGGGATTGGTGGGAGGCGGCACTGATAGTGGTTGGGATGGTGGGGGCAAGGGGACAGGGTTGATAGGATGCGACGGCCAAAGAGTCAACCTTCAAAAGGCCCTTCTCCCTCGCATCTGCCCTGCTGCTAGCTCACCTTTCCATACGTCGCCCTCGCCAGCCAATTCACCCAGCATCCGCTCCAATGCATCTGGGTCGTATTTAAAAATAAGAAGTAAAATATCCTCCTCTGAATCCGAGGGATCCACAGCGGCTCCAGCAGCACTAATTGCTGAAACCGCGTTCCCTTCAGAGGCCGTTTCCAGCATTCCGTGCACACGGTCGCCCATCCAATGCCTACTATTGACATTTTGATAGACTGGGATGCGACCAGAGAGGCTGATGATGGTGAAGCAAGCAGGTGTGCACTGGAGGACGAACGCATCTCGCAAAGGGCCCTGGGGGAACAAGCAGTAACGAAAAGGAGCTGGCAGATGACGATGTGGAGTATGACATACTGGTTGACAACCACTAGTAGACTGGTTCTGTCACAATGCCGGCACAACAAGCAAAGCCAACAAGAAACGCAAAAAGCGTGCTGAGCCACATCAACACTTGGGAAAAAAGAACTTACCTCCTTCACAAGCAAGGCTGTGGGCACTGCTCCTTTCCTGGCGTGCGAAAGCTCTGCCCCGCTGCATTTGTGGTCAACCCCGCCCGCTCTCTTATGCGCGAGCTCAATCCCTTCATCACAAACAGGTACACAACCTAGATGCTGCTCTCCCTGGATGGGCTTAACAACGCGTTGCGCTGCGTGAGGCCTGTCACCGCAACGACCAAAGCAAGCCCTCCACATGTTACCTAGCTTCCTGTAAGACCCAGCGCGACAGTAGCGTCAGAAGAAACAGTCCACCGCACAATATAACATACGACGCCAGTCCTCTAACGGCATTCTCCACGCCCGCCACGGCATATCCTAAAAGGTGCCAGTGCTCTTGAAAATACAATATACCAGAGTATTAAGCAGCTAGGAATTTCGCAAGGGACTGTAGACAAAGCCATGAGGAAAATTAATCCAAGGGCCTTGTATGACCCGTATCAACTCGTATCCACACGGAATCCGATACTCGGCCCGCGTGAACAAAGTAAACAGTCAAAACCAACCAATATGTATTGGGGGAGTCACAGTGCGCTCGGCGGCCCGCTCGCGAGCTCAAGGCGCACATTGTTGCCATAACCACCTTGTGCCCGCCCTTAACTCGCTCATTCGTGTTCTTCATACCAAGCGTAATATATATTTTACCATTTAGCATCAACACCCTAGCATACTACCGATAAACACCTCGCGTCCGTCATTTGAACACCTCGCGTCCGTCCTTTTCTCCAAAGCTTGATGATGTAGCTAAAGCTAGATGATTTAACTATATATTGCATCAAAGTTTGGGCTGTTGCGTTGCGCCAGTGCCTACCGGTATTGTGGCCATGGCCATGAAGTTACCGGCCCGCAAGAAAAAGAATCAGCAGAAGAGCCAAGTCGCGAAACGGCGAAAGGCTGCTGGACCTGAAGACCGCCTGGATGCGGAGGGGTGAGGCATGCCAGAAGGTGCCATTTGGCGCCACCCCATCCACCAGGGACGCCCCGCCGCTATGGAAACAATGCCATCGCGCCCCCCCGCTATGGAACATTGCCCCCCCCCTTCCACTTGTGTTAGGAACTTATCCCATGACGAGGATGACGACGCAGCAGCACCCGCTGGCCCCAAAGTGTGGGGGGATGAGGAGATGGCGGAGCTCTTGCAGAACGCGAACGATGCGCAACGCGATGCTACCGCGTCAGCGTACTCGACGCATCTCCGGAAGCTGGAGGTGCGTGTTGGCTGCGCGCGTGGTACCGGCGGCTCCCCAGGCTACACACCCGGGTGCACACCCCCACTCCCCCGTTGCTGCTCACCATGTAGAAAATCTGCAAAACGTATGGCAAGGATCCATTCCAGCTGTATGGCGAGGAGCTGGCCAAAATGGGCGTGGAGCTCGTCAAGCACCTGCATCGCAAGCAGGTGGGATTGCAGAAAGCCTGCCTTCCGGTTGCAAATGCCCTGTATGCACCCTAACCTGGTCCTCACCCACACAGTACGCGTCCACCACCGTCGGCAACGCAAGCAGCATGATCCGATGGCTCTGCACGCAAAACCGCATGCGCATGAACATGACGGAGGACATCAAGAACGCCGGCGACCACGAGTTCTTCCGGGTGGCGGTCAGGGCTGCGAGGAAGGCAGTCAAGGGTTCTGGGCCAAGGCACGTGCTGGCCTCGTCTCGTCTTCACATTGCCCTTCTGTTGACCTGACTGCCTCTTGTCCCTATGTTGCAGACGGCAAGGCGATCCACATGCCAACACCGTCAATGACTCGTACACCACCGAGGAGTACGGCAAAATCGCCCTGCTGCTCGTTGGCGGCTTCCTTGCGGCCAAGCAGCTCTCGCCCTTGTTCCAGGGGCTGCGGTCGGACGCCTTTGCGCTGGCGCAGCCGCAAACAGCGGGGGCAGCGGCGGCAGCGGCGGCAGCAGCAGGGCTGCATGAGCACCAGCCGCAGCTCTCGCCCTTGTTCCAGGGGCTGCGGTCGGACGCCTTTGCGCTGGCGCAGCCGCAAACAGCGGGGGCAGCGGCGGCAGCGGCGGCAGCGGCGGCAGCAGCAGGGCTGCATGAGCACCAGCCGCAGCTCTCGCCCTTGTTCCAGGGGCTGCGGTCGGACGCCTTTGCGCTGGCGCAGCCGCAAACAGCGGGGGCAGCGGCGGCAGCAGCAGGGCTGCATGAGCACCAGCCGCAGCTCTCGCCCTTGTTCCAGGGGCTGCGGTCGGACGCCTTTGCGCTGGCGCAGCCGCAAACAGCGGGGGCAGCGGCGGCAGCGGCGGCAGCAGCAGGGCTGCATGAGCACCAGCCGCAGCTCTCGCCCTTGTTCCAGGGGCTGCGGTCGGACGCCTTTGCGCTGGCGCAGCCGCAAACAGCGGGGGCAGCGGCGGCAGCAGCAGGGCTGCATGAGCACCAGCCGCAGCTCTCGCCCTTGTTCCAGGGGCTGCGGTCGGACGCCTTTGCGCTGGCGCAGCCGCAAACAGCGGGGGCAGCGGCGGCAGCGGCGGCAGCAGCAGGGCTGCATGAGCACCAGCCGCAGCTCTCGCCCTTGTTCCAGGGGCTGCGGTCGGACGCCTTTGCGCTGGCGCAGCCGCAAACAGCGGGGGCAGCGGCGGCAGCGGCGGCAGCAGCAGGGCTGCATGAGCACCAGCCGCAGCTCTCGCCCTTGTTCCAGGGGCTGCGGTCGGACGCCTTTGCGCTGGCGCAGCCGCAGACGGCCGCAGCAGGGTACCAGTCCCCGGCGAGCAAGCAGCGGGCGGCGGTAGCGGCGATTACAGCAGAGATGGCTGCTGTTTGTGGCCAGCACCCTAGCCTCGCTGCGGCACCGGTGTCCACCAAGATACCAGCCTTACAAGACACAGCCTCACAAGACACAGCCTCGACCAAGGGGGCTCGGAAGGGCGGGAACCAGGGGCCGTCTCTTGCTGTCTGGCCGGCCATAGAGGGGCTACATCTGGTGCCAGGGCAAAAGCCGTGGACCAATGAGCCGGCGACGCTGGATGACCTCTTCGACCTCTTCTGCAGTGGTGTCAAGATTGGGGACAAGACCATAGTTCCCCCGTGGTTGACGCTATACAGCATTCACGGCGACAAGTGGTACCCGGCAAACGACAAGAGCCTTCGCAAGCGGATCGGCGAGCTCAAGCACCTGTACGACGTCTGTATCGTGGAGACTTCCAAGCTGCGGTCATGCACCCCTAAGGAGGCTGCGGCGTTCTGGACGAAGAAACAACGGGAGCACGCGGCGCTCACTGCCTCTCGTAAGCTGCAGGCCCTGAAGGTGTACTGGGAGAACATTGTCAACCCGCTACGGAAGGACAGGTCGCAGTTCGAGGCGTACGTGGCGAAGCAGCGGCCGCCAGACTTCATATCGCCAACCAAGGGCGCCTTGGAACGGAGAAGGGTGAGCTCACATGAGCCCTATGATTGATTTGTCTTTCCCGACGGCCGAACATCTTTATCTCGGCACGCTTAAGCCTCCTACTCGCTGCATGCAGATCATGGGAACCGCGGCGGCAACGGACACAGCAGCACCGTCGTCATTGGAGGGAGCAAATGCTGCCATGGAGGCAGGCACAAGCGGGGAGCAGGGCGACGTGCCGCCTGCTGCAGCAGTGCTGGCAGTGGAGGGGCCGCTCGCGTCTACGAGGCTGGTGGGTACCAACGCGATCTCCGTTTCCTTACAATATATTTGATAGCGTCAAACACACTACACTGGGGCTCGCCTTTTTAGAAAGTTCCGCTCCCTCTTTGCCCTGCGCCCAGAAAAAGGCACCGCACTCTGGTATGCAAATGTTCGTCGGCCACATCATGAGGACGGCGCGTGTAACGCTTAGTGAGGCAGCGGTGCGGTGGAACGGCTTGCAGGGCGCGGAGCAGGACGAGTGGAATCAGAAGTGCAAAGCCGCAAAGCAGGCGTTCCTGAACGCTGCGGCCAAGGAAGCACTGTAGCAGGGGGGAGCGCGGGGAATGCAGCTTTCATGCGTGTAGAGCCGTATACCCTGGTCGTCGTGACGCTGGGTGTCGTGACGCTGGGCCTTACTATTGGGAAAGGGAAGTAGCCTAGCCAGGGTGTGGTAGCGGGTAAGTTGAGAGCGCTAGAGTAGCGTCGCTGCTGCGCTACTGTTTGAGTTCAAAGTGTGTGTGTATAGGTAGTTGTGAGTGCATGCGTATGACGCGCCTGGTTTTGTTTGCGGCGGTCTTTGCGGTGTTGACTGTCAGGTCGCGCTGGAATGACTCGTGAAAGGTTACAGTGGCCGGTCGGCAATGTACGGCGAGTGTCCAGTAATATGTGACGCATAAGGTCATGTAGTATTTAGGTCAAGTAGTAGGTCGCGAAATTGGAGCAGCTAGCCCGTCCAAGGCGTGTTCCCTGGCCTTGTCCCTGGCCCGTTCCTGGCCTTGTCCCTGGCCCGTCCCTGTACGGGCAACACCGCGTATTGTAGCTTTAAGATACAGTAACCCTTTTCATTCTTTGCGAAAAAGAGGCCCGATTCCACGCTAAGCACTAGAAGATAATTACTTGTCGTGCGACTCCTGCACCGTTACCGACTTCATGCGTAACCGGATACGAACATAGATGCGGCTGCCGTACTACCCCCACTTTACTCAGCTGGTCTGGTGACGAAAACTTTGGGCGTAGTGAAGCTATTGATGTCACAGTGGTAATCTGCTATATATATAACGCAAACTTAAAATGCCAAGATCGCCGCCAAACAAACCCTTGAAAGAGATTGCGTACAGCAAAGCCGTACGCAACCGTCGCGTCCAGCACATGCCCCCATGGATTAGCCATGTAGGGAGTTCCACACTACATCAATGCAGCCCCCCTCGCATGGCAGCTGGCGGATTGCTGGAGTAGCGACACTGTCAGGAAAGACGAGGCACGGGGCCATTGCCCGGGGCCGCAGCAGCTGCATTCTGAAGCAGGAGGTCTTACACAACAGGGGCAAGCCTGTGGGCTGACCGCAGCCCAGGACGTCCATGAGAGCCCGAACATACGGTACTCATGTGCGACTCGTCTCAAACCTGTTGCCATTAGGTTGTGTCGCACAGTGTACGGCAGTACACAACTGTCGGCAACATCGCCGCTTAGACCTCAATGCCACACGGCATTGCACTGAACCCCATGCCACCGTCGCCCTCCCGATCAGTTTCTGATATGAGGACAGGGCAACCAGCAACTTCACGAGCGTGTGCCCTGGGCTCAAACACGATTGAGGTGCTCCTCGAGGAGCTCCTCAAGCATTTCAACAGCGCAGGGCCGAACATGTTTGATTATGAGGGCCACTCGCGCAAAGGAACCTGCTCCTTGCTAAAAACAGAGACGCGTACAACTTGTACGGTACAAGCACCTATGCCGATACCGGTATGCGTAGTCTGAACAAGCCAACCTGACTGACAAGGAGAGCGTCAATTCGCAATGCACCCGACCGCACGCGTGATATGTTTGCGTCCATTTTCCTACACTATCCACTGGGACATTGTGGCATTTAGGGGACAAACTACCTGTATATGAAAGTAAGTAAGAACCCGACCCATGGGTCAGTTCTGGTCCATTTGAGGTCCAGGTAAAGGTCACACATCATACGGGCAGCAGGAAATAATTTACCATGCAATTCCTCATCATCAACACCCAGGTCAACGTCACGAACGCGAAATAGATGTATGCTTCCAGATGATTGCCCCTCTCACAGCTGTCACGTGCTCATGTCGACACCGTATCCCATTACCTAAAATGCGCGCACAATCCTCATCCCTACACAATACTGTGTGCATAAGTACGACCTTGCACCTCACAGACACTACAGTCCTACACCTGCCCTGTCAGCTGCCACCCTAGCACCCCGCATGCACCCCCCTCGAGTCCCGCTGTTCACCGCACACGTGGGGATCCCGCAGGCGCGATGGAGGGCAGTGCCCCCGGCACCCCACTGCTGCTGCTGACGCTGACCGGCGCCGGCCCCAGCGGCCGACTGACGGCGCCAACCGCCCCCGGGGCGCCGTACGCCACATGCATGCCGTGTACAACAGCGCTGCCCGGCCGCCGACCCGACCACATCCTGCCAGATGTGCTGGCGCCGTTGCGGGGAGACAGCGGCTCCGAGTTGTTCAGCGCCGATGGAGAAGGAGGCCCCGTTGCCTCAGGTCCGACGCCTCCGCCGGGGGGACCGCCACCGGCGGCAGCAGCAGCGGCTGCTATGGTGACGGTGGGTGCGCCACCGGAGATGCTTCGACTTCCTGACGGCGCCGCCGCTGCCAGGTTGCCCGATGTGGCCTTGTAGGGAGGTGGGGAGCTGCCAGATGCCGAGGTGGCCCGAGCCGGAGGATACCTGCAGCAGGGTGAGGCAGAAAGCAGGAAGCAGCATGGAAAGTGGTGAAGGGGAACGGAGGAAGGTGCGGAGGTAAAGCCGGAGTCCTAGCTAACCCAGGAGAACCCTACCGGTCGTGACCAATTGTGGCGCCTTGGCCTACTAGTGCTGAATGTACGGGATGACAATAGTGACCCACCCACAGTCTCATGCCACAACCCACCATGCTTGCTGCGAGGAAGCAGTCGGCCCGGCCGAAGCCAGTCGTCCGCCGCTGACCCCCCCAGCGGCCCCACCCGCCCCGCGCGCCGCCGCCGCCTGCTGCCTGTGCACCGCCGTGTTAATCCCCGGTCCCGACAACCGCACCGGCGACGTCGGCCGGATCACCGCCGTGGGGGAGGGCGCCCGCGAGGGCATCAGCAGCTGCAGGGCCTCATCCAGCGGCCCACCGGGAGTCAGCGCCGGCGGCACCGGCAGTCCGCCGCCGGCTGCCGCCGCCGCCGCCGCAACCACGTCCCCGCTACCCGGCCGCCGCCGCGCCTGCTCTACAGCGGCGGACGCCACGGCAACGGCGGTTGCGGCGGCGGCTGTGCCTCGCGCCGACACGGGTGCGGTGTCCCGCAGCGCCGCATGCGCTGCCAGAGTGGTGAGACCGGTGGACACGTCCTGCAGCATGGCTGCCAGCTGCCCCACCGCCGTGGCGCTGCCCTTGCTGGCCACCGCCTCCTGCAGCTTCACGAGGGCTTGGAAGGCGCGCTCCAGGGAGCGGAACACCGCGATGATTTGCTCCTGGAGGGGATGGGGAGCAGGAGGAGGGGCGTTGCGCTTAGGAAAGCAAGGCGGCAGCAAGGCGTTTCCTCACGCCCGTTGCTGCATTCAAGGCCACGTCTGTTGTCGCCCCTTGTGATCTTTCAGGCCCCCCCCCTCTGACGCACCTCAACCCCACACCCACCTCCTCACCCTCACCCCACCTACCCTGAACGTCTCCGCCTCGTTCTCCAGCAGCTTCACCCGCATGGCCCCCATGGCCGTCAGCAGCACAAGCCGGTCCGTCGTGCTCGTCGCACTGCGCCGCATCAGCCGGTCCAGGTGCAGCTTCACCGCCTCCAGCAGCTCCACGTGCGCCGACACCTCGCGCGGCTTGCGACGCAGCCGGGCCAGCGCCGCCTCGCGGGCGGCAGTGGCGGCAGGCGTGGGCAGCCCGTCCTGCGTGCCGTCCGGCAGCGGTCCGTCCCGCACGCGCTGCAGCTCCTCATGCGCCGCAACCGACAGGTCGTGCGCGATACCCGATAGCTCAACATTGACCACCTCACCCATTGCATTGGGGTTGTGGCTAGAGAGGAAGCTGCCGCCGCTGACGGCGTTGACGCCGGGGCTGCGGCCGCCGCCGCCGCCGCGGTGATCCCCGCCGGCGCCGGCATTGCCGTCGTCGCCGCCGCCGCCGCCGCCGCGCGCCCAGCCGGCCTGTCCGCTGCCTGCTGCGCCGCCCGCCGCCAGTCGCTGTACCTCCTTGGCAAGTTGGGCCACGGTGCTCTGCAGGCGCGGCAGGGCGCCCTGCGAGTCGGTCATGGAGGTGCCCCACTTGGCGTCCCGAGCAGACCAGCGCTCCTCCAGCGCCCGGCCGCGCTCGTCCAGGGTCGCTAACGCCAACTCCAGGGAGGCTGTGGGGGCCGGAGGTGTTGCATGGAGGGACTGAGTAGAGAAGGAAGAAACGAAGCAACCATACGGGTAGAGAGGGGTTTGGGTTCAGGGAAGCCGCGGGAACGCATGCCTGGCATAGCTGCTTGCGTCATGGCGGCGAGCAACCCGCACTGGCGGCGCTGCAGTAGGAAGCATGCATGGACACCTAAAAACAGACGAAGCGGACCGATTCGCGTTGGTCTACCCACCCCTCTTCCCTGTCTACCTAATCGCTTGATGATGTTTGGGTCCGTGATGACAGCACCCGCCGAGGAGCCGGCGGACCCCAATCGGCCGCTGCTACTGCCGTTTGCTCGGGACCGTGGCGGCAGCACCTCCGCCCTGGCCGCCTCAGCCGCCGCCGTCAGCGTTGAAGCTATGATAGCGCCGGGAGAGGACACATTCGGCGACTCGTACTGCACGCGGCGACCCGCCGCCATCGGCGCCGACGCGGCTGACGCCGCCGCCGCCGTCGCCGTGGCGGAGGCCACCGCCGCCACCGACGCCACGTCCTGCAGTCGTCTCCGCAGCGCTTTCAACTCAAAGTTGCGGGCCAGCATGGGCATTTCGTTCTCCAGGAGCTTCAACCTCAGCCGGACGTCCGCGACGGCGGCGTCCACCAGCCCCTGCACCGCCATCGCCGCCGCGACGGGCGAGGAGTGCGACGCCGCGGGCGATGTTCGCACCGTCACCGTTTTCGATCCGTTTGATCCGGCTGCCTCCGAAGCTGCGTCCTTTGCTTTCCCGTCAGCGCTGGCGGCGACGCCGTCCACGTCATGTGTTGCTGCTGCCGCCGCCGCCAGCGCCTGCTGGCCTGCAGCGATGGAATGTACGGCAGCCTCCAGCTGCTGTAACCGCTGTACGAGCGGCGGCAGGTTGAAGCTAAGACCGTCTATATCCGTTGCGTCACCGCCTGTTGTCGTACAACCTCCCGCTGCCGCCGCCGCGTCCTGTCCGCCCTCTTGTGACTGGGCGCCAGTGGGGAGCTCGGGACCGTTAGACCAGGTCACACGCCCGCTGGTGCTATTCGCCCGGCTGCCACGGAATGCGGTGTAGGCTTTCCTCGTCAACGGCAGACCCAACGTCTCCGTCAGCGCCGCCAGCTGCTCCGCCAGCTCCTGCACCCGCTCCGCCAGCACTGTCGTGTCACCTCCGCCGTCAGCCCCCTCGCCATCCTCCATCCCTAGCGGCCCCACAGCCACCGCAGCCGAAGCGGAGGCGGGCCGGCTGGCACCTCCTCGATGTCTGTTGCCATTGCTGGGGCTGCTCCGCCCGTCTCCCCCGCCCCCGCCCCCAGCCCCCATCAGCAGCTTCTGTTGCAGCTGCTCCTGGGTGCGGCGCAGCGCGGATATGTCGCGTGACACCTCCGAGAGCTGCTCGTCCATCCAGCCCATGATGCGCTTGCTGTCGTGCGCCTGCTTGCGCAGCAGGTCGGGCAGCAGCGTGGCGTGCATGTGGCGGCGGACCGCCTCCTCGCCCGCCTCGCCCAGGATACCCTGGCCCACCTGTGGGACGGGAGGGGAGGGCGAGCGGGAGGGAGAGGAGAGTTTATGAGTCGGAGGGTGAGGGAAAGAAAAATGGAAGCGCGGGATGTGTTAGGCAGGAGGGAGGAAGCAGGCGGGAAGTAGCGAAAGGTAGGGATCGGGTCTGCAGGAAGTTGGAGGGAAAGGTAAGAGGCGACTGACTGGGAGGTAGGTGCGTCAGGTCTGCTGTCTCTGCCGCTCTGCTCTGCTCGCATCCTTCTCCTCTGCGCGGCGGCTACCTGGATGTGCGACACGGCGGCCGCCAGGTCCCGCATCTCGTCCCGCAGGTCTGCTACCGAGTTGGAGGAGGCCACCTGGGGGAGGGATGGAGGGCAGGTTGTGGGTGAGGAGTGGTGAGGGTAGGTGGGAAGAACACATCCGGTCTGCGCATGAAGGGGTGTAAGGGGCGTAAGGGGTACACAGCGCTGGCGGGTTGAGGTACTACCGGTAACCGAGACCAGACCAGGTCGGCCCATGTAGGACAGCAAACAACGGCAATCCAGCAGCATACACACCCAACCGCCTCCCCCCCTCCCTCCAAATAGCAACCCGTGGTGAAGCATCGTCATATAGCTCGTCCTTTCCTCTTTCCCCCTTCCCTCTTCTCCCTCCCCCTTGTCTCACCCGCTGCCCCAGCGCCCTAAACGCCTCGAACAGTCGCGACAGGTCCGCCTCCACAGCCACCAGCCGCAACCCCAGCGCCGGGTCCGCAGCACCCGCACCCGCAGCGGCGCCCCCTGGAGCCCCGCCCGCCGCCCCTGCAGCTCCCACCGCTGCCTGCGCCGCTGCTGCAGGCACCCCCGGCACCCCCGTCTCCCCTGCCTCCGCATCGTCCTCCCCGCCCGGCGGCACCCCCGGTCCCAGCGAGGCACTTCGCGCCATGGAGGCTTGCCGCGTGAGCTGGCTGACGGGCTGCCAGGAGGGCGAGGGCGCGCCGCCGCGGGGTGCGGGCGAGGTGGGGTTGTAGCGCACCACCCCCGAGGGCAACGAGCGGAGGGACTGGGAGCCGGGGTGGCCACCGCTGGCGGCGGCGGCGAGTGCGAAGGGCGTTTGAAGCTGGGAGAGCTGAGGAGGGAGGGATGAGAGAAAAGAGGGACATGAGGGAGGGAGGGAGGGAGGCGTGTTTAGGGGAGGGGGCCGGGATGACGGGGTAGAGGAGCTGGTCGTCGCCACATCACACCGTGACAAGGCGCTTTGTGGCGCGTGTCAGGGACCTCAACACGTCAACAGCTTTGCGCTCCTTCGCGTCCTCCCGTCTCGCTATCTTGGTTTTCTTGTGGTTCTTGGCCGTGTGGAGCCACACACCACCTCTGTGGCTCCGGGTTCCTTTGGTTTCTCATTAACCCACCCCACCCCACCCCACCCCTCCCCTCACACCTCCCCACTGCCCCGGCGCGCCTCACCTTCCTAGATATGATGGCGTCCATGACGGGCCCGTTGAGCCGCACCTCGATCATGTCCTCAACCTGGGCGGAGGGGGGGGGTGGGCGGGGCGGCAGCAGGAGTCAGTGTCAGAACCAGCTGCATGCATGCAAGGCCTGCTGTCCAAGACACATGCATTGCAGCCCCACCACCCAGCCACCCACTTCTTCCTCCTTACCCCATCCTACCATTTCCCCCAGTTTTACAACTACGAATATTCGGAATATACGACAACCCAACTGTCCAGGATTCAGAGTCTGTAATCCCCTTCCCTTCCCACCCACCTGCGACACCGTGAGCAGCCCCGCCCTGCGCGCCTTCTTGGACATCTCCTGGTACTCCTCGTGCAGGCTGCTCATGGTGGCGCGCAGCCGGGCCAGGTCGGCCTGGCAGCGGGGGGAAAGGGGAGGGAAGGAAGGAAAGGGGCGGCTCAGAGAGGGGAGCTGGTGGGAATGAGGGGAGGAAGCGGGAAGGAAACCGCTGTAACAGGGCGGAACAAGCATCATCTGTTGACACCGATGGCAGACCAGCTCGTCGCCCTTCCCCATCCAAAGCCCTTCCCTACACGCCCCCGCGTCCCTTCCAAGCTCCTCCCCCCCACCTGGCTGGTGGACAGCAGTCCGTCCATGGTCCCCCTCAGCTCCCGTGTCACTGCCGCCACGCTCCTGCCCCGCTCCGCCTCCCCCGCCAGCCCCGCTTCCAGCGCCGCCAGCCGCTCGCTCAGCCCCGCGTTGCGCCGCTCCACCTCCGCCATGTAGCTGCGGACAGAGTCAACCTGGGTGGTGGTGGTAAGATGGGGGGAGGAGGAGGGGGAAAAGAAATGACCATGCCGTGAAGGAGGAGAGGAGGTGGGTGCGTTGAGGAGTACGGAGAGGGGTCGACATGCGGGTCAGGATGATGACAGGTCATCGCATGCAGGCTACCAGCCAGCTGCCACTACTTCTGACACTACTTTGTTGTAACCACCCAATCACCTCATGGCGTACACCCGTTACACGCCCTCCTTCGCCTCTCCCCCACCTGCGCCACCTCGTCATGCAGCAGCTCAAACTTGAGTCGCTCCCCGCTGCCAGCCAGCGCCGCCTCCAGCCGCTCCAGCCCCGAGTCCAGCTGCCGCCGCAGCGCCTCCACCTCGTAGCGCCGCGCCAGCGGGTCCAGCCGATCGTCCACGTACTGCTGCGCGCGACTGGCCTCAGAAGTCTGGGAGAGGGGTGGGAGGGGTGGGGTGCGGGGGGGGGGGTGCGGGGGTGCGGGGGGGGGAGGTAAAGAGGAAATGAGTAATGAACCATGGCTTCAGCATGGTTTGCAACATGTGGAAGGTTTGCGGGACGACCCACCCAGTCCCGCCCAGCTAGCCAAGCCAGTAGAGAGGGGGTGGTTGGGTACAGAGTGGTCATATAGGGGGATTGGGCCTTGACATCCTCTTCCCCATCTCATGGGCCTTTCCCAGGCATGCAAAAGCCCCCCTTCCCTCCATCCACCTCCCATCCACCCTCCCTTCATCCCCGCTCCCCCCCTGCCCTACTCACCACCCGGTCCGACAGCATACGGCACTCCTCCCGCAGCTGCGCCGCCACGTCCCGCTGGTGGCTCAGCCCGCTCAGCACGTCGTCCAGCCGCCGCCCCAGCTCGTCGCTGGTGGCCTTGCCGGCAGACAGCGCGGTGCGGTGCGCCGCAAGCTCATCCTCGTGCGCCGACACCTGCGCCGCCATCTTCCACAGACCCGGCGGGCCCGCGTCCACCTTGGCGTCCAGCATCTGGCAAAAGGCGGAGGGGAAAGTCAGAGCTATACCGGAACTATAGGCTAGGGCGAAGCAATGGGGATGGAGTAGGATGGCGAAGGAGTTGGGGCGCAGATGGCGCCAGGATTCCAAGCTTCCCGAGCTTCCCGCTTCAAGCTTCCCGACAGCAGCACCCATTCGCGTCCGCACCCGAGTGTGCCCCCGCCCTCCCACCTGCCCCCCATCCTTACACTCACGCACCTGCACCCTGTCCGTCAGTGTCTCGTACTCCTTGTCGATCCGCTCCAGTGCCGCCAGCGTCTCCTTGCGGAACTCAAACAGCTGGTTTCGGTGCGTCTCCAGCGCCTTGAGCCGCGCGCCCATCTCGCTGTCCATGCTGGCCAGCTTGGCTTCCAGCACCGCCACCGTGTTGTCGGTGCTGGCCATGCCGCGCTTAACCAGGTCAATCTCCCTGTGCGTGTTTGGGGGGTAAGGGGTTGGGTTATAGGAACACGTATTTCGCCCTTAGGCTGGATTTTAGGGAGAAGGGGGGAGGAGAGGAGGGGGGAGGGGAGGACAGGTGAGGGTGAATGGCCCGTGTTGCGGTGAGCGCGACAACCGAAGCTACTGTAGAGACCCGGGGCGGTGGTGGGGGTGGTAGGCGGGGGATGAATAGGGGGAAAGGGACGCAAGGCTATGTGGGTTCATGGGGTTGGGGCAGGGGTAGCCTCAGGGGCGACAGGGAATTTGGAGAGACACGTACCAGGGGGCGAGAAGCGCCAGGCCTGGGTGTTGCCATGCCCTCCTTACCACCGCGCACGGTACCGGTACCAGTCTGTGCTACCGGTACCGGTGTTATGGTACCCCCGGACCCCGCATCCATTCCCCTCCCCTCCCCCGCACTCACTGCCCCATCCCCATCGCGATGTCGTGCAGCCTGTCCGCCCCCCTCGCCAGGTTCTCTAGCTGCCGCGAGTGCTGGTCGGAGCTGTCCCGCAGCCGCGCCAGGTCCAGCGTGTGAGAGCCCAGCAGCCCGCCCTGCTCCGCCAGCTTGGAGGTGGACAGCACGTGCTGCTCGTCGTGGCCTGCAGGCAGGGGGCCGGTACAGTTACAGGATGCTTCACTCCAGGTTTCGGGTCCGGGGAGGAATGAGGGGTCATGTGTCCTGCCTTTTTCAACCCCATCCCCACGCCCAACCATCCACACGCCCCCGCCCCCATCCACCTCCCCCCTCACTCACGCCTCAGGTGCAGCCGGTGGTCCATGAGCTCCTTCTCCGTGGTCTCCCGCAGCCGCCGCAGCCCCACATCCAGCTCGTCCAGCCGCTCCTGCTGCTGCGCGCGCGCCTCGCTGGCTGTGCGGGCAAGCGTGGTGAGCATGTCCAGACGCTCGCGGGAGGCCTGGGGGCAGGGCGGGGGGCGGGGGAGAAGACCAGACCATAGGGAGCCACGGTTTAGGGCAAAGCAAAGTGGAAGGGGAAGGGGAAGCCAGCGGAGGGACTGCGACCCTACCCCGCCTGCTGGTGCCCCCAGACAGCCCTTTGCTAACCGCCCGACCAACCTCCCTGCTTTCCTTCAACCCTTCTATAGCCCTCCCTATCCGCTTCCCTCCCAATCCGCCTCCCTCCCCCCCCCCACACACACATCTCGTTAGTTGCCTCGTCAGCTTCTCCTTATCCCCACCCCCCATCCCCACCTCTATGTATCCGTTGACGAGGTCCTCCAGCAGGGTGGTCCGGGAGGCGGCGGCCTCGTGCTTGGCGCGCGTCTCCCGGGCTAGGTTGTCGATGCGGTTCACCTGGGAGGGGTCGTGAGAGGGGTAGTGTGATGAGGGGGACTGCACAGGCGACAAGAAGACGGCGGCTGGTTCCTTCCTCATGCCTGCAACTGTGGTTTGGCCGCCCTCGCCTTCCACCATTACCAGCGACTTTACAGCCAGCCCACACCAACCCGCGATCCACATCTGCATGCCGACCGGTGAACACCGCTTCCCTCATCCCCCACCCTGCCCAGCCGCCTCTCTCTCCCCACTTCCTCCTTCCACTTTACCTTAAACCAGCCTACAGCCATCCCCCCCAGCTCCCACCCCAGTTCCCCACTTCCCCTCCCCACCAGGTCCTCCTTCCAGCTGGGCAGCGCGGACAGAATCTGCTCCACCTTGGCCAGCCTGTCCGACAGCGCGCTGTGCTGCCCCTCGGCGCGCGCGTGATTGGAGGACACAGTGGCCTGCGGGAGGGAGGAAGGGAGGGCGGCAGCCGGGAGGGTTGTGTGCACGCGGGGTGCTGACTCGGAGGCACGGCCGCCCTGCTGTTGGCTGCTCGCCCGTGTTGGCTGCTCGCCCCTTCGCTCACGGCCCGCATGGGCACACCACCCCCACCTCCAACCCACCACCCCCACCCCCATGTGGTGGCGCCATGCCGGAGCAGCCACACGGAAGCGCGGTACTGCCCGTTCTGCTACGGGGCTCGGGCTGCAGCGGAAGCCCGCATGCGATGTGGGTGGCACAGGAGTGGTAAAGAGGTGCCGCCCTTCCCTGCCCCGCATCCCTGGCCGCATGCTGCCCCCCCCCTCCCGCTAATCCCATTCATCAGGAGCTTGTCGGCTTGTTTGCCATCCTTTGCCATTAAAGACATTGGGTATTCTTCTTTTCCGCTTGTGCCCCCATGCACACCCCTGACGCACCTCCAGTCCCTTCAGCTGCCCCTCCAGCCGCTCATCTTGCTCCACAAGGTCCCCGATCCGCCCATATATCCGGGTTACCTCCGGCTTGTAGTTTTTAAGATGGGCGACAACCTGGCTGTTGAAGACCTGGAAAGGAGGAATGAAGAGGGGACGGGAGCAGGGAATTGCGCTTTGGTCACGCTAAGGGTGCTAAGGCGGGGAGTTGGCTGCATGTGACAAGAAGTCCCGGCCTTGCTGCCATATGTGGGAACAAGGCTTCAGGGGGGAGCGGCCGTGCACCTAAACGAAGAGGTCGCAAACCCATTCCCTAAAAGTGGTTAGCACCCCTGTCCTAAGTCCTGCATCGTGCGGGGACGCCAAGTTAACGGAAGGTTAAGCCATGGCATTTGCCATGGCCCCTCTAGATGTGGTACAAGAGTGTTCACTCATACCAGCATGTATACTAGTTAAACAGCGTGGTTGGATGCCATAGGCACTTTGGCAATTGCATCCAGGATGCAGTATCTTGCCGACCCCAAATGCCAAAAACTCGCACGAGAGTCCCGGCCGAACCTGGAGCTGTGTAGTAACATGTGGTGTTATAAGCTCCAACTGAGAAGTATCGAAATCCTCCATTGTTTCAGTTTTGGGGCTGACAGTTTCAACCCCTGTCGCCATAGCTCTCTAGCTGGTCAGCAACAAGTCGGTAACCTAAGCATATCGGTATTAATGTTAAGTGGCTTTCATCCTAATGGGAAACGTCACGACCGCGTGTGCTTACACTAACAAGGCCATACGGGGCTCCTTCGACCGTAGCACTGCATCAGCATGGCCAATTCGCTTGCAGTGATAGCAGCCGCTTTTCCTCTTCAAACAGACTTGTTAACTATTGCGCAATGGGATGACACTCTCCTTTCGCGTCGTACGGTTGGGCGGGGATAGTTGGATAGACGCCTGCTCTAACGTCTGAGCTGTGAAGTGTTTCAACTAAGTGTTCTTACGGAAGCCTTAGTATATGGCGGATTGTGCACAAATGCATGCCGAGTCGAGTTCGCACGACCAATACGGTACACACCCAAACATTCTATGGCCCACAAACCAACAACCTTGGGATGGGTGTTGTCATGGGTCTGTAGGTGCCGCTCATGGCTACTGCCCCCAACTGGAATCCAGCCCATCGTCCGGGCTTCGTGCCACTGGCTGCTTTAGCGGCACTGCAGAGCGGCCGTCAACACTTCCCCCATGGTTATGTTTGGGTTATCGGATCTCTGGTTGTCGGTTTCTGGTTTGGGTATCCCCGTTTGCTTGTTTGTGTTGCACGCCAACTTCAGCAAACATCCAGTGCGGTTCCGTAGACAGCAGCGAGGATTTCCAGCTGTCGTACATCGTACATCATCGTCCCGTCGGCCCCATCCTGTTGCTGCCTATCCCATGCGTGCACGCTAGGGGCTTTGCCCGACGCATGCCCTCAGCGACAATGCCTGCTGTGGTTGAGCAGCTTGAGGTATCGCTGGGTGTTGCGGTTCCTCGGGCTGCCTTGTGGTTGGCGTTGCCTCCTTCGGGCGTGCAGCAGTGCGTTTGGGATGTTGTTGTTCTGGCTGCTTTGTCTGCTATGGAGGAGGGTCGGCGGTTGTTACGGGCTCGTGTACGTGAGTCTGGTTCTGCGGGTGTTGTGTCTGGGCTTGCTGATGTAGTGGCCCTGTCTGCTGTTTCCTGGTTCTGGGGTCAGCTTCGGGGTTTTGCTTGTTTGGGTGTTCCCCGTCGGGGATGGGCTGCGGTTGGCCCTTCTCATCCTTTCTTACGTATTTTTGGCGGGCGCTTTTCTGTGTGCCGTTGAGCATCCTGTTTTGGCCCTGTCTTTGGGGTGGTGTGTTCGTGGCTTCCGGTTTGGGTTGTCTTCTGCCCTAGATGAGATTTGTCGAGGTTTGCTGAGGGGCCCTTTTTTGGCTTCTACCCTCTTGTTTACCTCCTGTGGTTTCTTTTAGGGCTGTGTATCCCATCTTGTTGGCCCGTTGTGGTGCTGTCTCTACGGTTTGTTCCGTTTCTTTTGCAATGTAGGGTTGGGTTCATCACCCGTGTTCCCTTTTAGGGCACCATTGTAACGGTCATTCATTCAATGCCTACCAGTCCAGCTCCTGACCTACCTTGCTGTCCACGGCCCGCAAGGCCACAACCCTATCCAATCCTCCCGGCCCTTCTTTTCACATTAATGGAAAAGGATGTGACAAGGATAAAGAAACACGGCAGGCCACAACCCCTACGCTATCCAATCCTCCCGGCCCCACCACGCGCCCTTCTTTTCACTTATTGCTCATCACTGCCAGTCCATGTTACAGCAGGAGGGTCGATCTATGGCCAGCACTCAGATCCCAGCCACCCATCCTGTAAGGAAGCGCCTAATGAAAAACCCTCGGCAAAACCCGCCCCCCGTCGAAGCCCCAATGTGTTGCACTAGTGTCAGGAATTGCAGACAGTCCTGCATTGTTGCACCACGAGAAACAAACAGCAAGTAAAAGTAGGCACCATCCCAACAGAAAACGGCCCGCCATGAAGGGTGGGTGGGCGGGTAGTAGGGCCACGTCCCGGCAGAGGGACACGATCATTATCTACACAACGGCAGTTAGTGAAACAAGCGAGTAAAGCCGGTAAACAGACTGATTGTAGGTTGCCGTACCACGCAAGCACCGATGCCATGCGTCCTGGTGTAAGGTTCTTGGCAGGTTCTTCGCAATAAGTGGACGTTTCTTATCTCCGTCTCGTCTGGACTTCCTCGACTACGAAAGAAAAGTCAGCACAAACAACAAGCGCATGCCGCCAAGTCACTCTCATCCAAAGAAACTCTCCCAGTCTAGGCCCGTACGGTGATAGGGTTGCTGCAGGAACCTGCCGAACAGGCGGCTGAAGGACACGCGCGTGTCGGGCAACGATGGCAGAGGAGGAGGTGAAGGTGACGGGCTGGGCGGTTCCGTGAAGAGCAGTGGTATGGCAGCGGTGGCGGCTGGACGTGCCTGCAGCGGTGGCAGCAAGGCGCTCCTGTCGGCCGCCACTGAGGTGTCGTTGGAGAAAGCACGACATGGCCACGCTCTCCGCGTCTCGCCAAGAGGTACATGTGGACAAGGGAGTGGGAGATAGAGGCATTGGGAGCGTTGGGTTAGACAATGCGACAAGTAAGGAAGTCGGAGGCACATGCGGAGGTCAAACCGAGGTGGGGGCCAGGAGGGCGGGGAAGGGAATGGGTTGGTGGCGATGAGAGAACGGATGGCACACTATAGCAATACAAGTTTTGAAAGCAGGCAGCAAGCTAGCCGGAAACACTCCTGCCCCATGCAACGGGCCGTCAAAGCAACATGCTTTGCCCACACAGCCGGCCTAGCAGACACGCCACATGCAGCGGTGGCCAGGCGATGCATGCGGCATGCCCACTAGGCCGACTGCTTGAGCAAAGCTTAACCGTCGTCTATCGGTTTCCAACTTGCCTTAGGATGCGCGCGTTGCGAAAGCCCTCGCCGCGTAGGAGCCTTGGACGTTGGCGGTGGTGACGGTGCAGGGCTGGGCGGCTCCGGCGAAGGAGACGGCACGCCAGGCAGGAGCGGGGAAGGCGAGATGGAGGTGAGGGGCTGGGCGGCTGCGACGAAGCCGGCGGCACGCCAGGCAGGAGCAGGGTAGGCGAGATGGCGGAGTCGGGCTGGGCGGCTGCGGCGACATGGCCACGCTCCCCGCGTCTCGTAAAGAGGTACATGCATAGGAAGGAGCGGGAAAGGAATGGGAGTGACTATGCTACACGTAAAACGAAGTACACGTAAGGAAGCACCAGCACGGAAAAGGAAGTAAAGCAAGACACGTGCGTCCCCCGGAAAGGAAGCTGTCGACTCAGCTGCCCCTACTGCTGCTGGGCTGATCTATGTACTGCTACTACTGCTGCTGAAACTGCTGCTGCTGCTGATCTGGCTGCTGGAACTGCTGACGGCTGGGCTGACTGGGTGGCACTGGCTGCCGCTGACTGGGTGGCACTGGCTGCCGCTGAGGTATCTCGGGTGCAGCCAAGCGTCATCCAACTCTCGGGAGGGGGGGACGACAACTAATCTCACTTCTATGCAGCCAACCCCAACTTACCGGTACACAGAGTGTATTGCCCTTGGAACATGCTCGCCGTCGCACATCTTGCGTCGCGCCTGCACAGAAAGCAAAAAAATTGACTTGGGTCAGCACCATCGTGAGAGGAAAAGGAACTATATCTATTGAGTTATCCTACAGCGGCGTCAAGGGCAACTGTCAGCAGCAGGCCGTACCGTTCGTTGTGACTCCGGTACTGCTGACATTCGCCACAAGGGTCTGATGCCGACGATACACTCGGACAAATCGACAGGAGCGAGCCAGGATCGGAGGCTCATGCGGAGATCGAGGTGGGGCCAAGGGGGGGCGAAGGGAATGGGTTGGTGGCGATGAGAGAACGGATGGCACACTATAGCAATGCACGTTTAGAAGCAGGCAGCGTGCTAACCGGAGACACTCCAGCCCCATGCAACGGGCCCTCAGAGCAACATGCCGTGCCCACGCAAAACTTAACCGTCATCTATTAGTTGCCAACTTGCCTTAGAATGCGCGCTTGGCGAAAGCCCTCGCCGCGTAGGCGTCTTATGCTCTTGGTTGGAGGCGGCACGCCAGGCGGGAGCGGGGAAGGCGAGATGGCGGTGTCAGGCTGGGCGGCTGCGACGAAGAAGGCGTTGTCGCTGACGGCGGTGGCGCCGATGGAAGAGGTGAACGTGACGGGCTGGGCGGGCGTGGGGGAGGGCGAAGGCGTTACTACTGACGGCGGTGGAGATGGAGGAGGTGAACGTGACGGGCTGGGCGGGCGTGGGGGAGGGCGAAGGCGTTACTACTGACGGCGGTGGCGCCGATGGAAGAGGTGAACGTGACGGGCTGGGCGGGCGTGGGGGAGGGCGAAGGCGTTACTACTGACGGCGGTGGAGATGGAGGAGGTGAACGTGGCGGGCTGGGCGGGCGCGGGGAGGGCGAAGGCATTACTACTGACGGCGGTGGAGATGGAGGAGGTGAACGTGGCGGGCTGGGCGGGCGCGGGGAGGGCGAAGGCGTTACTACTGACGGCGGTGGAGATGGAGGAGGTGAACGTGGCGGGCTGGGCGGTTCCGGCGAAGGAGGCGGCACAGCTGGAGGGAGCGGTGCAGGAGATGGCGGTGCAGGGTTATTGCGGCTGCGACGAAGCAGGCGTTATTACGGATGGCGGCGGCGGCGATGGAAGAGGTGAAGGTGACGGGCTGGGCGGTTCCATGAAGAGCAGTGGTATGGCAGCGGTGGCGGCTGGACGTGCCTGCAGCGGTGGCAGCAAGGCGCTCCTGTCGGCCGCCACTGAGGTGTCGTTGGAGAAAGCACGACATGGCCACGCTCTCCGCGTCTCGCCAAGAGGTACATGCGAACAAGGGAGATGGAGATAGAGGCATTGGGAGCGTTGGGTTAGACAATGCGACAAGTAAGGAAGTCGGAGGCACATGCGGAGGTCAAACCGAGGTGGGGGCCAGGAGGGCGGGGAAGGGAATGGGTTGGTGGCGATGAGAGAACGGATGGCACACTATAGCAATGCACGTTTAGAAGCAGGCAGCGTGCTAACCGGAGACACTCCAGCCCCATGCAACGGGCCCTCAGAGCAACATGCCGTGCCCACGCAAAACTTAACCGTCATCTATTAGTTGCCAACTTGCCTTAGAATGCGCGCTTGGCGAAAGCCCTCGCCGCGTAGGCGTCTTATGCTCTTGGTTGGAGGCGGCACGCCAGGCGGGAGCGGGGAAGGCGAGATGGCGGTGTCAGGCTGGGCGGCTGCGACGAAGAAGGCGTTGTCGCTGACGGCGGTGGCGCCGATGGAAGAGGTGAACGTGACGGGCTGGGCGGGCGTGGGGGAGGGCGAAGGCGTTACTACTGACGGCGGTGGAGATGGAGGAGGTGAACGTGGCGGGCTGGGCGGGCGCGGGG